CACGGATAAACCGCAAAGTCATGCGTTTCGCGAATCCACCAGAGAAAACATTATTCACAAACAGAATTGATTTGCTGACGTATCAAGACATCGAAGGCACACAGAATCCAATGACCGGAAACGTTCGCGATCGCTTTCCACTTCCTCCATCAACGGACTTTCTGAGGCACTCACGAGTACCAAGTGGTAGTACCGTAAAACATCCTGAAGATCAAGCCGCTCAAAACATTCTCGCTCCTGGACCGCAGGGCTCGGGCATACATCCACCTCTGCTCGGTCGTACGCAGCTCGGCATGCCTGCGGTTACGCCATACTCTCAGCAGTCTACGCACGAGATGATACAGCGTCAGGTTCGGGCCGCTCGAAACATGAATCTGGGTCTGCAATACCCAAGCAGCCATGGCAATGGCATGGCGTACCCGGTCTCCGCCGGTTCAGATATGCGTACAAGTGTGAACCTTGGACAAGACGGCTGGGCTCCAACGCAGTCACACAGTTCTGCGCAAAACAGCGGTCGTCCTAGCCTGCCTTTTGTCGTCACGGATAATTTCGCGCCACGTCCAGGTTTTCAGATGCCAAACATCAACACGGCTGGACTGGACGTACCTTCTCGAGAGGAGATGACTTTCGAGGATCATATGCGTCTCTCGGCTCCTGGTTCGCGTGTATCATCTCGTCAGCCTTCAGTTGTGGATGGAGGTCCTTCAGCCCCTGTATCACGAAATACATCACGTCGGGCATCTCGTCAGTCATCTGGAGAACACTTGCGCTTGTCGCTGAACAGCAGTGCTTCAGGACCAGCTGAAGGCGGCGGCGGCAACAGCAACAGTGAAGACATACATCGCCTAATAGTCAAGCTCCCCATGCCCGCGCGAGCTGAAACACAAGGTACGATGCCACGGCATTCTCTGTCTAATTAGAACTAACGAGAAGCTACAGCTTTCCTTCGAGCCCATCGCCCAGGCCGGCCACCCAGGCAATCCCACCATCCGCCTGCGTATCCACAGCAACACCTATGACGACCACGGGACTCCAATCTTCTCCATCCTTACCATGCGCTTGCATGACTTCTTCGGCCCGCGCCTTGAATACTACTGCGCCCAGCGCGGCAAGCGCTACGGTACGGACTGGAAGTTCATCTTCAAGTACCCAGCTCCTATGCCCCTCCACCCTAACCGCGAGAAGTTCTTCGACATCAAGTACAACATGAAGCCCGCCGGCTGCTACGACAAAGGCTACCCAGGCTGCTCGATGCGCGACGGTGATATGTTGTTGGTGGTCACTCGTCGCGCCAGTAGTGCGTCTGACGACAACGATGCTGAGCTCGGCACCCAAATTGAGTGTCAGCGCATCTGTATCCAGAACGGCGAGACGGAGATATGGCAAGCCCCAGACATCAACAGCGAGTGGTACCGCAATGCAGACGCGGACCTTGCCAATACGCGTCGCCAGCTAGCCATGTACCACAACGACCTGGTACAGTTGCGCGCTATGCAGGCTCACCGCGAGAATACGGTTACGGGCCTACAAGCACAGAACATGCAGCTCAAGGGTGAGATTGAGATGTTGAGACAGGCTCGATTGCCGTATGCTGCTGCTCCTCCGCCACAGTATAGTGAGCAGGATCAGTATGCGCGTTATGGCGGACATGTCAATGGGCTTCCTCAGCCTCATGGTCTTTCTGGCGGTTATACGCAGACTCGTTCGGGCTTTCCTCCGGGCTCGGTGGCCAACTTTCTCCAGGCGCAGAACATTGCGGATGCGAGGCGTCGCGCGGCGGTGAGTGGTGCGGCGGATCAGGTCGGTGCCGAGCAGGAGGAGTAAGTGCGTGCTCTTACTTAGTGGGGGCTTAAGCGTCTACATAAGAGCATGTCATTTTTCTCTCCCGGTGCGGTGGCAAAGCCACACGGAGCGATTGCGGAACGATGCAGGGGATGATTGGATAGACGGTGTATATGGAACAGCTGTGTAAACACCGCTGCTACGTGGATTTGTACACTTACAGCACCATCGCAGTCGCACAGCTATGCATCTAAGTACATGAGTACAAAAAAAATCATAAAAATAGTGTTCGTTGTACAAAGCGTGTAGTTTTGACGCGAACTGCCGTCAACTGTGCATTAGTACTGGAAAGCCTTGCAAGCATGCAATCTTTTTAGGATCGGATATTTGCCCGCTCTAGATCAGATCACCCGACTGCAGACCCAGTGTAAACCTAACATACTGTAATGATACACGAAGATATTCTGGATCATTTGCTCAACATGAACAACCTATAACCCCTCGAATCTCCTCTCCTTCTTCGTACTCAAGCCCATGGGAGCGCCAAACGCCATTCTCCCGACCTCATTCTCGGCCCTCTCGTCCCCGATGAACCCCTTACAAGCAGCAGCCGCGTTCCTCCACTGCTTGTCTCCTTCTGTGGCACCTAGTATCTCCGCATACGCTGTACCCGCCTTGACCATGATCTCTGCACCCAGCCAATGAGAGAACGGTTTCTTGATAAAGCTGTAGATAGCCAACGCTAGCAGTCCGAAAAGATGCGCACTCAAGAGTACAGAGCCGACGATAATGCCAGCCATCGATAATGAGGTTCTGATTGTGACGGTGCTTTCACGACTTTCCTCGGTGGTCGCCTGTTGGATGTGTATCATGGTATCATTGGATGTAAGAGACGCAGGGTACGTGTACGGAGCGAGAATTCTGGCTCTACTGATATATGTATTAGAAATACGGCACGGGCGTCCGTGATTCCGAGCTACGCAAGTACTTAGTACGGCGAATTGGCAAAGCCAGCAATGTTGCCGTTGCTGCTGTATCATCCATTCTGCCGGCCTTAGTCATCCTGGGCCTCTACTTCGTGAAGCGTATGATTGTGAGAATCGGGCTTGTGATCCTTTTCACAGCAATCTTCTCTGTCGCGCTTGCAGTGTTCACATCTGCTCGCAAAGTGGAAATCATCTCTGCAACAGCAGCGTATGTGAGTCGCTTGGGGTTTTTAGGAAACGAGCTAATATCATTGCAGTTTCGCCGCTGTCGAGGTGGTCTTCATTGGTAGTAGTAGCACCAATGGTACTGGATAGCAGGAACCTTCTTGATCAATTCTCGAGTGTTATATGCTGTAGTTGAAGTGAGTGACAAGATAGCAATATCCACGAGCCAAAAGCAATGACCAATAATCCTGAGATGCTGCAATGCCTGCGTTCTATTGCGTGTGATAAAGGAGCTGCTTCGGCTCAAATGGTGTCAGAAACCGCAGACACTTTTCGGCAATGTACCGCCGCCAGTATTGAATTCTTCTGATCGGACTCAAGTTGCAGGTTTATGTGGAGCGAGTAATGATTAGCATATGAGACGTAGGGTACATATCATGACGTGGACGGTGGCTATGATCAGCAGAGCTATGTAAGCGGCACAGATTCGATCAACCCTAACTTCAATTATAAGTTACCCCTCTCCTTTCTGCAGCAAAACTCACTCATGTAGTACATTACGCAGCGGTCAATGTTCTCGCTATAGACATCCTATACCTACATGCCGCTAAGACGCTAACTTATCTACATGTGGACGTGTGTTCAAAAACAACCATGGAAGCTAACTTCTTTAGTGATTAGAATACCTCACACAAAGATCAAAATATGCGCAGAAAAGTAGAATTTGGTAGAGTTCCAAAGGCAATGCGACCGCTCTCCTGTCTGACGTTTGGATAATGGCAAAAGTGGTACCTCCGCGCGATCCAACCTCCGAAAGCTGCGATCACACCTATACATCATACCTCCGCAGTAAGAAAGACCCAAGAACAATCCACGCGACACATGTATGTACCGTCTAAGACGCTGTGGACCGATCACTCTTCCTACGATAAATCCAGTTGGAGTTGCCTAAAGAAGCGTAGCGTGCTCTGGCCTTATTCCCCACAAGCATCCTCCGCCCGCCGTGATTTGTCAACGGCAAGATCGCCCCAAAAGGAAGCTTCTCCAAGCTTTGCCAATCAACAACCAAGCCTTAGACACCCTTGTGCATAACAATACAGAGAGGGCGGCAATTTCGGCTACATTAGGAAGCCGGTTCATATAGCTCCTAAGCTACGTTATCTGTACTGGAAGGTGGAAGGATGCTCCCACTTAGACGGATTGCAACATTGGCCAACGAGCACAGGTGACCTGGATGGCGTGTCGCTAACGCGCATGCGATGCTGGACCTATTTGGGCAGGTACCAGGTACATGATGATGCAAGGGGAACATCGACGGACCATAAGAGTGGTTGGTTGTCTTCTACTCATTGTTGTGCCAGCCGCTCGTTCGCTCTTGTCATCACTATGTACACCCATCAGGTGCTTTCTTGGGTCGCGCTTTTGGCGACTGCTTGCGTCGCACGTCCAACCAGCGATGTTGACTTCAGCAAGGCCGTTGTGGAGAAGCTGGATGCTGCGCCTGTTGGTTGGGTGAAGGATGCTTCTGCAAACCTGGACAAAGATTCGACGTCGATTACTCTCAAGGTCCATCTTGTGAACAAGGATATGGACAAGTTCCACGATCTTGCCATGAACGTACGTCTATACCCAGAATAGTAGCCTGATTAGAATCAAGCTAATATGAACGAACAGATTGCTACTCCAGGACATGCAGAATACGGCAACCATCTTGACCACGAAACCATCCTTGCTATGATCGCACCGAAGCAGGAGTCCACTGATCTTGTCATGCAATGGCTCACGAGTGAAAACCTGAGCCCCGAAACCAAGATCACGACGAAGGGCGATTATGTCACCATTGAGGCTAACGTAAAGACAATTGAGAAGTTACTGGACGCAGAGTACAGCGTTTTCGGTACGTGCAGACCCATGCCAAAAGCCCCCTCCTTCCCATTCTAACCAACAACAGTCCGTCCTGGAAGCAACGAGAAGGCCCTCAGAACCCTCAAATACAGCCTGCCAGCCAGCCTGAAAAGCCATGTAGACATGGTCCAACCCACCACCTTCTTTGGCCTCAAGCAACTACGCTCTACGATCTCCGAGCACCACGAAATCAAGGATGACAACAACAACAAAGCCGCCCAAGCCGTCACCGGCTGCACCGGCACCCGCATAACCCCAACCTGTCTCGCCAACCTCTACAACTTCGCGTCCGCCAAGGTCCAAACCGTCGGCCTCCTGGGCATCGCCGGCTTCCTCGAAGAATACGCCATCAAAGCGGATTTCACCACCTTCCTAAACAGCTACGCCTACTTCTCCAACAAGGCCAAATCCTTCACCTGCGCCGCCGTCAACGGCGGCACGTGCCCCAGCTCCCCACCCGGCATCGAAGCAAACCTCGACGTCCAGTACGCCGGCTCGATATCCACATCTGTGCCGAATACGTACTACAGCACCGCAGGCCGCGGGCAGTTTCTGGGCTCCGGGAGCAATACGAATGAGCCGTATCTCGAGTTTTTGAACTACTTGCTCGCACTGCCTGCTGCACAGTTGCCTAACACGCTATCGATCTCGTATGGCGACGACGAAGCGACTGTCCCGCTTGCGTACGCGACGAATGCGTGCAATCTCTTCTCCCAGCTAGGTGCGAGGGGCGTGTCGATTCTCGTGTCCTCGGGCGATTCGGGCGTGGGGTCGACGTGCAGTGTGAACGGCAAGGCGCAGTTTACTACCGCGTTCCCCGCTGCGTGTCCGTGGGTCACCACTGTCGGCGGAACTACTGGTAACTCGCCCGAAGCAGCGTGGACGAGTGGTGGTGGCGGGTTTTCAGAAATCTTTGGACGCCCGTCTTACCAGGACGCTGCGGTGTCCAAGTGGTTGAGTACGGACACGACGCACACTGCTGTGACGAAGTACTTCAATGCTTCGGGCCGCGCGTATCCGGACATTTCTGCGCAGGCGACGAACTTCGTTATCATTGCTGGTGGAAGCGCGCAGTCGGTGTCTGGGACTTCGTGCTCGGCGCCGGCGACGGCGGGTATCATTCAGTTGTTGAATAGTGGGCGTATTGCGGCTGGGAAGAAGGGGCTTGGGTTCTTGAACCCGTGGCTGTACGGTACAGCTAGCAGTGGGTTTACTGATATCAAGACTGGAAAGATTACCGGATGTGGTGGGCAGATCTCTGGAGCTGGGTTCAGTGCGGTGAGTGGATGGGATCCAGCGACGGGCTGGGGAACGCCCAACTATGGTTCTCTGCTCACATTTGCGACTTCAACTGCTTAGACGGCGGACCGGTAGTAGGATATGCAACTACAATCTGATTATTATACAACAATGCAGCCTCTCTCTTCGAACAGGGGCTATGGTATCAATGTTCCCAAAACGACTCAAAAAAATGCAAGCCCCAATCTTTGCGCCAATGCAGACGCTGGTGATGCATCAAAACGCCCAAGCCATATACAATATCAAACACGACACCATTGCATCTATTCCTCATCATAGCCCTTGGCCTTCTCGCACTTTACTGACACAAGCTCTGTCTCGCCTTTGTCATCCACGACAAGCGCAGTCAGATGTCCACCGCTGGCACAACCAGTGTCCAGCCCCTTCGTGTATTTATGTATATTCAATCCGCGCTTTCGGTTGTGGCCGTAGATAACCGTAGTGCGCTGATGTTCCTTAAGCTTCTCCTGTTGGTGGTTCCAGAACTTCTCCCAGGGTGTGCCACTGTGTTTCGACGATGGGATGCGCGTCTTGAGATCGATTGTGCGCATGTTCATAACATGTACAGGATCTTGCTTCTCAAGCGGGGTATCAGGTACGAGGCCGGCGTGGACGGAGACGAGGTTGCCGAGATTCGGGACGTGGCCGACGCGTAGGATGACGGGGCATTGTTGTAGGAACACGAGGTCCTTGCGAGATAATTTCTTGGCGAGCTTGAGCAATTTCTTGTCGCCGTTGGAGTGCGATGCGGAGTCGACAAAGTCAAGAGGATGCTCGTCATCCGCGGATGAGGGATGGATCTGTTCGGCGCCGGCGATGGTGAGGAGGAGCTTGTCTTCCCAGTTGCCGCGGACGCAAGAGGCGCCGAGCTGGCGGACCATTTTGATGACGCCAGGCGAGTCGGGGCCTGTCTTTCGTTAGCATGAGATGATACTGTGGAAATGGTTGCCCTACCCTTCGTGATCATGTCGCCAGCCAGGACGAGATGATCATGCTTGTGTCGGAAATCAACCTTGTTCAGCAAATGCTGCAGCTCCTCCTTGCAGCCGTGCACATCGCCCACAAAGATGAGTCGCTTCCCCTTCTTAGGGAGATGCTCCTCGTCCATATCCTTGACCTGGATCATGTCCTTGAAATCCGGGCGCAGGTTGCTGCCATAGCCCATCGCCGGTGCCTCGTCCATCAGCTTGATTTCGTACCGTATTGCGGCGCGCCGTGGCCCAAAGTATGTGCACCAGCTTAGTAGGATTAAGACTGCGACACCAAAGGCGGCGAGTAGGTTGCGCTTGACGCGTCGTGGAACGTTGTCGAGTCTGTTCTGCCACTTGACGGGGATCAGGAAGTCATCGTCTTTGCCGTAGAAGCTGTCTTCCTCATCAGAAACGTCTAAATCATGGCGGTGGTCTGGTATCAGGTCGATGAGGGGAGTGTGGGCTTTCGACGCATACGGATTATCGCGGTAATACGTCATCGGTGCGGTAACCCTCGAGGAAGCGATGCGCGGTTGGACAGGGGCTTCAAAAGCGCGTGAAGATGTTCCAGGACGCTGTGGAATGCAGGAATGTATATTCCGCGCCTTGGAGTATTACTGAGAGAGGCAGCTTGCGTGTCGCGCTTGCTAAACGCTATTGATCAGGGACAAAGCGAATGCGGCTTTTTCTGGCCGCCAAAGTTTCTCTGGGGGTTGCGAGCATGTGATGACGCCGGAGCGTGATGCAGCGAAGGAGTGACTGAAGTGCTGATGCTTGTGAAGAGGTCTGAAGCAGCTACGGCGCGCTTCACCGCACGCCCCTGCCCTTTCATGGTGTCGTCGCTCTTCTAGGCAGAGACGATCAGCAAAAGGCTTGGCCGGGGTTGGCAGCCACGTGCCGTTAGTTCCGGGGTTAAGGTAACCTAGCGCGGAGCCTCATCGCTTGTGCGTCCCATCTACCTTCACACGGACTCTCTGGTGTCCTGCAAAAGTTTGGACATTTCATCAGCTCAGCTTCTCCCTACATACTTTGTCGTCAAATTGGCACGTTTTGGACTTGGCATTAGGTGCTACTCGGCAACCATCTTACCTGCACCCTGATAATCATGCCACTCAAAGCCACAACACTTCACCAAATATGATTAATGCTTATCGTCTCGCCTCTCCAGCAAGCACTGTCGACGGTATGGGTGAAGTCGTAGTCTTCGGCGAAGCTCAAGTAGGCAAAACATGCTTCATAGACATGGTAGGACACCTCATCTAGCCTAAACCATGTATCACTTTAGCTGGTGCATCAAATATCTTGCTGTTACGTTGACATCTCCAAAACAGCTCACCCAAGGCCGCCACTTCGCGCAATACATGGGGGTAGGACTTGAAGACAGTCTTCATCGGATGACCATCAATGGCGAAGTCGTGGAGGCTTACTTCACCGACCTCAGCTCCACCACGCTCAGAACAGCGGATGCAAACTTCAGCCCCGAAATTTTCATACAAAGTCTCTCGGGTGCTGTTGGCGTCGTTCTGCTGTACGATATCACATCTCTAGAAAGCTTCGAGCACATCACGGAGCAAAGCTATGCTTATGCTTGCATGTGTAGCAATTACATGGGCGAGAATGCTGGTGACAGAATCCGCGAGTACATCTTAGTCGGCAACAAGAAAGACATAGTTGAGAAAGAGCCTGAGAAGAGGCAGATTGATGAAGAACTAGCAGCAGAATGGGCGCAAAGTCAGGGCATGCGACATGTAGAGCTGACCACGCACAAGAGAGAGGACGTAGAGAAAGCCGTCCATGATCTGATGCGATCCATCATGCGGGCGAAAGAGTTTGCTAAAAAGGAGAAAGCCAGAGGTAAAGCACCGAGAATCAAAGATCACAGTGACATCACTACCAAAGCGAAAATCAAGCAAGCTTTGGGTATGCGCAAGAGCGATGCTTGAGAATTGATGGGCATCCAGAACAGCCGCACCAGTACCCACTACGCGAACCCCACCTTTACCCCACATCCTCCAGTACCTGCATACAGACCCACCGTTCGAGATCGCCAGGCAGTCCAGAAGATCGCGCTAGAGCCGAGCGAAGCAGAATCTCAAATACCCTTGGAGATCCAAGACTGTATCAATGACGTAGGACGGAAATATCTCCGCAACATGAGTACATCAATCCTACGACGAGCACGCCGTGCAAAGATGCAACTAACGCTCAGAACGATATCCCCTCGTTTCCACACCATCTCGTAATATACCAGCCATGTCCACTTCAGCAATGCAACCTCTAATCCTCATCTCCGCCACCCCCTCCCCTTTTGCCCGAATGAACCGCATCGCCCTCGCTCTAAAATCCATCCCCTTCACGCTCAAGAACGAAATCCCATGGGAATCCGCTACCGAAACGCCCAAATACAACCCCCTGGAAAAACTTCCCATCATGCTCTTTCCCGACTCCCGCGCCCCCGTGTACGACTCGGCGCATATTCAGGAATACATCGTCGCGAAATATGCCGACCTACCTCCGCGCTTGATCACAGGCAACGTCGACCAAGACCTGGAAATTCGTCAGATCGTCGTCCTAGGCGAGGGTTGCTTGGACGCCATCGTACTGAATCGCTGGGAAGGACGGCGAGACAAAGACAAGCAGAGTCAGCTTTGGATGGACAGGCAGAATCGCAAGATCGATGGAGCGTTGCGCGCATTTAACGATATGGTTGTTGCGCGCATCGATGCGGGCAAGGAGTATCTCGTCGGCGAGGAATTGACAATTGCGGATATTGCGGCGGTGTGTACGGTGGGTTGGATTGGATGGGCGGGGATCAGGGAGGGCTGGGAGGAGAAGTATCCTGTGCTGGCAAAGTGGGTGGGGAAATTGGATGGGCGCAAGGAGTTTAGGGAGACGAGGCCGGTTATGTTTGATCTGAAGGAGACCGTTGTGTAGGCTGGTTCAAAGCTTCTCTGTGTAGTTTGATTTCGCTGATGTATTTCGATATTTGACTTGGCTGAACGTCGCGGTGGGCATCTCCACCTTATGAAACCATGGGTAACGCCCGTGGAATAATCATCCATGATTGGTCTGCTTCGTCCCAACATTAGCTGTGCCGCACATGTCAGCATTTCTCTTGCAAAGTTGTGATAGCGACACGGCTTCTGCATTCATTAATTCCTATCGCAGTAGGCAGTCGTCGTACATATAACCGCAACCCCAGCTGCCCTTCGCATTTCCTCATCCTCTTAGCACGCAGCCATGTTTCTAACGCTTGCTTTGTCACTCGCTGCATTGCCCGTGACTCTGACCATATGGTCTGCAATCTCTCTCAACGCGAACATCCGCAAAGCAAGAGGGATAGGCTTACCCATCCTCGTTCGCTGGACCACGCCCACGAATCCCCTGTAGATGGCTTTTGGAAGCAACATTGTCCGCCTAGCTCGTCGTCTCGGAATCGCTACCGAAAACTTCGACCGCTTCTACCTTTTCGGCTGGGAAGCGAACGAGCGGTATCAAGTGCATGCCGAGCTCGGTGATGCATTCACACTAGTCGCGCCTGGGGGTTATTGGGTATACGTCGCGGACCCAAAAGCTGTCTGGGATGTGCTCAAGCGTCCCCGAGACTTTGGCCGTAACATTAAACAGCTTGAGGTTCTCAACGTGTATGGGAAGAATCTGTCGACTACGGAGGGTCATGAGTGGCAGAAGCACCGCAAGATCACGGCAGCGACGTTTACGGAGAGGAATAATGAGCTGGTATGGCAATCGTCGCTTTCGCAAGGGCATAGCATGCTGCAATATTGGCTGGACCGCGCGCCGAAGCCGATTCGAAGCGTTGCGGATGATTCTAAGACTTTTACACTTAATGTACTAGCGGCCGCGCTGTTTACAAAGGAGTATCCGTTTGAGGGTCAGGAAGAGATGAAAAAGCGCCATACCAGTATAGAAAACCCATCAGACGACTCTCACCAGTACCGCAATTCCTTTTCAAGAATCCTTCGAGGCATCATTCTCATCGCCATCTTCGGCGGCGAAACCCTTCGGAAATCCTCATGGATGCCGACTTCCTGGAAGCAGGTCGGCCAAGCGGTACAAGATTTCCGCTCCTACGTCCTGAAAATGATCCAAGAAGAGCGTGAGAGTATCGCGAACAACACATCGACACGCAAGGATCTCGTATCCGCTTTGGTGCGTGCTTCGCTCGTCCAGCAGCCCGACGACGCCCGCGACATGACCATCTCCGAGCAGGACATGATCAGCAACATCTTCGTGTACGGCTTCGCGGGCAACGACACGACTGCGATTTCCCTCGCGCATACGATCGTGAACCTCGCTGCTCATCCCGCCACGCAGGAATGGATCAGGGAAGAGATCCAGCATTACTGTGCAGACGATGATTCCACCGCGTGGCCTTATGACACGTGGACGAAGCTCGTACGCTGCCAGGCTGTTGCTGTAAGCATTCAAACCTACCCATAATAACCTAGCTGTACTTACTGAATTGAACTAGATGGAAACTCTTCGTCTTTGCCATCCCCTCGGCTCCTCCTCCAAACTTACTAAAACCTCCTGTGATCTCACTGTGGAAAACTCAATATACACCATCCCAGCAAATTCCAACGTCTCCCTCAATTTCTCCGGCCTACACACCAACACGCAAATCTGGGGCTCGAGCGCGATGACCTGGGATCCCGCGCGTTTCATCGATGGCAAAGGCATCGGTGGTGAACAACTCCGTATCTTCCCTGACGGCGTGTATGTACCGTGGTCATATGGCGAGCGCCTGTGTCCGGGGAAGCGTTTCTCGCAGGTCGAGCTCGCGGCCGTCGTGGCGGTGTTGTTTCGCAAGCATGGCGTTGAGGTTGTGCCGGAGATGGGGGAGGAGGTGGTGGAGGCGAGGGAGAGGGCGGAGAGGGTGTCGATGGATATACAGATGACGCTGCTTAATGAGATGTATCAGCCGGGGAAGGTGGGACTTATGTGGGCGGAGGTTGAGTAAGGCGAATTGGACGTCATTGATGGACCTGGTGATCGCTGATGTCTTGCATTGCTTCATGGTTAACAGGTGTCGGAATAATTCGTACGCGTTGTGTTTAAGGTTCTGGACGATATCTGAGAGCATTTCGGTTAAGCCGTCTGACTTCGAGGCTGTTTTGGCACTTTGTATATTTAGGCTTGTGTATAATGTGATAGTTGCATTTGAAAAACAACGCTTACGACATGTAGAAGGGCTAGTACCGAACTCAACCCTGGTTCACTCCTGACTTCAGCCCAGCAAAATGAAGGTGATCCATCGGAGTTCCGCGGCTGCAATGAACCGTGGATCAGTGTCCATAGTAACCTAGATTTTCATTAAGAGCACATAAACTTGCTCTGTCGCCCTTTTCTAGAACCTCTTAATACCCATATTGCACATCTTTTCCATATAATGCACGATCAAAACCTTCTTGAATCATTCAATACTATTACTTAGAGATAAAATGTCTCTAACTCTGACTTCCGCTCAAACATTCGCCCACGCCTCAATCATGGGAGGGGCACATGCTCTTTTAGTAAGGGCACCGAAGTTCAGACTAATAACTTCTCGTCCGCTTAGCCAAAGAAGCTTCTCAACATTTGCCCAACAAGAAGCGCCAAAAGCGGTAAAAGTGCCTCCAAGACTCCTCGCCCGTCGACTGCGACAACGGCATCAGATTGCACAGATATCCGCCCAGCCAGTGTGTTACCAAGTGCCAAGAAAATTTGCGACAGCCTACAGAGCCGGCCAGTCCGGTTCATCATGGTTTTGGTGGGCATTTAGGATGGCGTTTTGGCCATTTATCTCTGGAGTCTGCATGGGGGCTTTGGACGAGGTTCGTAAAGACTTCAAGAGAAATATACGTGGAGTCTTAGCTAACCTTGAGATTTTAGCTCCTGGCCACGCTGGAGGATAGATCCAATCCAAATTCAGACAGTCTACAAGATGTTGAAAGTGGTACGTATTTGATCTTCGATGCTGTATGAACGATTTTAACTCAATATACAGCAAAAGAGGATGTAGTCGAGGAGATCAGGTAGATTACAGGTTACTGAGAAGGGAGGCTGGGTTGTTTGTTTATTGATTGGTTCGAACTTCAATACTCCGAAATGCTGATGACTGTAGGTCGCTGATTTTTCAGGAACCCACCCTACTTTTGTTTCTTGTATGTATAGATGCTACAGACGGAAAGTGGGCGTCAGCCACAATTCAACAGTGGATGAGACCTGCAGAACTTGCTTACGTCACCACGTGAAGCCAATAGAAGATCTAGCTACCAGCCACGTACTCAAAGATCCATATCCAATAATCACTCTCTACGTGCTGTACATCAATAAAAGCTCAAGCTACCACTGTTCTTCATGGTCTAGTCTGATCCTCCGAACGTAGACCCAATTTCACCCCATTTGACCTGGCTAAAAGTGACTGTGGGATTCTTCACCTTCTGCTGAATTGCATCAGGGAAGCCCTCGGTGGCATTGCAAGGACCATTTGGCGCACCATCGAGCCAGGCCATGCCACCGCTTTTATCCCACCAGAGACTGAATACAAGGACCATACCACGCTCTAGAGCGTCGCCCATGGTTTTGTGGCCGCCAAACTTATTGTATTCTCTGGCGCGAGGCTGAGCTGAGCACCAAACCTGGTCCATGGTGACGTTCTGCATAGCGTTTTCGATAACCACACCGTCCTGGACGTATTTTCGCACGATGGCCTGGAGCACGCCGTATTTGGCTGGAAACTGAGTAACGACGGTGAAAGGTCGAGTCGTGTCAACCTTCAGACCAGGGCCGTAGAAGTCCTTGGAATTCCGGAAGTTGTAAGCGTTGTCTCCGCAGCCCGTCTTGCCGCAAACACCAGTCACGCTACAATCGTCGCCAGTACATCTAAAGATTCCTTCCTTGGCGCATACATGAGGCGCAATCTGGTTCGCGCGATTGTTTGCCTCCCAAATGTCCATTTCGTTGCAGCATGCGCCTTCGTTGTTGACATTGGCCTATGAGGCATTAGCTGTTGCTCAGCGCAATGTACCGGATATACTTACTTCACCATTTATGAATGGTTTGACACCGCACTGAGCATCGCAGTATCCTGTGCCAAAGGCAGCACCCGCAGGGTTGAGGTCTGAGCGTCCGCCATTGACGTCCATCTCACTGAGGTATAAGGCGCTGTTAGTGCCACATGGCAATTGCGACATGTCGACGTCAAATGAGAACTCATTGCCGTTCAGCTGCAGCATCTCGTACTTTTCTTCGCCTTCAGCCAATAGGTACACCCTAGGGCTCATGTATTCGCCATTAGGATTGAACATATCAAGACGGAGCTTCCCGCCATCAGTAAACACCGCCTGTGTGGTGTAGTTTTGGATGCCTTCCATAACACAGTTCTGGGCGCACGCCTCTTTGTCTGGACATGCCGTCGGGTTAAGTGGATTATTTCTGTCACCACAACTCGCGGTCGAATTGGTTTTTGGGTGGATGTTGTGTCTCAAAGCATCGATAACAATCGCAGTGTTCTGTGGTTTGCATCCACCAGCTTTCGTGCATTTCCAGGTTGCTAATTTGGGTCGCACTTCAGGTGTGGTTCTCGAGTGTTTGGGCGGCGGCTAAACTCCAGCAGGGTGGCTGCAAAAATCGAGGAAGATATCATGTTAAGATGTTTGAAGAATTGACCCATCAATCAAAAGAAATAACCGGCGAACTGATTCTAACGGATTACAACACTACTTATAGCTTTTCTATCAAGAAGCGCCCGGTCCGAAGAGTCTTCCCGGGATGCGTGGTCAATAATTTGAGTCTGCCCACCGGTACTTGCTCCGGTCTGAACTTACGCTTTGGTGTCGTTTTGGGTATAGTGAGTAACAAGGGGCAAGTCAGCACTCTTCCCAAAACGAAAGAAATGGGGTGATTGAAAATTTAATAACGAGATTAGGTGTTATGTAGATATGCGACATACCGCAGGAAGTTCGGGTGTTTCCGTCCATGTCAAAGGGTGGGCCGGCTGTCCACAGAGATGGAGAGGTAGTACTACATGTTGTCGACTGCGGCGGAAAGCGGCCAGACTGCAACAAGCAGTAGCCTATCCTACAGGCTGAAGTTATACGCAGTGTCGCTGGGCTTCGACCGCGATGCGAAAATTCGGTGTGTAGCTTTAGGCTATCAGAAGATGCACTCCAGTTCCGTCGTAGTTGATGACCTGTAGAATGTAGGTACAGTATAAGTGCAACGCTAGTGGCCGTGCCCACCTTCCAGTCTCCATGCGAGCGACAAACATCTGTTTTCCGCCCGCGAGGACTCTTGTGCTGTGGTAAGTGTAATGAGGCAAGAATACTGTGGCTATCTTGGGACTGATGTCTCTGAGAGAAGGAAGTTTGCAGCCTGCAAAAAAACGCATACGTGTGCGGCTACCCCTCTTTCGCATCAACCCTGGAGCCGATGCGGCTGCCATTGTTCGTCATAAAGCCCAATGGACCGCTTGAGTTCTCGACACCTCTTTTCCGACAATCATGAGCAAAGACGCGATCGAAAGAAGCAATGATGGAGATGTTGTGGCTGACATCAATTACTTCCCGGCCACTGGGAAGCCCATCTCAAAAGCATCATGGAAGCCGCGATACTTGGGTGAACCAGACCAATTTACGAGATCTATGACCATACGCGATGCGCGCGGAAAGGAAGAAGAATTCGATTTAAATATGAAAGGCTTCACTTTCATCCGCCTGCCTCCGGCAAGTCGAGTAACACGTGAAGATGATGAAGAGACAGTGAAGCGCAGTTACTACCCCGAGCTCGAGGAAATTGCAAAGAAATTGTACATCTACAATTCCCGGCTTTAGCTAAAGCAGAAACTAACGTCGCAGAACCGGTGCATCAAAAGCGCACGTCTTCAACCACGTCATGCGCGCACACACTTCGCCAGCCTCAAAAGGTATTCAAGACGCCCAAGGCCGCTGGCAAGACATTCCTGCCGGCCATCCACACGTTGATTATGCCGATACATCGGGCGCAATGCTAGGTACTCGAGCGGAACTAAACCTTCCATTATCCATTGACACACTCTTCGACACCAGCAGCCGGTATGCCTTCCTCGGCATGTGGCGCCCTCTCAAAACCGTACGTCGAGATCCGCTCGCGGTATGCGATGCGACAACAGTGTCGGACAAGGATTACCAAGTCCGCCTGCGCGAGTTCAGTCGAACGGGTATTAAGAGCGCGAACTATGTCATGAGCCATGCTGATGAGAAGGAAACGCATGAGTGGTGGTATTTGAGCCAGATGCAGCCAGATGAGATGGTTGTATTCAAGGGATTTGATACGAAGCAAGACTTGCCTGGCTGGAGATGTCCACATACGGCATTTAGAGTGAAGGGAAGTGAGAAAGAGGAGGCGAGGGAGAGTGTCGAGGCTAGGGTCATTTGCTTCTGGGACTGACGCCGGGTGTTTCTTGGGAAAGAAGAGGCCATTTGAAATTCGATTTCTTGTACCCAGAAGATCATGTTTTCGCCTCGATGTCTGCTGAGCTCACTCATGGTCCGTCTTCGTTATCACATCTTCCCACTCCCCCAACAGCTCCAATGTACTCGTACACTTCCCTCCAATCGCAGCCGGCGCATCACTTCCCAGCGGAATCCTGACCGGCACCTCTTTCCCCTCCCCTGCACCCTCTTTGCACAGGATATCGACGATGATCTTACTCCCCTTTTCCACATCACCCGGCTGCTTCCCATCCGCCGCCAACGTCGCGGCCAAATTCTTCCCCACCCCAGTATCACTATAGCATTCCAGTACCTTTGCGCTCCGAACCCTCTTGCTCGGATTGAGGAAGTCAGTACGAAAGTACCCAGGCTCGACGACCGTAACACTGATACCAAGAGGAGCGAGTTCATCCCGCAACCCCTCCGTCAGGCCCGAAACGGCGAACTTAGTCGAGCTGTACAGTGCATACCCAGCTCCGCTGTACCAACTCCCTATGCTGCCGAAGTTTGCAATGGCGGTATGGTGTGATGCAGAAGTAGCGCGCATATGTGGCAAAAACGCTTTGCACACATTCAACGTACCCAGCACATTTGTGCTGAAAATGGCGAGATCTTCGGCTGGAGAGGTTTCTTCGATGGCGCCGAAGAGCATATAGCCCGCCGCGTTGACGAGATGGGTTATGTAGCCGTATTTGGAGACTGCGGCTGACGCTACGGCTTCAATGGAGGGCTGGGGGAAGGTCACGTCGAGAGCGACTGTGTGCGCGCCGGCGGAGGCGAGGAAGGATAGGGAGGAGGCAGAGCGTGCGCTGGCAATGACTTTGTGGCCGCGCGAAAGGGCTTCGAGGGCGATGGAGTGGCCGAAGCCGGCCGAGGCTCCAGTGATGAACCATACAGGTGTTTGAGGAGAGTTGGACATTTCAGCGAATGCTTTCGTTTACGTCGGTCTGCTCTTTGACTGTTCTGATCGTTGTGATATAGCCTCAGAGATATCAACTTTTTAGAGCTGTATGCGCTGCGTTATGCCGTATTGTATATTGTACGAAATGTTTGGCTTCTTTGCACAAACTTTACACAGCCGACCGAACCTCATTATATACACAATCTTCGTCCCACATATTTCCTCATCCATCCCTCGATATCCTGCTTATCTCCGGCTAAATCCACTACATCCACACTCGCAGATGGATATCTTGGCCCGACTTTGGTCGGAATTCCATCAGGGCTGGTGAAGCATCGCTAGGCTGTACCCGAATAAATTCGGCAATCTATTTTCGTCCTCAGGGATGACATGCGACTGCAAGAATCGTCTTCTTGCATAGAGTGCTTAAAAGGTAGCTTTTCAAGCTTTTGTGGCTGGTGCAGGTGGAGCGCGGGGCAAGCTCTCAGCCATTGGAGAACATGGCGACCGAAAAGCACCACTTCGTCGAGTTATACGATCGCTTTGAGTTGTACGTTTCTACTGCACTTGTGTAGGCGTAGCAGGCTTTGACACCAAATCAGTGAACATAGTCCTGCATGAGGTGAATCATCGAGAGACACGTCGGTACTTCCACAATTGTGGAGCCTGCTGCCTGCCCGTTGCCTGCTGCAAATACTTGTAACTCAATTCTGACTTACGGCTACAATTTTCTCAACGCAAATCGAAGTAACCTTTGTCACGACATGGAGGAGAATACATTATCGCTGCGACAGCCCATCACAAATCTATTGGCCCTGCCGCGGGAAATACAAGATGTAATCATCGCGCACCTTGACTTAGGCCAACCAAGTAGCGAACGACGATTCTGTTGCATGCCAGATCGCACTCTCCTTGACTTGTCATACACATGCAAAACCCTACGTACAGCTGGTATGCCTGCGATATACAAGCACATCAACTTTATTGCATGGGAGATGAACGTAGACCATCCATTCCATCGCACAGCCGCCCTCCTCCGGACACTTTCATCGTCCGATCACCTACGCAGATGCATACAAACACTCGAAATACGGCGCTTAGACCCAGCTGATAGAACCGCTGAGCAGTTGCTGGAGCACACACCACGCCTCGCAAGCCTTTCATACTGCTATTACATTGACTTTTACCACGAGGGCGATCCGCTGCCTATCAACACGAAACGTCTTCTAAGCGCGCTTGGGCATGTTCAAGGAACTCTGCGGCATCTGACCATTGGGTATAAAGCGAGGACAAAGTACCATGGGCTCTCGAATCGGCAGCGGCCGCCGATACTACACTCTCCTTGCTCGTTCAGGCATTTCGCAGTGGTAGAGCACCTGGTCATTCCGCTGGACGTACTTCTCGGCTGGGATGTAGAGCAAGCGCCGCCACTTGCGGATGTCCTTCCGCCGAGTCTTGTCAGTCTCAACTTCGAGCGAGGAGCGCAGCATGGCTTCCAGGACCCAACTGAGCATGACCCATTGTATGCGGTACTGAAGCCATTCGTCGAGGGAGGGGAGTGGAAATCTCACACGCCAAGGCTCAAGCGTGTGAGTGGAGACATTCGCGTGGGTGATCCTGTTGCGGGAGGATACAGGGAGTTGTACAGGAGGAGCAAGGCGGTGGAGAAACTCCTGAACGACAACGGGCTGGATTATCCTGAAGATGTGGAACAGCTGCTGGCGAATAATTTCCTACTGCCACAGGGCGAGTGGAGAGGGGGGAGGAAGGCGTTTACGAAGCGGCTGATGTGGGAGAATCTCGGGCTGGAGAAATGAGATGGTAGGGGTGTTTTCCATCATGCTTCACCCACAATCTTTTCTCGGGGATACTTCAGAAATTCCTCCCACTCGGGTCCCAGGTCGTTCCAAATGAGATCGAAAATGTACACGCCAGCATCGCCGACCTGCCACAGCTCCTTGCCGCGATGTAAGAGCACCGCATAATACGCCATAACGACCAGCGCCTCTGGCCTTTTGCTTTCGAGTAATGCGGTAAACATCGGCGGCACCAGCATCGCCCAATTATAGATCATCTGGTGCTGGCCCTGGCACAAACCCACATCTGCACCGCCCACGTCGAAGCCGAGCTGCAAATAGTTGATCGCCGTGCGCGTCGCCATTTTCTCGTCCTCGGACAGGTCAGGTGATCTATTGATAAGATTATGCAAGGAATGGCAGTCCTTGCCAACCGGTTCTCGCAATGTGAATGCGTGGCTCATGGATAACATGGGCTCTAAATCCGACTTCATGAGCAGCGGCCAGGCGGAGTAGGCAATTACAAAGATCCCTCGATGCATGTTTATACACTGCACATAGTGCTCTATGAACGCATCCAGGCCGTCAGGGTGGCGTTTGCTCAATGTTTCTGCCAGGAAATGATGGCCCAGGACTGACGAAAAGAGCAATACCGCGACGCAGTTCGATTCGTCGACCGCGGTCCAGCTAGCATTGAAGAGCGATATGGCACGCGTTTGCAGCGAAACTGCTTGATGAAGATAGTGTGCGGCTCTCTCGGGACGAAGGCATGCTAGATGTTGCGCTGAGAAGGCGAGGATCGCGTGGAGCAGATATGGGGTTTTGTTGGCTTCCCTTAAGCCAAGGCTGAGACCAGAATAGTTGTAGTTCTCAACGCCAGTGCCAAGATTGAACATGTCGCTGTCCTGGGCCACGTGGATAAGCAGATCCATGTGGTCGAGATTTACCGCAGCGTCTGAGCTTGGTTCCTGGAGAAGCGATGGGCCTGGAGAGCTGGTCGGTGATGATGGCGTCAAGGGCAAACTCGCTGGAGTTTGAGTGGAGGCCTTTCTATGCCTTTTTCCACGCGGTACCGAAGCTGTGTCAACAGCCGTCTTGACCTGTGCCGGAGATACATAGCTGCAAACCCGATCCGACACCGCGCAAAGACCGCACACAGGTTGCTTCTCGTCGCACTACAACATGTCAACATGAGGAGATCTTTTAGAGTAGCGCTCATGCACTGACTTTGACATGTCGTCGTTTGCTATCAAAGCGCGTCAGCCTCGAACAACGCACCCTGATGTCTGGAACTCACCACTCTGTGCATCCACCCCTTGACTTTTTATGGCTACGTCTTAACATCTCGTGGTAAATTAGCAGTAGAAATGGCTAGCTAAGCTCAAATACGCGTGTTACATGATCACCTTTTCGGATGCACAGACCACGGTGAGATGACATAACGCGCGTATCCGACCATTCCGGCCTAGCTCATCTTCCACCTTCCACCCTTTATAGAACTCTTCGAAGACGTTCGGGTCCAACTATGGCCTTGCGACCAAAACTCTTTATATAAGCAATTACTGCGCAAGAAAATTCAGCTTGGTGTATATGGTGAAAACAGCAACGTCGAAGCGATCTGCTTTCTCAATTTTGACCACGACCAACACTGTCAGGATGTGGCCTTCCTGCATCCTTTTCGCACTGCAACTTCCTGCCTAGCCATCTATCTTCCTCCACAACGAACTCGGAGGGAAAAAAATTGATTCGCAGTCCTCCTAACATGCAAGAGAAATAGACGCTCCGATGAGCTCTTGATATCACAAGACATCAATCGCAAAACAACACAACATCACATTAAAAACATCAATCATACAAACTAACCCTAGCTTCCTTACCTACTCCTCCTAATTCTCTTCGACCGCCCTCCCCCATCCTCACTCGACTTCCTCTTCGCACCTGGCACACGTTCATCAACCGCAGTCCTTCCATCCAACGCCACAGCATCTCCAACTCCCGGCGCCGCAATAAGTGCAGGCCCTCCCCTCACCCTCCTCGCCTCCTCAATTTCCTTCGTAACCTCCTGCGTCGTACTCGGCCGAAAACTCTCCCCGCCAAACTCCCCCTCACTCTGCTCGCTACTACTCAGCCTGCGCGAAGATGGCGGGCCACTTGCAGCGCCTCCATCTCGCGGCGCCACGACAGGGTCAGCAACATGTCTCCTCCGCCTCTCCATAATCTGTTCCGCCGTACCCGGCCGATAACTCTCATCCCCAAACTCCCCGTCACTCTCACTCTCGTGATTACTACTCGGCCTGCGCGTGTCTAGCGGCCCATCATCATCCTCAGACGATTTATCATCGTGTCCCGGGCGCTTCCTCGCATGCCAATGCCAATGCTTCGGCACCACAGCATCCAGTGCGAAATCTTCCTTCTTCCACTCCCAGAGCATGTCGGTGGGAACGTCCGGGCCGGAAACGCGCATTGCAGTTTGCTCCCATTTCTCCAAGCCGTCGGCCGAGGCCCAGAGGATTTCGTTGAGCTGAGGGCGCGCATCTGGGTCAGCTGCGAGACATGTTCTGACGAGGATTTCCAGCTCAGGCCAGTAGCGGAATCTGCGCCCGAGGAACGTGGCGCTGGGTTTGAAAATGTCGATTTTCGGGTCGGACAAGTTGTAGAATTCTTGGTTCATCAGCTCGTACATGATCTTGCCCGTGTTCCAGATTGAGGCGCGGACGTCGATGGGGGTATTACGGCGGTTGGCGGGTGGGGGTTGGAACTGCTCCTTTGAGAGAATTAGCGTGTCATGGAGAGGTAGGTTTGCGGCGTTTGATGACTTACTGGAGGGCGACAGCCTTGGGTTCCAATACCCTTATATCTTACGGGCCTTGCGCTTTGCAGCTTTGAGGCTTTATTTGGATACTTGTTGTGCGCCGTGTGGCCGAAGTCGATCATCAGCGCTGTCTTGTAGGAGGCATACCAGTGGGGTGTTGGGCGGCCGATGACGACGTTACGAAGCTTGATGTCCACGTTCGTCAGGGGTCGCCAGCCAGCAGCTCTGGGTAGGTTTGCATTGCTCATCAACCTGTCAGCGAATGTGGGTTCGTTGTGGGCGACTGTGCGACCTGTATGCATCATATGCAGACACTCGGCAAGGCCGCGGAATATCAGCCAAAGCATTGGCTCTGGGAATTGGCGCTTTCTGGACGTTTTCAGCTGCTGATTCATTGCGATAGTAAACAGTGTACTCACTCGGGCTTTCTGCTTTTAGCACTTTCTATCAGGTCGTGCAAGCTGCCGTGTGGTGCCCAGTCCAGATAAAGGTAGCCAAGGCATGGAGGAACACTGTCCCGGTTTCTAAATGACCAGCCCCGTGTCTTTAGAACATTGTCACAAGCTTGCAGAGAGGCCTGGACATCATATTCCGCCCTTACGAAGGCGCGTACATTCTCCAGATTGTGTTCTCCTTGAACCTTGACAGCCATACGCTGCGGAAGGCATTAGTAGGTAACGAGTAGTATGAGTCTAAGCACTCACGTCTTGTACTTGTCCATAGTCATCGACACTGGCAAACAAATGCACGACTCTTTGGTAAGCTAGATGATTATTCGGAGGCTCAAGGTGATGGTGCGGGTTGCGATAGATGGTCTTTTCGTATCTCCAGTGACGACCATCTCCGGGTGCGGTACGGTCAGCTCGTACCTTGAGCAAGTCGTTGGCGGTTGGGAGAGGAAAGTCACCTGGCGTGGCTGCAATGCAAACGTGGCCGTCTGGTGGCCCCGTGTGAGGAACCGGGAATGTTTCCCACATATATCTACGGTGCCAGTTGTGCCCCATAGTTTGGTAGAATGTGAGATCCTTGGCGACTTGTGCAGCCCAGTTCGTGATAATCTCGGCCTCGAGGGTGGCTGTTCGTGTTAGCACGCGCTTCATCCCAATATCCGTATCTGCCTACCATCATTGTTGGCCCTGTCGGTCACCACAGTCCTACCAATAGCGTAGTTCTGAAAATGCCTCCGCTCAGCCACGTTAGCTTCGGGGATTGAATCATAATGCTTCTGTATCGCAGCACTGAGCTCGTAGTTCTGCTGGGCTAGTCGCGGATCAGGTTCTTTTCTCCCAGCTTTTATCAAACCTGGCACTGTTGAAGCTGGGTTGGCTCTACCATCCCAGATGTCCTGATAGTCTTCAAGATTTACCTGCACGACTGCATGATTGTTAGTAATGCATGGACAAGGGGACTGAAGATCTCACATTGAGACCAGTGCAAACGTTTTTTCCCTCGTTGGTTTGCACTATTCTGTGGCTCTGAATTATTGTCTAGCTTTATCCCAATCGAGTAGAGTCGGAAGTCCGCCTTATCGGCATCTGATAAAGCATCGCAATAGTGTTGATCCACCCTGTTGAATCCATATATCAAGTCCTGCTGGACCATGTAGTCGCCGACAGGGCCGTTGTTTGCTATCGGGCTGGCCATTTTTGTGAGTAGACGCCAGTGAAACCAGATCGACTTTTTTGTAAAGGATTCCGAAGACACGCGCCGTGTACCTGCTTTTGAACAGTCACGTTGATGGAGCGCGTCTTTGTCCACATGCGCTGCACAATGCCGTTGTGCTGCTTGACGACAACAACGGCAAAGAACGGCCTCGAATAGGGAACAATGTCTATTGTCATGGTTCTTTGTTTGTCATGAGTGACAACGGCGAAATGAGGTTATGTTGCGACGGCATGGACGAAAGTATCTGGCGGTACTTCGTAGGAAGCAATTCTCACAGAAGTATCAACGAGCTGAGAAATCATCAAGTCGCGCCAATCTCCCAATCCCACGCGCACACCCACAATCACCATGACCAAGCCCGCTTCATGTTCGAAGGATTTGGATTATCATTAACTATCTGCCGTCCTAAAAGACCGCATCATCTGTTCTATGTATATGCCCCATATTTCAAACGCCTTCCCATGCCCTATATCCCATCATCATGAACTATATACAACCCCCTCTCTTCTCTCTCTCTCTTTCTTAATCGACATCTCCTACCTCCTAACCTCCCAAACCAAATATGGCCCGATAACACACGCCGCCGTCCAAACAATCATCGCACTCTCGACCGTCAACACATACGGCGCCTTCCACACACTCTCTTCTTTCAACCTACACCACACGGCGTAAAATGCCACGCTGAAAAAGTGATACACGAGTACTAGCGGATTCTTGATCAACCCCGACAGCAAACCAGCAGGCTCGCTAATGTGCTTTCCTCCGAGCTGGAAGTACCTAAAGCAGCCATTCTTCAGCGCTTCGACCTGCGGGGTGTTTGCCGCGAAGAGCGAGTACAGCGCCATGGCGAGGATGTTGATAACTGAGGAGCCGGATTTGCGCGCCCAGTGGAATTGCGACATGGCAGATAGGACGGCGGAAGTGTCTTCGAGACTCGGTACGTTTGCTGGGGAGAGCAGGGTGGACAGCGTGACGACGTCGTTGAAGCCGACGGTCATACCACCACCGGTGAGCGGGTGGCGCATGTTCATTGCGTCGCCGAGGATGATGAGGCCGGGGGTCTTTTGCGTCTGTGGGGGCAGGAAGGAGTTGGGCATTGAGCGCAATTTTCCCGCTTCGATGGCGCGGCGGAAGGAGGGCTGCACGCATTCGGGCAGGTTGGGCAGCGCGACGTTGAGCATGTGGTTCTTCACACCGCCAGCTTTGACGCTGGCGCTGGGCAGGCCGTCGGGGATGTCGACGAGGATGCGGGTCTCGTGGGTGCCGATCTGGTAGATGAGGATGGGGGGTGCGTCGGTCAGGATCACGTGGCCGTGGTTGGGCATGGGCAGTTCGGCGTCGATGAGTTCGAGGCCCCAGAATTTGCTGCGGACCTCGGGCTGCTGGGCGATGTATTCTTTGCGGAACTTGGAGGCGTAGCCGTCGGCAACGAGTGTCACGGCGCCGAAAGTAGTAGTCTTTGTTGCCGGCGGTCTGGCTCTCCACACCCAGGACCTGGTTGTTGTATTCGCTCTTGACGATGTCGGTGACGGTGGTCTCGACGACGGTGACGTTTGGCGTGGCGCGGGCCTTTGCGCGCAGCTTGGAGATGAAGCGGGCCATGGTGGAAGGAGCGGCTCCTCTGGCGGGCTTGGAAGGGGTCTGATTCGACGAGGTTGTTGGGGTAGGCGATGCGTACGGGTTCGCGGTGGTACGAGACTTGGTAGCCGTAGCAGGGGATCGCATCGATGTCGTCGAGGCAGTCTGTGAGATTGTGTTAGCCTCCTTTCATACCGCAGCCACAATGGAGTATACACACCCTTCATGCCCAGCTTCTCCAACGCATTGACACCGCCCGGCTGTAGCAGCTCTCCCACAATCCGGTCAGGCTCCTTCAGGCTCTTCTCCAGCAATAACACGCTTCGGCCCTGCTTGCCAAAGGCCACCGCCGCCGCGCACCCGACAATGCCCGCTCCGACGATGACGACATCCGCCTCGTGGTGTTCTAACCGCCTCCTCTCCTGTGCATCTGCGGTGTTGATCGTCCCCGAGTTGGTGGTGGGCACTGAGGACGTCGACGTGCCGCGGTTGCGCAGATGCGGAGGCCGGAGTTGTGACGACGTCGGCGGCATTTCCGCAATCTTGGAGCCCGAAAACATGGTGAGCATGATGGGCAGATTGTGTGGTTGTGGTGCGTATTAAGTAGCAGGCAGTGGAGGAATGCGGGCGAGCGAGCCAGCGATTAATTGGAGTGAGAAGTGACAAGGCAGTTGCATGCAACTTTGTTTCGTAGATCTTGCTCAAAGAGTTGGTGTACAACGTCAAAACAGGAGCTGGTTCCAACTAGCTGCAGGGTCCGCAGCCTTGCGTTTCCCAAGTGGCGAACCCGCGATCTTAAATCGCCATGATCCGCCACCCCAATCGCGTGGCGGTGAGGCTTTTCTGCCAGGGGTACCGCGCCAATCACCCGCATCACCTGAGCATCATTTCATGCTGCAATCGCACGCTGGTCGGACCATGTCTGAAAGAGTCTTTTGCTGCTGTGGAAAAGTCACATGCGCTGATGTGATGGGAGTGCAGAAGGTTCCTGATGGTGTGGATGATGCAGCGCTTATCATGTCGCCCTTATGCGCAATGAACGTAGCTGCGACCATCGCCATTGTTCCGCGGAATCTCATAACTCGCAATGCATTCGTGTGCCATTCAAAAACTCTTCGATTCAATGGACATCTCCCTCTCATTCGCCCCTATCCCACCCCCTCCCATCCACCCCCAGCAAATATGTATACTAGAAATTAGAATATAAGTATATGTAAACGTATAATAATATGTGCTAAACGACAGTAAAAGAAAAAAACGGGAGAATCGTCGTCATCCCATCGTAGAAGGTTTCCCAGTTCATCGTAGCATTTTCCCCACGGGCGTCGTATATCGCGCGCGCCCATACCAGGAAAGAAAGACAAAGTGTGCCCCCAAACCTTGCCTTTGTTGCAAAAGAAAAAAAGCCCACCCCGAAAAAAAGTGAATCTGAAGAAACTCTGCCGAGTGCCGATCAGCCACCTCAAATCGGCACGCGGGAGATCGCTCCTTCCCACGTCAGCAAAGCCCAAATCCCAAACCTCCACAACTCCGCGGCACTCCTAGACAGACGTGCTTCTTAAAACGCCGCCCCAGGCCTCGCCTGCCCCATCGTCTTCGGAAACATCGGACTAGCCAGCGGCGTCTCGATCTCTACAATCGTACTATGCCGTCCCACAATGCGCTTCGCATCAACCGTTTGAATCGGCTGCATCTGCGAGTTGCGGTAGTACGCGTCGTAGAACTCGCTGAGTCGTTGTTCCTGGCCGTTGGGCGCAATGCTGAGGCGTGATGCGTCTTGTGCGGTGGGTGCGAGGCTGAGGCGTGAGTCGGGTTGATAGTAGAGTGCGGAGAGCTGCGCGTTGGGCTGGCTGGGTCGACGGTCGCCATTGTTCATCACCACGGACGTGCCTCTCGAGTCGTCGCTGGAGAATTCGGTCGAAGCAGCTGAAGTCGAGCGGTCTGCATGTTTCTGGTATGCCTGGTATGCGTCGAAGGTGCTCAGTCGCGTCTGGCTGTACAGACTAGCACTGCTATCACGCGTATGAGTCGGTGCCAGCTGTGCGTTCGGCGGCTTAGAAGCTTGAGAGAAAAGTCAGGATAGGAGTTCATCATAGATGCTTCATTAAATGCTAAAAATACAAAAACGCACCAGGGAAAAGTCTCTACCTACTCGGGTGCTCTACCCTTCCGCGGGGTTGATACGACTCTGTTGATGGGGAACGCGACTCTTTGCGCATTGCGGTCGATGGCAGAGTGGGAAGCCGGGATGCTGGAGGCGCGCCTGGCTGGGGAGGGGTAGGTGATTGGAGAGGCGAGTTGTAGTACGAGGCCGCCTGCGAGCGAGCAGGGTCTTGAACATCGTGGTATGTCACCTGAAGGGCGTCGGGCATTGGGATGATGGGAGTTGGTCCGTAGGATTGGGGGTGCAAGTCGGCGGTACGGGGAGAAGAGCTACGAGGTGTGTTGATGCTGTCGCTATCGCCATCATCCGATCCACCGAAAGTAGGAGACGGTTGGCGACTGTGACCAGGCGAAGGGGGGACTTGAAGAGACATGTCGACTGCTCCGTGCTTGCCGGTCAACTCAGCTTCGGATGGTCGTAGCTTCGAGGTTGGAGGAGAGTTGCGTCGGGAGTCGTTCTGGCCCAGGTGCAAGCTCATCACACTCGTGTTGGCAGAGTGTCCTTTCATCAATGGTGAGTTCACACTTCCTCCTACGAGCGTGCTGGTGCTCATAGTGCGCTGTCCAACAACGGATCCGGCCCTCGAAGTGGGGCGTGATTGAGCAACACCGGCATAGAATCCTGCCTCGATGGCCCGAATACCGAAGAGATCTCCTTCATCCTTCTCGCGTTGGTTGAGAGTGAGTTCTACAGTGTCTTCTTTCGGTCCAGCCTCTAGCTCCTCCTTCTTCACCATCTGCTTTAATCTACCAGATTTGTAAGCCAAAGTACTTCGACAAACAACATTAATACTGACTTTCTGCGATCGAAGAAGACCTTGATCAGACCTGCCACAAAGACCAGTACGAGCAGTCCACAAAATACAACACTGTTTTATTAGCTTGGGGTCAAGTCATTGTCATGGAGCCCTCACATGTACTTGTATGCCAGCTGTAGGCTGCCCGAAACCAGTTGCTCGAATTCTGCTTGAGAAGTAGACATCGTATTGGCAGACTGAAGTGAGCCCAGCTCAAATTAAATGTAATGTTCCGTCAAACGTCGTGATCCGTTGGTGTCGAGTATGTATCCACGGGTAGACTGTATGGCAGTTTGCGTCCTGGCGATCCAATGTAGTGAACTGTAAACAGTTCCAATAATTTCTCTCTTGATCCAAGAAGCTGATGTGGGTATTCCAGGTTGGGAAGTCGTAAATAGGCAAAAATGGTTGGAACACGGGGTCGTAATGTAGATGGAGCAAGGCAATATGCTGGTGCTAACGAGAGGACGTGTGAAATATCACACTGCGAGTGAAGACTGTAAAGCAGAAACAACTGGAACAAGGAGTGAGACTTCGGTGCGAGAAGCAAGAGGTAAAAGACCTTGCTTCTAGCAGGCGCGCGCCGCGTGCTTGAGTCTGGCGCCATGCCTATACTCGGCACGTTTACTCTGGATCTAAAAGCGGATGACGGCCTGGATCACGCTGCTAGGACCCGTAGCGAGGCCAGAGTCCAATCAAAGCATTGCAAGCTTTGCACGGTGCTCGAAAAGGAAGACTATTTGGGATGCTTTAGCTCATCTGGTAATGGCCCCGTTTGAGAGCGTGGATCCCGGCCTACCCATGAGAGCGAGCCCTGCTCCTGCGTCGGTGCTGGAAGAATGTGGAAAGTCTGTGTTTGTGTTTCAGAGTTCCCAGGCCAGCACCTGTTCACTCTGTTGCTGTGAGATCTGCTGCTGTGAGACAAACAACGCTCAAGCTGTCGATCAAAGACAATCGTGCTCTCGACCAGCAAGCAAATGCCATTGTCCCAGCAGGAAGGAACAATTGCCACTACCGCCAAAACTGTCTGATGCCATGTTGATGCTGAACAGGCATGATTCGCTCTTCGTCCCGTACTACCCCTGAAGCCGGGCGGGGGCTCCCAGAGGAACAGGAAAAGCGTTAGACCACACAGATCCGGCAGTCCACTATTGGAACCTTGGCAGGGGAAAATATCAGGCGCGTAACCCGAGCAGGTAATGCCAAGTGCAGCGGTTGGATCCTGCACAGCGCTTCTTTCAGCCTGATGGATCTGGCACGGGGATGAGGGTTCATTCTTCGCCTGCGCAAGCCACACGACCCGAGAGCGACCCACCCGCCCACCTGTGGCTTCCCTGCAGCTGGACAATAACGATGAATTCGAAATTGCAAACCCGTGATGGTATCCTCTCTGTTTGTTGCGAGTGTATGAAGTTGATATTGAGTTGCTGAAGGTGACACGGATTTCACGTGCGCCGCCACGCGCATGCGCCGATGGATCTATTGGCAACGTCTGACAGGCATGGCAAGTGTTTCACCGCATTGAAATCGGCAGAACTCCGTCAAAACGAAACTGCAGACGCTCGCTTGCGAGCAAGCGAAATCGGACGTATTCGTATTGAAGCACCGTGCAGCAATCACACCTGGTTGGCCGGATGAGCGGCTAGACCCTGTGCTGGGCGACGGTCGTCAGGTCGCGAGAGCGCAGACTCAACAACTGAGTAATAGAGCTCATCGCCTCCACGACAGTGTACTGCACTGCACCTCCGTGACTACCGAAAAAGCGTCGAACAGCTGCTCTCTTGAGCTATGGATCCATCCCTTTGTTCATAGCAGAATGGCTTGAGCCTAGATCTTGCTGGACATGACCGCCCGTACAGCGTACCGTTGCGCCTTCGACTCAGCGTTTCTCTGGCGGTGGGCATGTCTCCGCTTGCCACGACTCCATCGTCATGCGCGATCCGGCGTGCGCCGAGTCATAGCGACATAGGTGGCGGTCGCTACTCAAGCGAAAAGGAGTTGCTTGCAAACAATCGAAATTGCAATTGTCCAAAACGTCATCTTCGCCCATGCTCGCGGAGACCGATTAGGTTTCCGCACGGGATTTTGTGACTATCGATTGCGAGCTTCTACCCGAGAGACCGTGAAGATGACGGGAAAGGGTGATGATCCCGTGCGCCACGGAACTGGTGACCATCACAGCGCAGATTGTTTGCATGAAGTTAAGTTCCGACCGTCGATCTTGCCTGTCTGATTCGTACCGCTTGGACTATACCACGACTATGCTCTTTTTAACAATTATTGTTTTGCTGAATACCTTGATGATTCGGGGTTGGGTATTCACGTCGCGCTTTGGGCCGGAAAAGGTGTACATAAACTTGCGCAGAAGCACAGTGGGCTTGAAATGGAGCTTCGCGATTAGCTCGTGCCTGGCGGCGCTTGGTGTTGTTTGGAGGCAGCTGAGTTCGCTTCAAACAATATTTCTTAGCACATCGTCCAACGCGATGAGGACGGTGCGCCCATCCCTCGCGCAGAGGATTGCAGCATCGGCACAACTGCGGCCTGCATCGAAGTGGGAGAGCGACTGGCAGAGAAGGCAGTCGCAGTAGAGGTGAGGGGCTTGGGCGCGATGTCACGATCTTTGTCGTCATGAGTCTTTCGCCCCCCACCTTCAACAACCATACATTCTCCCTGCACCAGTCACAATCTGCATTCTGCTAATCTATAGTGCACCACGAAAACAAGATGACTACGTCTACCAATTCGTCCAACAAATCCAAGGTCCTCAAGACCGAGCGATTGGTCAGTTGTCAGCCGGCTTGCGGGTAACAAATGGGGCTAACCAATTCTAGGACACTGCAGATGCCAAATGGATGACCATGAAGAAGTACGTAAGCAGCCAATGCTCCCCACTGCCCAGGCTTACACCTTTCTTCCTGCTTGGGACACGTGACTGATCGCAGTCAGAATCACATACACCGATCCCGAAGGGACCGAACGCACTTGGGAGACGGCAGAGCGCCTCACTCGTCCCAAGGGGAGTGAAATCGATGCTATCGGCGTTGCAGCGATTCTTCACGATCCCCGCGAAGCCAAATGATGAGCCGCGTATCATACTCCAGAAGCAATGGCGAGCTCCCGTTGATCAGACCGTCATCGAGGTCCCCGCTGGCTTGATGGACCCAGGCGAGACACCTGAAGCATGTGCTCTACGTGAGCTAAAGGAAGAGACTGGATATGTGGGCGAGGTGGTGAAGGACAAGTCATTCGACGTGGTCGTCCGGTGATGTTTAATGGTGAGTTTGTTTGTTGATGTTTCCTTGTAGCTCGCTCTGCTCCGCACGATCGTCATGACACTCGCCTACGTTTTGTATGGCTTCATCCAATCTCGGCAGTATGCCTCTGTAAAGCACTGCCTTCATGGTATGCCAAGGCTTCAGGCGATGGAGACCCGCACTGTTCTTCATACTTCAAAGATTGAGTGTACCCCTGACTAGTTGTCCGTTGTACACTACTCGAATGGCACTATCAACGATCTAGAGTCTTCGAAAAATGCCACTTGATTTCTTGTTACTGTCCTAGTCATCGCGTCGATCGCGAACCTCATTTCAATCGGCCGGCGCCGCATTGACAAGGACAGCTTCTCTCCTGACACCAGACAGACCCGGGTTTTATGTAACACAAATTTGCGAATGATACACGTCACGGTTGATCTCTCTCTATCGGAGAACCAAGACCCCAAGCCAGAGCTTGAAGACAGCGAATTCATCGAGACTTTCCACGTACCATTGAACGACCTTTGGGATGTGTGTATGAAGTTTGAAAAGGAAGGTTATGCGATCGATGCAAGAGTTGGCAGTCTGGCTGAAGGAATAGAATATGCCAAGCGCTGGAAATTGTCATGAAGGGATCGTATGCGTTACGAGCACACATGGTTACGACAAACGCGATGACAGGCATGCATTCCAGGCTTTTCTCTAAATAGATTCCCACACCCGATTTACAATTTTCAGCCCAGTTGCGACCATAAGTGTGCTGTTCTACATGTTTTTAAGAAAACTTAGACCCGAGCTGAGTTTCTCATCTTCTGGCCTGTCTATCTACCTGAACGGACGGATTGCTTTTTTGTACTCCTGATACAGTACCGAGAAGACCATCGAGATACGCTACGATCGGGGCGTGTTTTACACATTCCAGGATACCTCCATGCCTGCCCATCGCCTTCTGCGACATTCTAGCGACCTGACTCGCGGTGCCCCACAGGAATACTCGGCTTTGCTACCCTTTATGAGATCGACTTTGGCTCTCACACCTCCAATTATAGTTCTATGGGTCATGTCTTTCGATAATCTGCAGCCCTACCAGTCGCAGGTCTACGTCCAGCATGTTCTTGCGCATCAACCCTTGTAGATTTCGTGAAAAGTAACTGGGAACAACCTTCGACCAACCTCAAACACCTGCCATGGTTCTACACAGTCGAACCGGAAGTGTTTGACCCATAGCTACCTCCAATCCTACGAAGCTACATATCTGCAGCCATGTCCTCGTTCCCGATGTTTCGATCTGTCTCTGTACTTGCGCTGGTACGCTATAAGTATGTCCTCACATCCCAGTACTGCTCAAGGACTCGTGAACCAGCGGGAATGTGTCGCCGTTGCCGCAGCACTGACTTCGCTTTCAGGTAAACCCTGATCTCCCATCTCAGTCTACTAAGGCTTACAATCCTGCAGTGATCATCGTTACACTCCGGGTGTATACTCGTGCTGTTATCGTGCGAAACTTTGGTCATGATGACTATGCTATGCTAGTAGCTCTGGTATGTCAATCATCGCAGCACAAAAGAAACTAGCTTACGCAAGTAGGTGTTGATCATCGGATACTTCGTTGCCATTATCGTGTTGAAAAACAATGGTCTCGGCTTCAGTGGCGAAGTGCTTTCACCAACGCAGATGAGGAACCAAGTGCAGACCACACTTGCCATACAGGTCATTTACTACGTTGTCATAAACACCATCAAGATATCTATACTGTTCTTTTACCTTCGCATCGGTACGTCTATTGCTCATCTTGGCGAAGCAAGACTAATGAGCTAGCCAGCTGCGCGAAAGCGATTAGAAGTACTCAGCAAAGGCACCATTGGCTTCTTAGCAGCGTTCTGTTCCATCTGCATCATCTGCACCCTTTCGCAATGTATCCCTCTCCACAAATTTTGGGACCTGACAGGTACGGCACCAGGGACGTGTAGTATCGACGCCACAGCGCTCTTCTACGGTGAGAAGTACCATCATCCAAACCCCGCATCATACTGATACCACACAGCAACAAGCTCAATCAACATCGCAATCGACATCTGGATCCTTGTGCTCCCGATAACCACTCTCCTCAAAGTCCAACGCCCCACACGCGAAAAAGCCGCTCTAGTCGGCATATTCAGTCTCGGCGTCTTCAGCACCATCGCGTCAATCGTTCGCCTCCACGCAATACGCATATACACCGAGTCCAGCGACCCTTTCTTCGACAGTGTGCCAATCAATCTATGGAGCATGGTTGAAGTCAACGTCGGCATTTTATGCGCTTCGATCCCGTCGCTTAAAGCGCTGTTTTCCTCAAGCCAGCGACAAAGAAGCAAGAACGGTGCCGGGTATCAATATCACAGTCGGGGGAAGAGTGGGGTGCAGGATGACACTGCGGAAAGCGAGTCTGTCAGACTGCATGATGTGCATCATGCACCAACTTCGGAGACCTAATCTTACGAGAAGGTGGTGTGACGAAGGTCATTCAGATTGCAAAACTCCTGTGTAAGTCTACAACAAGTAATGATCGCCACTCGTTTTTCCAGAACTGGTCGAGAAGATTCGCCGATACGTGACCGAAACGGACAACAGACTCGCCCAGAGTTTGATGTCGTGTGGGTCGGGATGTGGTGCATTCAACGGTCAGACATGGGTGTTGGTGAGGCTAAGCTGCAATCGGGCCGTTCCCCGCATTGCGGCAATCGCAGGGATGTCGGCTTTGTCGTGTTGTTTATTTACCTGGATGAATGGACGGACGGATTGTTTTAATTTATGGTACTGTAAACACCGCAAGTCCTAGGCTGCAAAATCGTTTTTCACGACTCAGTTGGAGGATTCATGCATGCAAATTAAATGCTGTACTAGGACGATGGTTCAATGTCGGTTGGAGAGAACTTGCATATGCACGAGGACAGAAGGGGTGCGTGATTGTCAACGGTCGCTTGCAGGATGACGCGCAGCTCGTGTGTGAGGTAAGTGGTAGATCGGCGAGCGTAGTTACGGAGCAGATATCGACAAAGAGGAGGGATGGGCGTGTCTTCGGGGAAAAGAGGAGGGAAGATAGGAGGTTGAAATGCGCGATGTATCGGTGCATGAGTTGCGCTGCTGACTCCGATGAAATTTAGAAGCTAGAGTTTGGATTATGTACCAGTGAGTCTCTCGCAGCTAGTAAACTGCAAGTCCGTTATCGGCATTATGATATGAATTCCGCCGCATCACCTGATGCTTTGTTCCCTAAAACCGGAAACGATCTGGGAGAGCTCCAAAATACCCGTCTAACCTTGCATCTGTGTCTCTGGCTCCAGAAAAAAAAGGGATGGCATTCCATGACGATGTTAGACCGAGCAGTGTGGAGTACCTTGTTTTCGATTGTCATGTCTTAATGGTTACATTCAAGCCTTCATGAACTTGGTGGAGTCATCTAAAGTATTGGACTCCAAGTCTCTGTACTTTGGCCACCGAGTACGTCAGATTGCGAACTTCAAAGCAGTATGATATAGCGATTACACATTAGAATTCATTAGTGCTATCCCTTAACCGACTGCTTGCATCTCGAAAGCAGAAGTACGAGAAGTTGTTTTGACAAGGTTCGACGAATCAAAGATTGTGAAATGCGGCCGTATGAGCTGGATGTATTGCTGTACAAATCATGAGTTCGAACACCGTAAACCTTGCCACAGCAGCAGCCATAAACCTATTTATACATACAATCCTCTCCTCTTTCTCTTCTTCTCAATCACACCTGGGTTTTGGATCCGCCAAATTTTGTGATTGACGCACACATGACCTGCTCCATTCAAACGAGACGGATGTTATTGGCATGTGTAGCTTGCGCTGTCTTTTCTGTCCGATAGTGGACTACAAAATGAGATTGCATCATCGTATGAGGGAGACTTTTGAATTAGCAATGATATGAGCGGCTCTAACCCTTGATACCTCCAAATGTCTAAGACAATGTCTGGATTTGAACGCCGAACGAAAATGCTACAACACCCATCATGCATGTAAGAGGCTTCTCATCTCGAAGTTGAGAATTCCTTGAGGCACCGTACCCACTCGTACCTTGACCTTTTTTCTGAATATTTCCAAAATGAATGAAGGCAGTTGACATGTTCCCTTCCATCAATTTTGGGCTGTGTGTGTGTGTGTGTGTGTGTGTGTGTGTGCGTGTGTGTGTGTGTGTGTGTGTGTGTGCGTGTGTGTGTGTGTGTGTGTTTTGTCTTCCGGCCCACAACAGTTGCGTTTGCAAAATGCATCAAAACTGAGACTTAATGCAGTCAATGTCTCTTCTTTGGTCGTAACTTTGACAACACCTGTCTTCGGTTGCCATGTCTCTCTGAGGGTTCGTGCACTATATCCCCGTCTATGTGTATTATGCTCAGCAATAAAATTCGACCATACAATTTGCATGATTCAAAATATGCAGTTGCAGCTACGTGTCGCATGAGGGCTCTAGCAGTTTTCTACAAAAGAGAGAGGATTACGTGACCATGCGCGCTCTCTTGCATTCGTCCAATCATGTATGTAGCAGTGTCCAATCTTGAAGGATCACTTCTGCGCTCTTTGCTAGTGACTTATTGTTGTGAAATGTTCGTGGAGTCTTGAGTCCGAAGTAAAATACTGCATAGCATAGGCTCTCATTCCGCTCTAAATTAGTGACCGTAGCCATAAAAAACATTCCAGCTCATCCTGCAAGTACCTGCCATCATCCCTCCGTCGTCCTCTCCTTCCCCTCCTTCACTATCCCTTCTAACTCACCCACCAACTCCTCAAACTTCTTCATCACCGCCTCCGTCCCCATCGTTTCTTCCGACACCAGACTCGTAACCATCTCCATCGATGGCAGACTCCCACTCAACCCTCCATGCGACATCCCCCTCGTCGACGCAGGAATCATCGTCCGACTCACAGGTATCCTGACCGGGGCAGCCGTAGCCTGCGGTCCATTTGACGTCGCCGCCGCCGCGGGACTCGCCGTAACTGTGACCGTATCGTACATGAACTTATGTCTCCAATCCTTCAACCCCGGATTCCACACACTCCCATTAAGTTTACTCCTCACCTCCCCGGGCGTATATACCGGGCCGCGGATTATCCCAACACCTGATACAATAACCACGCGACCGTCACACTCGTCGCGTTTGGGTGCACAAACGGCCAACTCGCCACGAGACCGATTTTCCGCTTAACACCATACTCCGTGTACGGCCAGTCTCTGGGCACTTGGGATAAGTACTCTGTTGGAATCGGTCCGTCGGACGACAAGACGGTTTGCCACCACGGACTCGCCGGCCCGTCCGTGGCGCGATTCATGCCGTCGATCCACATGAATTCGTCGCGGAGGGAGGGCACGAGCGCGGTGATTTGCACAGGCATGTTAGTAAACAATGTAGGTGCATCGAATCCCGCCATGAAGCTGAGCAAGTGGTCGAGCAGGTCGTATAAGCTGGGATGGTCGGTGTGGCAGAAATCATGTACTTTCCAGATGAAGTTTTGCGCCGGCGTGTTGGGTGTTTCGGTGTCGATACCGACGTTTTCAAAACATTGGAGGCAGGCATACATGGGTGTGTCGGGGGCCGGCGAGACCTTCGAAGATTATGCTGCTTGGTGTTAGTTTGGTTGGATATGTGTGGGGGGAAGGGGAGGGACGGACTCTTTGTATCCGCTGTCCTCGCAGAAGTGGGATTGGAAGACGTGGCTTTGGTCGCTGGTGCCGTTTTGGCCGCGTTGGTTGGGGTCTTTCATGTCGCCGCTAAATTTGTAGGCGCTGGCTATGTCGGTGACGAATTGGGCGCAGGACTCCGAGACCCAGCAAGCTGCCAGTGTTGGTGTTGGGTCTGGTGGCGATGGAGTCCCCGTCCGCTTTACACTGGTTCGAGTCGTGGAAGATAGTGTGGAGGGCGGTGTGGAAGATGGCGTGGGAGACGGTGTGGGAGACGGCGTGGAGGATGGCGTGAGAGTAGTCGATAGCATAGGAGTAGCAGAGGATGGCATAATTGTAGGGTCATTCATTCCGCTTGTCCAAGTGAACTTGTCACCAACTTTACCGGGTATATCGGTCATCTCTAGACGCCCGCCACTGAACGAGTCTGGCGCTCTCCCCGCTCGCATAAAGAGCGTCAACAAGTTCAGAACTTCGTACTCATTCGGCCATTTGGTGTGGCAGACGTTCCATACTTTCCACTTGAATGTCATTGCAGGGCTCTGCGGGTCTTTGACCTCCAGGCCCCCATTGGCGAGGCAAAAGAGACATGCATCAAGACCTTGAGATGAAGCACTCAGTTCCTCGAATTTAATGCTGTGTCTTGATCAGCGGGACTCATGCATAGGAATGGGGACTGCTGACTCGCTGTACTTGCGATTGACGCATAGCTCTTTCTGGAAAATAGTACTTTGGAAGCGTTCTTTGCTCCCGTCTCCTGGGCTGGGTTCAACCAGCTTTCCACCGGCGACGTAAGCTGCGTTGAAGCTATAGACGATTGCCATACACTCGTTGCTCCAGCAGGTCATGGAGGTTGCCTGCGGTGGTGCTATCTTACTGTTCCGCGCAGACTCTGTCGATGCCCAGTTGGCATTAACAGACGTTGAAGGAACATTCGACCGAGCAGAGGGTGGAGGTCCGTCATGCAAGAACCGGGAAAGCGTTGTCGCAGCGTTATCTGACAGAGACGCCCCATGTACCACCAAGCCCAGGAAACACACTATGGCCGCTGTTGATGCGGAGAGGTAATGCATCGTGATGATGGTGCTGAAGGTATGTAGGCAAGCCCCGGTGTCTGTAGTTTCCAGGCGCGATGATGTGCTGTTAAGAAATCAGGAGAGGGATTTTTGAAGTCGCTGCAGGATACGCCTGTTTAAAAGCGATACTCCACACCAACTTAGGTCCTCTTGAACGATGCAGCACCCGAGTGTATATGTTCACGTCGTTGGGCGTCGTCGTTCACAGACGACACGAGACACCTACTGCGTTCCCGTGAAGCGCGAACATGCTGTTCACTCACATTACAAACACCGCACTACAAACACTGCACCCAATCTCGACGTAACTCCTGTAGCCCCACTGTATGGCTCCTCTTCGCGTTCGCAAGGTGACATCAGCATTCCGAAATCCAGCGCAGGTCGTGGGAGAAGGAATGAGAAAGAGCGTAGCTCGTATCGCACCACATTGCGCGCATGATTACCAAATGCAGTTGTTATTAGATACATATATAATGCTGAATACTCTCCGCATCATCATGAGTAATCTGAGACATGTAAGTAAGCATCGAGGTCTGCAAGGCGCAAGACCGGCGAAGATGAAAGTGCCGTTGAGAAGAAGCAGGAAGCGTGATTACCGAATAAGCCCTAATGCAATATGAAAAGATGCCGAAGCAAACAGATAGTAACAGAAATACCAATATTGATGTTCGAAGGAAAAGAAGAAGCAGAAAGATCGGCAGACGCGCCAAAAATGCCCAGAAAAAGCAGACGCAAAAACAGACCATGGAGAGACATGAAGACAAGACGGCGCGTGCTTGTGTTATCGTATCAGAAAATCTCTAAACCTTCAAAACCTACGCATAGGTTCCTGTTCCCAAACGCGTTTCCGCCATTCCTCTGATCATACGTACTGAACCCAAAATTCGCCGGCCGACTCGCATACACGCCCACGCGCACGGCCTTGTCCTCAACGCCCCAGAAGAACCAAGTGATTTCGCGCAGCTTCTTCCATCCATGAGCTCCGTCCTCGTACCAAAGCCACAGCGCGCATCCGATGCGTTCAAGTTTGACGCGCAGATCTGAGCGGTTCGCGTGATGTGAGGAAAGCGGAGAAAGGGCCCAGTCTGCGCCTTCGCTTGTAGCTACGACGGAGGTCGCGTGGCATGTGTTGTTGGAGAATTCGAGGCCGACCTTGACCCATTTGGCTGGGGGCACGGGCTGGAAGTATGGCGGCGGGGGGCTGCTTCGTCCTCGAGATTGTGTTTGCGAATTCGACGGGTCGTCGCTATCTTCGTCTAGGGAAAGCGAGATAACGCTCGGGGGTTCCAGGTCGGGCGCGGGCGTGGTCATTCTTCCTGGCGGTGAGCCGGCAAAGATGACGAGCCCACCCTGATCCCATTCGATTTTCCAATCTGCTGACACTGTCACTTCGGCGGATCGGAACGGGTCGCGCAGCGCCGTGTAGAGGATCGGGGCAGTCGATGTGTCTCGTGAGGGTGGCTTTCTCCACAGATCGGTGTTTGGCGGCGCGGCAATGGTGAATGAGTCCATACATTGTGGAACGACGTCGTGGGCAATGTTCAATGGCATGAACGAGGAGCTGGCGGGTGGCATGGTCTCCGAATCGCAGTCTTCGCTGACGGGTTTCGCGATTATGGTTTTGCTGGAGAATCAGCTGCCAGAGCTCTATTTGCTTTTGCTGTCGAAGCTTTCGCGTCCGGCTCGTGTATATATGTAGTAGATTCCGCCAGCGCCCGGCAAAGTACCCCCGCTGCGAAAAGCTGGCGAGATGTGTGCTGGGTATTGTCTAGTCTCGTGCAACCTGGAGTCGAAAGGTCATTCGCTTCGTGGGTGAGAGTTGTTGCAAGGATCCCCAACGGCGCATGTAAGCTCCAAGCTGACACGGGCAAATTAGGGCACCACACCAGATCTGCAAAGAGGATCGTGAGCTCGCGCAAATCTGTTTAAGCCTGTTCCGTCGTCAGCATGTACGCTCGCGCTTAAAGGCCCACGATGCAGGTGCCGAGAACGCCTGTTTTCAATCGACGAATGCTGTTTCGAGTAACTATCCGCATTCCGCGCCTTTTTATGCGCGCGGCTACGCTGCTTACTTTGACCTGGGGCGAAGCGGCGTGGCTTACCCGAGTCTTGAAAGATGACGGTTGCAGAGCTGCTATGCCTCGACGCCGGAACTCGATCAAATCAGCAGGCGAAAGTGTGCAAGCGGCGCTGCAAACGCGTCGAGCACTAGAACGTGTGCCTGCGCGCTTGCACGATATAAATACTGGTCGGGGCGGAAACGACAGTGCGGACCTTGGCTTTGCGTGCATGGCCGCGAAGCCCTGAGCTGAGGTGCTTCCCGCCACGCTGGGGGACAGCAGCTATGCGTCCCCATCACGAAACGGAGGGCGATCTTGTCGCTCCATCGTGCGGCCTTATCCTGGCGGGGTCATGAGATGGCGAGAGTATATTTGTCGATGGTGAGGCAACGCGCCTAGCAGGGCAGAGTGAGGTGCAGACGGTGGAATGGTCTAGGTATCTGTCGGGATGCTGCCGCTCTCCGCGCTACGTGGAGGAATGGCCCCGTCGTCTAGCCCACGGCCCTCGAGGAGATGCAGGTGGCTCGTCCTTTCGGGCGCTGTGCAGATGCAGTGCGTTGCAGCAATGATGAGTTGTCGTCGTGGAACGAGGCAAGCCAGACATGTCGTGCAGATTTTGCAAGCATTTCCTGCAAGCAAGCGTAACAGCGAGCAATTCATTGGAGGACACGTCTGTTGTCGCAATTACGTAGTGTCGTCAGCCCAAATAGGCAAGTTTTGAGGGACCCCATTGCAGAGCATTAATTCGACAGGCAATCAAGAGATTCAAAATCGCCCGTCTGACAACGCAGAGAGACGAAACCTCAACAGTTTGAACAAGACTTGGTGTCTTTCTCGCGAGACCATATGCAAATGTCTAGGGTGTGGTGCGCGAAAGGTCAAACTTTGTTACATCGCAGGCGGATGTGGCTTTCGGGAGCATCTCCTACTGAGTAGAGATGCTACGCTCTCCTAACCTCGTGTAACACAGGTCACTCGCATCTCGGAGCTGCACAAGGAGTTGAGCGCAATTGGCATTCCGCGGGCACATACTCAGGCAGCATCCTCTCTGTCAGGTCTTCGCATTATTGGTATCGTATTTGTTTTGTACGTGGAATATCAAGCAGCTACCCACCGCATCGTCTAACATGTTGATCCCTAGCGTAAAGGATTTTTGATACTTGATTAGGTCAAGAGCCATTGTGTTGGTCTCGGCCCTGACTGAGCTAAATGACACGATGGCATGCAGGTCGAGACTCAAGTGTTCCCGTCGCATTGCGCAGCACGCTCACGAACGCCGAGAGTCAACCTTCGTGTCATTACTTTGTAATTGTTCAAAAGGACCATTCTTTCGTCGCCATCAGGATGCATTCAAGTTGAGATGCCATGCCAAGCTTGCTTGTCGCGTACTCGTTCTTGTGAAGGAAGAAAGCCATGATCGGGTGTTGGTATTGCAGCGGTCTAGCATCTGGGGCGCAACGATCATGTATGCTGCCGACCATACTAATGCATCATTCAAATACTGTGTGATCGAACTGCTGCGGATTCAGTCACTCATAAAAACGATGTGACATAGTGTTGACCACTTCGGCAAGTCGTCTTACACAGCAGAAAAAGCATGCGTGAACGGGTACACCACGTTGCCTAGCGATCCACAATTGCCCAAAGTATTACTTTAGTACTGCTGTGCCATAGAGTTGATGATTAAATGCGCATATCCAGAGCTAGTCGAATAAGCTCCCTGGTTCGCGTACCAAGTTGAGCGACAGATAGACGTTCGTTTGACGATGCGAGATGAAGCAACAGACTGACGATCTCTGGGACAGACGCAGACCATACCCAGAGCCAAGGTAGTCGGGAATACTCCCCAATGTTGGTTCAAGGTGATCAGGACGCCTTTTAGGCACGAGCCTAGGAATCATTCTTGCCCATCGCAGCCATGATCCACTCATCACATTTTGTAGAGACTGTCTTTTGAAGCTTTGCATGTAGCCACGGTACATTGCACTGTTCGCTTCGCGGTTCCGAGAATTCAATAGTGTGGGTAGTACAACAGTGGGTAGCCCTTTTCGTGCAGACAGCACGACTTTCCACTTACGAAAGAATTAAAGACATTCTTTTGGGAGTGGATTCGCGCAAGTGCAGATGGAACTGACTCTGCATCTACCAGTAGGTTCGCTGTAGATGAAACATGTAGGCGGTTTATTGCACCTGATTACCTCCGGCCGGCCTTGGTATTAGTGCTCCAGTGAAGCCGCCGCCTCAAAACAACGACCATGTATGATCTTTCGGATTAGGCAAGTTCCGTTGAAACTGACACGATGAAATTGACCGAGACACAGTCAGGTTCATGGCCAGACACGGTAGCTAGTATGAGGAAAGCGGGATGAGGCGATGTATCGTCTTAAAGAAGGACCGACTGCGGGAGAAAAAAGCGGAGGGACCCATGCGAAAGTCAGGCCGTCTCTAGAGAGTCATGTACATATTTCACATGTCTACGCATGCTTGCGGTAATCCTTGAAGGCTGTTTGTTCCTGATACGCATCAATTGCGTAGAATCGTCATTTTGAAGTGTGTGAACACGATGGCATCATCTCATAATCGCATACCTCTCAAGCGATGACCACAGAGTTTTGTACGAGTATCGACATGCTGGCGAGGATCGTTTGAGTGGGTACTGCAACGTTCGGTTCTTTGCTTGATACGTAAGGTGGGGTCTGTACCGCGATTTGTGGGACACGTAGTACTTCGAGGCAAGTGATCGACACAAGTCGTACGATGTAGTACACGGATTCCAATAGGCTGTGGTGTGTGAAATTCATAGAGAAGATGGATAAATCATAATAGACGCTGAAGCATGGAAGGCCCATGTAATTGCAGATTTTCACTCAGCCTAGCCACTTGCCTCGTGGGTCGGGCAGGACTCATGGACAGCTGTTCAATGAAACGTCAAACGACCAGTTAAAAGGGAAAAATGTCTTCGCGACGTCAAGCGGAGATTGGGCGCAACCACTTGTGTTCGCCCATTGAGCTGCTCTGGTGATGTGACAGTCTAAGCGTGTTTTAACAGGGCAAGAACTCCGAGTATAGTTCTTCGGGTTCTGCTATAGCCTGGGCAGATCAAGACTGCCGATATTCCCCACTCATTCTGGCGACGAATGACCAGATGAACGAATCCTGGTCTGACAGATGATAAAATCCCCGAGCCGAGATTTAAATTGATTGCACGGTCGTTGAAGTAGAGGAAGGAACCGAAACGCACTGGCATATACGATTGGCATCCGAATCAACCGTTTCCAGGCTCTCGGTTCGTTCATGGTGCTGCTTACGCGGCGATCATATCGCTCCAACAAAACAGGTATTGTGAGAAGTGGTGATGGCGACTATGCGACGCTGTCGCAGTGCTATCATTTCTGTAGGCGGCAGGAGATCACTCCGTTCAACTTTTGCACGTGTCGCGACCCCGAGGCTGGGCTCATGATGTTGAGTCATCATGGCCTGGGCGCCGCTTACGATATACCTTTATCGGACGTGGTAGCACAAGAGATGAAGCGCAAAGCTGCAGTCCTTCTGCTGCAAGGAGCTCATCGAATGAGGTTTCAGGACGGTACTGTAGCTGATTGAAGTTTTGAAGGAAATGAGGCGCCTTCTGTGGGCGAATAGCTTTCTCGTACGAGTCCCAAGTCTGTAACTCAATGATGAGATAGCCACCAGATGACAGAGACGATGCACATTTCCGAAAGAACGTTACAAGACCTTGGTCAAGATGTTCCAAGTGGATCCACTTTATGACCTGGATGTTCTTAGATCACGCCGGCAAACGAGGCGTTATACTTACACTTAAGGCTAGGATCACGTCGTAGGGACCTGAGCAATCTTGGTCAATCGCCCAGTCCGCGGAATGAAAGCGCACACAGGGCCATGACGAATGGGGCGACGCGAAAGTCGAGCCGCGCAATGCGTCGTTTTGCGGCTCAATGTAGCCATGGTCGAGCACGGCGGACATGGGAAACCAGTCGACGATGCGCTCAGAATCCTTTGTCGGAGGCCGCGTCCGCGACGCGCGAAGCGCAAGAAGCTTGTTGGCTTGTCCAACGAGTTTCGGGTCAATGTCTACCCCAGTGACTGAAGCAGCGTGGAAATCGAAGGCTGTGAAATGGCCAATATCAGCGTCTCAAGAGGTATAATCGCTTGCAGCACACGGACAGGGGTTCTCGTTTCGCTTACCTAGCTGACAAGTTACGCCACCCGCATTGCAACCGATGTCTAGACAGTGCTTGGCAGTGAACAGATTCGGAACTAGGTCTCTGGCGATCAACTGGAGTCTCGGGTCTACGATATGGATGGCTGATCCTGCAGGCCTCGCTGGGCCGCTATAGTCTTGGACTGCAGTCAGTGGAAGAAGCAGGGCAGCAAGTGCCGCACAGCGTCGGCTTGGAGGGCGAATCTCGAGATGAGCTCACTCTGGATATGACATACCACTATAATTGCCCCACCGCGTAGCCATGCTGGCAGTAGAGGGGAGAGTGATGCAGCCAAAGCGCAGATGGTGTCGGCGGAAAGTTCCTGAGCGTCGGCCTGCTAATGAGCGCGGTGGGCAGGTGACGATGTGATTGATGCGCAGTCGAATAGCGCAGAGAATGTCTGGACGCAGGTGGGACGGGCGGTGAATGATTGACGGTGAATGGTGGATGGCGTGGGCCTAGCAGCGGCAGGTGCCTTCCAGGCTTGTCGAGGACGCAGCTTGGAGCTAGTACCAACCACACTCAATCCTGACCGCAGAATATCTCGGTCCAGGAGAGAGAGATGCGCCGCAGCGAAGGATGAGCGAATTCGGAGATGCAACCGCGCAGGGTAGTACCGCGAATGAACGGCTCAAGGGTGTCGTAGTGTACCTGCGTGGGCGACCGAAGCAGAAACAGAGACGAAGAAATCAATAAGACTTGCACTGCTAGCGCTATAGCGAGTGCAAGGATGCCGTGACACTGTTTATCCAGATGCGAGACGAGGACCCAGGTACACCGTGCAGCCGGTCGACGTGTGGTGATGCTGTATGGCAAGCGACCAGAGGTTCAGGAGCGAGTGCAGGATATGTCACGGGACATGGGGGAATGCTAGTGCTGCAGCAGAGTGGGTTGCAGGCTGTCAACACCATCTAGCAGGACAGTACACAACGCAACAATAGCCATGGTACTGTGGACGACGATCCACCGCCGATGGTGTCTTGGTGTGCATGTCCCGATCCAGGGCATCGCTCGAGGCACAGAAGAAGGACACACAGATTGGCTTCCAGGGCACAGCGAGCGCTGCTTGTGCGGCTAGCGTGGCAGCAAAGAGTGGTTGATGTAATTGCGCCTCCTCCTCACCAACTGCCGCCCATATGAAGCTCCTGGTCATGTCGTCGCGACGTTCCACGATCCCATGACCATGACGGCCTGTTTCAATCTCCGCCCACTCTGTCTGCGTGCACCCTCAGGCTCCCGATGGCGGTGCGCCTCCAGGCAGTCCAGACAGCCCAGGCGGAGGCCCACCCACGGCCAGCAAGCCACATGCCACATGCGAGCCCTGGCGGCTGTGACCGTTGCCAATACTCAGTCCGGCTCCCAGGTGGAGGCAGACGTGTCTCACGTCGTTGATTGTGGTGCATGAGGGCACATCCACAAGCCCGGTAACAGGACCGCCTCCTGACTGGTCTCTTCGCCGGCGTTTTTGGGGCCTCGTCGATGGCGGGCCGGGGACTGATGACTGAGGGACCAGGCCGCGCTGCGAGTGTCCATGTCAGTGTGCAGCAGCCCGCCAGCCCAGCCCGCAGAGGGAAGACATGCCAAAAATCGCCGTCTACCCGCTGCCGCCGCGCTGCTGATTGGCACCAGCCTGCAGTTGACAGATCAAGCGATCGAGCAAGCCATCCTTTCTGCTTCGAGCGCCGGCCGCCCTCGCAGATGCTGGGCAGCCTTCGCAATGCTACCTCCGCTCCACGGTGCCCGTCGACCGAGTTACGTGGTAATCTGGCATATTGCTCCATATTGGCTGCGGTCAGGTTACAGTGTGCGACCCCTGGCCCGCCTTGATTCAATCGACCAAGTTTCGCAGGCACGTCTGTTTGTCTTTTTACCCGGCCGCGAGCCTATTCGGCGACGCCCCACGAAAATACAGCCCGCCAGTTGGGCCACGAGAGCTCATGTTTCGGAGCAATGAGCGCTGCAAGAGGCCCGCTGCTGCACATGCACGCGGCGCCTGTTGAAGAAAGCAAAACAGTGGGTGCTGCTGCAACACAAGGGCCAGCATCACCCTGCCAGCACCGCGAACACCATCACAACCACCACCACCGCCAGTAGCATCTACCCCCATCGCCCACCGCCAAACACGCAGCCCGCGCTACTCTATCCAGCACCGCACATCGGTCACGCCAGCCTGTTTCTGTTTCTGAACCTGGGGATCTTGCCCTGTCCGCCAAGCATCCGGATCCACGCAGCGCGCAGCTGGTCCTAGCTGCACTTATCACTTTCCTGGCCTATTTTATGCTCCGAGCCGGCTACTCTTGACGGTTGTTGGCGCGAGGCTTGCAAGTGAGCAGGGTGTGGCGGGCTAATCCCCGTCTGCATCCTGTTCACTTCCCGGGTGCCGTTGTCTTAGCATGTCTGAGCGCCTCCGCCTAACGTCGACGTAACTGAATTGAAGCGTCCGTACGGCGATCTGGCTGCTGGCGATCCAGATAGTCCAGGGTCGCTACAAGGGCACTCTGAACTATAAACCTCTCACGCCGCCACACTCGAGGCAGTGCCCACATTCCTGACGTTCCTGTCCCACACTGCACGACGCCCTGGCGCTCCCAATCTGTGAAGGAGCCTCCGAACTGAACACAAGTGTTGGTCCCAATGCGGCTTCGTGCATCGTGTCCAGCTTCGGGCAAATAATAATACACGCATGTCCCAACCACCTCCACCTCCGCCGCCGTCGCTCCCTCCATCCAAACCACCTCGCTCAGCTTCAGATATGACTGAGACTCAGAAACTTCCTCACTTCTCTCCGCCCGGCTTCCACGACTATCCCCACCGGCGATTACCCCCGCCAGTTCTGCCGCCGCTGGATATTCCGCCAGACGCTGTACCACCACGCACAGATTACCAATTCCGCTCACCCAACAACCAACTTCCCTCCATTCACTCAGGACTGCCACCACGCCACGATCAGTATCAGCCTTTTGCCGCCCATAGGTCAGCTGCGCCAGTAGAGAAACTTCTCCTCGCAAATCCATATACCCCACCTCGGTCCGACCCGCCTTATTCTCCCCAGCAATATGGCCCTTCCATATCTCCTCGATCTGAGTTCGACAGCAGAGGTCCAAGACGCTTAACCGAGCAGCGATATCCATATGAAGAATCCCGGCACATACAGCATCATCCCCACCACGAACAGTCCTACTCTACCCTTGCGTCTCCAGTCGAACATTCGCAGCAAAGATCGTATGGTCCGATCCCTTCACCAGGCTATACGCCTAGCTATGCGTCGAGCAGTACTCCATTCCGAGGCTCGATAGGGTCACATCCCCAATCACAGCGCGGCTCTGTAGCGGCTCCCTTGGGATCGGTAGCGTACCCCGATCCCTCCACGACAGGACCTCCACCCCGGAAACAGTCTCGGCCTATCCCATTACCTGGGTCCATACCGCAGCCTGTCTACAACGAGCAACTGTAAGCATACCTCGCGTCTAAATAAGGAAACAAAACCCGGCTGACACGACTGACAGGAATCTAAACTACGAGCTTCGCGTGCGACAGCAGCCTATCGCTGCCCGAGCGTGTGGCTTTGGAGAGCGCGATCGACGCGTAATTGATCCTCCGCCAATCATTCAGCTACTAGTCACAAACCCCAAGACAGGCGTAGCAGAACAGGAAGAGCTCAGGTACTCGCTTAACGTCGTGCATTGCACACTCTGGAACGCGGAAGGTACTAATGAGGAGACTGCACTTATCCAGCCTGATCGACGGACGACACGGAGATTGATGGGGCAACTGGTGGCTTCGCCGTCGGTGGCCAAGGACGAGCATGACGTCGAGGGCTGCTTCTTCTGCTTTCCAGACTTATCTTGTCGTACGCATGGCAAATACCGGCTGCGTTTCGTTCTCATGCGCATTGACCCTATGAACCTCCACGTTGGGGGCTTCTCACCGATCCTCACAGAAGTGCTGAGCGACGTCTTTACCGTCTACACGGCCAAGGACTTCCCGGGGATGCGTCCAAGTAGTGCTCTCACACGGGCACTAAAGCTGCAAGGCTGCAACATCCAAGTGAAGAAGGGCAACGAAAAGGCTCTCGCTCGCAAACGTCTCACGGCCAGCCAGGAGCACGACGCAGAGGACGAGGACTTGAAACGACGGCGACGAGAGTGATACACCATCTCAATATCTCTTACTCCATACCATCCTATTCTTACCTATGGCATATCACCGACAGCACGGGGCGGCGCAACTGGTATTTCGACTATCTGAAGCATTTTTCACAGATATCGATATTTTGCATATGACGACCCTTGACGAACGAATCTCTCATTCTCACCTTCTGGCAAGCGGCGGTATTATCTTGTTCTGGAGCGCACACGCACACGTTTGGTGCGTTGGGGCCTCTGCAGCCCCGAGAGGGCAGCCGCGGTGTAATGCATTTTGAATCCTAGCAGCGCTCTACATGCACGATACCATTTTGATAGCTTAGCTTTTTGTATTCCGTAGCAGATCCGATAATAGAACAATCAGACTCTGGACACATTTTGGGCGATGTCGTTGCAGTGACGTAGGCATGACTGTGTCAGGCAACCTTTCACTAAACGCAATATCTCTCACACGTTCTAGAGACAGACAGCGTTCCAAGACGACAAGCAATTGCTTGACATGAAGTCAAGATAAGGCAGGCCGTCAAAGGAAAGGTTCCCATCGAAAGCCACGACCTGGGCAGCCCCGCCGCCAATGCCAATGCGGCGGCCCGCGCTAGCAAGTCGGCGAAACAAAACTTTGTAACCGCGTCACAACTTTTCGACTTTCCTTCCTTCCCCTTCCCCCAAACCGCAAATACAGCCATAATGAAGTACGTTCTCGTATCCGGAGGCGTGATTAGCGGCGTGGGGAAGGTGAGAGGCGCATTGCTGTGTTTTTGATCTCTTAGGGCTAATGTGTAAATGCAGGGCATTATAGGTAAGCCGAGAGTCGCGTGGGCAGTCGAGTACACGTTCGAGCGGCATGAAGTGCCTATAGAGCTTTATTTGGCCTCGAATTACATTCGGGCTACTGACTAAGCACGCTTCGCTCGAGTCTTGCTGCTCACCCGCACAATGATTGCAGCCAAATGGCAGCCACGATTTGCAGACACGGCAACAAATGACTAACCAGACGCGTCACAGCCTCTTCGACGGGTCTCCTGCTCAAGACGATTGGCCTCAAGATAAGTCATGCGAATTGGTACGCGTCTGGCTCGTACTGACATGGCTTTACGTCTCGTCTATCAAGGTCGACCCTTACCTCAATGTCGATGCGGGGACTATGAACCCCAAAGAGTACGCCCAGTCCGATTCATAGGCTCGAATCGGCATACTAAACAACCGCAGGCATGGCGAGGTCTTCGTGCTGTCCGACGGCGGCGAAGTCGATCTCGACCTTGGTAACTACGAGCGCTACCTCAACATCACCCTCACTCGCGACAACAACATCACGACCGGCAAGATCTACCAGCACGTCATCGAACGCGAGCGCAAGGGCGACTATCTCGGCAAGACGGTGCAGGTCGTGCCCCACATCACAGACGCGATCCAGGAATGGATACAAAAGGTCGCGCGGATACCCGTTGATGACACTGGCGAGGAGCCGGATGTGTGCATTATCGAGCTGGGAGGAACAGTTGGCGATATCGAGAGCATGCCGTTCATCGAGGCCATGAGCCAGTTGAGGCGGAGAGCTGGCAAGAACAACTTCATGCAGATCCATGTCAGCTATGTGCCTGTCATTCATGGAGAGCAGAAGACGAAGCCGACGCAGCAGGCGATCAAGGCGGTGAGGAGTAATGGTCTGATTCCGGATCTGGTATGTCAAGACTTAAGGAGAGACGAAGAAAGAAATGCTTCGGACCGCTGGCTGACCACATTCAGATCGCTTGTCGATGTGAGCGCGAGCTTGAACCCTCCTCTATCGAGAAGATTGCACACTTCTGCCAGGTCGATACCGAGCAAGTAGTAGTTGTCAGGGATATGCCTTCCATCTACCAAGTCCCCATGCTCCTCGAGCAACAGAGACTCATTCCTATGGTCCGCCAGTTCCTTGACCTCGAAGCCCTTCACATCTCCCCAGCCATGACGGACAAGGGCAACAAGATCTGGGAACAATGGCAATCCCTCACCAGCCACGACACCCGATACCACGACCCTGTCACGATCGCACTGGTGGGCAAATACGTCGAGCTGCAAGACTCGTATCTGTCGGTGGTGAAGAGCTTGGAACACGCCACTATGCGCTGCAGGAAGAAGCTCGATATCCGCTGGGTAGACTCGGACCACCTCGAGCCCAAGTGCCAAACCTCAGACCCTGCCAAATACCACACCGCATGGAACGAAGTCGTCAAGGCTTCTGGCATTCTTGTCCCCGGCGGCTTCGGCCAACGCGCCACCGAAGGCATGATCGCAGCCTGTACCTGGGCGCGCGAGCACAAGAAGCCCTATCTCGGCATCTGCCTGGGCATGCAAATCGCCGTCATCGAGTACGCACGCAACGTGTGCGGCATCAAGGACGCAACATCTGAAGAGTTCAATGGCGACGCAGCCAACAAGCTCATCATGTTCATGCCCGAAGTCGACAAGACCACCATGGGCGCTTCAATGCGTCTTGGTCTCCGCCCTACCCTCTTCCAAGAGGGAAGCGAGTGGTCCCGTCTCCGCGCGTTGTACGCCGGCAAGACCGAGATCCTCGAGCGCCATCGCCATAGATACGAAGTCAACCCGGACTACATCGACACGCTCGAAAAGGGCGGGTTGACATTCGTTGGCAAGGACGAGGCGGGCGTGCGAATGGAGGTGGTGGAAATTAAAGACCACCCCTGGTTCGTGGGCGTGCAGTTCCACCCCGAGTACCTGTCGCGCGTGCTGGATCCCAGCCGGCCGTATCTGGGCTTTGTGGCTGCTAGTGCGGGCATGTTGGAGGAAATCACCAAGGACTATCAGCATGGGGCGAAGAATGGGATTGGAGCTGAAGGCATTGCGAATGGGGTTGCGGGGTTGAAGGTTAACGGCGAGCCTGCGAGTTTTTAGGGGCGGACGACGGGCCTGGGTGATGCATAGAAAAAGAAAAGGACATATGGATGGAATCAGGATGGAGTTTTGTGTGGCATTTGATAGATTGGGCTTCGGCTTTGCTGGCATGTGTATATGTCTTGTTACCTGCTAAATAAAACGACTGAACGATTGCCTGCACGCACTTCATGATGGTATCGATAATGCCTTCGCCAAATTCCTCCTGCACCTTGAAAATGCTGACGCCCCGTACGCCTATGAATGCTCGCCGTCCCATCCCATCCCATCCCATCCCATCCCATCCCGCCTCCCCGGTGGCTTTCTACACCGGCTTGACAAACGCTGCATATCGTCAGTAAAGGCGTCCACCAAACGACTTCATTTCACTTCAACTTACTAGCATCAATCTGCACAATTCTCGGCAACGCCAGCCTGACCTTATTCCGATACAGCGCGGGCTGCTGTCTCTGCAGTGGGTTCCCCTCAAAGTAGACCGTCTCGAGCTCCTCCTTGTCCCCCAGCTCCTTCTCGACCTCCTGGAAACTGGCCAGCTTGCAGTTGCTCGCCCAGAACTCTGTCAGGTGCGTGAGCCCGTCCAGGCCGGAGAGGTGCTCGATGGGATTCGCGCTGATGTCGATGACGCGCAGGTTCTTGTTTTCTGAGAGGCCGGAGAGCGAGGTGAGCAGGTTGTGGGAGATGTGCAGTTCTTCGAGGGAGGTGAGGGAGGAGAGGTTTGTGATGGAGCGCAGGCGGTTGGACTGGATGCTCAATATCTTCAGGTTGGTCAACGTGGACAAGCCGCCTATCTCCGTGATCTTGTTCTTTCCCAGCCACAGCTCCTCAAGGTTCGTCAGCGTCTCGAGACCGGTTATTTCGCGGATGCGATTCGCGCCCAGCTCGATTTGGCGCAGATTTGTCAGCCCTTCGAGGTTCTCGATAACGCTGATTTTGTTTTGGACGAAGTAGAGGTCTTTGAGCTTGGTCAGGTGGGCGAGGCGCTTGATATGTTTTATCTTGTTGAAGGAGAGGTCGAGGGAGACGAGGTTTGTGAAGGCGTCGAGGCCCTTGATGTGCGCGATGAGGTTGTCGTAGAAGTCGATTTCGGTGAGGGAGGGGGCGAGGGCGGCGGGGATGTCGATTGCTTCGATTTTGTTTTGGCGTAGGCAGAGGCGCTGTTGTGGTGGAGTGGGTGTTAGTGGGTGTGGCGGGGAAGGGCAGAGGTTCGTTGTTTGTTTGTGTTGCGTACCTTCATCTGCTTGAAGCGCTCCAACCGCAGCGACGCCATGTCTGCGATTTTGCAGTGCACCAGCTCAATCTCTTCTTCGTCTTCTGGTGTATCGTCGAGCAGATCCTCGTCTGCAGGCAGCTGTTCTGGTGCCGGCCCTTCCTCGTCTGATACCTCCGGGTCGCTCTGAATCTCAACAGTCGGGTCTCTGGGCTCGTCGCTCAGCGCAAGCTTGTCCACTCTTAGCTTCCCGTCCCAGCCATTGCTGTCCCGCGGCTTGTGGTCGTCCTTGTCCTCGTCGCGTAGTTCAGACGTGCCGTTCGCGTCCGGATGGGGTGGGGTCGAGCTCGCTGCGCGGGGCAGCATTTGGTTCGCTCATAACGACGTGTCGTGAGATGTGACACCGAGTGGGCGAGAGGGAGTATGCCGGTTCTTCGCAGCGGGTGTCAAGTCTGGTGACCAGGCTGTGTAATTGAGGCTGCAAACAATGTCTTTGTACATGTGAAGAAGTGACAGCGACAGGCAACTATCGATAAGCTAGTTCCAAACAGGGTCCTGCGGGGTGACGAACGCGCTCAAACTCCACCACTCAACGCGTGTTTCCGTGTTTTTATACGTTTGCACCTATTACATGCCCTGTTGCACACAGAAATGTACAAAGATTGTGTGGTTGCCGCTCAGCAGGCGAGTCCCGACCACCCAGCCAACCATGTTGGAGACTTTATGGTCACGATCACCACCACAAAGACAGACAGGCAGTCGTCCCTTCCATGATATGTTACATGATTCGACATCCATATCTCGCCAGTCTCGAACCCCTGGCAGCTCAAGCTCGTCAGCATGTCAGAAGCCACAGTATCGCTCAGATCAAAGGTCACCTTCACAAGAAAACATGCCTCTTTACGACCAGTAGTTTCATGCAAGGCACCATCATAATCCCTTCATCCGTATTCATCATCATCGCAACACCTCTGCAATACCCAAACATCCGATTACACACATCAAGCCTCTCTTCCGCTCTCGGCTGAGCCCTGTTCTAGAATGGTAGTACCCGAACCGTCGCTTCCTCATCCGATCTTTTGGCGCGTCTGGTATTGAACATGTCTTGAGTACAAGCGACCCCAGGCTGAAAAGCCGCCACCATCGAAGGGGGCAAATCACTCAGCCTCACGACTGCACACCCACTGAAACGGGGACGCGGGTTCCTGCACACCCTCAGATGTTCGGCGTTGGCCTCATGACATTCAGCCACTTTACGATCGCCGCGGGATGACCTCGACGTGCGACGGCCCGTCTCCTCGCCACATCATGGAACGTTCGGGCACGTGACAGGCTGGACAGGGATCATCCACGCTCGAGTCAAGTCAGCCAAGATCGATTCAATCTTGAAGTCGACATGGCTAAAAGCCCTAGGGGGAAAATGTATCACGAGAAATGCATGGAGAGAATTGTTTGAACAAGTATACTGCCTGGTATTGTGTGCTAAGATAGATTCTTCAAAGAACAACCAAGGCTCTATCCTCAGCGCAACATACTTGTCCAATTTTATTTTAATTTTTTTTCCAAAAGTCCCAATCCTGTAACTCCTTAACTGAGAGGCTTTCCTGATGAGTACTGAGAGGCGGCTAAGAAAGATGGAGGTGCTGGCAAGGTTGTCACCATAGCATTTATGGCGTTGGACGAGCACCATTCTGGGCTTTTGAAATGAGTTAATACCTAGGCGTTCTCTGTTGGAGGACAGGACACTTACAGCGCGTGCAGCAAGTGCGCTACCAGCCCGAGTAGCCTGCGGCTGCAAAGTTCATCAGTATGTCGAACAACATCTAATAAGTAGTCCTCATAGGACTAAGTAAGCTTACATCGCGTGCAGCAAGTGCTTCACCTCCCGGCTATAGTCATTGTTAGCACACTAATATCTGATAGAATTTCGTTAGGAAGGAGAGTACTTACACGGATAACCTCAGAGGCTTGCGGCTTCAAAGTCTGTTAGTCTCAAACGAAGTGCTTTGGATTTGTGACTGGCATGTAGAAAATGAGGTAATTACATCGCGTTCGGCTACACGACAGCATCGCGGAGTGGGAGGACCGGGAATGGGAACGGGAATGTTTTGGGGCTCCAGGGTGCATCAGATTTGTGGCTAGAAAGTTCGGAGAAGAGATGCTTACGTCGCGTTCGACCACACGACCGGGGGCATAGAATCCCGGGCGGTCAGGGCCAGAGTTGATCTGAGGCTTCAAGGCTTATTAGCTTTGCTCATATATGTACGTCAAGTTGGAGAAGAGATGCTCACGTCACGCTGGATCATCTCGAATGGATGACCGAGGGCGAGGGAGGCAAAAGCCATAGCAAGAATAGTAGAGGAGTGCATGTTTGAATTGACTGAAGAAACAGTGGATGAGCAGGCTATATTGATGTCGATGAAAGTTCGAGTTGGATTGGGAACGACGACGGCGAGGTGGTATAGTTTATATAGACGAAATGCCGCTGTACACAAGCTCTTCACGGTCACGATTTGGAACAGAGCGGCTGTCCGGATACCTCGATTTCCGAATTCCCGCTGTCTTGCAAGGCATCTCGCTGATATTCGGCTTCACTGTGTACTTCCGGTCATGGGCAAAGTCTTGGAAGAGTTGCAGTTGACCTCGCGGCAGTGAGAGCTGGCAAGGGGGGATCAGATACTCGGCGAGATATGTACAATGAGCAAGGCCTTCCCCTCTCGGGCAACAGCTAAAGCTGGGGGTTTTGTCCAATCTGATGTGGCGGAAATCGTGGAGTTGGAGAAGTTACGTACTTCTGCGTCTTGGGGTCCTCCGCGATGTCTTTCTCGGCGCGCCGAGCTGATCTACTTGACATGGCCCTTTAGCTAGTTATCCGGCCGGACGAATCGAAAGATATTGTTATCGCATCTGAAGTTTAGTTTGAAGTTCAGCAATAACTAGGTAGCACTGCTATCCTACTGAGTGCCCTCTGAACGCCCAATGCATCTTTCCGGGATGCGGTTTCCGGATGGCCCTCTAGATGTTACATCACTGATATTGAAACCAACTGTATATCCATTCGCTGACTCAGTATCCAACAGCTAGCACCGACTAGAACTTAAGAAGTATGAGCTTACCCTGTCCAGCCCGTTGATCGACAGTGTGGTAGGACGCATTGGAAGTTTGACGATACAGAGCTAGTATCAAATCAAGCGATGAGGCTAGACCTTCTGCGTTTCAATTGCTGATTTACTCCCTGAATCATTCTGATAGTGAAGCAGTTTGCCTCTTGACACAAAGGTATGGTTATTTGCCCTAGAAAGACCTCCAAATCGTTCAAGGTTGACGACAGGATACAGAACAGGATCTTGAGATACACTCGGCTCTCCGGTATGGGCTCGCGATCTTGACAGGCAAGGAAGGTAGGCCTTGGACTTCAAAAGTCTTGGTAATACTAGCATGCTTGCTCCCAGGGTGGATGTTCCACAAGGAGGCTGCGCACTGCACCATTCCGAGGCTGTCCGCTGAACAACCTTGCAGAGGACTATCACTGCCATCTTTCTGAGCACGCAAGTGTTGGCTGTTGATTGTGAGTGACACATGGCATGCCGTTCATGAGTGTTACGTATACCGTGTGTTTCTTTGATACGCGGCCGAATCACCTCAACCATTGGTACGGGGACACTTCCCGCATGTCACTCACGGGTGTCAACTACGAACTATGTTGTTATAGCTTAGCCTCACTCTATCAACTTGAATAATCTGTCAACGCTGTGTGTCCCGAGGTCTGAACGTTGTTGAACCGATTTCAGTAATGTCAGATATCTACCATAGTTATTGAGCGTACCATACCCCGTCTTCAATGTACGTGTGTTCTCTGTGACACGGGCCGGTCAAACTACTGGTAGCAGATCTATAACCGAGATTGACCCGTACGGTACCATACCCCCACTGCATGCATACGACGTAACATTGCAGAGATGCGCGAGGAAAAATCGAGCAACTTCGTTTAGCTAATTGGTCGTCTTCTCGACGCTGATCGAATCGGTTTCTGTTCAACCCACCCTTGCTAGTCTCCGCCGTATGCACGTATGCTCGGCACGTAGTAGACTACCGAGATCTTAACTCGGCCCGTGCAACCCTGAATTCCCCGGACTCCGTGGGGAACATGCTTGCAAATGTCTTTCTTTGGGCCATTGTCGTCGGAATCGGTCCAACAACGGTGGTTCACGCACGGTACCTGCCCATGGTAGTTGTTATGATCGTTCGATGTTGGAATGTAGGTACATAGCCTCGCAATGGTGGCACGCATCCCGGTCAGGGAGGTCGATCGGTTGTGATGAGTTTGAGTCCATTGATTGTGCACAAGTATGATGTTTGCATATTGACATGTTGCTGCTTCCCTCCAATAAGATTGTTTAGTGCCGCAACTTCACACCATATGCATCAATACATGTTTGCACTTGTCAAAAGCGTACAGAAGGCGGTTGTAGTATGAAGACACACCAAGACATACTACAAGTCAGGCCGAAGTAGGATCAGTGCGGCCCGAGTCAGACCGAAGTAGAATCGGTAGAGCCAGGGTCAAACCACTATACACACTGTTCAGGATTTCTAAATACCAAGCCCCATCCTGATTAGAGCGGTTGACCAGAAATCATGACTTCGGCTCAGTTGTGTCTAATCATAATTACCATTCACAGGTCTGACGATCTATGCCAATTGACTACCGAGTCTCCCCAACAAGGTAGATAAGCGACGGCTTTTCACAGTGATACGTATTAATGTCGCCACAGCTAGAAGCATGCAGGATGCGGGTTGGGTATCTGGATAGCCTGTGATCCCAAAGGGAAATGCGTGTTCTTTGAAGTTTCTGTGAATTCCGACGGCCACTCCATCGCCACAGTTGCGGAAGTGCCACTGGTCCTATTTTCTACTCCTTTCATCCGCCTCATCGAATTCACTATGGCATCAAAATGTTCAGATGGGCCAAGAGGGGCCGCAAATTTTGCATTGGTTCAACTGTGAATGTATTCATCAACCGTGCCCACGATTTAATTGCACTTTTCTCTATTTTCGTCGAAACGAAACGAGTACTTCAGGTGCTCCTCTCTTCGTTCTGTGACTGGTTAGCCAAGAGCTGTGTTGGTGTTCCGGGGGCTTATTGTCCCGTCGGTAAACCCGTCTAGGTTTGCCGCACACCATCGGTACTTTTCAAGTCAAAAGGATCGCCTTCAAAAGGCAGACTGTTTGACTCGGTTCCGAAATCCGAGGGTTGAGGCTGTCTTATTGGGTGAGAAACTCTGATACTTACTCCCACAATTTGACTAAGGGCTTGCAGCAGCTGATAATCATATTTTCAACAAAACAAACTTTAAGAAAATCTGGGATAGGGTGGTCTGATTGATATGGAAACGACAATAACTAGTAGATAACAGTGCATAGGTATACACTACACAAGTTGAAATAATAGGCCTCAGCACTGACAGGAGGAACCAAGACCCGTGATGTTGTCGGCGTTTCTCAGAGCCCGAATGGACACACACTGCCACACTCCTCACTCTTCGTTCCGCATTGCCACGCAATTACGTGTCAGAGGCCGAGGCATAGACAGGATCGTGTTTTTAGCGAAGTCGGAGCCGCCGAGTATCCAGAGATATGTTCTTTGATCGTTGATCGCCTAGAATTACACAGTACACTCCCTGGATTCGCCATGGATAGATTATTAGCTCTCATTGCATGTAATTGCCAATGCCTGGGGTATAGTCCCATATCGCATTGGCCCGTTTCTCCGATGAATTGGACACGCGTCTATGTTACATGTACGTTAACGTGACCGGACCGTTTTACAGAGAACACGGCGCAGACAGTGTCTTGATCTCAACAGATCTTCGTCGAGATACTACTGTATGATATCACCAATGGTGTTTCGCTCTCAACAGATCTTCGTTCAGATGCTGTGACGACACAAATGAGTACAGCTACGCCATCACACAACTCAACACAGCGATCTCGTTAGGTTATTATCATGGCTGAAATAATAGTTCTCTGGTACGAGGTACAGCAGCACTGCCATATTAAAAGGCTTCGAATACCCGGTACCTCTTCGCTAGATGTAGGTTATAAACATCTACCTAGAGGCCAGACGCTTGCTATAAAAGACGTTTGCAGATCTCTTTATTCAGTTTATGTTCAAATATGTAGCATGAACTACAAATTAAAAGAGTACAACTTTATCGCAACTAGACTATTAACAAATGCTGCGTGTTCTTTGCATCGTGGACGAACTAGCCGTTGACAGCCTCGCCAACACGGAAACTAGTAATATCGCTTTAGATTATAGTTCAGCCCGTAGAATCTGTGCTATGTAGTTTCCAGGGTTTTGTAGTGAGACACTGCTCGGGTTAGTCTTTCCTCGTCGCCTATTGTTCGGCTGGGTCTAAGGACGGCCTGAGTCCAAAGTACGGCATGGTACACGACTTCTCAAGTCTCCTCAACAGCTGAAAGATGCGACAAATTACGCCACTTACCAGATGACATTGCATTGGCAATTGCATGCTAAATACGCTGGTGGTTGGTTGATAGAGAAGGCTCCATGAGCTACCTCAGGTTCATGATACCACAGGTAGCATACATAGTTGGACAGTATTACAATTCAGTGCAAAGCCCTGGACAGAATGTTGTGCGCTCGATGCATCATCGTTCAGAGACGATTTGTACATAGATGAGTTCGGTCACGCTATCATAAACCCATACAGTGGTGGCCTAAATCAAGGAAAATAATTTTTGCACGAGTACTTGATTTAGGCCACCATACCCCGCATGCGCCATGCCCCGAAGTGTGTCGGCTTCCGCCCGAGGCTAGATGGCGCCGACGACATACCAAGCCATGTGTGCAGAATATATATGGTGAGCGGTACGCCAGGTGGCGCACACTTATCACCCCTCGCTCGTGTCCGAGGTCTCAGAACGCACTATTATGATGCTTTGGAAACCCCATACATGATCGATACCAGTCATTATGTTGGGCTGGATAGAAAAACGGCGTCCACGTTCATACATGCCCGTTGGCGACGTTGGCGATCATGAAGAGAAGTCTAGCCTGCGCAAATATCACCGCCTATTCCAGATTACTTTGTGCATCGGACTCACTTTGATCAGTCTTGGTCTCGGATACTTTATCAGAGGGGATAGTGGTCATCTATCGCACAGGGAGATATTCGGTAGGACTGACTTGTCCTCGAAATGTTTCCAGCATTTACTAACGATATATGAGAACCGTTTGGCAATACCAGGAAGACATTCCAACCCAATCCAGTCTTTATGCACTATCCTTTCCAACGCATCTGAGGCAACATGGGAGTCTTTGTCGTTATGTACGTCACTACTGTGGAATCAAACACATTCAAATAGCTAACGATTCTTCTAGCCAACGGCGGTTTTATCAAGAACCCCAGCAATGAGTCGGCAGCATTGGGCGTGTCATTCTATCACCAACTACACTGTCTCGTAAGTCCGCCATCGATTTCACACAAGACAGTTCACTCATTCTCGCAGCACATGCTCCAGTTACAATATTTCAAAACCAAACACGAACTCGCCATATTGCGAAACAACAGCGTCGAGAACACCTTGATAGATACTGTCGGACAACAGAACGTAGTCCACTTGGAGCATTGCTTCGACTACATGGTCCAATCGATACTATGCGCTGCGGACACGAACCTCGAGCCCCCGGATCCTATTCTTGATGAAACCAATGGGTATGGGTTTGAACGAAGTTGCAGAGACCACAAGGGTATTCACAACTGGATGGAGAGGCATGAGTATAAAACATAAAGATATTGGGCTCCTATGGAGTAACGGATAGTGGCTGCTCTAATTTGAGGTACAATGCATTTATCTTTTCACAATATATTGCCAGTATTCTCGGTGGCTGGCGGCTGCCAGGCTCATTTGTATCCACATCTAGGCACTGTCCGTTGCGGCATTGGGAAGCACCTACAGCACGCGCTGCTTATGCATCGGTAATCGGCTGGAAATTGGTTAGCACACTCACGTCTTGCAGCATGCTTCGTTTGGTACTTACAGGGTCTTCCTCCGTACGCTGTGGCTTCGGAGTAAATTAGCTTCACAAGCAATAGATACATAAAGTTGCGGAGGAGCCACTTACGGCACGAGCTGCCAGCTCATCGACATTGACCTATGAAGGTGATCAATATACTAAATTGTTTGCAGCAGGCAAATGGATGACTTACAAGCTCAGGTCCCTCAGTGATCTCCGGCTTCAAAGGATGTTAACTTCACCGAGCGGGTATGTGAAGGCGCAGGCGAAATACTTACAGCACGCGCGGCCACACCATTGGCCTTGGGCTAAGGAATCTGTTAGAACACTGATGTCTGATTGCATGTTTTTTTTCCTCTGGAGAAAATTACTCACAGGGTCATCCTCCGTGACCTGAGCCTTCAAAGTGCGTTAGCTTCGCGATATATCGAAGAGCAAAGGAGGAGATACTTACAGCACGCTCTTCCAAACCATCGGCATCTAGCTGTGAGTTTTGTTAGGGAACTAATGTCTTGTAGCATGCTTCGTCGGAAGCGAAAGTACTCACAAGGGCAGCAGGAGACTCAGTGATCTGCGGCTATCGATTTTGTTAGTACATAGCGTACATTCTTCGTAGAGAAGAGATGCTTACAGCACGTGCTTCTAATGGCTGTGAGGATAGTCAGTGTGCCAGTGTCTAATAGCATGCTTTGTTGTACGTACAGGGTTCTCCTCAGTGACCTGCGCCTTCGAAATATGTTAGTGTACGACAAGTAAGTATGTTGTGTTGGAGTTGCTCACTTCACGTTTCGCCACGTTGTTCGGATGCGCGAGGGCGAGAGCGGCAAAAGCAACTGACAGGATGGTAGAGAGATGCATGTTTGGAATGAGGTGGGAATACGAATTGGCTTGGAGGCAAGACAGGCGAGGTGGACAGGTCTAAATAGACTCATGACGGGCTTGAAGACAAGCCAGCTGGCAGTTATTACTCCGAAACGTTACTGTCCCAAGGTGCGCTTGTCTAGAGATCTTCACACGATTCGGCGGTACTGTCGTTGCACGTAAACGTAAATGTGGCTTGGCATCACGGCGCAGGGCAGACTTAGATACTCGGCATGATAGATACGTACCATAAGCAAGATCTCGTTTTCTTGATCGTCGTGTTTGTTGTGCAGAACGCTTTGGATGGCTGTTTCATATCCATGTGAACGTCTACATATCTCTGCGTCTGATGGTCCTCCGCAGCGTTATTCTTCACACACCGATCGGACGTACCAAGCCAATGTTAGCAGCACTTCTATCCTATCAGGAATTTTCCGCCTCTAATATGCCGTTTGTTCCTCGTATGCGCTGACGAACTAACACACACCAACCTTGGCGAAACGGAACCTAGTAAGGCCGCCGGGATCTTGGCTCGGCCCGTAATGTCTGACATCTGTGGTTTCCAGGAATTCCACGATCTGACATTACAAGCGCACATCTTTCCTGGTCGCCGTCATCATCCTCGACCAAAGATGGCTCAAGTCCAAACACTGCGATACACAGTAGTAAGTGACCTATGGCCGATGGGTTGCTGAATATTGTACCCTAACTGCTAACCGGCACGATTTGTCGCGCCGCTGGTTATAATGCCGACAGTGAATTTTCATAAGGTGGATGTGATGAAGAGTATGTGTTTCGAACCTCGGACAACGCCTACGATTACCGGATCGAGCTCGATCTGTGAGATGTAGTGAACGTGCAGCGCCAGAATCCCATTTCGGGCTGGCATAGGCTGATCCGATCCTACTTCGGTCTAACTTTTTAGTACCTCTTGGATGTCACCTGTGCAGTACCTCCATTCACCAGCACACCTATTACTCGAAAGCTTCCTTCTACCCCAGCACCAGTGGTATATGCCCCCTAGCACTATGCCCAAGTTTTTGTTGAACCGACAGTGGGGCAACTGCTCTCTGGACGAATTGCGTGCTTGCGTGTTTGTCTGCTTTTCTGTCCATACTGCGGCTGATGCCGTCCACGAGCGATGATGTTACATCGCAAGCTTCGCCGAACGCACTAGATGAAAGGATAGGTCTCGGCACCGATAAGGCTGAAACTGCTGACGTATACTTTGCCAACGCAGTTAAGCTTTGCGGAGGTAGAGGCACCTTCTAGCTGGTGCGGTTCCGTCTGCTCGTGTTCGGCAATACTGGTGGAAAATTGCGGTTGTACTGTAGTCTCGCTTAGTTCCTCACTTCAATTATTGCCATTGCTCTTCTTGTGGAATGGGGATGGGCTGTATGATTGTTTATACGTCTGAGACCCGCAGTCCATTCCTGGAATTTGCCTCTCGTCTTTACATGTCATGTACACCGCCCCGAGATTCCCGCCCAGAAAATTCTATGTCTGGTTTCCTCTTCTCTTCCTCAGCTTTCCTTTCACCCTCTGGTATTATCAGACTCTAAATGCTATCCCCATACTGTACCAAAAGACACATGCGCATCCGCCCGCGCAATTCACCACCTATGGCCACTCGGACTGTCCGCTTGAGGTGTCCCCCCAGCTCATCGAAGAATCTACGATAAAGCGCTCTATATGCCGGAAATACTCACCATTCGAGATCAGACGCTGGCGCATCGCAACCGTCACTGCGCAATTCGGTCAACCCAAGGAGCACTACCAAAAAGCATTTCGCACCCACCTTCTCCACGCCTTGATTCATAGTACGGATGTCAAAGTTGTGTGCGATCCGATAGTCGATGACCTATGGAACAAACCCGCCTTCATCCTGCAAATCCTTATGCAGGAGATGCTCAAGCCAGAACACGAGCGTCTAGAGTGGATAGAATGGTTAGATCGAGACACGCTTATCCTCGACCAGTGCCGGCCGATCACGAGCTTCCTGCCGCCCCCAGCACCGCGGCGCAAGCACCGCGAAAATAACCAACAGCGGCCTCTGAAGCCGGAAACGCATCTGCTCGTTACTAGAGACTGGAATGGACTGAACAACGGCATTTTCCTGGTCCGCGTGAATGAATGGGCGGTCAACCTATTCGCTGCCATACTAGCTTTCAGACACTACAAGCCTGACGTCGATTTGCGTTTTGGCGAACAGTCTGCCATGGACCATGTTCTTGGGACTGAAGAGTTCAAAAATAACACGCAGTATGTACCGCAGCACTGGTTCAATGGCTACGAGAGGGAAAGAGCGGACGTGTTTGAGGTACGAGAGAGTGTAGTCGGTATGAAGGAGCATGAGGTTAGGAGGGGAGATTATCTTGTACATTTTGCGGGACGGCGGTATAGAGATATGGTGATGAACGAGTGGGCGGATATGGTGGGCAGAATGGGCGATATTTGGATGGAGAAGAGGGTGTTGAGAAATGTTGATGCGGAGATTGAGAAGTTTTGGGCAGAAGTGCAATGAGGACCAGGCTGAATCAGAAAGTTTGAAGCATATTCTTCAAAAATGCCACGTGAGATGCTACATCCACGTCAGATAGGAGTTCTAAAAAGAGAAAACACAACGAAACCAAGACTCGAGATGTAGCTGGCGTTGCTGAGAGCCTGAATGGATATGGGTTGAATTTTGATGAAGGTGTGGAGACCACGAGGCTCTTCACAAATGGACGGATAGCCACGAGTGAAAGTCGAGCGAGAAATGAGAAGAATGCTGTTGTGGCTGCAGTAGTATGGTGGGGCTTCAATGTCCGACGGCAGTTAGCGATCACGTGATGGGCCAGACTTCTAGATGTCAGGTGAACCCTCCACGTCCACACCCGAGCTGCGCCAGCGATGATCAATTCGAAGCTCAAGTCCCTCCGCATCCTCGGTGACGGGATGATGGCTGGAGGGCGACCCCAGGATTCGCGCGCGGCAGAAGTGCCAGGCGTCTTCCAGACTCTTGCACCTGACTTGGTTCGTGATAGGCTGGTGGTGCATGGCCTTCCGCGTCCGACGGCGGATTAGCCGTGAGGCTATCTGCTCGTCTGCAAGCCACCGGCCTGCACAAGCGGCCGCCCTGGTCGTGGACACCGGTCTCACGCGTCTTCACGACGCCGAAGTGTGTAGACGTGGTGAGTTCCTGCAGGGCCTCGCCGTGGTCAGGTCTTCCCAAGTCACCCGCATTGCGCGAACGGTGGGCACGCCCCGTAAGCACGGTTTTGGCTGCTCTGGATAATGTGCCCTGGGTCTTAATGGCCTGTGTGATGGGCCACTCAGTGCTGGGGCAGCGTGTGCTATTGGCCGGCCGTTAATGGCGTACCCACTCGCCCAGCACCATCAGTGGACGCAGGCAGCGTGGAAGTGAATGTCCTGGGGCCAGGCCGCTGCTGGGCGACCGCTCTGCTAGAGCTCTTTGGTGCTAGAGGCGAATTCAAGCAGCGGTTGGGAGCAACCCCATAAAGATCCCCTGTCCCGTGTGGCCGCGTTCGCACAGCCCCGGTACAGACAGCATCAAGAGCCACCGGCCACGCCGTCGCGCAGTCTCGCATCAGCACTTGCCTTCTTTCTCATCGCAAACACTGTCGCGCCGTCTGCAGGGTTTGAAAGAGAAGGAGATCCCGCGTTGTCCAAATAGGCGCATTGCTGGTGGAGCGCTTGACGGTGAAAAGACGGCGTCTCATTTCCGCCCGCGTTAGCGAACCAGCCTCATCCCAAGCACTGATCCTAACCTCGCTCGCTCGCACCCAAGCTCCCCCTCACACCCTATCCACCCTCCACATTCGCCCTCGCGCCCTCGACCACCACCGTCGACCAACTCTTTGGGACCCCGCGATCGCTCCTTCCATCTCGCGCGACTCCTGCGCAATTGACTGCCGCGCCTTCCAATTGCCAATCCGGAAGCAGCGACCTGTCGAGCGACCCACCCGTCACCGCACCAACGTCAGCTATCATTCCCACCACGCGGCGAGTCCACCACGCGACGACCCAAGGAACGCCCACCTGCATCGCACTGCTGCCATCTGCCATTCACTACGCGCACTTCGTACTTGATCATCGCGCGCCGCCTGCAGAGGCATCTCCTGCGCCATCATGAGTGCCGAGCCCACGATGCCAGCGCCCGTCACCACGGTCCTTCCGACCGCCGACAAGCCCAACTCCACCCTCGCCGCCGGGCAATCAAACGGCACGGGTATGTTGTGCACACACTCAAATGCCGCAGTGCATCATCATGAATGTCTCGACTAACAAATTCAAGTAGGACAGTCATCTGAGACAGACTCGAAGCAAAAACAATCATTACTCGGCGTGCCCCAGGCGAACGACGAGCAAACACCCACCGGCACGGGACTGAGTGGCGCTACTGCGGCAGACGCCGAGAGCATTGGTCGTGGATCGAAGCACTCCAAGCGCAGCTTCATGGGCAAGCGCCGCGCCGGAAGCACCGCCAGCAGCAGGCGTCGCGCTGCCACATCAGAGAAGGCCGCCCAGCCACCTGCGACGCCGGCTTCTGCACAGCGCGAAGGCTCGACAAGAAGCAAGTCCAAGCGATCTGGAGGCGGTCTGCTTGCCTGCCTGCCATGTTTTGCGCCCAAAGAGCACCGGGAGACAGGCGATAACACCCCTCCAGAGAACGCCAAGCAGGCCGCCCCCGTCAAAACCAGCCGAACGTCGCAATCAACACCGGTGAAGAAGCAGGACCCAAGCGCTGCCGAGTCGAGCAATGCAGAGTTTAGCGTTCCTCTTGATGAAAAGCCAGGAAATGGCGATTACTCGAGCGGTGTCGCCGATAAGCCCACTGTAGGTGATGGCACAGTCGAGCGACGGTCCCATGAGACCCGTCCCCAGATAGTGACAAGAAGCTCGTCTAAACGACAGCAGGCAGAGCAAACCTCGCAGTCCCAGCCAGGCACGCTGCAGCCAGTTCCCGTTGATATCCATGTCACACAGCCAACGCCCGGCACCACCCCAGTCCATCCTCGTCCGTCCGTCGAGCAGTCGCGCATAATAGAAGACCAGACCGAAGAGCAGAAACAGCTCGACTCCGACATTGAGATGAAGGATGTGCCATTATCGACAAACGACGTTCACCAGGAGGGTGAGGACCCAGCCACCCAGGCAGATCCCGATCACCACAAGGTCGATCTCCCGCCACCTCCGCCCCTGGAGCAAAGGCAGGATGTTGTACAGAAACAAACTTCAGAGATGTCGGAAGCATCGGAGCCACAGAAGTACCTCCTCGGCCCCATTGCGCCGCGGTTCAAGGGCAAGAAGTGCTTGGTGCTTGATCTCGATGAGACATTAGTCCACAGTAGCTTCAAGGTATGTCATGCATTTGACGCGTTCTTGCTAGATACTGACAAGTGCTAGATCCTACATCAGGCCGACTTCACCATCCCAGTCGAGATCGAAGGCCAGTACCACAATGTGTATGTCATTAAGCGGCCCGGCGTTGATCAGTTCATGAAGCGTGTCGGCGAGCTGTATGAAGTCGTTGTCTTCACCGCCTCCGTCTCTAAGGTATGCGAAGCTCCCAAGCCATGGCAGTTCTCTTCTAACACCTCCAGTACGGCGATCCTCTCCTCGATCAACTTGACATCCACGGTGTCGTTCACCACAGGCTCTTCCGCGAAAGCTGTTACAACCACCAAGGAAACTATGTCAAGGTACGCCACCAATTGTTTCATCTTCGTGACACCAATCTAACTTGGGCAGGACCTTTCACAAATCGGACGCGACCTCAAGGACACGATCATTATCGACAACTCCCCCACGTCATACATATTCCACCCACAGCACGCGGTGCCGATCAGCAGTTGGTTCTCGGATGCGCACGACAACGAGCTTCTTGACTTAATACCTGTACTTGAGGATCTCGCTGGCAGCCAAGTCAGCGATGTCAGTCTTGTGCTGGATGTTGCGCTATGAGTTGAGCTCGGATGATGAGAAAAGCAATCTCTGCGTATACCCTGTTTGCTGCGCCGATATATCTTAATTCCTGGCCGTGCGCTCCATGTAGGAGAGACAGCAGACCGTTGTTTTTGTAATCAAAGCTTTGTAATTTGCATGAAGAGGCGGATCATACAGGGATATCATGGTGGAGAATTCAAGCGCTCCCACACGCCCTGTCCAACCCTGAGGCACAACGAGGTCGGCGTTCCGGTCACTCCCACCCGCACACGAAAGAAAAGTTGTAATATTGGCATCTACCCACACATACCCCATCCATACTTTTCTAGTCCACGCGCCGAGGCGCACTATCAATAACCTGTTTTCCTTTGTAACACGCGATTTCAAGTTAAGCATTGCTGGCGAGGCTCGTCCCACTTCCAACCTCCACGACTGGAGCGTGCATCACTACATCTCCTCTTCCTTTCCTTTTTTTTTTGGCAATCATGGTATCGATTTCGCATATGGGGAGAGTGCAGTGCGGCTTGTGGGGAGGTCTATCTTGTCGATATGTAGTGGTTCGCGCCGTGTAGGCAGTGAAACACAAACTTGTAATAACACACTCCATGCGCAGTGATTTAGCCGTGAAGTCCAGACAACGATGGTGGTAGCTTTCACATGTGACATATCATGACGCTTAGGAGCCGAAATCTTGGCATCCTTTCACATGCAGATGCATGACTCGCACGCCGCCCGTCCCGCACAAACCACAAACGACTGGTCGCCTGCCTGCACCTGGCGAGATCGGGAAGCGTACCACTCTAAACCACGTCTCACTTCAGGATTCCGCTTGCTCATTGCCATATCTAACGTCCCTTCTACATGTCTCGGTGACACGACGCCCCCCAACTGTTGTAACTTCGCTCGAGCACGCTTCACACGATGGAGAAGTACAGCCAATTCCGCGACAAAGGTACGTTCATACGTCACACGTGTATTCTCGCCATGATATGAAAAGCTGACACGAAATGTTGTAGGCACAGCAATCGCGCCCTTCCTCCCCGTCCCGCCCGCGCCTGCGAGTTTCCTCTGGACGCCTGTGTCGGTCACGTTGTTTCTCTGCCGCTTGCCCTTCCTGCTGGGTATATCGCTTATATACTTTTGCTTCTTGGAGTGGATTCCGGTTGGCGGTGGAGGGTTGGGACATGCAGTCAAGTACTGTGCGCTTTGGTTGATGTTGGGGATTCCGGGGGTTTGGTGGGTGGATTTGCAGGTTGATGGGGTGCGGAGGGGGTGAGTTTTCCATTTACTTACACTTTGGTGGGAGGAGCGATTGGGACTTTTGCTAACAATTGTATAGGCAGCTTCACACTTCCGGCGACCACCTCCCCCGCGCCGGCTCCATCATCGCATCCTCGTTCACATCTCCGCTCGACCCGCTCTACCTCGCCGCCATCTTCCAACCAATCTTCACCCGCTCCTACCCACACACCCGCAAAGTCGAGCGCATAACCCTCTACTCCGCCATAAAACTCGCCTTCTCCTCGCCCTCCCTTACACCCCGCGACCCAGCCGCCCTGGTGTCCCTCGCCGACCTCACCGCATCCAACCCCAGCAAAATCATCTGCGTCTTCCCCGAGACGACGACGACCAACGGCCGCGGCATACTGCCTTTGTGCCCGAGCCTGCTCAGCGCCGATGGCAAGACGAAAATCTACGCGGTCAATCTGCGCTACGCGCCGCAGGACATCACAACCCCCGTGCCAGGCCAGTATGTAAAATGGTTCTGGCGCCTCCTACACAAGCCCACGCACCAAATGCGCGTGCGCATCGCTACCAAGATATACAACTCCAAGACGCTGGATCAGCTGGTCAAGGCGGCGGCGAGTGCGAGTGGGTATGATGCGAATATCTTCGATGGGGAGGCGTTTCAGGATGAGGACGGGGAGGTGAGCAGGGATGAACAGGCGGTGCTTGATCGCGTGGGAGAGGATTTGGCGAGGTTGGGGAGGGTCAAGAGGGTGGGGCTCGGCGTGGAGGAGAAGGTGGGGTTTTTGAGGGTTTGGGGGAGTAGGAAGAGGTAGGGTTTGGAATAGAAGGGGAGGGGGTGGTGGTAGTGATGGCCATCATCATCGTGAGCATATAGATTAGGAATATGTAGAAGTAAATTTTACAGCCATGTTGTGTCTCAGCACACAGCGCGCAACGAAGCCATACCTAGCACTTTTGTAAGGAAGCTTTTGGTTCGCCGTGCCATGGGCATTCGGTCGAGAAGATCTTTTGAACACAGGAGCAGGTAAATAACATGTCCACCAAGAGTCGCACTCATAAAGCAGAAGCCTTCGATCTTTGATCCAGCAACAACACATAATACATCCACGGCACTCTTTTGTCTCAACCAACCATGTTCGAAGCCGTCGACGCGCAAAGACATGAACTCTTTGATGACGTGGCTCAGCTAATATCATTCGGACTTCATTTTGATGGCCTGTGTATGCGTGCCATATTCCCGAGCATGCCGTTTTCTGACACCTGGGTATCTGAGTTTTGTTGAGGAGAAGAGGTAGCCATGAGTGTCGGTAACTAAAGATTTGCAAAGGAGGAGAGAGAATGTACATTCGATAGACGGTAATCTGTTTTTGGTATTGGAGGGAAAAGGCGTAATTGAAATGGGGTTCGAAGGTCGAAAGAGGAAAACATATTCATAGACCCAGCCGCCCGAGCTATACGCGACATGAAACAAACGATATAGACTTCAAGCGGAACGACCAGTTTATAGTGCATAGATATGCGCATATCAGTCTTTGACGAGCATGCTGTTAAGCGCGAGCAGTTCAGCATGAAGAACACGGCTAACGCACAGAATAGGTTGATTCAATAGGGTATTGCAATGTTCAAAATCGCTTAAACGCATCTGTCTGTAATTCGGGTTCAAGAGGCAGAAGACCTTGAAGGCAAACGGCTCGACTCTCAAGAGAAGAGGATAAGACATGTAACGAACACCTGGCCACTTTTAGTCGAGTGAAGGAGAGTCGGTGCGATGAAGCTGCGGGACACAAGATGGCCTTTCATATGCTTCTCGTCTTTCCGCGCACAAGCACATCGAATCGCTTGAACTCACTTTGAATATGCATTTCTGCCACGAACATGCACCTAGACATTTGATACTATTCACGAGATGATAGTCCAAATTTTTCGAAGCTTTCAGTCCGTTGTGATGACGAATGTATATGAGCTAGTAGCGGCAAATGTGAGTGGAGAGTGTATTTTAAAGGAGGAGAGAAGACAAGAAAAGACATTTGTTACTGTGTTGTGTCTTTTTAGAAGTCCAGCAAGAAGTTGGTGAAGTAAAGAAGTCGACAAAGGATGCGTATCTATAGAAGTTGCGCCAATCCGACTAAGCTTTGCGCCATGAACTTTCGATAGCTTGTAGATTTTCTTGAACGAAAGAGACAACAGAATATAGGCGTTGTGAAGAGGATTTTTAGAAGAAAAATCAGAACCAAAGACATTGCCGATTGCTAGTATTCGTTTTGGTCTGAGAATAATGAGCTTGCAATAACCTTCCAAACTGAAAGGGAAGGGAAAGATTTGTACTCGCAGCATTTCAAGTGATGCAGGCGACGAATTACTGTGATAGGTTGGAATTGTCCAATATAGAGGCAGAAGCTTTACTGCCGATAGAAGACCATGTGTATCTTGAGGCGTATAAAGTGTGTTGACTGAATGTGTGCACTGAAGCAGGAAACGTGCGTTTGCCTCTCTACAAATTTCGAACAGAGAGAGCTCAAGACAACTCAACCAAGGCATGTAACCGGTTCAAGGACCATTGGATCTTTTGATGCTGACATCTCGTGGTGGAGATGCAAAGCAGAAAGAATGGCAAAGTTTTTAAATCGCTGGGCCAGGCCAAGCGCGAAAGCATGAGAGTCGCTGGTAGCTGTTCGTGGGCATGAGCTGTTTCTGGTAGTTTTTTCGAACGATCAATACGTGAGACAAGTTCCGAAGCCTGATATTGATGTGAAATCAAAAGCCGTTGAGCAAGGCCAGAAGAGACATTAGTGATGAAAGCAAAAGGCAGGCTTTAGGATAGATATCGTCGTTGCCGTTGCTTGGTAGAAGAAGAAAATAGACGTGTTGAAGGCGACATTGACGAAGCTCCGATCTACCTCTCCTGTAAAAATGGACTAGTGGTACTGGGACATGAGTCGACATGTCTCCACTTTGGAGCACTATTGCGCGGCACCAGAAAGCCATAGCTCAAGCAGGCTAAGCCAAAATGGAGCACTCATATGATCGATATAGTCCATTTTTGAAGTAGAGCTGGGGGAACGTAAAACAAGAGATATCTTGGTTTTTGTTGAATGGGCTATCTATCGCGCATCGCGTATAGGTAGCAGGTTCTGTACGATCGTACGGTAACTGAGTATTGGGTATTGATTGCTTGTTGTACGATCTATGAGGCAGGCCCCCTATATAGAGTTGCTACTTCTTACCGGCCCGAATCACGTGACTACGTTCAGGCTATCCCTTCGTGCGAGAGATGCTCACAACAGTGGATATTATCAACAGTTTTGCTTATAGGGGTTGTGTAAGATATATTTTAAGACAGATTGGAATAAGATCTGGAAGGTATTTATGCTATCAGGCAGTCAAAGAATATCCCGAAAAATTGTAGGCCTCATCGTCGCCGAACCTTCGAGGAGAGAAACTTAATTGACTTAGCTGTTGGTGCTGGTAGTGGAGTAGTGGCTTTTGCGCGACGGCGCGTGTTCTAATAAAGGCTGCTGTACGTTTGGGCAGCATAGTTATACCGAAAACACTATCTATGGTGTAGTGGGCAGAGCATACGCCACAGCGCGTATCCAAATAAAGGCTATTGTACGTCGGAACCAAACTGAAACCACTATATACGGCGTAGCTAGGCAGTAAATGTGCCGCGGCGCGTACCCAAATAACTGCAACATCACAAGGGAGCGACGTAGTAACCAAAACAACAAACTTCTATTGATATTAAGCCCCAGTATTCTCTAGTAGAGCAAGTTTAGTACCTTAACCCTTTTTCGAGGCTCCACTACTCTTCTCTTCTCCTCTAGCCCAGTACTATACCATGGTATATGCCAGTGCTCTAGCTACCGCTTTTCCTCAAGAAATTATTGAACGCATAGCCTGCAATCTCCTGCTAGCTGAGCTGTGCTCCTTCCGATTGACCTGCAAAGCGATTGCAGAAAAGTCTTCTTATTATCTCGGAACTACCTACTGCACTAAAGTCCAGACCAATCTATCTCTCGCAAGTGTGCAAAGACTAGACTATCGCTCAAGGTCTCCATGGGCCCGGCATGTAAAGATCCTTCATCTAGGCTGGGACGAGGAGGCAGGGCATGGGCTTGTCTGGGACCGAGACGTCGTGTTCGAATGCTATACTCCCCAGTTTGCCAGTTCTCCAAACAGTACGCAATAGCATCCTTCGATTTGCCAACTGTCGATCAATCACGCTCAGCGCCCCATACGAGTACAACTCTATGGTTTCCCCTAGGCTAGATGCTATTGGATATAGCGATATGCTTGGAATTAGTTTCCTTATTATCGCTGCAACTAGCCTGCTTCTTCAGAAATTCCAGGTTGACTTTGGGAGTGAAGGTGGTAAATGTCGAGTCAACACTAGCCAACTTCACTTGGAGCAAGTCAGGAAGCCGGCATTCAAGAAAGCGTTTTCCAGCCTCCAGGAAATATCGCTCAGGCTCTCTGTAGGGGATGGCGCTTCCGACTGGATAGAGAGCTTGGTATGTGATACAGTTCATCTACGAAAACTGGAGTGGATCGTTCAATTTCCTGAATCTTTCTGTCTTCGGTCAACTAGTCTGTCTCACCTTCAGGAATTAAACCTTCGGTATGGGTTGATGTCTGAGAAGAACTTGGTTTCGTCTCTACTTCAGTGTTGCCACTGCCTTCAATCCCTTAGCATTTTCCAGGTTCGCCTAAAAGGAAGCTGGGCTCGAGTCTTTGCATGTTTGCATTATTTGAATAGCCTACGAAACATATCTTTGCATTTCCTTCGATTTGGCCCTGGTGCAAGCAGGCCTCTAGGCTTTTCTGGTCTGAGGGATGATACAGATGTGCCGGACTCATTAGGTCGAAAGCTTCGATTGGGAAGGAAGGGCGTCTTAGGACAAAAAAGAGTTGTTGGTGTTGATTATAGTGGACCTGGCATGGCAAATGTAGCAGCCATGTTAATGAATTCTATAGAAGAATAAGAGAGCGATATATATGCTATGCCAGTAGACTGCACTACTCCTGTCAGGATATGCTGCTCTCAGAGGCTACAGATGTGTAGCAGCAAGGCCGAAAAGAGAGAGCAGCCAGTCTTTCCACGGTTGGTACATGCAATTGATGATTCACAGCGCAGTACGACCGAACAAGCCTTTGTCTCTCAGTAACAGCATCATTCATAGTACGTTCAACAAAAGCCTTCAAGAGAAAGTCATGTTTAGATCCGCTTGCAGAGGCAATAGAGAAGCATCAGTTTACCGATAAATATCGCAAATGTAGACTCACCGTACACGAACCTGACTTAGTTGGGAATGGGTAGAAGTAACCCGTTAATCGCACACCTTGATAGGGCCATATTCTCAGCGTTGCGTCTCCTTGGTTGTGTGTAGCACGTCCTATGCCAGTACCTACGCCTCCTTGTACTGACTCTGAATTTGTTGCGTGAAGAGAAAAAGTTTTCATGAAATGCTCGAGAGTGATATTTGGTCCGCGGACATAAGATGATCGACAAACGTTCTTGAGAGAGCGATACGTATTTCGAAACATTGAGATTTCCCCAAGGTAAGGCAAGAAAAGAAGGCATGATTGCCGGCGCGTGTCCTTTTAGAACATCGATGTTGAGATATATACATTTTGGTGACATAATTATTTATGAGGATATCCAGGATTTATGCAGAATGTTAAATGGAAGATACAGTAAAAATACACATGACCAGATTCATTCATGATTTTGATCAGAACGAAATTTGAAGAGCTGACTATGTCCAGGCCTCTTCCACTGCTGCTTGTTTACAAAGCTGCATGGCATAACTGCACTTGTGTCTACGAGTGGATAGTATACACTCTGAGTATAGCGGGAAGTTTCGATGTCCCTTTGTCTTCTAAAATCATACAATGGAACCGGATGTTGAAGTATGAGGTCAGTGCGAGGCTCCAAGGAATCCTTGCCTGATATGATTATTGGTGTCTGAAAACCATTGATAGAGGCAAGAATAGAATCGTGAGAAGAAATGAGGACGCTGTGACAAATGCCCCAACCTGTGAGATAGAAAACGTTGAGCATGGCATCAGTCCTTGACAGCTATGCCCTGGTCAAGTGCGCAAATGGTCGATTTGTGACAAACATGAGTATTGGACGTTTGTGAAGATATCTAAGATGGCGCAGGAGCTGGTGAACATGGATAATTCATCTTTTTACAAGATGTGCTGACATTGGAGATGGAGTTGCGATCGATGGGAGTGGGGTGGAAGGCGATGCCAAGCACACTAGCCCGTTGTCAGCTAGTGCAGGGACAGGGATATCTGATTGTTTACAGTAAACACCGATTGGGAGCTCCGCAACATCATCGCTAACACCCACGACAACGCGCTTTTGCTTGTAGCAGCGCCATAGCATGCTTTGTTAACATCATTCCTCTCTTGGATACCATGGACTACGTCAAAACGGAGCCGGCGAACGAGAACGAGGTGACTACGACATTGCGACCCGCGCATGTAGAACCTGCTAACAGAGTCGCGCATTGTAGGGCTTCAGCAAACCTTCTGGCTTGAAGCCGCCGACTCAAGTACCCAAGATTGGGCTGTCGCATGGCCGCGCTCTTGGTGAATTGCAAGACTCGAACATGAACTCGCGCAGCGCCATCCCGCCGCCGACGGCGAGCAAGCATAAACCGTCTGGCCGTAACCCACCCTTCCACTCAGCCCACATGCGAAGCCAGTCACTAACTTCCCTAGTACCCGAGCCGGCCACTAAAAGGCAGACAATGGCAGACAAGGCCGTCGACTACGGTCGCAAGCCCGCAGCAGTACCTTCCAGCCGCCCAGCCAACAACGCTTTTAAAAGCGCCATTGCGCGCACGTTTGCCGCGTCCACATCACGTATCAACACGAACAAGGGCTCGAGACAGGTCTCTGCGCCTTCGCACAGTGGCAGCGTAGGCCCGATTGCGCGCGTACCCACTGCGACTGCGAGACCAAAGTCCTCGTACGGCCAATATGGTCAGCATGCTCGTAGCAAGTCGCACCATCAGGTTTCGCGCCCAGCGACTGCGATGCAACAGCGCGACGATGAAGAAGATGACCTCGAGAGGCAAGAGCGCAAAGGTGTGCACCCTTTCTCCCTATCAACGACTCCAAAAGAGACGCTCAAAGTTCCCAAACACGCCCCCAAACCTCTACAGAGGCGCCCGACTTCTCTCAATGTACCCCCGAAGAGGGCCTCTCATTTGTCACACTCCAGAGCTGTATCCTCTCCTTCAAACTTTCGCTCCATCACTCCCGTCATGGAAGAGCCCGACGATAGCTGCGACGATATCTGCAACACTCTTGGAGAGCTCAAGTTGGGCCCTACAAAAGCAGAAACTCGAGACAGCCTTATCGGTGGCGCAACGATCCATGGCAAGGAGGCCAACCCGTTCCTTAGACCTCTTGCATCTCAGATCCCTATCAAAACACCAGCGCGACAGATGATGACGCCGATCCCGGCCCAGAAGCAGTTTGCCGCAGCCACACCGAAGTCGTTGGCACCCTTTTTGAATAGATTTACTAACGATCGTTGTCCAGATTTCTACGACGACCGAATCGAGACTATGGAACGCGACTTCCGCATGTTCAAAGAGAAGATGGAATCTGACATGCAGCAATCGACCGACTACAAGGAGACGATTCAGCAGTTGCAAAGTCGGGGTGAGTGACCAAGCCATGGACTGCTGTTGGCATGACTAACACAACCCCACAGTCACTGAGCTCGACGCCCTCCGTGCGCGCCTGGAGACGCTAAACAAAGGTCTGGAAGGAGATCTCAAGGACACTCAGAGCTGCTTGAGCACAGTCAAGATGGAGCTGGAGATGACGCAACGGAATCACTCATTCGAGACCGAAGATCTACGACGAAAGCTTCGCAATGAGATAGAAGATCTCGAATTCAAACACGAGAAAGAGACCAAGCGAGTGTTGAGAGACAAGGAAGATTCAGAAGAGAAGTTGCGCAAAGACTTCGAAGTCCGGGTCGACAAGCTGCTCAAGGAACACAACGAAGAGCTGGCCAAGCTTCAGAAGAAGCTAGATGCTGACAGTGAAGTCGAACGAAGTCGGCGTGCACAGGAAGCGCAGAAGATCGAAGCAGAATACGCATCGCGGTTGAGGCACGCTGAAACCGAAGCAGATGCGAAGCAGCGCGAGATCCAGCTTGTCCAGGGCGAACTGATCAACACCAAATCGGAACTTGACCGCGAAAAGACGCTGCGAAAAGGACTTGAGGGCCAGTTGACCGAAGCTACGACAAACAACCTCACATTGAGCTCGGCTAATACCGCGATGAAGGAGAAGATTCACTTCCTCGAGTCGGACAGCCAAGCACAGTCGCAGGCTTTCAACGATCTGCACCGACGGATGCAAGAAGCTATCGACGCAGCAGAGCTCGCCCACGAGAAGTTGCGACAAGAGGAGACTCTACGCCGCAAACTCTTTAACCAAGTGCAGGAGCTCAAGGGCAACATCCGAGTCATGTGCCGTGTACGACCCGCCCATGCAGAAGAGTCGGATCCTGCATCGATCGACTTTCCTGACCAAGACACAGATAGCAAGGAGGTTGCAGTACTTGGTCCAAGCAAGCAGAGCGCGATGGGAAAAGACATCACTTCTTCATATGCGTACTCCTTTGATCGAGTGTTCGGGCCGGCATCGCAGAACAACCAAGTCTTCGAGGAGATTAGCCAGCTTGTGCAAAGTGCTTTGGATGGCTACAACGTCTGCATCTTCTGCTACGGGCAGACAGGCTCTGGCAAAACATACACCATGTCATCAGCTGATGGCATGATTCCCAAGGCTACCGCTCAGATATACGCGGAAGCGCAGCGTCTCGAGGAGAAGGGCTGGAAATACACCATTCAGGGCTCATTTGTCGAAGTGTACAACGAGACATACAATGACCTTCTTGGGCGCTCCGAAGATCTTGACAAGAAGAAAGTTGAAGTCCGACACGATCCAGCAAAGAAACAGACGTATCTGGAGAACGTCGTCAGCCTTCCTCTGGATGGGCCAGATCGAGTAGACGAGATGCTAGAGACAGCCAGCAAGAACAGGACCGTTGCGGCTACCAAGGCGAATATGCGATCAAGTCGAAGTCACTCAGTTTTCATTCTCAAACTCGTTGGTGTGAATGAGATCACCGGCGAGAGGAGCGAAGGTACACTGAACCTCGTTGATCTTGCTGGTTCAGAAAGGCTTGAGCATTCCAAGGTCGAAGGTGCACGTTTGAAGGAGACGCAGAACATCAATAAGAGTTTGAGCTGTCTGGGAGACGTGATCAATGCTCTCGGATCAGGCAAGGAGGGTGCTCACATCCCGTACAGGAACTCGAAGGTACGTTTGCACATTGTCATGATACCGAGACTTTAAGCTAACTTATGTAGTTGACCTACCTCCTCCAATACTCACTCGGCGGCAACTCCAAGACGCTCATGTTCGTCATGGTAAGCCCACTGCAAGCCCACTTGCAAGAGACCATCACGAGTCTCAAGTTCGCCACAAAGGTGCACAACACGCACATCGGCACGGCCAAGAAGCAGACCAAGTCGTAGACGAATGGATTGGATCGGGGTATTGGATGTCAAAGGATTGGCGCAGGAATGGCAACGGCGTTGCCTATGTGCATTGTGAACGACTTTTCCCAGCAGCGGCCATTGAAGTGTTCGAGGTCGCCCTGCTATGTCTCTGTTCTCTCTTCTGATACTCTGGCGCATGTGGTTATGAGCACTTTTCATCTCATCATCCCATGGTCTCGGCGTTTTGACTCGTACTATGGATAGTTATGCATCACAATCACGACCAACCAACTTCACATTAACCTGGCCCTTGCCATTTCATCCTGCTCCTTGTTTTGTCCGGCCCTTCTCCCCAATTTCGCACGGCACAACAGCCCTCGTGAGCCGTCTATGCCGTCCCGTCCCGTGTCTCTGCTCCACTCGGAACGTGTCCCGCATGGTTGTCTCGCGTGAACCGTTGCATCGGTGCCAATCACGATGAGCTGTCCCGCTGGTGAAAAACGACTGGTTTCTACACTTCATGGGCAGTTACTGCATGGGGTATGTTGGGCGGCGCGGTGGTGCGGGAGGTGTGCGGGTGGGAAGAGCCGAGATGGTGCCGTAGGGGAGGTGTAGCGTGCGGAGGATATGGGATGGGGGAGTGGAGGTATAAAAGTCGCGACGAGTGCGAGCTTGGGAATATTTCAAATATACGTGCTTTTCCGTTTTCACACAAAATTTCTACACAGGAAATGCATGTGTAATTGTGCTTTTCCAAAACCAAAAACAATATGCCTGCATGATGTGGGCGCTGCGCTTCTCAAAAAGACATACTCCAAGGTATATGTTTGCTGTTTGTTTGGGAATCAAAACCTGTGTTAAGTTCTACCCATGCGAGAGAATGAGTTTTCTAGGTGGTGAGGGTGTCGAAAAACAAGAACGCGAACTGCCCATGAGAAACATACGGTATAATTCCCCATGAAGTTGTGCTTTTTCCTGTACTTAGGCAATCCGTCAAAAATCATTGCACAAGAAGGGTGATGTTCTCCTCTCTCTACTTCTGAGATTCAAGGAAACATGTGGATTTCGCATGGGTCTTTGGGTCCCGGGAGGCACCGACATCTCTCCGCTTCAGGCCAGACATTTTACGCAAATGGTTTATATTCGAACGGCACCTCACAGTTTCTAGTCTATCTTCCCTCTCGATATTCAATCTTTACAACACAAACTTCCGAGGAAATCTGTCCAAAATCATGTCTCAGAACCATCTGTGTCTATCCCTCGACCAAAAGAATTACGCAACATCATCATGCCTTGTGCTGTGCGGATTTCTCAAAAGCAGACCGAAACCTTGCCATGAATCTCCCTGGGGTTTGCTAACCGTGTTTCAAAAGGTAGCAATCGGCACAGCTTATGTCGTAAAACGCTTCGACGCTCTGGTCATGTGCGTGTCGCGAGTTGGAAGATGGGTATAAAAATTGATGATTCTTCCTCTGAACTTCTTTCTTCTATCACGCATTCAAAGAGATCGCAAGTCCAAAACCTTCGGATGACAGGTTCATGTTCTATCCTGCTCTCGAAAAAGCGACCAGGTCGATATCCATGTTGCTGCGAGCTACTCAATCTTGCCGTTTTGTTAAAAGTGATGACGCAAGCAATTGATGTTTCCTTTGCGGTCTCTGCCAGCAGTATCAACGATTGCAATCAAGACCCAAAAAGACACACTTCCTTAATCGCATGTCTCGTTTTCTGCGTCCGCCTGCAGGCATCAGCTCAGGTATATGTACAGTCTCAATGTAATTATCTGTACAAAGATACGCTTTCCGGAATTCGACCCAAAAGATCAACCGAGTAAGCACATGAGCGTGAGCCAGTCTACACATAAATACTTCAGCCACGAACAGGCTCTTTTCCTCCACAAAGTTAAGCCTCGCATCAAAAAAAGAAAGAATTGAGATGAATGTTGGTGTCGAATATAGGAGATCATAGCGGCTTATGTTTGGCCAGTCTTTGAAGCCTCCGTACAGTCCCAGATTATGTTCAGTAGATTCTGCTGATATAACAGAAACGAGTCTCAGTCATTCATGCCTGGGAGTTGTCGGATTCTAATGAGACTTCAAAATCAAGCTCGCTATCTTGTATGACTGTGAGTGTCTTGTTTCAAAATGATCAAGAGAAGTACTTCTGTTCTTCCTTGCCCCTCCTCCAAGATGGTGTATATATGCCACCTTCCCCGGCCTAACACTTCTCTTTCTCCTTCTCCTTAACACAACACTTCTCTTCGGGCACAAAAAAGTGAGCAATTTTTGGTGCATGTCTTTCCCTTCCCATTCTCCCAAAAACGAAACCTGGATGGTCAAGATTGATGATTTGCTTCGTTCCAAAACGACAAGACCCAGTAGCAATGAGTTTCGCCGGCCTCTCTGAATTAGTGTATGTATACAACCTCTCTCACCACTTCTTCTACTTCTCAACACAGCACCAATCCTCTTCGGAGACAAAAAAAGGCGCCTGAACTTGCCATGACTTTTTCCAACGCTCGAGAGATGATACGAAAAACGGTGCCTCATCTCACATCTCCCGGACAAAAGAAATGAAGAATTACGTTGCATGCATTGCCTTGTTCCAAATACCAAACACTACACCTATGGTTTTCCCTGCTCCTCCTCTTGAGAGCGACTACATATATGACTTCTCTCATCACTCCTTCTCCTCACCACACAGCACCCCTCTTCAGATACCAAAAAGTGAGCAATTTTGGGTGCTTATGCCTCTTCTTCTCTCAAACATCATGATGAAGAGGACGTATTTTTGTCTGGCGTCTTTTCAGTGATACGAAAATAACGCTCAATCCATGCCACATGTTCCGAATTGAATGGGTTCGGTTCGTGATGCACGAGTGCTTCGCTGAGATAGTAAGACCCAGTGGTCATGGGTTTTGCTGGCTTCGCTGAGATCGGGTATATATACCCTCCCTCTGCCACCACTTTCCTCCCCAACACACCCGCCTCTACTCTTCCCACCGAAATACACCCTATTGCGTCATCATGTCCTTTTCCTCTCCATCTCCACTTTTTAAAATCGAAACCTCCAAAAAACTCACGACTATCCTGGCGCACCTTTCAAAACGAGCATCGATGACTATCCCCGCGCACTCCCCCAAAAAACAAGAAACCGCTTAACACAGCGTAGATGTCATCATGCCTTGTGCCTCTCCCCTTTACTTTCCAAAATATAGACCTCAAAGAGAGCATGAATGTCCCAGCGAGCCTCCGAAAAGACGGAAAGCAGCCAAAGGAAGTGCGGATGTTCCTAGCTCAAAAGCACGATCTACAAGACCCATCTCTCTCTGTGCTCAACAAACATTATTGCTTAGCGTGTGCGCTTTCCGCACTTGCGTTGTCGGTACGAGAGATATATAAACACCCCCTCTTCGTCTAGATTTCCTGTAACAGTACTTTTCCCTCCTCTCTCAGAGTACGAACCAAGAATGACGTCGAGAGACAAAGTGATTCGCTTCTCCCTCTTCTCCCATCCAAAAACGAACACTGCGCATATTGATGTCTGGCAGAACTTTGGGCGAGAATATCGCGATGTATGTTATATGTGCGAGATTTAAGAGTCAGACGATGCTATCTGTGAGAGGTAGCAAGAAAGGAGCGGGGCCAGGGTATATGTCATTTGTCAAGTCGGTGTAGCTTTTTTTCAAATCCCACGACATTATGAATGAGTCTCGGCAGCACAAGGAGAGGAAATGTGGCACACGAGCACTGAAAAGCCAAGAATAGCAACTTGGATGTTTAGAATCGTGCGCTGTGGCGCGAGAATTGTGTATTTCTTGACAACATCTATCATGTCATGAATCATCGCTGAGTAGCGATGATGCCCATCATCACCTGCTCAAAAAGTGTGATTCGTAATGATACATCCCATTCGTCATCAATTGTGTTTCCTTCAAGTCACCACCTCTTCCCTACCCGGCGGTCTCCAATCGAACAAATCAAAAGCCTCCGTACTCCACGGTCCAACATCAGTATCAATCACCGGACTCGGCAAATCAGGCTCATCCACAGGCGCTAGATTCGTCTCGACATTCAAACTCTGGGTGCGCTGGAACTTCTTGCGCGGATCCGTACGCTTGACCAACGCCGCGAGGCCCGAGGACTTCTTCTTGAGTGCGGGGGCTAGAGCTGGCGCTGGCAAATCCTCTACTTCCGCCTGATCACTTGATGTTCTGGGTAAATTGCGCTTCTCCCAGTCATCAGCTGTGCTCGGTATTGGTGCGTCGTTCTCGCTCCGCACGCGCCTCATCTTTCGAGCTGGCGATTTGCCTGTGGGTGGTGGGTCATCTTCGATCGGATCTTCAGCGCGTGTGCGCTTCCTGGGTTTGGTCAAGAGAGCAGCGAGCTCAGTTGTGCTCATTAATGGTTCTTTCTTCCCACTTCGTAGCGGATATGGCGGCAAAGCCACTGGCTCCTCAGGGGGCGCTGGAGCTAGGGCTGGGGCTTCAGCGATGGGTGTTGTTGCGGCGGATTCTTTTGCGATACGCTTTGCTCTCTTTGGGAAGCCGCCTGTGGAAAAATGTTTTTTGGCAGAAGATGTCGAGCTGGTTCGTGATCGCGCGCCGTACGTATCAGTATGCGCGGGCGAAATATCTCTTGAGCGTGGCTCTGGAGGCTTGAGTACGGGTTGAACAGTTGGCGATAGGGGAGGCATTGTCTGAGGAGTTTCCGTTGCTTTCTTCGCAGTTTGTTTCTTCGCTTTCTTCGAAACGGGCGGTTTTGGTTCTATAGGCTCGGTGGCTACAACTTCTTGATCCTCCCTCTCGGGAGGTTGGGCCTTCGGCTTTTCTTCAACAACCCCTCTCGCAATGGATTTCATTACTGGTGGTTTTATCACAGGCGATAGCGGTGGTCGATTTGTCTCCGCAGGCGAAGACGCAATCAGGAGCTGCTGGTCCATGAGGCCATAAGTAATCTCAGGGTCATCAAAGACATCTCCCGGTGCCTGTGGAGAGAGCACAGTAGTGCGATCTTCGGCCGTCTTTGAATTGACTTCATGTTCGACCAGGCCTGACCGTTGAATTGCTTTCTTCGCTGGAGGACTCCTTGATGGTACCAGGCCGTCACTTCTTTGCTCAATAATTCGTTCTTCTAGTATGGCAGGAGACGAGTCCTTGCTGCGTATCCGTGACACCTTGGAATTGTTCGACCTTGAAGACGAGGCCCTGAGCTCACTACCGGATCTTGAGGCCGGTCTGGATATCGTCTGGCATAGAAGAGTCCCACGTTTGACGCCAGTCGACAATCGCAAGGCCTTTCCTTTCGTAACGCGGGGCGGCGAAGGGGCCGGTGAGGGTTTCTTTTCTGGTGCTTGCACGGGCTGAACGGCAAAGTCCACATTCATGAGACGGTTGGACGCGCTGACTGGCGGAGACGAATTTGGGGCTGGACGCTTGGGTGTTTCAACTGACTTCTTCTTAGGTAGGGGAATCCTCGGTCTTGTGGCCTTTGGGGTCTCTAGTGGGACAGTCGCTGGTTCCGCAAGTTCGCTGGACCGAATCACGGAAGCAGAGATCAAAAGTGGCGCTGGCACCGATTCGACGGGTTTTGCGGGTGTACTGGGCAGTGTCACGTCGGATGAAATGACAGAGGGATCAGACTCTGAGGAAATGGTGATGGCTTTGGAAGGCCGTGAGATGGCTGCGTGGGGCGCATGGACAGTCCTCGCATCTGCAGTTTTGGCCCATAATGGTACACGTTTGACCGGTGAGGACTCATCTCCGTGTACTGGACTTGAAGCCCTCCACCCTGTTTGATGTTCAGCAATCTTTTGCCGCTTTGGTGCCCTCTCTTCTGCCAGATCATTCTCCTTCTGCTTCTCCATCCTAGATTCGTACGGGGACTTCATAGGCATCGCCTTCCCGACGGGTCCTTTAGGTGTGCCAAGGAGGGTGTTCAGCGACTTGTGCCGCAGCTGAGCTCCCGTTCGGGCTACATTGCTTGGTGCCACAGACGTCGGCCGCTGGAATGGCCGGGTGGACGCAGAAGGCGTGGGTCTGGCAAGAGGCTCTTTTGGTGGGTCTTTTTTCTTCGCCACGACTGATGCCAGGTCAGTCTGTGTGATGCCCATGGCCTCTGCGACCTCGACCAGCACGCCTTTGTCCAGACTGAGTTCGTCGCCCTCCTGTAGCTCATTGCTTTCCTTCCAGTATGTGTCGCCGATGTGATTTCTTGCCTGGTCGGTCACCATGACGCGGTTGTTGAACGTGTGAAATTTGAGGTAGCCATCCTGCCATCTCTTCTGCTTTCGTCTGACATCGTGCGTGAAGAGACAGCGAAATTCCGCGACGGGCGCTGTCTGCGAGGCGGGGAGTGCAGTGGAGTGGGGAGTGCTGCGCAGAGGGGCTGTCATCGCGTCGACGTGTAGTTGGGACGCGTCGTGGAAGTGCGGGTCGACATGGGGTCGGCGACGCAGCGGGAGAGGTGTGATTGTGGCGTGGAGTCGTGACCAGAGCGGGACAGTCGCGCCTTCCAAGATTGTTCGCGCCGTCCGCCTCGCGAAAGCACGTGATTTAGCGGCTTCACCTGAGGCGGTTTGCAGGCCGGACGGAGACTCTTCCTTGCTCCTTGCCCAGCTGGACACGCAATCACTCGGAAGCCGGCAGACATGGTACAGCGGCGTGTTGGTGCTGACGCGATCAGCTCGTGTACCGCTGGATGGCACCTTGGGCCTTGAAACGCGGGGCCCTCTGCCTGATCCCGGGCACCACTGTCGCTTTTACCTACCAGCTACATACACAGCCACTTTCTGCTAGCTTCGGCGCAGCTAGCACTCCAGAGCCCGTCCTGAGCTGCTCGACCTCAGATAATTAATTCTCCTGCAACCGCGACCACCGCCAACTACACGCACCCAAGTCGCGGCCATTTTGCAAGATGCAGCGGGCGCAGCGCACCTTTGGGCGCTTCCTGAAAAGGACGCCCAATGAGGCCGATGTTGAGGCCATGCTCCACGACTTCAACGATTCGGAATCTATGCTCGAGAAGGTATGTGAGTTATATATCCCACAACGGCAGCTGCGAGGGTGGTTGCACAGGCATGAACTGGCGGGGCTCCAGCAACCCAACAATTTCCAGTCGACGCGCAACGCCCGAACAAAGCGCTGCACGTGTGCATGCCTCGCCGGAAATCATGTTATGGTGTCGTAGCAACCTAAATGTGCTTGACTAACTATCATCTGCGCAGCTCGAGGAATCCTCGAAGCAATGGCGCGATGCCTGGACGAACATTCTCAACCACCAGCTGGCCGCTGTCGAGTACCTTCACCTCCTCTACAAGCCATTGGGCGGCGAGGGAAGCGCGGGAGGCTCACATGTAGCTGTCGAGACGCCACCTGCGACGCTGGAGCGCGTTGCAGCCTTGCAGACGGCCTTCGCGGAGCTGAAGACAGACATGATGGAGGAGGTCAAGGACATTGACCGCAAGTTGATCATACCCGCAAAGCTTGCGCGAGACTCACTGAAGCCCATGAAGAAGGCCATCAAGAAGCGAGAGGACGCAAAGGTGGGTTTGTTGCCCCTTGTGCCACTGCCAGTGTTGACGCGGCCCCCTCCAGGTTGACTACGAACGCTACAAGAGCCGCTGCGAAGCCCTGCAAAACAAGAAGACGCGCTCCGACCGCGACAACGTTGCGCTCAGCAAACATGAGGCTGATCTCGAGCGCTCGTCGCACGCCTACCAGCTTGCCGACGAGAACCTCCGCGACCGCCTGCCCAAGCTGAACGCAGCAACATTCTCCATCCTCCCGCATCTGCTGGCGAACCAGATCGTACTGCAGAACAACCTGATCGGAAACCTGTACACTGTACTGCACCAGTACTCGCATGAACAGGGCTATCCTGACCCGCCACCTGAGCCAGAGGAGGTCATACCCTTATGGGACTCCAGCTTCACGTCCTTACGGAAGGAGATGGAGTCCGAGTTTGGCTTGTTGAAGACGGGCAAGGCAGTGCAACAGCCCATGCGACTGCCTGACAAGGGAGAAACATTGACTGGTCTCGGCCTCAGAAACAAGGTCATTCCCGGCCGCGGCGGAAGAGCACCCAGCAGTGAGTCGGTGCCGACGATCACTCGTACAAATGCCAGGCCTTCATCGACACTGCAGTCCCCAGCCGAAAACGGACCACCTCTGAACCTCTCGAGCAAGCCTTCGTACAGCTCACTGAGTGCCACGAAGCCCAGGATCCCTTCGAGCTCACCGCACCTGGGTACTCCAAGCTTAGAGCAGTTCGGTCGCAGGACATCAACCGCCTCACACGACTCGTCTTACTCCAACAGCACCAACGGCCACAGTGACTACTTCACTGGCGTCTCCAAGATTCGGTCCAACGGCTCCAACGGTTCCACGTCACCAAATCCCGCGGCAGGAAAGAAGAAGCCGCCGCCACCGCCGCCTAAGAAGATCGGCTCTTTCCAGTCCGAGTACGTTACCGCCATGTACGATTTCGACAGTCATACGGCTGGTGATTTGTCGTTCAGAGAAGGCGACCGCATCCGGGTTGTGAAAAAGACAGAGAGCTCTCAGGATTGGTGGGAGGGCGAAATTGGAGGCGTCAAGGGAAGCTTCCCAGCAAACTACTGCAAGTGAAGCTTGGACTGCCACTCCCATCTTCACGGAGACGATCTTTTACTTTCAATCGTGAACGTGGTTCACAAATCCGTTGGCCTGGGGTTACTTCGGACCTGCGCGAGCTCTCGTATTGGAGAAGTTCTCTCGAGAGTTGCATACATGCAGTATGCTGGATCTTGATATGAGACGACTTCCAAAGATATCCAAAATGCATCAAACGGAGTTGGGTCTATTGGATGTATGTATTTGATCAATGGACAAGCTATAATGTCTACTACTCTTCATCGAAAAACTTCATCTTGACGACTCAAGTACCCGCAATTACTCAGGACGGTCTTCGAAACTCTACATGACCACATTGAAGTCCTGCGTCATGTTCATCGATCTCTCACCACGAACAGCCATCTGATCCAACATGTATAACTGAAAGGATAGAAACGCTAATTGGGTGTGCAAAGATATGAAACCTTCGGGAAAAACACTCATCTGTAAGGTCCTTCGAAGGTCTGCTCGCCCTTTCCATCTACCGCAACTTTCACACATTTACTAACCACATCTTGTAATTCACGCATCGGTACTTATACTCTCCCGCATTGAACCTATCATCCTTGTCATTGCACTGGCCCAATATTTTCCGGAACGCATATCGACAATCGTCCGCACCCAGTTTCCAGTCGTAGCCACTAAGTCTATGTTAGTAACAGGTCCAAGCGCACTGCAGAGACTATCAATACTTACTCGCAAGCTCTCTTATCAAAATACGGCCGCTTCCCATCCTTCAAATTCAGCGGCTCAGCACCTATCGCCAAGTGCGACGACTTGCCCTTGCCGTTATCGTAGAACTGTGTTTGTCCTTTGGGTGGGTAATCAATCATGCCAGTCCAAGCGAGACCGTTTTGGAAATTCTTCAACGCGCCGCCATCGACGCAGAAGTAATTTATCGCCTTGTCTATATCATCTGGATAGAGTTTATGCCCGGGATCTCTGTTCGGGGGGTCGCATCCTACGCCCCATGGATCGCCGTTGTCGATTGCACCGTTGTATCGGCTTTGGTATTCGGAGGGCGGAAAGGATAACTTATCACTTCCTTGCCACGGTGGATTACCTTCTGCAACGAGACCGCTGAGCTCGAGGGAGTATTTAGCAGTGCCGACCACAGCAGTGAAACCGTGTGTCTTGTCCGATTCAGAATCGCATTCTTTCAAGCCGTCTGTGAACGCTGAAATGCACTGTCCCTTGACAACGACAGCTTTCTTGTCGGACGAGGCCAGATTGACGTGAGGCCAGAATGAGCTGCGTTTTGGCACGCCTAGCTGCGCTATGTCAAATCTTCCATACCGTTCGTCCCTGTCTGAATTGAGGTACGTCTGATCGTTGCTGGTGCACCACTCTTTAATCGCAGTCTCGACGCTAGGCTTTCCAGCGCCGTCGTACTTTGGCGCCGCGAAGTGACCTTTTGAACTCCTGCACTCAATTTTCGCCTTTACTTCTGGCGGCTTTGGAACCTCGATGCTAAACGCGTACGAAGCGCACCTAGCATCCAGAAAACCCGTCTGTGCAATTGAATTCTTGTCATCCCCTCTCTTGCAGCTATCCTGGTGGCTGAGCTGATCGAAGGCTTGGGCGCACGTCGTTGAGCACGTTGCTGAACTTCCTGCGCGAAGGATACGCGACAGTGTGAACACATAACCCTTATACTTGTCGTTATCGTTAGGACTAGCTCTCCTGAGCCACCGGCGTAGTCTCGATGTGAGCGCAGGAGAATTCCCCTTCGCGTCTACAGCTCGGACTACACTTTCCTTCGCATCCCCGACCTCGGCGCAGAACTTGGAGTAGACGTTGCTGAACAGCTCAACCGGAAAGTCGGTTGCATTGTTCGGTGGTGGTGGGCATATGCCGATGGGTATTTGGATCGGGATCTGCGGAGGCACATGCCAGGGCTCCAGGGCGATGGTCTTGATTGCATAAGCTGTTGGCCTGGAATCAGGATCGCCTGTCGGCGTAGGACACACAGTGTTGCAATCTCTCATTCTGCCAACCATAGCACACGAGGCCGAACATTCCACGGTGGTGGTTGAACTTGCGGAGATAGTTGTTGCAGGAGCCATGTTGGGAAGTGTTGATTGTGGAATCGTGCCCTTGAAGTTCACTCCAGGGATCCAATTGACCAACCCCAGAGCCTTACCCTCGTGGATCTTGAGGTAGGCGAGGTATACCGAATAAATCGCTAGGGTGGTCGCGCCTGTCTCCCCTACACCGAAGGCTTTGGTTTGCGTTATTGCGAATGACGTAACGGCTGAAACTGCATCCACCAGGCCCGAGGACGCCCAGGCTGGTTGTTTGCCCGTAAGTGAAGTCAGATCGCTGAATGGACCACCAGAAAGCGCATTGAGGACCAGTGACTGCGCTGCACATATGATGGCACCGATATTTTCAATCACATCTTGTCCCGCCTGGCCTTTGACTGGAGCTTCCTTTGCACCAGGTTTGCCAACCGCAGCTGGGCATTGCTGACTTCGGTCGATCATCTCAGTAAGACGCTTAGCGAGGTCATCAGAAAGGTAAATAGCGAAGTCGCCCTCCGGATGTCCATCTTGAGGTGTGCTGAGAAGTGTAGCTCTTGGTTTGTCCGGCCTGTAGTTGGTCAGATCGCATATCAGAAAGAGAATTCATGGCTGTAACATACCCTGCTGCCGATGTCACATGTGGCTTCGAAGTGACCGTGACAAACGGGGCGCCCGTACCAGTGACTACAGCAAACGTAGCCGCCTCTGCAGCAGATGCAGCTGGACCCATCTGCGTAGGCGGCACATGTATAGCAATAGGTACACCTAGTTCACGATTTCCATCGAGTATGATCATAGGTAGTATCATACTAGCAAGGGCGACTAGTCCCGCTATCACAGCTACTACCTGCCGAGACTCCAGCTCGGTATGCGGATTGATCAAAAGATCTCTCATCTTATTGATGCATGGGCTGTCAACGGTTTTGCAGTCATTCGATATTGCTTTTTGTATGTTGCCGCGTAGCTCCTCTGACAGAACAGCGTCAACGCCACCGGCGGAGCCTGCAGCATCGGTAAAGATCACACGGGACCCTGTGAGTGTTGGTGTAGTTGCCTTTGATTTCATTAATACGTAGGATTATGTCATCAAATTGTAGTTATCAATTACCAGTGAAGCGGAGTATTGGTTGATATCGCCAAGGGATAATGTGAAAACGTCGGCTACAGAGGTTGCTAACAGAGCTCCAATGGCCAAAGAGAAGAAGAGTCGGACCATGATGGACCTTGATGGGGGTGAATGCAAAAGGTTGAATTGTGAAGTATGTGAGACTAATACGAGCATATTCGCTCTTTAAGTACGCACATCGTTACGTTTCGGTCAGTCCTGCGATTTTCCTTCGCCGCATGCTTTTGCAGTGTCTTTCTCTAGTCTGCCTTACGCCTCCATCGTGCCTTCCACTAGCACCGGCGATACGTGCGTCTACAGCATGTCTCACTGTCGTCTACCCCATCTGATGCTGCGATCGTGGCTGAGCATGCAGTGTTGCTGTTTCTAGAGGCTTGTTCCATGAAATGATGGCGATTCGAACTGTGCCTTTGTTGCCGCCCATAGTCATGAAATCACGCGCGGCAAGAGGTAATGCAGGGTTATGAACCGCACTAAGCGCTAAAACTTTAGGTCGCAGTTCCAAAACATACTGAATGAGGATACACACAGGATGAGGAAGAGCGAGAAAGATGTAACCTATGTGCGGAACAGGTCAGTATGATATGAATATTACGCACGATGCAGGGTGCTATTCATATGGGCTGCAGACAGGTTGCGTAGTTTCCATACAATGTAAGTGTTCCTACATGTAGCTGAGTATGTGCCAAACGAATTGAAAAGTGCCATATCTCTATGGCAGTACCCAGAAATCGATCCTTCGTCGTAACTGGCCCAATGTCTCGAACGCAAACAGTGTTTCAAGGCGCGCTATCTCCTCCAGCAGCTTCCATGATACTGACCAAATGCGTGCGCCCCAGTCTCCTGGCATACTCCAAGGCAGACAGGTGCCCATCTGCAACCTTCAGATGCGGATCTGCGCCGCGCGCCAGCAGGAACCTAATCTTCTCCTCATCACAGACACGCACCGCTGCATACAGAGGTGTAGATCGTCGCGGTGACACATAGTTGATGTCCGCGCCGTGTTCAATTAGCGCTTCCATGGTAGCTGTGCCGTTCGAATTGTGGCGGAGTCCGATGGCGTAGAACAAAATCTCGGGATGCAATGTTGCCCCATGCGCAATCAGTGTTCGCAGCGCCGTGGGGTCTGAGAGCTCTGCTGCATCCATCAGCGGGGTTCCCGGGTGTGAACAACTACCCGGCAGCTTTGGAGATATGACATTCGGGTTTGCACCATGTTCTAGTAGCCAACGGAGCAAATTTTCGCTTTCGAGGGCGTAACTGTGTTTCTATGAATAGAGATTCGTCACGGTATGATGCACCACTTACTATAGACCATTGAGCTGTGACGGCGATGAATTGATGTCCCACCCCGAATCAATCAAGAGTTTAAACACAGCAGTCTCCTCCCTGGCAAAGGCGGCATCGAACGAGGCATTGTTCAGTTTCGCCCCCAGTCGTAGTAAAAGTTCAATCGTCGCCAGTGAATTTTTAGGCATCGCTAGGGCCAGACCAGCATCGAGCTCACACTGCGCTTGATCGGGTGGCATTCCGGTCAGAATCCTTTGAATCGAGTCCAGGTCGTCATCGTGTACAGAGTCCTGAAGCGTGCGGTTGGTGAGCATTGTGGCGTGGTTGAACTAGGTGTCTGGCGGTTGGATGAGATGATGTAGAAAAATACTTTCAAAGAAATCGAGGGCCCGAGGTTTTCAGGACCATTACGGCACGGTGCAGGTGGTCTTTAAAGTTCCCACGCCGTGCGCCAAGGCCCCGAGCGCTAAGCTAGTGACCATTGGAGGCTGTGAATGATTGGTGCAGCCAGGAATAGCGACTCATCTTGTAGGAGAGTTAATGGTCGTGGGCTGAGGTGAGTACCTAGGCATGGCATGGTTGGGGCGCTCATGTGTGAGCCTTACGCTACTCGTACGAGTATCATCACTGATCCACAAGATGGCCGCTCAGACCGCAAATCATTCTGGTATATTTAAGAACAGTACACATCTGCATAGAATCCATAAAGCAGTTACTCATACGGCTACGACACTTTTCATCCAAAGTCACAAGCTCCTGCAGAATGATGAAGCTCATCTACTTGCCGCTGCTCCTAGCAGCGTGGTTGATCTCCGCTGATCTTGTCGCTGGTATGTACTCTATCGTGTGGTGAGAAGAAATTGCTGATTCGAAGATTTCGCAGTGCCTGCTATAATGGGCAAAACACCAAGACATATCAAAGCCGTTTACGACAATGACATCCTCGACCAACGTGAGAATGCGACCCGAAATACATTTCCACGAGCTCAGCGAGAAATATGCAGTGCTCCACGACGGTCAGATAGTCATCAGCGCCGCAGTCTTATTCCAGCCAAGAGTGTCGACAATGTCTTTCTCATTCGACGTACTATGAGCCTGCCTGAGCCAGGACACGAGGAAGAGTTCATCATGAAGGAAACGGCTGATGCGGTTCCTGCGGTATGGGAATTTGTGCATGATGAAAAAGGCGTGAAAGAGGAAATCGATATGAACACTGCTCTCTTCCAGGACTTCAAACAAAAGCGAAGTGTAGCGGCCATAGAGTTGAAAGGTTGTACCGTGTTAGCAATCATAAGTCGTAAAGGCGTATACATGGGACATTATTGGGAGGATATCTCGTTCGTTACGGATCAGTCGTTGATAGGAGGTGAAGACACACAGGAGGCCATTTTTGAACGGACAGTACTTAATGGAATCCGGGATGGCATAAAGGGACCAAAACGCGCAACGCAGATGTCTTTCACGAGGTTCGCACAGGAGCTTGGTGACGAACACGTTCGAGCTTTTCTCATACGTCCCGATAGGAACTCAGCTGATGGCCCGGAAGGATATCCCGTCCAATGGCAGAAGATGAAAGAGGTGGTAGTGAGTATTATGCCCAAGATTGCGGAGGACGGAAGATGGAATGAGGTTATCTACACAGCAGGTGCCACGAGGCAGGTTCTACAAAGAACTTCGGCAGGTAGAGTTTTGTTCAAAATAGACCCCGAACATGTTGAGAAAGCCTCTCGAAGAGCCAAAGCCACGCGCTTGGCTGTCTTGTGGGTTGAGACTCGGGAGGTCTACCGCGATGAGTGGCAGGAATGAAGATTTCATGGTGATGGAGCCTTTCACAATTCATAAATAGTCTTGAGGGTGCTGAACGTTGAGGCTTCTCTTTGTATTCCCGCTTACGCACAGCAATTTTGGGTGGAGTTCTAGTATTTGGTCTCATCATTATCATCATTGCTTTGCTATAAAACCTCATAATGCAAAAACTGTTTTCTTCTTGTTTACATGGATCATTACACTTGGATCGGCAGGCATATAACATATATGATTGGTAAGCTACCAGGATCCTCCCTCTCAGAGCATACGAGGCCAAATTTATCACCATCTGCTAAAAGGTCATCACAGCTTGCGAAAGATGCAGTATGACGTGGCCGACTGTGCCGCGCTGCTGCCTTTATATTAACTCGAGCTAAGAAGCGACCCAACGCAAAGGCCTTGTTCGGTGTTCATCAAACTTTCCGACATACCCACACTGGCCGTTACTTGAGCACCACCAACATGAAAAGTTGCCTTCCTAGTGCTTTGCAAGATGCTATATGCATGGGCCAACCCGACTGATTGAATCAAACTTGACCCCGAGCCCTGTCAGTATGAGAGAACGACAGAAAGAGCTGAATGGAGGCCTTGAGCTAGCAATACCTGCATCATCCCAAGAAGTCATCGCACGACTCTTGACCCTAGGTGCAACACTGAACTCACGCTCATGCCTTACTTTTCTTGCAAGACAGGAGCCTGCTATCCTCCAACTGCTGCTAGATTTCGGCTGGGATGTTAATTCCACTGAGACAAACTTTGCCACTGTCCAGTAAGCTTGAAATACAAACACAATCAAAATTACCTCTCACAGGCAAGTAGCCTCGCCGTCGAATATGAAATTTCGCTCGGCTGGTTGCTCGAACACGGCGCAGATCCAAGCGTCAGTTCAGAAAGACGCACCATAGGATCCTGCCTTCAACGTGCCACGGCGCTTGACTACGCGTCGAAGCGGTCCGATGCCACTGCAGTCAACTTATTGTTGTCCCATGGCGCCAAACTGGACGCAGACGCCATCTACTACGCCATTGGTCTTCGCTATCAGAAAAACGGCACAGCCACGTTACAAGCGCTGATTGATCATGGTGCTGACGTCAATTACGTTTCGGAAAAGTACTTCACGCCGCTCCACCACGTCGTCCTCAGAGGTCAACTGGACAAACTCACACTACTGCTGGAACGAGGCGCGGATCCGAGCATTAAGGCGTTGCGGCGCCAAATCTCTGCGCTAGAATTTGCGAAAGAGAAGGGTTACACAGACATGGCTGAGATGATGGAAGCTGCAAGTCGCTAGAATACGCCTTGAGATGGCCGATCCACTCAAACATGTATGGTGAGAGTATGGTTTCAGTACAAGCGTAGTACAATGGTTATTTTGGGAAGGTTAACTGTCCTTCTACGTTGCATTGTTGTTTCTAAGCACATATGCCATGCAAAACTATCGCGAATCAGTTTGATCCTTGCATACGATTTCTGGTCAATTCTTCCGGAAAGTCACCTGCATTCACCTTGTCAAATCATAATCACAGTGCGCGATAGATATGAGCTTTGTGTATAGTATAATAATTAAGATAACAAGTTTAATATAGAAGAGTAGAAGTACTAATGCGTAAACTACAAGATCTAGCTAGTTAACGTGTAGAATTTGACTTGAAAATAGCACGTATATAGGACACGTCTTAGACCACGAGTGTATGCTCTACTGCGTGTCCACCCACATAGCCACCTCGAAGTTCTATGACCTGAGCGTACTGCCTAAGCCGACCACGCGAGGCGATTGCGTACATTACCACACCCGACGTAAACATCTTCAACGAGGAAGCTTTAAAGGATCTCACTTGAAACAATGAGAGAATGTGTGATTCATAAGATGAACTGCTTAACCCGGCTTTTTCTTTCCGCTTTATCGTTTCTTTCCGCTTTATCATCTCCACATGGAAATCTAATGGCCGTGTAACCAAAAACTCCTAGTCATAAACAGCCACTTCCGTCGAAGGTTCAGTCAAATCGTATCTATAGACCGATTCTGCTGGCACTATTCTGACCTGCGTAAGTGCTAAGTTGAAGCGGATACAGCCTCAAATTCCTACAACAAATGGCGTGTACGAACGCTGGCCGGCCATCTGCGCTGCTAGACCTTCCTCCATCCATCTGTCCGGATCGAATCGCAAAGGATTATCCCAGTGAGCCGAGCTCCAGGAAGATCACCATTACGCTTACAATACCCGCCTATTCACCCTCAGTTACTCACTGCTTATATAAGCAGTAATACGTAGAGGGCTACCATGGTAGTATGTCCTATGAGTAGCCCTTCAAATACTCTGCAAACTACGAAAATCTCTTCGAAGAGATAGGTAGCCATCGCGGAGGAGCTGGGACGTATGACGAGATACAGCATCCTTTTTTTGACTGTTTCATTGAAGAGGTTCTTCGCCTCCATAGTCCCAGCTTCCAAACCGCACGTATGCCAAATAAGATACAGTCCTATCAGGACGGCACTTGTTTCCACGCTTCGGGAAGTGAAGCGGAGCATCAATTTGGAAGGCCGTCGGCTTCAGCTCACCTGACGTGCGCACAAAACACAACGCTGTCTGTCATATAGGTACTAGGTAAGCGCTACGGGTCTAGCTGCCGCTCACACAGCCGCTTGGAGCAAAACAGGATTGTAGAGTAATCGAACCAACTCGCTGAAAATGGCACATTATGGGAGTATTCTGAGCGCTAAGCCGAGATGGTTAAGGCCCACAGGTACTCGCGTTAGAGTTCAGAACCTCCGTTTTACCGAGAGCAACTCCATTCCTATCTCCATCTTGGAAACGGAGCCTAATTAGTTCAAAGCGGACATTAGGGATTGGAAACGGAGCAACCGAATTGGTCGTCGGACCGTTTCACGGCAATTTATGTCTGCCGCGATGCTATTCTAAAACCGGAGTCAACCGACTAAGCTCTTTCTCGGTCAACAGAAAGCAGACAAAGATCTTCCAGCCCAGCAAAAAGTTGGTTTAGAAACTCACGATCCTGCGATCATTAGCACCATAACCGATTGCCAACACCCTTCCATGAGGACCTAGCTCGGCGAAGACATCACACTCAAGCAATCAGCCGATCATAATAACCTGGAGTCGCTATGGATCGTAGTACAAGGCCACGATATGCTTGATAACCCCGCACATCCTGAGATGTGAGAGGCTTGAACTAGCTTGCGCCTCAGTCTACGATCTCACGACTTTCAGCTCGGACCATTCAGGAGATGTCGATGCACTTGCGTCATCTGCTGGGCCCGATGGCACGAAATAAAATGAGTATGCTAGCCACTGCGAGTTGAGTATGGCGAATATGCAGCATTAACTTCATGGTAGGCGTGCCGGCAGCCACGAGCAACCTCATCCGTTGCCAATAGTCTACTTTCTGCACAAGTGAAGCCCGTGGGGCGCTCTACATGCTCTTCTAAACGGGTTTCGTCTTCATGCTGGACAATTCTCCCAGCTAGTGTATCTTTAGCTTCGCTTATTGCAGCACATGCTTACTGTTGGAGAGATGGTGCCTTTGATGACATCATACTGGCACTGAACATCCCAAAGTTGCAATCAAGGAACGTTTCGCATGAGCATTTCAGGACATGTATTCTGGGCGGGCGTAAAGGTAGCCTCATTAGCAAGCCGTGCTAGTATGAGCTTTCTCTACAAAATATTCTTGTCGACTCTTGACTACCAGAACGATGTATTTAACTTTCCACCTGTGGGACCGAGAAAAGCAAACAGACAGAGATAGTTCATAAGCGTGTTCCACTATCAGATTGGCAGCGCTACCTGGTTAATTATCGCCGCACCATTTATTGTAACATCGATCCGCGATAACTCGATAAGCCTATATAGACTAAAACCATACAGTAAAAAGGTATAGCTCTATTTCTCCTACATTTTGTCTCCAATTAGGTTCTTGGGGAAACACACGCTAGAATTAAGTAGAACATCAAGAACAGCTATCTTAAACGTAGAATATTGACGTCGCTAGAATTGCGGGCCACAGTAGTAGTGCTACGAAGTCAATTATGCTTTCTACTTAAAAATCAAGAAACCTCCATGGTGTCTACTTAGACATGGATACATATAGGATCTATGCCTGGGCCATAACCCAGTCAATCGTTCGAAGTACCGCCTTGATTTCAGGCCCTCTCTTTGGGACATCATGCAACCCTGTATGGAGTACCGTCTTTACTCGAGAATCGTCGCATAAGCTCCGAGCTACTTCGGCCATTTTGATCATGGTTTGGGAGTCATTTCGTCCCCACACGTGGACAGTCGGGATCTGAATCTTTTGCGCTAGGAAAGATGGCAACATTACGCAGGGAACAGCATCGCGCTCTCCACATCGCAAGATGTCCATATCGAACTGCGGGAAATGAGAATTTTCGAAAGTTGCATCGACAACTGTCTGCTGTAGTACGGTAACGAACTCTCGCTCTCCCATCGTTAGGTCTTCGCTGCTGCAAATTGACCGATCCGCTATGTTGTATTCGAGAGCCCGTAAATTCGAAATGATTTCATCTCCCATGGTACAGTCTGAACTCATTGGTACTGTGGTTGAGAAAAGGCATGCAAATCTGACTCCTGGTGCATTGCCGATCTTTTGCTGGTGGTAGAGATATGATAATGTCAGAGCTGCGCCCTGGCTGAATCCGACTATGCCCTCGAAAGGTCCTTCCTCTGCGATAAGGTCCTCTACATATTCAACCGCTCGTGCCATATGAAATGGTGCATAATTCTGGGTGAAGGTGAAAAATGGACCTGGGTGGTATTCGGGAACGCCTGTTGGCAAAATGTCAATGACGCATGGCAGAGTTTGGATGAAATGCGCACCGGGCCCTCGCTCGCATTCGAATGGTCCGTCTGTGAAGACAAGCTCTATGCTTGGGTCTAGCTGGTGCTGCAAATTGGCGATCTGAGCTTCGAAAATTGCGCCCGAGCTGCCGGCACCATGGAGACACAGAATCCGCATTTTGCACGAAGAAAGTTGAAGGTGATTACTACCATACTCTGGAGAAGAGACTCGTTGAACAATAGACTACATGTACGGACAACAACCTTGCAATAGACCCCCGCTGCATCTTGTCACGCTGGAAGGCTTCCCGATTTGGACACGGGCCGAACCGAGCCCCGAGCGTGAGCCTCTTTACCCATCCGGGGCACGGCGGTTGTCCTCATGTGGTACGCCTAATACAGCACATCGCCGTCCGACCAGATCAGATTGTGTCGTTGTCGATCCATTGCGCAACGCGATGGAGTGGGGAACGCGTCACGTACAATCGTATTGAAGTGGCCACACTTTGTACAGCGGAGCTCGTACCATAGGTCATCAAGGGCAGCATGCAATTGGCCTATCCAAGCATGTATATTATTAACTTCACCCCCCTCTCTGACCCGGAATGTTTTAAGCATACTCCCCGCCCGCTGCACTCCTTTCTACACCTATCACGAGGCATTCTTTCTATATGTATAGCTATTTCAACCCCTTCAGCACTTTTGCCCTTGAGGGAAGAAACATTAGCAGCCTTCGAAACCGAGAATTACAGCGTGTTCCTTCAAGACAGACAATCGGAGGTCCAACCACCTAGTTCAATCATCTTGCATTTCACTCTACTTAAACAAAATATAGCATGAACTGCCCGGACAAACAAGAGCCCATCGCCATTGTCGGTGCAGCATGTCGATTCCCTGGTGAAGCGTCCTCCCTAGGCTCTCTATGGGACATGATCAGCAAGGTCAAAACAGGGCACTGTCCAGTTCCAAAGGACAGATGGGATAGCGAGCGCTGGTATCATCCTAACCCCTGACCGCAAGGGCGGAATCGTTCCACGTCATGGGTACTTCATTAAACAGGATATCAGTCAATTTGACGCGCCATTCTTTTCAATGACAGCCAAAGAGGCTGCTGCTATGGATCCGATGAAGAGGTTGTTGCTTGAAGTAAGTTATGAAAGCTTCGAGAATGGTAAAACTCCTTTGAATCGAGCCGATGGCACACCATACTAACTTTGGTGTCTAGCCGGCATTTCGGTCAGTGTTCTGATGAACAGCCGCACCGGTTGCTACGTCGGCTGCATGACAAACGACTACGAGACGATTAGTCTGCTCGATACCTACGACATTAGCAATTCCGCAGCATTGGGCGTGAGCGAAGCGATGACTGCAAATCGTATCTCATGGTTTTATGGTCTCAAGGGACCGAGCTTGACTATCGATACCGCGTGCAGCTCCTCAATGTACGCTCTTCACTATGCATGCCAGTCGCTTAGATTAAAAGAAACAAATATGGTAGGTTTAAGCGCTGCCATATGCATACAGTCCACTGATTTTGTTCTAGTCACTTGTTGCTGGTGTCAATCTCATCATCGACCCCAAGGGTAGTCACGTACTCACAAACATGCACATGCTCAGCCCTGACGGTATCTCGCACACATTCGACGATCGAGCTAATGGATATGGTAGAGGAGATGGTATTGCCTCCTTAGTCCTCAAACGACTGTGTGATGCCATTCGAGACGGCGATACTATACGTGCCGTCATACGCGGCACTGGTGTTAACGCCGATGGTAAGACACCTAGTGTCACACAACCTAGCGCCAAAGCACAAGCCGATCTAATCAATCAGACCTATGAGGATGCAGGCTTGGATCAGTCAGATACGGGGTACTTTGAATGCCACGGTACTGGTACACCCGTAGGTGACCCTCTGGAATTGACTGCTATTGCCACCACCATCGGAGCGGCAAGGCGATCAGCCGGGAAATCTCCACTCCCTATTGGTAGTATCAAGCCAACCGTGGGCCATACAGAAGGATGTGCTGGCCTAGCAGGAGTGTTCAAAGCTATCCTGCTGCTCGAAAAAGGAATGCTGGTACCCACGTACGGCGTGCAAAGTGTGAACCCAAAGCTCAAACTTGATGATTGGCACCTTACTCTCCCACAAAGTCTTGTAAAGTGGCCCACAACAGAACTTCGCCGAGCTAGTGTTAACTCTTTCGGATTCGGAGGCGCCAATGCCCATGCTATTCTGGACGATGCTTACCACTACTGCCAACAAAGAGGTCTTGTTGGCGACCACAACACGACTATACCTCGCCCAGACTTGGCCGAAAGAACGGATGACGGCCAAGAGACAGATGTCACCATCGGTGCTTTCAAACAGTTGTTCCTTTTCACTGGAAAAGACAAGTCCGGTGCTCAGCGGGTGGCCGATAGATTGAACACGTGGCTGCAGAATGAAGCCATGGAAAATAACACAAAAAATCTTGCATATACCCTCGCTATGCGCCGTACGCATCTGGAGCATCGGGCTTTTACGGTTGCCCGATCGCGATCGGAGCTCACAGAGCGACTCGCAAAGGGATTGCCAGCAGCTATTCGATCACAGCGCTATGGCAATAACCTTGTTATGATATTCACTGGCCAGGGTGCTCAGTGGGCAGGAATGGGTCGCGAACTCCTCGAAATTCCTGCGTTCCGCCGTAGCATAGAGACTTCACAGTCCTACCTCAAGGCTTTAGGCTGCAGATGGGATGCAACCGAAGAGTTGACAAACACAAACAACACGAAGATCAACCTTCCGGAATACAGTCAGCCTCTCTGTACAGTGGTTCAGATAGCTCTTGTTGACATACTACGATCCTGGAAGATTTTACCAACCGCCACCATTGGGCACTCCAGTGGCGAGATCGCAGCTGCATATGCCGCTGCGCTGCTATCTCAACACGATGCAGTAAAGCTGGCTTACTTCCGCGGGCTCAGCTCTTCAGCTGTTTCTAGAAAAGGTGCAATGATGGCTGTCGGGCTTGCCCAAGATGAAGCTCAGAAGTATCTCGAGAACGTCCCCCCTGGATCTGCTGTTGTAGCTTGTATCAACAGTCCTTCTAGTGTGACTCTGTCGGGAGATGTTGAAGCTATCGATCAGCTGGAAATTCTGATTTCTCGAGATGGCAAGTTTGCCCGTAAACTGGAGGTTGTCACTGCGTACCATTCTCCTCACATGAAGGAGGTCTCAGGGACCTATCTCCAGAGTATTGGAGATATAGTACCACTCCAGAGACACACTGTGGGTGATGCCCCCGTCATGTACTCATCTCTTACTGGTTGCATCATCTCTTCTGCCGAGGAATTGAACGCTCAATATTGGGTCGACAACATGCAGAATCCAGTGCAATTCTCTCAAGCTTTGCTGGCCTTACTAAAACACAGAAAAGCCAACCCAGATAGTCATCGCCAAGTTCTTGTGCAGTGGGGGGGTCTACTTGAAGTTGGACCCCACGCCGCTCTGCAAGGACCATTGCGGCAAACTATCGACACAGGCAGCAACCAGTTTGCCAAATCTGCACCTTACATATCAATGCTCTTCCGTGGCAAAGATGCATCAGAGACATCTTTAACTGCCGCAGGAGTACTCTGGTCCGCAGGCTACAACGTTGACTTGAATGCGGTCAATAATTTCGCAGCCTCCAATCGTAGCACCCCTCGGATGATTTCAGATCTACCTTCATATCCATGGAGCCATAAAAGGAGTTTCTGGCATGAGTCCTGTACTTCCCGCGCTTGTCGGTTTCCACTACACGTCCGTAATGACTTTCTTGGCATTGCCGAAGATGCTCAGATTAGTCATGAACCCCGATGGAGAAACTACCTTCGTGTCCCCGAAAATCCATGGATTGAACACCACACAGTCACAGGAACTGTATTATATCCAGGGTCGGGCATGCTTGTCATGGCCTTGGAAGGTGCACTACTCACTGCTGACTCCTCCAAGACGGTCAAAGGCTTCCGAATGAATGATGTAATGTTCGCGCGCGGAATGGTGATATCTCTCGATGATAGTGCGCCGGTAGAGACACGCTTGAGTTTCCATCCACACAGCACGAAACCCGGGTCGTTTGAGTTCTCGATCTTTTCAATGACGAATGGCCCGCCGTGGGTGAAGCATTGTACCGGGACCATCACGCTCGTATACGAACAAGAAGCAAGCGAAATAGAAGAAGACGGTCTAGATGTCGTGTGGCAACGGCAGCTAACGGTATGGAAAGCCTTGCTTCACGAAGCAGGTTCTGTTTCCCTGAACGTTAATGATTTTTACAAGAATCTGGACACTATTGGAATGCAATATGGGCCGACATTCCGCAACACAGCGTCCCTAACAGCAGTACCATCCAAGAATGCTTCTTACGGATCTGTAGCTATTCCTGATACAAAATCAACAATGCCCGGGAATTACGAATCGCCGCATGTTATACACCCAGCCACTATGGACTCTATATTTCACTTGGTAATTGCTTCTCACCATGCCGGCGGGCCACTCATTCAGGCCGTAGTACCGTATAGCATTGACGAGATCTATGTCGCCCTTGATCAGCCGAAGGAACCAGGGACTCTCTACTCTGGATATGGCCGATTGCTGTCGCATCGCGGCCGTGAAATCACAAGTGAACTAGTGGTATCCGACCAAGAGTGGTCAGAGCCGAAGCTCACAATCAAAAACTTTGGTCTTCGTCAAGTCACGTCTGATAAAGCAGGCCACGTCACTACAACCACCAACAAAACAAACTCCAAGATGATCAAAAATTGCGCCAACATCTCTTGGGTCCCTGACCTCGAGTTCTTGGCTGACGGTGGGGATCTCACAAAGTTGATATTATCCGGGACGGAGGCTTATCCAATGGACACCTGGCTAGACGCCATATTCCTGAAGCAAGCAAACAGCACAGCACTGATCATTTTGTTTGATGAGTCTGAACGTAATGTGGAGATTCTTGTTCGTCTGAAGACCAGGACTTACGGACCTAGCAAGATTTTTGCCTTTGCTACATCTCAACCCGGATCCGAGGTGATGCGAGCTGCGCTTGGTGCAAGTTCTGAGAATTTGAACATAAGCTATGATTGGCTACCAACGAGCCAAATTTTCCAGAAGCTTGCGCCAGAAGCAAATGATCTTGTCATCGCTTTAGGAGTTCCGGACATCGCCAACAACGCTGCAATTCTCACTAGGCTGTCTCCACTAGCTTGTCTCACCTATATCAAGGAGCCGAGTGAAGAAGATATTGTTCTGTCAGGGAGGACTTGTGTCAGCCGCCTGGAGGAGGATAAAATTTGCTTCCTGTTCGCAACGAGGACGAGTCCAGACTTGACTGAGCTACCAAGCTCAATTGTGCTTCTCCTGCCTGCCCAGCCATCCGATAATCTTAGCACGCTCGCAAACATGATTCAAGCGAGGCTTGATGGCTTTGGTACGTCGGTAACACAGTCAGGATTGTCTGCAAGCAGCATTGCTTCGCTTGGCGGAAAGTCAGTGATCTCGCTCCTTGAAATCGATAGTCCGCTGGTGTATGAATGGAACGAAGAACAGTTCAGCGCATTCAAGGACCTCGTATCTACGGTCAGACATCTTTTCTGGATCGCTCGTGGTAGCGTGCTCGAAAGCTGGTCGGGCGGTGTCGAATTCGCAACAAGCCAGGGTCTGTTCAGAGTCATGCGTAACGAATATCCAATGGCAATCTTGCCGAGCCTGAACTTATCTGCCGTGGCAGAAATCTGCAACGCCAAATACGCAGATCTTGTTCTGGATGTTTGGCGAGCGTCGTTAGATGAGCATGGAGAAATGGAATATGTTGAAGCCAATGGCTTGATATACGTTCCGCGTGCAACCGAGAATGCTGGTTTCGATTACGAACTGCAGCTAGCAAGCAATACGGCGAGTCCAACCTTGGCGGCGTTGGACGTTTCAGGAGAACCGCTCAAGGCGAGCCAGTCCCCCGACTCTAGAGACTGTATCTGGATCCCAGACGACGAAGCAAATTCACCGCTGGGAGCAGATGAGGTCGAAGTCAATGTTGAATGCGCGGGGCTCGGAAGCGGCTCAACACTAGATTCTGTTCGTCATGCTGTTGGCATTGTTACACGTCGTGGCGATTCTGTCACAGCTTTTGAGCTTGGTCAACATGTCATCGTGTTCTCCACCGCTGCCGCGAGAACTCATATACGCCAGAATCAGGCTATGGTCGTGTCAAAACCTGATTACCTAGAACCGCATGATGCTGTTGCGCTTGTTGAGCCGGTAGTGACTGCACAGTATGCACTTATTGAGTTGGCACGGTTGAGTCAGGGACAACTGTGTCTGTTCGATAACGCAGGAAGTGCTGTCGGCCAAGCCTTGATGCAAGTCGCGAAAGCGGTTGGCTCTGATATGTTCGCTTTGGTACATAATAAAGCAGAGCGAGACTTGATTGTGGATCGATTTGCAATCCCCACAGATCACGTCTTTGACTCGGCCCTGAATAATTTTGTGCCGCTCATTGAGAGCGCCATCAACCAACGCGGAATTGACGTGTTTGTCAGCCAGCACTCGGGTACACATATCGCTGGAGCCGTGTCTATTATGAGCGCATTTGGTCATTTTGTCGATATCACAACTGAGGGTCCCAGAGTTTCTCTTCCATCGGCCTCCAACATAACACTTACTCGCGTTGACGTGAAAGCAGTAGTAAAGGGCAGGAAGAATGTCGTCAGCAGACTTTTCCAACAAGCGTTCACCGAGTACAGCCTCCAAGGCCCTTCACACATGGTAGCCATACCAGCCACTAACCTACCAGCCGTACTGAACAATGTCCGGGCCGAACAAACCGTCATAACACTTCATGATGCAACTCCTGTGCTCATGCCTCCGCCACCCGCGCGCGAGTTGGAACTCGATGGTCAAGCGACCTACGTGCTCGTTGGTGGACTAGGTGCTCTAGGGCTGGAAATCGCCGGCTGGATGGTGAACTGCGGTGCCAAACATCTTGTTTTTTTGTCTCGGGCAGGCGGGTCGAAGAATCACGATGATCTGCAGAGGTTATCCGAGCGTTTCGTGCAAGCTGAAGCCTACAAGTGTGATGTGAACGACGCAGCCAGTGTTGCCCGTGTCTTTGATACGCTCAAGGTGGGCGGTAAGCGAATTGCCGGAGTGGTTCAACTTGCGATGGTTCTTCAAGACTGCATTTTCGAAAACATGTCCTTCCGTCAGTGGCGTAATGCAATCAGTCCCAAGACTGAGGGCTCATGGAACCTTTTGGCCAATATCTCGCCGGGCGATAAATCTTTCTTCATCCTGCTTTCGTCTATCACAGGTGTTATAGGCAACAAAGCCCAAGCAAATTACGCTTCCGGAAACACCTTTGAGGACGCGTTGGCGCATTATGCTCGTACTCATTTAGGCATCAACGCTACCAGTATTGATGTCGGATTGGTATCTGACTCATCACACTTTACCACGGCCGGAGCATTCGGTGATCTCGAAAGCTATGTAAGGCGGTATCAGCACGGTTGGCGCGGTCTACAGACCAACCTTACAGAGCTCGGCGTCGTCATGCGGGCCATCATGCGCGGCTCCACCACAAATGGACAAGAGGCACCTGCACAGCTGGTGCTAGGCTTAGGTGACGGCATCAAGCACAATGAGAGCATGGGAGGCTTCTCACGAGACAAGAAGTTTCAGCTACGCGTTGTCGGAAAAGGAGACGAAGCCGAAGGCGTTGATGCAAAGCAGGACGTAGGCGCCCTCTTGTCTAATGCAACGACTATGTTGGAGGCGACAGCAGTTGTAGAAGATAACATCAAGGAAATGATCGCTGCGTCCATGAGTATTGGTATAGAAGAGATCGATCCTCAAAAACCTCTATTTGAATATGGTGGCAAGTCCTCCCTTTCGCTTTTCGAAAATGCTTTCAACATTTCGCTAACTCCTGTAGTTGATTCTCTACAAGCCGTGGAAATTAGGAACCGGGCTCAGAAGTTTATGCGTAGCGATATTTCCGTCTTCGATATCTTGAGTGCAATGCCACTGGCGGATGTATCTGCCAAAATTTCAGCGAGGAGTCAATTGGTCAAGGTAACCGATAGTGAAGAATAGAATACGTTCTCTGACAGTATACCATTTATACAATGAGATAAGTTGAAGGGCATAAAGTAGCAGAGCAAGAACGAAGAACAGCTATTGTAAAGTGTAACGTGTCCCAAGCCCAATTGAGCTTCTCGCTTCAAGCAAAGAGGCGATAGACTTATAAGTTATCCCTGCTTGATATTAGATGTCAATTCAGCTCTTTCCACCTGACATGAAGATTCCCTAAAAGGTTACTATTATACTTTATGAACGAAGACTATTACCCAATCCTGTCAACAACCCCTACCCCAATGCCATGCAAATTCTCATCGTTTCTTTTGCTTGCTCAAGATACGCTTCTGCTTCTTTTAACGCTCTAGCTAGGTCCTGATGCAAATGATTGCGCGATCGCTCCTTTAGTTTGTCGATATGCTCCTGGAACTCACTGACGTGAAGCGTGACCAGACTGTCCAGCAAAAACAGCATTTCTCGACTGTTGACACGGTATGACGACACGAGAATGTTAACAGAACAAAAGGCAGCAGGCGAGCTGTCCAGACCGCTCTCTTGTTGGAAGGACGAGTTTGTGTTGTTTTTCTTGTCTTTCTTATGGTGTAGGTATAGGGCCTTGAAAGAGTTGGCTATTTTCGCACAGATAAGGCTAATTTGCCGAATCGCCTTAGCAAGCAACATGTTTTGCTCCAAGCTTGTCGCGCAGCATTTGCACGCCAAAAATACATACAACTTCTCCATAGCTTCACGAAACTCAGCGAGTAGTGTGTCCATGCGATTCTCGCGCGACACGGAGTCCGAAGCCAGGCATTCTAGAAAGGTAATCGAGTACAGGAGACAGTGGCAGCTGCTGTCTCCTAGTTCTGGTTCGTTCTCCGGAGACGTGAGTGCCAGCGGATCACATGTGGTGTCCATGAATGAGCCGGAGTACGTTGCCCATGTCATAGTTGTGTCTAGGAGCTGCATGTCTAAGGGACCCGAATCGATTGGGCCTTCAGTGAGTGTGTAGCCGCCGAGCAGTTGTGCCTCCAACGATTGGTCCATACTTGATGACAAGGGGAATAATGCCGTAGCACTGCGAGCGACTATACTAGAGGACGATTCACTTCCCGTCATCGCAGACTCATGAGCGGCTATATTGAGGAGGAATTAGTAAAACATTGACTGTACATTTCCGTTCATAAGGGTTTCTAGTAGGCTAGAAAGTGACTGGGGATTTACATACGTGTTCGCTTACTGTTACCACTGGTCTTCGAGCTTGCCTCGCTATTGTAGCTACATGGCGTCGTCGTGCTCCACGTCCAGGGTGTAGAAATATTTTCATTGATATGGTTGTCGTCAAACCCGCTGTGATCCAATCCGTCAAGGGTGAAGTTCTCATCATATTCCATTCGAATGTTCTCGGCGCTTAGGATAGCATCGCTGAATGAATCGCATGGCATGGTGTTCATGCTGTAGTCAGCATGCTGGTTCTCCGTCTTGGTGGAGGTCGTGGGTCAGCAACTACTTCTCGCGGGTACAGGGTTGTCTCAGTGTCCTTACTATCCGACGATCCTTGTTCTTTTGTTGTTGTCGTCTGCTGTCCGGATACACGCACTCAATATTCATTCCTACACATCTTTGGCATCGCTTTCCACCACCTGCACAGCGTGCCTTTTAGTCTCATTAGTGATTGAACTTTCTTCCGTTAAAAGGAGGCGACTGGGTGGAATAGGGAAGAGCAAACGTCTCCCTATAACTGAACAATGCCAGCACAAATGCCCATCAAGTGACATACTTTTCTCGAGCGGCAAAAGAGGCAAGCAACACGCATCTTATCGTGTGATCTTCGACTGACTGCCGCGACTGGATCGGTTTGCTTGATGAACTTAAGTACGCGCCGCCGCGGAGAACTTGTCACCAGAGTTCCAAACATTGCAGATGACTTTTTATTGTACGTGTATGCGCTCGGCGTTATGAAAAGAAAATACAAGAGAGGTATGAACGGTAAATAAAAAAGAAGATTCGAGCGCAGATTGGGATGCAAGTGCTGTTGACTATAATAGCCCAACACTCGACAGTTCGGCCGGATGGAGCAAATCGACTGAACCCAGTCTAGACTTCTTGGAATTCCGCAGCAGACAGGGTATAACAGTAACTCCATGATACTGTGGTCACAGGCAAAATCATTGTAGGTGGGCCGCTTTGCATGGGTTTGTGACAACCCGCCGAATGATTTCGCTCAAGGGATTTGACGAACAATATGGCCAAATCTTGCTTACTCATTACAATGGCTGCCTGTGTCTTCCCTGCCAGCTCTTTCCTGCCGCTAGACTCACCTACAATACGCTTGCCTATAACCACAGTAGAACACAATAAAGAATTCCTTCCTACGGAAGTGTAAGGTTGCCGCGAACTTCCGCAAAGTTTATCTGAGTAAATGCAGTCGAGCTGGGATCGTTCCAGTCCAAGGCACGTGCGGCACGCCGGCTTACTACCGCATGTAGGTTCGATCGACAAGAATCTGCAGGGGTATTATACACCCCCACCCCTCCATGAACGGGTTGATTTGTATTGTCCTTTAGCGTAACAAGGGCATATCCAGGGATCGACCCCGAAGAAAACAATTGTAGTGGAAAGAAACCCTAGTCCTGCCCCTTCTCTCCGGATCCGCGCTAACGATCCATTTATAGATAGCAACTGTACTGTAGACTCTGTAGACTGTTCTCAGGTCGTTTCTTAAGGGTGAAGGAAGTGTATCGCAGGTGTACACGCTTCCCACATGACCAGCAATATCCTTAGAGGTTGTTGTTTCAACTCTATCGTTGACAATAATACCCCTGAAACTTTATATCAGTCAAGGTCACATGCGGTACACTGTCAGGGTCTCAAAACGCCAAGTTGCAATCCAAGACTTAGAAGTGTTGGAGCTATTAGTCGAACCGATTTAGGACAGGGATTCCGCCGAGCATATATATACCGCTATACACTAAGCGCCTTCTTATCTAAACTGAAAATGCTACATCGCCTAGTGCTGCCGAGATAGCTGTATGTCAGTTATATCAGAATATCAACTATTAATATAAATTGGTAGTTGAGCAATCGCATATCTATGATAAGGTAGGTTGATTAGAGAGCTTTATTAGGTTTGACATCATGACAAATGTTAAAAAAAAGTGGTGAAGTGGGAGGGGGCAGGGGGCAGGGTAAGCAAGCATGACTGCGAACTATACCATTTAACTGGAATGGCTACCCCAAAACGGCGCAGAGTCATATGTCAAGTGACGATTGAGTAGCTGTGGTGGACCCGTCAAGGATCTTTGCACCCCCATGGCATTCGCAGTCAAACATTACGACCCAACAGCCCTTCAAATCTTGTCAACCGCGGCGCCAGGCCAATCGTATGGCAATGGTCTACGCAATTGCCGGCATATAAGGTCACCAGACGCCAAGCCGCATCTTGGATGTTTATAGCTATCATTAAGTAGTATGTACACTTCCCTCCCATTAACGGAGTGCTAGCGTGATTTGCGTGCAAGAGCCAATGCTGGGGTTCTTGTCTAATCCAATATTTAGAAAACCCCTAATTTAGCTCTTGCACGCCAAGTACGCTAGCACTTCATTCATGGGAGGGGAGTGTATTGCCGTGTCGGACTTTCGCGTGTCTACCTTCTTGGAGGAAAAACGGCTGTAAATCAGCATGAACATGTCAGCATTATGATAAACAATAAGACTCAATCTATTGGAACTCATGGCAACTAATCGACTGCTCTAACTAGGATGCGACTTGGCGTTTAGAGACTCTGTACGGCGCAAGAGCATTGGCATAACAACATTACAAATCCTACTGGACGCCGGCGCCGATGCGAATTTAGTGAGCAAGTGGTATTGCACACCAATGTCATATGCTATGAGAATGGGTGGGAGAGAGAAATCTAAGCTTCTGTTGGATAGTGGGGTGGGTCCTGCTGGGCAATCTTTGAAGGGTTGGTCGGCGAGAGCATAGGCGCGGTGGGATGGGCTCGGGGACCTCAGCATGTGGACATGATGTAGGAAGCAAAGCCAGCGGCAAGACAGAAAGCCAATGGCGAGACGGTCGATGAATATTGCGCAGAAGATATGGAGAGTAGATGTGCAGTATATAATATTGATGAGTGAATGGAGGATAGCTCGGTTTGATGGTCATGTGACCTCGGGAGCATGCGGAAGCTCTCGGAGAAAGTCCAATGTTGATCGGTTGACTCATCTACAATAGCTTAGCAACACCTGGCTGTCCTTAGATAGGAATAATGAATTGCTGCACGGCGCTCTCGTTTTGCATGTTTGTTCGTGGTATGTGACCAGCAGTCCGATCATGATGCATTATTAGCGTCCGTGATTCAGATTACCCAATCATCATCATCGCTGCCTTGGAGGCGCACGCTTCAGCCCCCACACACGCCTCCTTAGTCCTGGTAGGCGGATCAGGTCCCGTATCATGTGGCGCATGTCTTGCATGTGCGAGCCTGGTGAGTCCAAGCAGTAAGCCTTTTGCTCAGCACAGCGTACATAGAAGCTCAGCCGCTCTCATGCTCGTTCCCACGATCATTGCGGCGGCCACGTTCGCACAACAAAATGGCTGAGAAGACTGCGACCGCGGTAAGTACAACTGCCATACGAAGCGCGTACCGGGTAGGATGTATGTACTGACGCGTGGCAGACGACTTCGCTGAAGCCACCCTTCAGACAACGATCCATTCCGCCAGAATCATCGCTCTCCGCTTCGCAAACTTCGCTTTTTAATGCTGTCACCCAGCAGCCGGTTCTCGACACAGCGACTAGCATCCCCCTAACGCCGCTTGACTCGCTGCCTACCATAACTGGTCGCGGTAACGATGTCGTACTTGCGAACGACTCGATCGACCAATTCCTCAAGACAGAACTCGACCTGTCGCGCCTGAATCGCATCCATGGCCATTTGTGGATGGCAGGCCGCCCAATGCGCGCGCGCCCACTACACAGATACCGCATGATGGGTTTCAATGTGCTATTCACACAGCAAATGGACTTGCATTTGCTCAAGTTCAGTAATCACCTGCTGATCAAGCCACTGCCTGAGTGGATACTATGCGCCGACTTTTGGACCAAGCACTTGTGTAGCGACAAGGTGCTACATCAATCAGCCTGCGGATTTCTGCTCTCGTATGTCTGGCTTCTGGTCACGCCGCTGGATCTCAAGCTCGCACACGACTTTTCTCTGGTGCCTAGCTTCATAACGTGGCATTGGTGGAAGGATTTCGTGAAAGATTTCCTTGCGCCGGGGCATGTGGATATCAATACCCTTGCGCAGGTCAACAAGCGATACCAATTTGGCGATCTGAGACTCGGACGCATCAACTCAACATATCGCATTCGCTTCTTCTACTCGCACTTTGTGCGTGGGTACTTGTATGGGTACAATCGATACGTGGTCTTCTTCCAGCGAAACTTTAGTTGGATTTTGATCGTGTTCGTGTTCTTCAGCCTTGTCCTGAGCGCGATGCAAGTCGGTACCGGGCTGGATGAGTTAAAAGACAACCACGCTTTCCTTCGCGCTAGCTACATTTTCGTGGTTTTCAGCATGGTCAGCGTTATTGCTGTGCTCGCCTTGGTTGGGATGATCTTCATTATCATTTTCTTGTTCAACATGGTCACTGCGATCAATCACGCGAAAGAAGAACAACGGAAGCGGAAGAAACTCGCCCAAAAAAAGTCAGACCAAGGCAAAGAAGCTTGAATGGCAAATCATATCTATTCAGGTCCGGAAACGCCTGGCACGCCAGCCATGAAATCTACGTTCACAACTCGTCGTTCTGCCCCTCTTTCCTTGTCGGCGCCTTTCCCTTCCCCTTCAACACCATCGCTTCAACCGTGAACGTAACCTCCTTGTCCTCATCATATGTATGACTTAATTTCCCGACCACCTTTCCATCCGCTGGCTCATTACTATACAAGTCCAAATCATCGAACACGTCCTCGCACTCTGCGTCCTCCGGCTCGTCTACCCACAGCGGCAATATCGGGTAAATCGCGCCGGGCGCGAAAAACACATTGTCGTCTTGAACATTGAAGTGCTTCTGCTTCGGTGTCTTCTTGAGCCATTCTCGGACTTTGTAAGGTAGCGATGAAGTGGACATGCGCATGAGTTCGCGCTTCTCGCCGTGCGCATCGTGCCCGGACCAGGAGCCTGCATATAGTTGCTTGTTGTAGAAGATCTTTAGGTCTGGGGCGAATTCTTTGAGATCGGGGTACACTGTGACATCGCTCCGTTAGCAAGAGGTTGATATGGAAGGAACATGTTACGCACGCTCAGAGAGCTTGTAAATCTTGGCTGTGTAGGTGTTGCGGTTCAGGCACTTTCGCTGGTACGGCTGCAGGTCGGCGGTGTCCCATTTCGCGCTCCAGAGAGCGCCGGCGGGGGTCGGGTCGGGAGATGGCGATGCTGCCGATTCATTTGGAGAGTCTTCTGCTGCAAACGTGGTTGCTGCGAGGAGCGCTGTGGACAGGAGCGTTTGCAGTCTCATGGTGAATTACGTGCTTTGCGTGCTTCAATTCGGCGACTTTCAGGCGAAGCAGTACGGAATGCGACGATTGAGTGTGGATTCGGGCTACACACCTATATACCTCCAACATGTCAATCTTGCGATTATCATGCGTTCTGTCCTTTTCCCTCAAATTTGGCCTTGAAGTCACGTTCCGCGTTGGTGTTCCGCTTCCCATATTAAGCGCAGGGATCACTTTGGGTCTAGCAGAGCGCGAGAAGGACGCGATAGATTAAAAGAACACCGTTGCCGAAGAAGGACCACTGAGCGCAAGACATTCTCCGCATTTTGTAGTATGGGGAAACTTGGGGGTGTTTTGAAGTGCTTAGCACGTTGGGGGAAATGCTTGTCACATGCCGGGTCGTACTTCGCGATTTGTCGGCAACACGTGGGCACTTCAGCGATCATCCTTCAAGCACACATTTCCTGCAAGGGCCGAAGTCGTTATCGTACTTGCTCGCCCAGCTCGCCCGCATAGGAAACTGTGAATTTGGCTCGACATCGTTGCAGTCCAGGAACTAGGAAATCGGCATGCGAAATGACGTCGCGATCTACGGTCGCTGCCCCTGCTTCCTCTCTTTCCCTCTCCAACCACCAACCAGATGTCGACACACCACAACTTTAACAACTTTCTATCACGAAACAAGTCATGTCTCCGAAAGTCGAGCTCTCTAGATATGGTGAAAGGCCCATATCGCCGAGAAGCTACCACCGTACGGTAACGGTCCAGGAACAGGTTTTATGTACCTGCTTATCGCATTCGTAGACTTTGCTGGAGAGTATACTCCCGCTCGTAAAGGCCATCTCTCAGTATAGTATATTGCTCTCTACCATCTTTCGTCTTCTAGTACCATTTTCTCGTTTTCGCGCAAGCCAGTTGCCCACGTTGCAGTCATGCATTTCCCATGGCACCCCAAGGAAAAGCCGGGCACGTTGCCGACAGTAGAAGACGATCGGAAAGACAGTGCAAGCGTCGTCAGGGCCTCAACCACAAAATCTGCACCAACACATAGGCCTTCTACACGCACCCAAGACCCGCCGCGAAGATCCTCTCACACTAGCTCCCAACCTCATATATATCGTGGCGCATCAATCAAGGCTGAGAAGCCTCAACGTCCCGAGCTTCAGCGACGAAGCACAACTGCACGGACACGGTACATCGACATGCTTCTTGGACTCGACCATGTCTCGCCTTTCCACAACATCCTTGCTTCGCTGTCCGTGTGGATCTTATTAGCCGGATACATTGTATTCCCAGCCACCTTTAACAAGCTGCAAAAGGGCAATTACGATGAAAAAGCAGACACTGATCTCAAGAAACATGCGCTCGAAACTGTGCGAAATGTGCCGCTAATGTATGTTGCTGCATTTGCATGTGGTCTAGGCGTTGCTGGATGTCTGTGGCTGTGGTGGAAGCATCGGAAGAATTACGTTTGGGTCATCAACCGCATCTTCCTTCCTGCGTTGCTGAACTCAATCGCTGGACTGGTATCGACCCTAGTCAACATTTACTCTGCTCAAGATGGTGAGTCGCGATGTTTACACGAGGTAACCATGCTGATGCAATGCAATTAGGCCAGTACTCAGTCACCGCTAAGGTGACGGTCGTCGTGACTGCGGCTTGTTCGGCAGTTGCTGCTTTGCTCTTCCTGTTGTACAATATGGTAATGCTAAAGCTGGTCAAGAGAAAGCACGAGAGAGAAATACGAAATGCAGAGCGTTATGACGATGGGGATAGAGCTTCTGTGGGTAGAGCTTCTGTGGATCAAGGGCGAAGTCGGCACGTTGTATGATAATCATAGGGTGCAAGGCAGCCGTTCACCCCTATGCTGCGCCACATTATGTCAGCACACCGGTGACCGCGTCCCAGTATTAGATAGACTCTGTTATCCGCAATGATTTGCGACAATTTTGATCCTCAGACGAAGTTGCGACATTTAGGTGATGTCGTCCACGATGCAAAACCGATCTCGAACATCGCTTATACATCTTCCTCAAGAGCTCCAAGACGTTATCGCCAACTTCATCCTCGATGAACACGGCAGAAGACACAGCCTCTTGAATTTATCTTACACTTGCAAACGACTTCGAGCTTCATGTTTGCCCATGATCTACGAAAACATTGAAGTTCACGGCTACCTTCCCAGATCGTGTGTAAGAATCTTTTCTCCAAATACAAAGCACCTCGAACTGGCAAGAACTCTTTCAACTTCATCTGCCTCCGTGGGTCAATACATCAAGACACTCGAGCTCAAAGGCGTGGAGCCAGAACAAGCCATCGCAGAGCAGATCCTGGAGCATACAACTAGTCTCAAGACTTTTGTCTACCAATTCGAAGTCCAATGCAACTACGATGGATTAGGTACGTGGCCGAACGCGCAGACTCTTACGCGTGCACTGGCGAATGTCGGGCAGACTCTGGAGCATCTGGAAGTCACGCATCAGTTCCAAAGCGATTTATTCGGCCTGATGGGACCGTTCTTTCCACCTCGCGCCTTAATTTTCAAAGAGCTGGTAGTGCTCAAGAGTCTCTCTGTAACTCTCAGCCTGCTGTTGGGCTGGCGTCCTGACAGTACTACCCGTCTTGCGGAAACGCTTCCGAGTGGTCTAGTCCGTCTGAGTATCGAATATAGCCCGCAGATGCCTGAAGATTGTCAATGGCAAGCTGAGGACGTATTGCGAGTATTGGAAGAATTTGTTGCGGGAAAGAGATGGATGAAGACCACGCCGCATCTAGATTCGATCACTTTGAACGACACAATCTGGTCTCCAGACAAGGGCCAGCAGGAGAAGACCCGTAAAGCTGCAAAAGACATGTTCGAGCAAAATGGGCTGCAATGTTTTGCGTCAAGAGTTGGCGTATGGGACTGGGAAGATGATGATGACTGTAGGTCTTCACAAAATGAGCACAAGGACTGGCATGCTGACTTAGAGCTAGTGTATATATGATGGCATTTAGCCGCTGTCAATTTGTTTGCGACCTCGTGGCTGCCAATCATGAAAGATCAGAGATGCACCAGAGACGTATTCTGTTTAATCCGGATCTTGGAAATCAAACCTGCAAGCATGCACTCTTCATATTTGTTTCTCGCTTGTGACTTGAACCAAAATTCAAAGCCAAGGGATACGATGTATTTGAGCAAATATTCGAAGTCGACACTAGATCATTCCATGATTTGAGGATGCTTAAAGTTAGCTTATCTTCCAAGTCATGCGCTCGGAGATATCCAAAATTAAAACAGACACGAAAATTATTCATGTATGGTCGGGTGGGAAACGCCACCGTCCGCAACGCTGTCGATGAATATGTAGTCGCTTTGGCAGTCTGAGTATTGATCTGGTTCATGGACGAACGCTTGAATTGAATGAGCTAAATGCGCAATTCCATTGCTGCATCGTCGCAGCCAGTGACGGAAAAGAGGTCGAAGCTAATTACCAATAAGGCCTAGCACCAATGACGTATGCCCGCATTACGTTTCCCCAAGACGAACGAATTAAGAATACCTGTTTTCGATAAGGCTTACTTTGAACGGTGATTTTATCACCCATCTTTTGTCACATCTTTCAGCTTCTGGTCTAGTTTCACTCTGAAATGGCGCCATCCAGTCCCTGACAGCACGGCTGTTGTCACAGATCTGGCCTTACGCATTTTCTCTCCATCAGTCCCTCTATACACTTGCGACTTCGATCCGCGAATATGGCACCGTATAGACAAGGAACTCTACCTACATGAAGCACAGCAAAAGGCATATCTCTATGTCGCACTCGCCAACGAGGATAAGCTTACAGCTGAAGACAAAGTAGTAACGGATATCAGAATCAGCGAGCTGCCTCCCCCCTCTAACTCAACCGAGTTGTGGGAGAGTAGAACTTGCGGAATCTGGGTGCGGATAAGCAAGTTCTCTGATGACGTTGGCCAGGCTGTGACAGGTGTAGACGTTCTCTTTGGCACAGATGCCGTTGATCCACGACCACAATGGGATCTCACGCAATCATCACTTCAGCTCGATTATCAACCAGAAATCCCGGTTGCAAGGCTAAGCGTGCGCCATGGCCGGGCCATACGCAATATTCGTGAAGCCTTGAGGGTCAATAAGGATGGCACATTCAAAATACTTCAGATCTCTGACGCCCACATGGTCACTGGCGTCGGAATATGCAATGATGCAATTGATGCACATGGAAAGAATCTGCCTGAGAGCCAGGCTGATTCACGCACGGTAGACTTCATCAACCAGATCGTGGCGGCCGAGAAGCCGGATCTTGTAATGCTGCCGGGAGATCTGTTGCACCATGATATTCCCGATAGCCAAACCGCCCTTTTCAAGCTGCTAGCTCCTCTCATCCAACATAAGATCCCGTACGCAATGGTATTTGGCAATCATGATTGCGAGGGTGACTACGCATTGTCTCGTAAGTGGTCGCAGTTCCTAGACTGTTTTGTCATACACGACCACTGGGCAATACCTAAAAGCAGTCAACTTTTCTGATTGAACTATAGGTGAAGAACAAATGGCGATAATTGAGACTCTGCCATATAGCCTCTCAGAAGCAGGCCCAGAGCAGGTTGATGGTGTAGGCAATTTTTACCTTCAAGTCCTGTCTTTCGACCCATCAGAACGACCGGTATTGACTTTGTTCTTCCTGGACTCGCACAGTGCGATAGGTGAATCGTCCTCCAAGCCCGACTATAAGCCCATTCAGCCGAGCCAAATCGTCTGGTACGAGAAGACCTCTGAAGCGCTACGACATGAGCGTGTCAAGGATGCTAAAGACGATAATTTCCATTTGTCTTTCGTCGTCCAACATATTCCTATACCAGAGTTCGCAGACAAGAATCTTGTTATCCGAAGTGGCCATCGAAGAGAACCAACCGAATGCCCCAGTAGAGACTTCTCATTCTACGACGCTTTAGTCAGGCAAAATGCATCAGCAATAATTTGCGGCCACGATCACGTAAACAACTTCTGCGCTCAATTACAGCAATGGCCACAACAAGATGGCACCAAAATTCCTAGTCATCTTTGGCTAATCCATGGAGGTGGCAGTGGATTTGGAGGTTACTGTTCGTACGGCCAGACGCGATATTATCGACAGATGCGGGTTTTCGAGCTTAACGTAAGAAACAAAGATTTGAGGACTTGGATGCGGGAAGAATACAAGTCGCACAGAGTGGATGAGCTGGTGCTGGTGCAGAATGGAGCGGCGATCGATCCATCAGAAGATGATGAACGTACAAGCTACATAACGAGCTGATGTTTGCAGAGTTATCAGTTCAAACTGAACGGTAGCCTTAAATTTGGTATCAGAAGTCGGATGAAGGAAATATGATTTCATCACGACATATACCATGCCCGTGAAGCGGCGAGGAAAGCATACTAAACGACTTCGTTCTCACAAAAGACCTACACATGCCCTATATATCCTAGACACGAGGTCTAGCCGAGACATGCGATAGTGCTCAATACTCTAGGCGAAGAAAAGAGCAGAGCAGACATTCGTCTGTTTTGCGCAGATTTTGTGATCTCACAATTGCAAAGAGTGAGTTATAGACGACGCGGAGCACGTCACCAGAGAAGACTTTATACCCCAAAGCTTGGCTGACTGAGACATTTGCTGAGATGTTGTAGTTTTGGTAGATGGGAGAAGGCAGGAAGAGCATGAAACTGTCGATTTCTGCGTTTTTTTTACACTAGGCAAGTTACCGAACACATATTGTAGGCTATCACGCCTGTCGTTGAGCAGGGCTTTATACACCAGATTCCAGGCGGGCGGGGACATTCCATCCACGTCGGCGCTGTTTTGGTGGAAAGAGCAGCATAGAAGTAGACATAACAGATTTCTGATCCCTTTTTCGTCTCCAGTTGTAATGGGGAAGTGTATCATACAAGACCCTCAAGATCTGAAATCCTGGAAGACTTTATACTCCCACCCTCAGCCTCGCCACCACATCGATGGTCCAGCACATTGGTTGATCCCATCCCGATATCCAACAGCACCAAAAGAATTCTCCAGACATAGCTCCGCGTATTCTGACTTTCGGTCTGCCCATTATTGGCAGGCCTATGGCCCTTTTGGCGGAAGAGCGATATCTGCTAAGCTGCACGGGGGTTTTGAGTGAGAAATACTGGATGGGCTTTGATTGGGCGGTCATAACAAGGCGGCGGGTATGTTTTTGGACGGAGTTGCAGAGAAGTGGACATGAATCCGCTCAATTCTATTTTTCTTCTGGCACAATGAGGGAGAACATGGGTCTAGAAATATTGTGTCTTGTTTTGGGCGAGGAGAAGAGCACCACTTATGGTGCTGTCGTCGCTGTAATTTTGGAGTGCACAAGAAAAGCAATGGCATTCGACTAGAGAAGGAGGAAGTCGGGAAAAGCGTGGTACTTATATTGGCCTCGCTAGCATCCGAACAGACCTGACTAAGCTCACATGGCTCATCATCTACTTCCGCCAATAAGTCTGCACAAACTCATGTGCCCAATCAATAACACCCGCTTTCCAATCGCCCATACTCTCCTCGATCAGTCTCTCGAACAGCACTTCCGCTTCACCTTCACTACGTCCCAGCCACATGCGCTCCCTGACCTTGCCCACACTCCCTTCTCTCTCAACTTTGATATCCGGGATATTCGCGCCCTGCATAAGCGCAAATAAATTGAGCAGCAAATTACTCGACTTGCGCAGGGTACTCCACGCCGTAAACGCATAGCTCTTAAACGCCAGATAATTCGGATGCTGGGCGCCTCCCATGCCTTCAATCATTTCGCGACAGAGTTTCATTTGCGGCGCGAAGGGCTTGGGGTCGCGGCCGAGGATGTAGCCGAAGTCGACGTGGAAGAAGCGGCCGTCGGGCGCGAGGAGCAGGTTGTCGAGATGCCGGTCGCCGACACCGAGGAGGTATGTGATGACGCAGTAGCCGGCGCACGACTTGATGTATGTGTCCATTGCTTCTTTGCGGACACCTAGAGGGGCGGAGTCGTCGGGGTTGTTGGCGCGCAGATAGGCGAGGAGAGAGCCTTTGTGCTTTTGACATGCGGCTGCAATGGACATGGATGGGACAAATTGGAATGCGCCGGCGGATGTGGAGGTGGCGAGGATGCGGTATGGTGTCAGTTTGAGGTCGAGGTTCTCTTTGCGGAGCAGGCGGTCCATGAGCGTGATGATCTGGATGACGAGCTGATCTTGTCGGAGGTCATCGCCCGTCTTGAAGATGATGGGGTATTTGTTGTCTGTCGTGGTCTTGAAATTGAGGACCATGGGCAGGAGGGAGGACTTGAGAACGTTGCATTCATCAGTGATACCAGTAATGTACACGGATGGATCGAGAGGAAGTGGTAGCGGTTCGAAATTGGCGAGCTCATTCTTGGGATCTGAGATGGCCTTCTTGAGGCGCGCGAGCTTCGTCGAACGATCACCACCACCAAATCTGACATCCTTCGAGATCTTCGCAAGGACAGTGAGTAGCTCGCCTTGTCTGCGGAATGTGTTACGCGTTTCAACCCCTTCTGGAGTCTTTTCGAGTTCGACCATGAAGTCATATTCAACTTTGGCGAACAAGTCGCGATGCTCGGGTTCCTGGTCGGTACTGAAGTCGCTGATCTCGACCATCAGGTACCAGTGGAAGAAGTTGCCGAGAGCGAAGCTGTTCGCTGCGCGAGTGATCAGGAAGCGCGCCAACGACGAGTCATCGCCCTCTCCTGGAGCTTCGTATTTGAGTGCTTGTACCAGTTGAAGCAGGTACAGCTGCAACTCCTCATCATCCGCTTTCTTCAGTCGCTCGACAGCGTAGCTTCGCACCACCGGGTGATCGAAGTGTGGCCCAAGCAGCTCGAGCGCATCATCGACATCGATCTCAGCCCACTTGTCAAGTAATGGTGCCGCTTGGCGTGCTTCACGCGGGTTCTTCCAGTTGACGCACTTCACAAACTTGGTCAAAGCTCGCTTGTCACGGAGCAAGAAGTATCGGAACTTCCAGATGTCATCTCTTTCGTGTGACGTGATCTCCTCGAGCGGACCCTTGGCCATCAGCAGGTTCAGTTTGTCTCGGACGTGTACGTTGGGTTTCCTGTCTCGATCTAGGGAATCTGTCTGCTGACTGCGCATAAGCTCCCGGTGTTTGTCTTCAGCCGGATTCACTCGTCGTCCAATCTCGGGATCGTAAATCTTGATGAGGCGTCCTGCGTCTGCATCGCCGTAGCCAACTCCATCAATGTCTATATCAGGCCCAAAGGAGACCTCGGGCGGCGGACGTAACCGAACATCAGCCTCAACCGGCAGTCTCAGATCTGAGACAGGCGGCGGAGGATACTCGACATCAGTGAAAACGACAGCGTGGTCGAAGCGCGGGAACTCAATCTCGAGGTAGAAGAGCTCCTGCTCATCTTCGCCCCCAGCGTCGCCATCTGTCTTGCTCTGGCGATTCAATGCTGTTGCCTCAGCCTTCAGAGCTTCATTGCGTATCTTCATCATCTTTTTATAGACTAGTCCATCGAGCCAGGTGTTGGTCGGCAGGTCGCCCATTTCCTGCTTCTTCAGCAGCTCTTCAAGGCGTTGCATTTCTGCCACTTGCTCGTCTACCGTGTCTTCAGCCATCTGAGCTTTGCGACTCCTCCTCGCTTGCGGTAACATCCACGGCGTGGTGGTGTCTGCCAGGCCATTTGCTGCCTTGAAGCGGTGTATCCGACACCGCTGTCGTCCCTTCTGCAGGGTGTTGTGCTTGTCGAAGAGAGGTATGGTGGTACCGCCAAAGGGTACTGCGTGTAGGTTGGAGTCTGTATCTTCGGCGGGCGACAGGTCCCACACAGTGATATTAAGCTGCGCAGAAGCTGGGAGGTTCGAGTACGTGACAGGCAGCTGCAACCACTCGTTCCAAATGCGTGCATTCTTGAACGACTTGTAGGCGGTCTGCACGGGTACGGTGAGAGGCTTGCTGTCGGCCCATATTTGCGCCGTGACGTAGAGCTCAAAGTGTGGGCTGTTGTCACATCAGCACAAACTCTCTCACCTCTAGCAAACTCCACTCACTTGGTGATGGAAGCTCGGTGCCTCAGATCAGGGCGTTTCAGCAGAACTGAGTAGGGCACGGGCTTTTGGGTGCCATCGAGCCGATCTCTATCACGCTTCAGCATGTACACATCCCGTGACCCTGATGGTGTTCCTACATTCTGACATGTACGTTGAGCTCGGTCAAGTCAAGCGACGTCGCGAAGTTGAAGGCTTCCATCGTGAGCGGTGGGGAAGCTGTGTCCTATTGCATGCCATGGATGCACGTCATCAGTGTGGTGGACAGAATGTCAAACAGCTCTGTACGAAATGTCCAGATGCGTTCACATGTCCCATCACGCGGGGTGGATGGGCCAGACGCCCAAGCTCCCTCTACGGAGAGGGCAGGGGTACGCGGGGGAGCGTGCACACGTGATTGCTGCTTGGCTTACGATATCACCGGGCGTCGCGCCTGCCTCAGGCACAAAGTCGCGCTAACAACGGCGCGAATTGTGGGCAACCGCGTCCAGGAACGACCACCACTCCCCCACATCACAACACAACACCACGCTCGCTACCGCATTATCGTTTCTCCTTGCTCGCGACGAGTCGCCATGGCGCGTCTGAACACGCATCTGTCTGCGACGCCACAGCAAACACGCTCGTCAACCGTCGATTCGCTCTATCGTGACCCCTCCGCTGCGCCACGGAACGAAAGTAATGCGCGAACATCGTCGTATTCGGTCCTGAGTCCCTCCACGTCTATGAACTCAGACAAAGAGAACGACGAACCTCAATCACGAGAAAATACCCCGCGACCAGCGAAGAGGGGTCTCCGGGGCGCGTCAGCAAGGATGCCTACGCCAGACACAGGGTCGACAGGTTCAGGCACCGGAAATAAGCGAAGGAGGACTGGACGGCACAGCAGCACTGGAGTTGATGTTTTCCAAGATGGGTCGGAAGAGGAAGACGACGACGATGACCCAGAGGAGGATCCCACACCTACGATGCCTGAAGAGGATGAGGAAGGGGACCTGCGTTTCTACAATCCAAACCAAGATCCCGAGAAACGAAGACGCTTGCGCGCGACATTGCGCGATCATTCGCGCATGGTAGAAGGTGCGTAGGAGACTATTGGGCATGATGGCAGTGCTAACAATGTCCTCAGAAAACCGCGACGAAATGGTCAAACCGAACAATCTGCTTTTGGACGCCTTGAAGAAGCAAGACAGCATATTCGGGAAAGTGCGACAAACTGCTGATGCCGCGCTGGACTCTCGCTTCCTGGTCAATGCTAGCGAGCTTGCGGGAAAGAAGCTGAACAGCAGTCTGCAAGGCAATGCTGGCGTCGGCATTGATCTGGACCAGTTTGTGTCCAAGTGCATATTCTTCATGAAGTCTGGTGGCCACGCCGCAGACGACGAGGAAGCCCCGGCCGTGCCAGTTCCAGAGGACGAGGACGATGCGGGAGACGACGGGCTCGACTGGGCACTCCTTGGGAGACAGGCTTGCTTTCCATGCAATAAACGACCACCTACCATAAGTTTCCTGCTTGGACCACTGTCTGTAGAGAAGCGAGTGAGGTCTACACAGCGGAAAGCTCGATCACAACGACAGCCAGTTGGCCCAGCTACTCGACCACAGGAAATGAAGGAGGGTGACATGCAGCAATCCGAGAACTCAAACTTGTCGAATCTCGTCAAGAGTATAAACGTCCGGTTACGGAGTCACATCGAGAAGGTGGATGAGAAGGTCAGCGAGGAACTTTCCGAGATACCAGATGAGGAAGTACAAAACGAAGATGTCGCAGCAGCATCCAGACGCCACAGAGCGGCAGTCGCACCGAGCCAAGAATTGGCCGTTAGTCTTCTCGACTTCGCCATCAATCCACATGACTTCGGTCAGACAGTTGAGAACCTGTTCTACATCAGTTTCTTGGTGCGAGAGGGCAATGCAAAGATTATGAAGGATGAAGATGGATTGCCACTACTGAGTAAGTCACCTGTCGACCGCACAATTTGGCCTAGCTAACCCGACACAGTGCCTGCAAAAGCCCACGAAATGTCTGACGCACGAGAAGCCAACATCCAGAAGAACCAAGCCGTCCTCAGCATCGACTACACGACATGGAAGATGTTCATCCAAGCTTTCGACATCAAAGAGCCACTCATACCGCATCGCGAGAACGAAGAGGCCAACGTCGCGCCTGGAGGCTGGTATGCCGGATGAGCCACCACCGCTTGTACAATACTTGTTGTATGATGTACAAACACATCGCCATCGCCCGCCGCTTACCTTTCTGGCTCCGCGGAGCACACTTATCAATGTACGATATGACTTGACGACTTCGATTCTGGCGCAACGAACTAGGGTATGGCTTCGGCCCGTGGCTGGGAGGAAATTTTGCTGCATGGCGCTGGTTTACTATCTTCGTCTTTGATACCCAAGAATTTCATTTTTTGTTTTCGATTTCACGTGGCTGCTGGGGAGGCGCACACGCATATGATATCTCTCTACATGAATGGAACGCTGCCTTGTGAAGATGGCTTCTTGTGCACGTTTACGGTGTTCTGCTGGTGATCACCACCATCATTAACATCTCCAGCGCCGTGTTTCAACAGCACGACCCTCACTTTTTTTTAAGCATACCCACACTCCGTCATGGCCTGTGCTACTTTGCTTTTCCTCGCACTTGGAGTTTACTAACGTATGCAACGAAAGGCTCGTATCGCGTCTCGGACATTGTGTTGGTCCGCTTCGTTCTTCTTTCTCATGACGGACATTTCGTCCTGTTTTGGAACGCAGAAAAATTTTCATCGAGCATTTGGATGCGTGGAATTGAGATTCAGAGGGAGGCAGTCATGGGTCACTTCTGCAGCCTCTTCTAGTGGGAAGAGAGGTTTGGGGGTAGGTTGTGGAATGGAGATGTGGTGAGGACAGCGGGGGTTTATACGGAGCCGGAGGAGAGGGGAGAAAGACATTGCCCTCTAGGTTCTTGACTTTTGAACACCTGCCCCATTTAATCAGGTCGGTTGGAGGTTTTGGATATTCAGACGTGGAGTTTGATGATCGAGAGGAGTTGCAGATACTCGAGTGTTTTATAGCACTGCGCTCCGCGCATCTCTCCCGTAAGCATGCTGGGCTCCTGTTTGGGGTTTTCTTCCCGGCGGCATCATTTGATGTTTTATAAATCGTTTTTAGTGCCATGGTCTGCTCAGCCATCGAATCTCCTGGGGTAGGCCTTGGAGGAGCGGGAAAATCATGGTTTTGAGTTTTTTGGTCGGACAAAGAGACACGCAAAAGTCCGTTCATGTTTTTGGACAAGCTGCGCTCAGAGTATTTAATAAATGAAGGAGAGTATTGTGCAGGGAAGAAAGTTGAAGACAACCAGACGTCGCTCACCCTCCAGGTGGTCTTGGATCCGGGAGAAAAAGAAGTCATCGCAAAGTCCCATGTACATTTCTGGACGGAACGCACATGTGTGATAAGTGGTCGCAGGAAGCTGTGAGAGACCTTTCATATACGCCCAAAGCATCTGGACTGACAGAAAGCATGAACTAGTCATGGAGATTCTTTTGCTGTGCCTTCTTCTCCTAGCCAATTCGTCTTCGCCACATTCGCCGACAGATACAGACATAGGCTCACGACATGATCGTATGGACATCCGACTTTTGAGCATGCATGTTCGCGAGGTAGTTTTATTAAAGAAAACAAACATGTGGTCTTAGGTGTCTTCTTTTCTCGAAAAGATTAGGAAGAAGAAGATAAATTCGCCGTGCACCGATTTTTGAAATTGCAGAACTGTCAAGGATGGTATTCGAGAGTTGAAGGACAGGAGGCGAGGGGTTCATATAGTGATGGAAGCACGCCATAGAAGTAATTGAAAGAGGCATGTCGTGAAGTAGAGAATCGATGAGCACGGTAGCAAATTCATAGCCAGCCTTGGTCACGTTGCGGCGACAGAAGACACAAGAATTCTTTGAACGAGATCTTCTGGTCTTTTCAGAGAATGAATACGTAGGTCTACCATCTATACGAATTGAAGGTAGAGTCAGAAACGAAAGAAGTTGGCACAGCAAGAGGTCGTATCGTTGAACGACTCCAGGTACGAGTTAGTGCGAAAGCTCGTCCTAGGCGGGGTAGAAGCAGAGTGACACTGCCAAGCTGTTAGATTGGGACTAGTTGGGATGCTAGGATATGCTTCGAGGCTTGCGACCCGCCCTGGAACTTTGCTGGCAGTGATTGGGAGTAATTTACGAGCGAATTACTCGCCAGTCATTTTTAGCTGTGTACGTCACGCCGTAATTATACGAGTAGTGCATGCCAACACCAACAATATGAGCCGCGACCTTCCTCATCCGGTGCTGCAAGCGAACAGACCTAAGCCCCATACTGCAGGTGCTTGGTCCAAACAAGCTTCCTCGGTCAAGTCTTGTACACATTCGTATCCACCGAACCGTCCAGACAATCACAAACCAGGTTGCAGGGTGTCGGCGCCCGTTATCCTTCCTAAGTTTCGACCGATAGCAGACTTTTGATTCGGGTGAATTGCCACTTCTGATTGGTAGAGCATTGTTCAGGATGTGCGCCATGCAGATGTGCAAACGTTCTGTCCGGAGCACGACTGATCGTCCAGGTACATAAGGTAGAAGTCTCCGCATTCATAAATCTTCCGTCGTTCGTCCTCCGCAAGCATATTCAATCATCATGCTGGGAGCTTCAATCTTGCTTGCCGTGCTCGCGCCGGCGGTACTTGCCACACCTGTCGCGCGCTCGACCTATGCAGTGAAGGAGACGCATTATGTCCCTCGCAAGTGGGTGCAGAAGGGTCGTGCACCCAAGGACCAGATGCTCGCGCTCCAAATCGGTGTGAAGCAGGGCGATTTCGACGAGCTGGAGCGCCACCTATATGAAGGTATGTTGTGGAGCATGTAGTGTCACCACGGAGTCTAATCCGAAAGCCAGTGTCCGATCCGTACCATGTTCGTTATGGCCAGCATTTGAGCCCCGAGGAGGTCAATGCCCTCACCCAGCCTAAGGATGAGGCATTGGATGCTGTGCACGAGTGGCTTCTTTCCAATGGTATAAGAAACTTCGATTACAGTCCATCCAAGGACTGGATCAACATCCGGATCAGCATTGAGGATGCCGAGAAGCTGCTTGCGACCAAGTACTCGGTGTATGCTCACGAAGACGGCACAGAAATGTCCCGTGCTACGTCATGGTCGTTGCCGAGCCACCTTCACAAGCACATCGACACCATCCAGCCCACCACCTCTTTCATGCGCACCAGGGCCAATCTGCCTACTGTCAGCACAGCAACAAATCTGACTGAAGTGTACCAGCCTCCAGGTTATGTGACACCCACAGATCCGATCATCGCGAAAGCTTGCTCGATCAACGGAACCACTCCCACATGCTTCAAAACGCTCTACAAGACGCTCGGCTACGAGCAGAAGTCTTGTGGCGAAAACCAGATTGGCTTCAACAACTTCCTCAAAGAAGTACCCATCCGGCCAGACGCCAAACTCTTCCTAGAGCAATATGCACCAGAAGCCGTTAAGGGTGCTTACGACTACAAGTTCGTCAGCATCAACGGTGGTCCACAGCAAGACAACGGCTCCAGCCCTGCACAACTGGCTGCAGGAACAAACAAGGAGGCCAATCTCGATGTTCAGACCATTCTGGGCATGACCTACCCTATGCCTGTGACCGCATTTACTACCGGAGGCGAGCCACCACAAATCCCTGACTTGGCTGCTGGAGACCCACCTGGCAATGAGCCATACCTCGAGTGGGTGACATACGTCCTTAAGCAGAAAAGCCTTCCTCAGGTCATTAGCACTTCTTACGGTGACGACGAGCAGACCGTACCGGCCGAGTACGCCAAGCGTGTCTGTAACTCCTTCGCCCAACTCGGTGCTCGCGGCGTCAGTCTTCTCTTCTCCTCCGGTGATGGTGGTGCCGGCAACGCTGCAGGAGAGAACGCAACGGAATGTGTCTCCAATGACGGCAAGAACACCAAGAAATTCTTGCCCTCTTTCCCCGCCGGATGCCCGTACGTTACTACGGTTGGTGCAACTCAGGGTTTCCAGCCTGAAGTCGCTGCCTACAGGCCCGCGAAGAGCCTCGGTCCGGACAACAAACTCCACGGCTACTACGCTTCTGGCAGCGGATTCAGCGAGTACTTCTCCCGTCCCAGCTACCAAGATGATGCCGTCAAGGGCTACCTTAAGAAGATCGGCGACGAGCACAAGGGCTTGTACAACGCTGCCGGACGTGGGTACCCCGACATCTCCGCTCAGGGTCTCTACTTCGAGTTCGTCTGGAACTCAACCAACGGCGTCATTTCCGGAACCTCTGCATCATCGCCCCTCGCGGCATCTGTCATCGCGTTGGTCAACGATGCGCTTATCTCTGCCGGTAAGCCCACGCTTGGATTCTTGAACCCGTGGCTGTACAAGAAGGGCTACAAGGGTTTCACCGATGTGCTGAGCGGAGGCAATGGAGGATGTAACACCACCGGTTTCGCAGTCACGAAGGGTTGGGATGCAGTGACTGGATTCGGTACACCGATCTTCCCCGAGCTTGTCAAGTTGGCAAAGGGACATCACTAGGATAGATGTACTGGCATGATTCTTACTAAAAGAGAGTTTCAATATGGGAATCGTTATTCTCGTTTTGAAGATAGCTGTAGAATGTTTTCTGCGGTGAGAAAGATAGGGGCAGCATATTGAAGTTGATACAATGACTGAGCAGTCCTCAGCGCACGCATCAATCGAATGGTTCTCCTTTCTAAAGAAACAATTGAACAAGACATTGAATCCCATCCTTTCATTTTCGATAAAAGGGTCAAAACATAGGTCGGTTTCCGCGCTCTTTGAGATACACTGCCACAAGAAGAGGGTCATTGAGAAGAAGACGATAGCATCATCGTGAGGTTCATAGAGTGACTGAGCAGCCGCAAGTGTGCGCATGCAGGCTCATCATGGTATGTTGTAGGAAATCTCGAGCAAGAGATTATCTCGCTTCTTTTTGGTTTTCGAAGAACAGCCAGAACACATTAGACGATGACCTCAGCTTTTGTTCGAAGACTACAGGGAAGAAGGTAGTCGTACTGCTTCGCAGTTTATGTTGTGCTTAAACATTCCAACGTTCAACACGCACACATGAGTTCAAAGCATAACTTTTCAGCTCTCAGTGACGAAAGGCATGAGTCGAGCATAGATGCTTTTGTGACTCGCACCATTCTGCACACCAGGGTAGACATCCACGCAGACACCATGGCCATTAGAAAAAGATTGGACAGGAGCATTACCCGACTATGATTGAGAGAGTAGCAAACATGACGCTATTGAGCATTTGGGGTTTTGGACGAGGTGGACGAAGACGGCAAAGGGTGACAGAATCGCAGCCCGGGTTCATATATTCATGATGTGGCACATGGTTGGAGTGATTGATTCTAGAGACTTGATTGAGATTTTCGGTATTTCTCCGGAACCAGGCTTGCTCTTCGACGTTTTTCTTACTTCTGGTAGATGGACGGGTGGACTGCATGCGCGATCAATCACCAAAATGGCTACCAGAATTGTCAACAATCAAGCCAATCAAGCCACGCTAACTTGATCAAGTATGCGCTAGGCGATTAATCTTTGCTCGGCTTGATTGGCTTGATTGTTGACAAGTCTGATGGCTACTTCACAGATGTCCTGATAATTCTAGACAAGCTGGTGTTGACTATCACAGCAAACCTCGCGAGGATGAATGGAACCCCGCGATAATTGATGCCTACTTTCACACCGAGAAGAAAGGTTTTTGACACTGTTCTAACCGCTCAGGATATCGGACATGGATTGCACAGCACGTTCTTTTTCGGCAAAACTAAAAACGGCCATTACAGGTTGTAATGACATACGAGCTGACCATAGCTTCCATGTAACGGGCTTGTCACTTCATCCACAAGGATATAGTTTATTCCTGCAGGCTTGCTTGGAAGACAGTAGACGGATATGTGCCATGCGAACCTAGATGTCAGAATCTTTTAGATAAAATTGTAAATGTGAGACAGAATGCATTGGGTTGGTCAGAGACGCATCACCAGTCTTCAAAGCTGTGGCATCTGGCACGTTAGACCTTTGTAAGAGCGGCACCAGTACAAGAAACGGGATAGAAATTCAATCATTAGATTATTTACGGCCAATTCCCTCGAAATTCCCAGCAAAAGAATGAAACCCTCGGCGGGAACTTTGCCAAAACGTACGTTCCTCGGGGTGATGCTCAAAACACCATATTCATATAAAGTTTACTATAGCACGTTCTCCATATAGCTCCTGTGGAGCGGCGGATCAGCCAATTCCTAGACTAAGAAGAAGCGTCAGTACGGTTAAGGTTAATGTTAAGAAGCTAGGTTTTGAGCAGCATGGTGTCAGGACTTACATTCAGAGATAGTTCATTGACAGGCAATCATGATCCTTTAGGCTGCTGGGAACGACTAGGCCTCAGTAGGGGGAATGATGCCGCCGCCCCGGGGGTTGCGAGCCTTCAGACCGGGAGTAGGATCAGCGGGAGGAGGGTCAGCCCTTCCGGACTGGGCATCACGAGCCTTCAGACCAGGAGTGGGGTCAGCAGGAGGAGGGTCATCCCTTCCTGACTGGGCATCACGAGCCTCCACGAAGGGTGGGCTCTGAGCCTGGGGCTGGTCGATCCCGTCGATGATTATGCCACTGCCAGTCGCGGGACTTTCGAACTGGGCGTCACGAGTTCCCTGGGCCTCACGCTCCATCAAGCCGGTGAGATCCCTCGCCTGACCTGTTGGTGCTGAGGAGGCAGTAGAAGCCAAAACCCCAAGGGCGATGGTAATAGTCTCAATAAAACGCATAGTGACGACTGTGGTTCCAAGGTTAGGTTGGGCAAACGAATAAGTAGAGGATGGAGGAGTTGATAAGTGAAGTAGCAAAGTTGAATGGTTGTAATGGATCTGTCGTCCTGGAGAGACATTCCAAGTAGTTTATATACACCGTGTCTACACGCCAAGTGGTCTCCTGGTTGATTCTAGCCATCAGCTGTATTGTGTAATCTTGCCGCTGTCGCCGCTGTCGCCGAGCTATAGCATGCAGTTGGGGCTGAGTGAAACTGACGATGTTACTGAACTTGTCAGTCACGTACCTAAGAACTGTCCCCTGCTAGCGTTCGGCGAAGCTGGGGGGATTCACGGTCCAACATCAACGTGTCAAGCAGTTGCGGGTATCTTCTTATCAAAAAAAGATGAGTAAAATATCGTAAGAATGTTGAGTTTAGAAAAACCTTCAGACCTGACTGATCAGAACTTTCAGCTATTGATTGTCTGCTCTAAACAGGACACGACTGCGCATAAGGACACTCTGTAACGTATTGGGTCGAGATATTGACCTCAGCTAGATTCTTAGTATTGCAACCGTAAATACCAGGGTTGGAGCCAGCCTGGGTATGTCCTGATCAGTTCTCGAGCCAAGACTATCCTAGTCTCAGCCAACACTTCCCCCTAATCAACTGACTGCTACCATCTTAGGTGTACAACAGCATATGCTGGGGCTTTTGTCCATTATAGTATTCAAGGAACCCCCTGGTTTGGTTCTTGCACGCCAAGCACACGAGCAGTCGTTTGTGTGGTGAAAGTGTAGTCCAGATTATGCAATGTCATAGCTCCCACAGACAGCTCCTGGAGGCTCCGACTCGAGCTAGACAAGTGCCGACCCTTGTCACAGCTCTTGTCACGAATTCATTATGTCATATCGTACTCTAGCGGCCGTACGCTGCCAGAGAACGACACATGCCGGACAACTCCCGAGTTTTAGGCAACGTCCCTGTTTACAGGGTGGGCTTAGACAGTTTGCTTTGCAGAAACAGCTTGCGTGGCTGAAAGAGCTTAGGTATTCCTTCTCCTCCCTGTAAAGCATCGTAAGTCTAATCCTGTTGAACGTATAGGACCATTGAGTAAAAAAGTATTATCGAAGAAATACTTTTCAAGCTCGAACAGGACATCATTAGTATAGGAGTGCACACTTACAACTGAGATTTACTTCGTACTAACCAACTTACACATTGTTATGTCATTTCGTAAGATGTAACTGCAACCTTCCGGTTACCTTCAAAGCTATGAAAAACGGCCCGCAACAAAGTCGCGAGAAACGGACCGCTGCGGAAATACAAGAAACAGCTTGCATCGTAAAGGAATACGATCTGCGAACGCCAATGACCGAGTGTAGGAGCCGCAGCTGACAGTGCTCTCGATCGATTCTGCTTACTGCATGGATCGAGTAGCGGATCGCGCACTACCCGGCATTAGGAGCTACGGGTGTAGCCGCATGGGGTCTAGCGCAAGCACGTAAAGGGTGTGTGGAGAAGTATCAAAACGATGTTACTGTCTGTCGGCAATCAAGTTGTGTCCGGGGCAAGTCCCGGAATACGCGTGTGAAATTTCCCCGGATTCCGATTCCGAAGTAGTGTTGCTACTACCCATGACACCCGGACTCTTCGGGGAAAAAAAAAGGGCAGTTGGTTAGTGGATAGAGGATTGACACTGTGAAGTCATTTCATACATTCATTGTATCAAGACCGCAAACCCCAATCCGATCCATAACTTTTGCCACACCAATGATATTATACGCGAATAGTCGAGAGAATTGTAGGAAATTATGCCGAGTCCGTCACGCATCCCGAGCTGGCGTCCTTGACGAACCGCGCATACTTGAACAGCGTGCCCTTTTGATACTTCAGCGCCGGCGCCTTCCAGCTCTTCCTGCGCTCCGCCAACTCCTGCTCGCTCACGCCAATGTTAAGTTCATTCGACTCAGAGTCGATGGTGATCTCATCGCCATCCTGGACAAGACCGATCGGTCCGCCCTCCTGCGCTTCAGGCACAATGTGGCCGATCAAGAAACCGTGGCTACCACCGCTGAAGCGCCCGTCAGTGATGAGTGCGACATCCTTGCCGAGACCTGCGCCCATGATGGCGGAGCTGGGCTTGAGCATTTCAGGCATGCCGGGCCCGCCCTTGGGGCCTTCGTAGCGGATGACGACGACAGTCTTCTCGCCCTTTTTGATCTCGCCGCGCTCGAGCGCACTGATGAAGTCGTCTTCGGCATCGTAGCATTTGGCTTTGCCGGTGAAGATGGTTCCTTCTTTGCCGGTGATCTTGCCGACACAGCCACCTGGTGCGAGACTACCACGGAGAATTTGCAAATGGCCGGTAGTCTTGAGGGGCTCGCTGAGAGGGCGGATGATCTTCTGGTCGGAGGGGAAGTCCTTGACGTTCTCCAAGTTCTGCTTTAGGGTCTTGCCAGTGACAGTCATCTGGCTGCCGTCGAGCAGGCCCTCCTTAAGCAGGAACTTGAGCAGTGCGGGAGTACCCCCGATGTCGTGAACATCAGCCATGACGTACTTGCCAGAGGGCTTGAGATCAGCGAGCAACGGAATCCGGTCGCTCACGCTCTGGAAGTCGTCGATGGTCAGTTTGAGACCAACAGAGTCGGCGATGGCGATCAGGTGTAATACGGCGTTGGTGGAGCCTCCGGTGATGCTGATGACAACCATGGCGTTCTCGAGTGCTTGCCTGGTGAGGATGTCGCTGGGGCGCAGGTCCTCCTTGAGCAGGTTCTTGATTGCGCCTCCCGCAGCCAGGCATTCCAGCATCTTGGCCTGCGAGTTGGCGGGGTTCGACGATGAGCCGGGCAGCGACATGCCCATGGTCTCAATGGCAGTAGCCATTGTGTTTGCCGTGTACATGCCTCCACAAGCACCCTGACCGTTGCATGCGTGTCTGATGACATCGAAGCGCTGGTCTTCAGTGATCTCTCCAGTTATGAATTGTCCGTAGGCCTGGAAGGCAGAGACGATGTCGATGGACTGGTTGTCGAGAGTCTTTGCGCATCCAGGCTGGATGGTTCCGCCGTAGACCATCAGCGAGGGCCGGTTCACACGGCCCATAGCCATGATGACACCGGGCATGTTCTTGTCGCATCCGGGGATGGAAATGTTCGCATCGTACCATTGGCCGCCCATGACAGTCTCAATCGAGTCTGCGATGATCTCACGCGACTGCAGCGAGTAGCGCATGCCCTTGGTGCCCATGGAAATGCCGTCACTCACACCAATGGTGTTGAACTGCATGCCCAAGAGACCAGCCCGCTGCACACCCTCTTTGACCTTGTTGTTGAGGTCCATCAGGTGCATATTGCATGGGTTGCCCGAGTACCACACTGATGAGATGCCGACCTGGGCCTTATTCATATCATCCTCGCTCATGCCAGTCGCGTACAGCATGGCCTGCGAGGCGCCCTGCGACTTGGGCTGCGTAATGTGTTTGCTGACCGAATTGAGCTCATTGTCGGCTTTCGCTGAATGGATGGCGGAGCTCGAGAGTGCTCGTCTGCTCACTATTAGCTTATGTGAAGCTCTACAACATAAAATAAACCTACGCAGCGTGCCATTGCGGCCGCGGTGCACATCTCACACGTGAAAGTGCGCCTCCAAAGCGTGCGAGAGACATTGTGACGGGCTGCTCACTCCCCACAGCGTCGCGGGCACATTTTATGATGCTCCGGCAAAATGTTTGGACTTCGGTCATAGCGCCGAGAAATGCGATACCGGGGAGAATTCCATTCTATGCGCCAGCCAATCAGCGCCTAGGTGATGATTCACCCCCTTCGTCAGTGCTCATGATCTTCATTCTCCGCCAACACACTTCAACAAGACGAAACTTCACGACTCGATTTAATTTGATTTATCGATGACATGTTTTACCGCAAGATCATAATGCGACACGCGAACTGGGAAGCGCTGAAGGCACATCGATTCGTGCGCGTGTCTTGAATGTCCACCTCAATCTCTACCAAGGTAACGATTGCGCCGTCGTGATTGGCATGCATCACGGGCATTGTGCAGTCATCGTATCCACAGGCTCGAATGAAGCCGTACCATTCAATGGCACTGTCTTCACAGTCAAGTACAAATTCGTTCACACACCACACAATGTCATCCTTTGCAAAGCCGCGAATTTTTGGCCAACATCATCCACGCTGTTCTGCTCGAACCATTTTCCTTTGTATACAAAATCCCACTCGCATTTCATTGCACACAATCATTATACACTATGCTGAAGCTACTCTTCTTACTGTCGCTTGCACTACCCCTCGCGCAAGCCGCAGAAACAACAATATACACTGGCTTCAATTATGGCGCCTTCTGGGGTTCAGTTGGAAACGCTAAAACGGCGACCGATTTCAAGGCTGGTTTTGGCTATGCACACGATCTTAAATCTGCCATGCCTTTCAACAGTGCCCGGCTATTTACATGCAAACAACAAGGGACTAACGACGAGTATTCACAAGCATTCGACGCTGCCGTAGAAACCAAGACAAACCTGCTACTTGGTATGTGGATCAGCCCAGCCAAAAGAGGCGACCCTCTGGACAACTTGATCAAGACTGAGCTATCGGCACTCGGAAAGGGGTTCGAGAAGCACGGCCAGGCTTTGGGAGATCTAGTCATCGGACTTTCCGTCGGTAGCGAGGACATTTTCCGCTGGGAAGATGATAAGGAGAACGTCGGTGTCGCTGCGAAGGACGTTACTGCAGCCATCAAGAAAGTCAAGGACACTATTGCTTCGTCCGCGTTTGCCAAATACATGGCCAACAAACCAATTGGCCATGTGGATACTGCGAAACATTCAGTGGTCGACGGCGCAGACTTCTATGGCATTACTGTGTACCCATACTGGAACAAGGACCCAGTCGCAAATGCAAAGGGGAGCTTCAAAGGAACATTGGACAATGTTGTTTCACGAGCCAATGGCAAACCAATCTGGATCGCGGAGGTGGGCTGGCCCTTTCAAGGCGCGTCTCAAGGAGCTTCACAAGCCAATGCACAGAGCTTACAACAGTTCTGGTCTGATGTTGGATGTTCCATCATTGGCAAGTATACAACCTTTTGGTTTGAGCTGATCAAAGACTCTGAATCAAATCAGCCTGATTGGGGCATGGTCGATTCCGAGACTCATAAACCTCGCATCAACTTGTCGTGCCCCGGGTCGTTGCAGCCGAGTGCTTCAGCACCGCCAGCAAGCAGCTTGCCTACGACCCCATCACCTTCTTCAGTAGTAAGTGGTACAGGCACTGAACACATTACGTCCACCATGATTACTTCCCAGCAGTCATCCGTAGCGTCATCCACGGCGCCGTCGGCAGCGCCATCTTCGCGTTCAACCCCGCCCAGGGTGGGTTCCTCACTCCTCCCTTCCTCGCCACCAAAAGTGAGTGGCAAAACCACGGTGCATGTCACGACTACATTAACGACTACTTTACAGCCATCAGGAGCACCAGCGCCATCTGGTGGAGACGATGATCCAGTTTTCACCACTACAATAACCTCGACTGTATGGGTCCGGCCATCTTCGATCCCACCAGATGGGGCTGGTGCTCCGCCGGTAGACTCATCAGTGCCTGCGGGACCTGTAATAACCTCCCGCGCCAAAGCGACTATATTTCCAGGTATGATTCCGTGGTGTTTAACAATGGCTGATGTCGCGTCGAATGGTCAGCTTCTACCTGTTGCTGGCGGCCCTGCTGGAAAAGACGGCAAGTGCACTCCACCACCTCCGAACACTGCAGCCCCTAGCTCCAGTGTTCTTCCAAAGGACGTTCCATGGTGTGTGACAGTCGCTGATGTCGGTTGGAATGGTGAATATATGCCTCTCGCTGGTCATGCGGCCAACTCGAACGGAAAATGCGACGCAGCGCCAACTTATACTGGCTTGCCATATTCATCTGGAAAGCCTGGAAAAATTCCAGCACCAGCGCCTGCGCCATCTCTAACTTCAGCTTTACCCGCATCTGCATCTTCGAGTGGCAGTGCTTCTGTCGCACCATCAAGCCCAGCGGCTCCACCTCCAGGTAAGTCGTAGACTCCTGCTTCTTGCCACGTACTTGCTCACCGGTGAAGGTTCGTCGCAACATCCTTATTGTAAGCGCAATTCGAGCTCGCAAAGTGGTTCTGTAGCTCCGCCAGTATCTAAGCCCCCAGCTACGCCATCCAAGGCTCCAGCTCCTGCGCCGAAATCACCGAGTACAACACTACCGGACTTTCAGATGGTTTCGGCTAAGACGGTTGTGAGTAGAGAGGTATATGTTCGTAACATAAGGGATCGTAGGTAGTTAGCTTGGTGGTAATCCCTTTCCTTCTGTCCAAAGTTGTTCTAAATTATATTTCATCCATACATTGGCTTCTGCACTACCAGTTCATCTACTGTTTACTTTCAATGCGTTGTAAAGCCCGAGTCCGTCATTGCTCATTTGTTGTTACCAGTCGCGACTCCCCAGAAATAAGCTACCCAGGCACCGGCGATGAGGAAAATTACAGCGATGAACAGGCCTAGTCCGAGTTTCCTGCCGCGTATGCCGTTCTCGCCAGTTTCGGATTCTTCTTTGCGCTCGTTGATCATGTCTCCATTCCTCGACCGTTGCTTCTTCGTCCATTGCAGAATCTTCGCATCCGTATGCCAAAAGCTGCTTGCCAACAGCGCGCCCGCAACGACCACCGAGCCAACAGCGAGTATAACGTAGATGACAACAACGTTGTCGTATGAGTTCTTATCCCGGTCCTGGATGACGCCAGTAACAATGCGGATGATGATATTCATGCTGTTGTTAATCGCAATCTTGATGGCATATCCCGAGCCAAAGACTTCCTGGTACCGCATCGACGTGCGAATACTGTCGATAATGACCGTCGGACCAAAACTCGACGCAACCGCATAGATTCCAAACGACGCAGCCGTCCCCCCAATCGACGGACCCCATGCAGCCAAACACATCGACAACAACATGCCCAGTCCACAGACCAGCATCAGCGTAACCCTGTTCCCGAGTAGATCGACAAACACCCCAATTAGCGGCACCAAAAAGAACCCGAGATACTGCGACATGGCCGAATACCACCCCGCGGTAACCGCATCGATGTTGAACCGCTGCTCCGCCATCTCCGTCGCATTCTGCGAATACACGACCGCCGTACTCGTCTGGAACAAACTGAACCCCACCACCGCCCAAAACGTCCACGGCAACCTAAGCATCTTGCCGACCTCAAATTTCTTCCCCTTCTCCGTCAACACCTCGCCCGTCGCCGGATCCCGCATCCCCCCATACACCCTCCCACACCACCTCGTGAAAAACCAAAAGCCCAGCGTCACAACATTCGTAAACAAGTTCATAAACACCGCGGTCCAATACACCCAGCTGAAATCCCCCGTGCGCTTCGCAATGACATTCGCCGTCGCCTTGCCCACAAAACTACCAATCTTGCCGACGCCCAGCTCGAAACCCAGCGTTGACGCGAAGCCATTGCTCGGCGCGAACCATGAGGAGAAGACCTTGTACTGCGCGACCTGCGTGGCGATGTCGCCGAATGCTTGGACGATTACGCCGAAGATCATGAATTTGTACGAGCGGATGGTGGTGGCTGCCGCGATTAGGATGGCGCCGAGAGAGTAGATTGCGTTGCCGTAGAGCATGGCGTTGGCGCCGCCGATGCGGTCGGTTACGAGGCCGGATACGAGGATGAGGGCGGTTTTCATGAAATCTTCCGAGGCTTCGAGGATGGCGAATTGGGAGTTGTTGATGTGGAGTTGCTGGATGGGTTAGTTTGGGGGGATTGAGGAGTTCTGTGGAATCGTTGATTGGAAGTGGTAGACTCCAGGGGGATTTTGTTGATTTGCAAGCTCAGCGTCCATTATGAAAATCCTCCTTTAGGACATGCGGACAGATGAAAACGCAGTGATCCGAGTCACATTGTGTTGTTCGAGACCATGATATGGTGGGGAAACTTGGGTTTTCGGCTTACTTTCTTCAAGGTGCTCTTCATGGCGCCCGTCACGCCAGAACTCCAATGCGAGCCAAACCCAACAGCAGTGACAAGAAGGATCGAAATAAGCTTCATGCGCAGCGGCACAAGTGGTGTCTGGCCATTCTGACTTCCATTTTCCGTCGCTGTTTCACTGCCTGTCACCACAACAACCTCAGCACCCCCACTCTTGCTCTCAATTTCCTGCTCTTTTCCATTCGCGTTCTCATTGTCGACGGACACAAAATCCTTCTCTTGCGCCATCATCATCACTGTACACATACAAGTCACGAAAAGGGAGGAGTAGGATCAGATAAGATCATGGCGAGCGGCTTTCCTTTTTATAAACCATACCAGTAAGCAGAAGAAAATTTTATCTGATCAAGAATCTTAATCTCGTATTAGGGGTGGGTCGATAAATGAGATTGCGGATTTCGCGAAACTGAGTCGTGAACGGTTCTCCACTGCGACTTTCTCGAGTCGACTATCTTTGGCATGATCACGATTTCGGGATTCTTTCTCAATGCATGTCAAAGTAGGTGGTATTTTTTTAATCTTGTTTAGATTGCATTAGCTACTACTTTAAGATCATGGTTAAATGTTCAAGGGTCGGCCCGTTACCGTGAACTGGTATGGGGCTGCCCAGTGGACCTCTGCCCGACCACGGAGGTATGGTCAGATCCGTATGTTGACACACAGGGTTGCACGAGTACAGTATTCAAATCCGTATGTTGACACATAGGATTGTGCAAGAACGGTATGTATAGTCTATCTACATCTTTCAGAATAGGTATACGACGCCCTAAGTGTCATGAAGCTAATCAGGTCACTTCAACATGCGGAGAAGCCTCCGTCACGTAGAGTGCTACACTTTAATCGCATCCCAGCCTGTGTTTTGCCATCAAACATTGCACGCGCAAAGCCATATTCGTCGCCGAGTAGCTGTGAACGTTTTGCTTCACTGAGTACCGCGTGATGAAGATTCCTACCGTTTCGAGCGCGTGCCCAGGTATGCTTCAGAAACCACATTCGCATGACTCTGGCGGTTAGGCAAGTCTCCGGGGTATCGTAATCCTGAAGAAACCCAATTGAGTTGCGATCGGGGCCGTTAGGATCTGATCAGATAGGATGAGCAATTCCATTGGGAGAAGCGGCTGGCTATGTTGCATCTTGTAGAATTCCACGGGATCCGTCATGTGGTTGTCGATAAAGAACCACTTCTCCCACTCGAAACCAAGTTCTTGAAGCCGGGACTCGTACTGGAAGCGTGGCTCGGAACTATCGCCGTGCGGATGCATGCCGTTCCAGACGAAGTTTGCAAACGCATGCGTCAGCTCATGCATCAGGACCGTAGTGAACTTGAATAACGCTTGAAGCTGTCTAGCGGGGGTGTCCGTGCGCCACGTGTGCTCGAAATAGTTGAGATAACACTTGCGGAAGTTGATGTGGGGTGTACCTATTCGTACAAAACGCTGCATCTGTTCACCAGTCGTCGTCGTGATAGAATACGACTGTGGTACGTCAATAAAATCTCTAGGTAAAGGCAAAGCGACTTGGAACATTTGGAATGCCGTAGTGTATTGGGTCTCCTTAGGCGGTCGTCCAGGCAGAGCCCAGACGGGATGAAACTGAAAATCAAGATACGAATGAGATGCCATGTGGGTGGGGACTTGCTGTACATACTCATGCCCAAGCTCTGTGCCCTAAAGTGACCCCTTCCCGGTGTACATTTCGCCATGCGCATCACCCACGACCAAGCCGTTTGCAATGTGGTCAAAAACGGGAAGCATGTTGCGCTCAGTGATCAGTATCGACGCCAACCGTAAGACAGGTGACATGACTTCATAACCGCCTCTGAAATGATTGTAGGCGTTTCTGTGAGCACTCTAAAGACCTCTCACCGGCAGAGAGGGTGAACTGGGTTATCCAAGTCGCCAAGAAGCAGAGATGTGGGAAGGTCACCTATAGCTGCCTGGAAAAACTGGTCGCAAGCTTCACGATCTTTTTGTGCCAAGTTGCCATCCTCCATGGCTGAAAGTTGTGGAGTTTCTTGGGAGATTGGTGAGAAGAAGTCAGTGAGAAGCTTTCAATGAGACTGGGGGAATGACATTGTACAGTGATCCAATACAAGCTGACACCGCCATGGATAAACAAGACCTGCAAGATCTCGAGTCACCTCTAGTAGGCATGCACTCGAGTGCCTCGAACAAACCGCCGCAGGAAATTTGTTCAATGGGACCTTTTTATCACCATCATACAATTGGTCCAATGAATACAGTGCAAGCTGTGGTGACAGGGGACCAACCTCAAACACCTTTATTGGACACCAATCACACTAGAACGGTTAAACGATGCTCCACTCGATCAGCCAAGTCAAGCAAGCCAGAGATTATCGATCTTTCGAAGGCTAGAAGTCGCGTAACAACATTTTCAATCATATTTTACGGGAAGAAGGCATCATGGGGACCGTAGAGACAAAAGCTAACATGGCATCGCGTCACAGTGGTGATCAAGCACGAATGAAGCCTCCATCTGTCTGATGTAGTATTCGAGGATACGTTAGATTTATCTGCAAATGAGAATCTAGGGATGACCTGCTGCCTTAGGCGGTCACTACGTTAGTTGAAATATACGCAAATTCCATTGCTCATGGTTATGATTTTATGATTTCGCTACGTCCGTGAAAGTCTGGACGTCTCGTCTCACGTTGAAGGATGTATGTTTGGGTTTACAGGTACGGTATGGTCGTTTTAGTGTCGCGCCGATTGTCGTTCATGCAACCATTCGGCCCGTCTTTCCACCCGCGAGTTAAAGCGCCGCTGAGCGTCATTGCGCTTACACTTCTCCAGTAACGATACTACCGAGCTCTAGTCACCTTTCCGATGATGGGGCAAGGTATGGCGCACGCTTCTTGAAGCATCTACGCAGGTGACGTGCGTTCTATTTTAAGCAAAAGCGGGTTCCTTTGCTCAGGTCTAGAAGTGCAGTTCTGTACGCCGTGCTAGCCTGAATAGCAGCGATCGCAACACCACAATAGATATAAAATCGCCCAGCCAAGTGTTGACATAAGCTGCACCTACATATGTACCTGCAACCTGGACTTCTCCCCTAGTAGATAAAGAGACCCCCTACTATACTAGGTACTACCAGGAGTGCGGACAACCTTCGATGGAGAAGGCCTAAGGTCAGGAATACCTCACCCCACCAGAAGAGAAAGAGCGACTTTCTAAGTTTACAAAAGTGTCCCCCTACCTTGTGTGTCCTGGTTTGTAGGTAGGTAAACTTAGACTATGCCGGAGCTGGTTGGCCACGTAGAACCGGTAAAAAAACAAATGATTAGCAGACACATCAGTATACCCCGCTTCAGCCTCATTTCGGGGACTTGATTGCTGCCTAGTTTCCCAAACTCTCTCCTGCGTCGACAATATATAGGTATCAGTGAAGACAAGTTCGCCGCGGCTCACTCCACACTGCGCTTTTAATGGAAAGCCTAATCTATGTGCCATTACCTCCACAGGATCCAAACGAACATGTAACTGCGTACTCTCGACTTCTTGAACTCTGGCCTGGCGAGGGCGCCAACCCGTTTTTATGCACCCTTCGAAATGTGGATATAGAACATCCTCCTGTTCCATTTGAAGCGCTATCCTATGTCTGGGGGCGGGAGAAAAGCGACAACGTCCTGCTTTGTGCAGACAACCAAGGGAATATACACGGGCAGCTGGAACTCACTAGAAATCTGGAGCAAGTGTTACGAGCCTTACGACAACCGAACCAGCGCAGGATTCTCTGGATCGATGCCATTTGTATCCGACAGGATGACAACGCCGAGCGATCCCGTCAGGTATCCTATATGCGATCGGTGTATAATAACGCGTCGCGGGTGATCGTCTGGCTTGGTGGAAAAGATGCAACGGTCCGGCGTGCGTTCGAATTCGCTCAGGAACTCGTCGCCATGGGTGCCGCAGTCCTGCAGGTAACCATTCCACAGGGCTCTCAGTCGACACAACAAGCCCAGACAGAACGGTTGCACCGCGAAGGCCTTGTAATAAACGCCATGAAAGAGCGCCCGGAAGATTCCGGAGCATTAAATGCGCTGCTTACGAAGGAGTACTTCGAGCGCGTTTGGTGCATCCAGGAAGTTTCTGCTGCAAAAGACTGCATTGCGAAATGCGAAGACCTTGAGATCGATTTTGACATTCTCCTTGCCGTCGTACCATTCCTCCTTATATATGGAGGTCTCACTCCTGTCGTATCAGGCCTAAGCATGTGGCAAGCTATGGCAATCATCAAGGGACAAGAGCACGATCAATCGAATCCACTGACGCCGACTGGTTCGCTCGGCCCGATATTGCGAGTCCTCATGTCGATTCGAAACTTCAAGGCCACAAATCCAGCAGATCGGATTTATGCGCTCCTAGGCTGCACTGACGAGGGACTAGAACCGATCTTAGGGAGCTTGAATACTTTCGGAGGGAACAAAAGAAGCCCCACATTGGCACTGATGCAGAGAGGCTTGATTTGGCTGGCAAAGAAAGTGGAGGGCCAGCGGCGACCTGATGAGAAGTTCCTTCGACATTGGGCACTGAGGCCAGATTATGATAAGAGCGTGCGCGATGTCTACCGCGACTTTACAAGATATTGCATCCGCAGGAGTCCTCGGATTTTGGATGCTCTCTCCCACGTACAGCATCACTCCGACCCGCCCGGACAGGATGAGTTTCCAACTTGGGTTCCCAAGTTCTACGAGCCTCGCAACGCTTCTTCGTTTGTCTTGGAAGTGTACATGGCCGGAGTGCCGCCGGAAGGGCACTATCGTTACTTTGCGCATTTGCAGGACAACCCGTTGGTGCAAAGTTCAATCAAAGAACCGAACATCTTGCAAGCTGACGGCTTCCGGGTCGATGTTGTCGCTGCTGTTTCCGAGACTATCACACAAGGCGATGGTGGAACAATCTCACCCCAGACCATCTGGGACCAACTATTCACAATCCCAATTTCCCCAAGACCCTACGTCCAATACGGGTTTGGGGCCGAGGCCTTAGACGTAGCTTTTTTGATGACGTTGCTTGCAGGTGGGGCGGTTAATGCGCTCGTTATCGGGTTCGAAAGCGCTCCGACGAAAAGATCCGAAGCAGTGGAGCAATTCACGAGGCAAGCGAAGTGTGATGTGTGCCAGTGGCTAGAGGGCGAGCCTGGCTTCGATCCAGAGGCCTATTCGGACCTTCTACGTGATTCCCAGGGCGCAAATCGTGCGCAGGGGCGTTCTCGTTTTGAAAAATGCTGTGTTATGTACTCACTTAACCGGAGATTATATCGCACTCGATCTGGAATGTTGGGTCTGGGTCCGATGGTCACCAGGCCTGGTGATGTTGTAGTTGTTCTCTTCGGCGGCAAATACCCTTTTTTGCTCAGACAGCTTGCTCTTGAATGGCTATTCGTGGGGGAGACATATGTGCGAAATGACAATATTATGCTTGGCGAAGCAGTGACCGAGGTACGTTCGGCAAGAGGAAGACAAAGAGTGGAGACATTCCGCATTCGGTAGGCCGCTTTCTGAGGGACCGAGATGCCGAATGGTATTTGTCTTTCTTGTGTGAAAGAGGATGATTGAAGGACGGTACACGATGTTCTTACAGGTGACGATGGTTGGGAACGCTAATCGCAATCCCTGTTGGATAAGGACTATGTAGTATCACATCTTGATTAAGAGAAGGGAATGGAAATAATGTAGTAGAGAGAAGTTAGGTGTTAAAGTAGAAGACACGTCGCGTCGCGGGGAGGTTTGCGTAAATCAGAGACAGGTATCGTGCGGATCGGAAAGAACAGCACGATAACGAACATAGTTGTATCTATTGCTGCACACGCGCTAGAATAGTTGCCATATGTGAACTAGTTTTCGAGCTGCGCATTGTCAGCACTGAAGCCAATGCTGACATGTTATGTGAGGTACCAAACTGATTGCTGCCTGGCAGCAAACCTGCAATGAGGCTTAACTTAGTTAAAGGAGACGACGGTGATTAGGCCTTTTCTTGCTCGAAGCTTGTATCAGCAGGATTTCCAGCTTTTGCTAATGACACTAATAAAACTGAGAGCGCAAATGTATACACAACAGATATGACGCTGAGGAGAAAACTCATAGAAGCCGTGATTGACGGCGTTGGAACAACAACAAATGGCTTACTCAAGTAGCTCTAACATCAAGGTAGGTTGTCTCTTGGTTACGCAGCCTACCCTCAGTAACTTTCACATACTGTCAGCCGTTCTTACTAAATATAGTCTAGCTAACATTATTTCCTAGTCGTATTCTGATACAAGACAGGCTCAACTACATTACTACGTCGTGGAAAGATAGCCCCGTCCACTCTTGTCCGGGGCACACGGCAATTTCGACATCTTGCGAACGACGCCGTCGGCTCAAACCAAACTCTCATATTTTCTATTCAATTCTCAGGCAATGTCCTTCCTGCACTTGCACTGCCAGCCCTGCATTTGTCATCACCAGCGTACCCTTCAGGCTTCCAAGAATCTATTCCCTTATCTCTATACCATTGACGATGCCAATTCTGTACATCGCACCACCCCAGAGCCTCCACAGTGTCGTCTCAACAGGCTCAACCCGGACCGAAATTATGTCGGACTTAGGCGTCGGAGCAAATTGCTCAATAGTAGTTGTTGGCTTCAACGTAGCTTCCAAGATTCAAGACCCAATCTATGATCATCAAGATACACAGCAAATCTCCTTCCTTCTTCTGCTACCCATCTCACATCCCCGCACCCATCTCGCCCAACACCCCCGCATCACTCTCCTCCACCCCAATCACCCCCTCACTCCTCCTCACCAATTCCTCCGCCATCCCATCCCTCACAGTTATCCTACACTTATACGGCACCGGGATGGCTCACCACGCCAGGCTCAAACTACCACAAATCAGCGTCTCTCTCTTGCCCATGATTACTGAAACATACCTTAACAGCCGGCTCCTCCCTCTTCCACAGTACTGATGTTGAACACTGACAAGACCTGCGCGATGGTGATGAACAGTGCATTGTCAGCGACATACCCGACCTGGACACACGCCGGCGGCCGAAGCCGAATGTGTAGATGCGTGGGTCGGGCGCGGGATCATTGCCCATAATACCCTCTCTGGTTTGAACTCCATCGGTTCGGGATACACGGTTGGGTCGTGTGTGAACCACCTAGATATATCCTGCTTAGCACATCCGAAAGGAAGTAGAGGGTGGCTAGACGTACCATGTATTCGCCATGACGACCGCGCCCTTGGGTATCCTGTACCCTCTTACAACATCCTCCTGCGTCGTTGCGTGGGGCAGAGACATTGGGGCGACGGGGTGCCAGCGGTGCGTTTCCTTGAGGATGGCGGTGATGTATGGGAGTGAGTCTTTGTCGGCACTTGTGGGGAGGCGGGTGCGGGAAGTGAGGGCGTCGAGTTCGGCCTGGGCGTGTTTCTGAATGGTTGGATTAAGCATCATGGCGAGGAAGAAGGTCATCAGCGAAGCGACCGTTGTATCAGCGCCGGCGATGTACATTGATGCTGCGGACCATTTGTGGACTGAGGCACGTTAGAAAAAGTGGAATGTAGAGAGAAGGGAAAGACTTACCGAATTCCATCTGCGGATCCAGACCGATGTCTTTGATCGCTTCGGAGAGATACGACGTCTTGTGCGATTTCTCGCGCATTTGTCGCTTGACAAACTGATACGGCAGTTCGACAGTCCGATCGAGTTGTCTCGCCATCCTTCTCGCAACACGCTTAAACCCCGAGCCCGGAAACCACTCTGGAAGATATCTCACTGCAGCGTTCATCAGCCCACCTCTCCACTCGCAGCACCACAGCCCCCGAGCCATGCAAACTCACAAGCAGGCAAAACATCCACAAGGTACTTCCCCGGAATCATAACATCCGCAAAATCCACCATCGTCGTCCCCGCCATATCAACAAGCGGATCCTTCTCCTCCCGCGGCGTATACCCATACGTAACTCTGAGAATCACCGCGCCCGCTTCCATTTTAATATGCTCGAACAACGCCTCGGGCCCGCGCAACACGCGCCCCAAAAACCGCACACTCTCCTCCTCCTGCACGCCGTCAAACACCTTCAGCGTCGCCGCTGAACTCGCCACTTTCGCAATGTTCTTGCGGTACTGTTTGAAGCGCGCGTGCGGTTGTTGCATGCCCAGTACGTGCTCCCACCCAATCATGCTCCCCGCGAAGGTGAATTCTGGTCGCCCGGAGTAGATGAGCGCGCGGTCGCGCAGGAGCTCGAGCGCGAGGGAGGCGTCGTTTATTATTATGAAGGGCTGCCCGAGGACGCTGAGTGAGCTTAGGGGGCCGTAGAGGTCCTTGTGCGTGAGCCAGTGGTGACATTCTAGAGTGCCGGGGGGAGGCAGGTCGTTGATGTTGCCGAGGAGGGGGAGACCCTTGGGGCCGGGTGGGAGGGGGAGAGTGGTTCTAGGGCGGAGCTTGCGGTGGAGTATGAATGCTGTGAGTAGGACTGCGAGGGAGATGATGCTAGTAGCGATTGTGGTGGCCATGTTGAGGCCGGGAACTGGCGAGCTCAATCAATGAGAAGTGGAAGTAAAGAGACACCATAAAAGACTAGAATGTAGAGAAAGTTGCCCTGCCTCGGTACGTCTTTTCGGTCTTCAGTATGCCTGTTCCGCCCTGCAGACCGATTGCTTCATGGTGGATGTTGCGGAGACTGACTACCTGCTCTGGGGTGGTTCCACCGACGCATAAAAAACGGCCAGCCTATAAAAGGGAAGCTAAACTTCATCTTAGTTGAGATGCATGCAGGTGTCAGTGGCCAAGATCTCAAGTCCCATGTGTTTTGCCATCTTGGCCGTGTGCTAGACAGGGGAGTGCATGTGAGTGGATACTAGGTGAACGCAAGGCTGCAGATCGCGGCACGTATCGCATCCAAGAGTATTGCTGCCAGTAGCAAGATTCGTGATCGAAGTTGTGGGAGAGTGCGATTGAAAGGAAGGAAAGTCGTCCATGCGAAGCGTAAAAATGTACAGGAGTGTCGTAAAACGCCAACGACTCAAACCCAAGGTTCCGTCCTCGGACTCCTCGCTCTCAGCTCCTCCTCTCCCGTCCAACTCTTGAACTCCCGCGCACTTAACCCCTCCTCAAACATCCTATCAATCTCATTGACAGTCCTGCCCTTCATCTCTGGAATGATGAAGTAACTTACCACCACACCAACTACACAGCTCGCCGCATACGTATATCCGGTCTTGCCTCGCAGATTCCCCTCGTCAGGATTGAACACGTATGGCAAGCAGAGACCGGACACGGTGGACGTGAGCGCAGATACTGCCCAGCCGATACCCTGAGTTTTAGCGCGGAGTTGCAGGGAAGAGGTTTCGGCGGCGATGGCGTAGGAGGCGGGCCAGACGCCGATGCCACAGACGACGATGGTGATCATCATGCAGGCGGCTGTGTACCTGGCGGGAATGTTAGTGCTTTGAAAGGATGTTGGAAAACAGGAAGACGCACCATGTCACTGCTGGCGTGATTTTGGTGCTATTTGCAACGCCCATGGAGGTCCAGAGGAGGATTGCAAAAGCCATTGTGCTAAGAACGCACTTCCGGCGGCCAACGCGCGACATGACCCAGATTGAAATGATGTTTGCGATCAGGCCGAGCACGATACCGAGGATGAGGAAGATAATTGATGTTCCGGGTTTCATGCCGACAAGCTGGAGGAAGTAAGACGCCTTAGCCAGAAGCTGCAGTCCGAAGATGGATGTTAAAGAGTTGGCCCATATGACGATGAAAGTGCGGCGAAAGTTTCGCTTGTGGAAGCACTCCATGAACGTCGCGTTGGCTGAGAGTTCCTCGTGTTCGATGGTGGCAAGAATCTTGGCGACAACACTGGCCGTGTCGGTGCCTGGGGGATCCAAACGAGCTTGCGCCTTGTGTGCCTTGTCCATGTAGCGTTTGCGAACGTACCACGCGGGTGATTCGGGGATGAAGAAAGCCACGACGATGGGAATGAACGAGAATGGCCATTGAGAGCCGAAGACGACAGCATAGCCTTTACCGCGGTTGAGAGATCCGTAGATGACCAGCGCGCCAGTCAATTGACCCAGCAATGTAATGGCAAGGAAAGAGAGCCATCCCAGATCCGCGAAGCACTGGAGGCAGAATCTCCGACATGTACGTTTGTGTGGCGGACATTACACCTCCAATAGCGAGACCTTGGGCTAATTTACCCATCATGAAACATACCCGGCGACTAGTGAGATCTGCTGGGAGGTACGAGACATACATGATGGCGACACCGATTGCGGAGAGAAAAGGAGCTCACAGCGAGAGCCTTCTTTCGCCCGACCCGGTCGTTAAACCATCCACCGAGTAAAGAGCCAGCCATAGCACCTATGGGAGATGCAACGTTCCATAGAGCGAGCCATGTCGAGGGGAGAATCCATTGGCCTTCGTAAAAGATACCAAAGTCCTTTCTGTGGTACGGGTTAGCATAGCACATGCCAAACACGTGGGGCCGGGCTAGCGTACTGGAAAACAGGCATGGCCGACACGGTACCAACAACAACGTTGTCGTACCCATAGAGGAGAATCGCAGAGGTGAGCGCAATGGTGATCCAGACGACTTTTCGGTATTTCTTGATGTTTTGCCAAAGCGTGCTCTTCTCGTCATTGTCCTGCCCAGTCGACCCACTGTCCACCTCTGAGATGCGCTCTCCAGCCCAGCTATCCTTCTTATCGGTGCTTTGATTGTCGATGCTCGCCATGATTGCGGTGTCGTCGAGAAATCGCCAGAGCCCGAGAAAGAGGGACGAAGGAAGATAAAGGTCACTTCGGGCTACGAGCTTAGTGGCCGCGGGCAACTGCTCCAATATGAAGATCCATTTGGCCAAGCACTATCGGACAGGCATTTCTTCAAGGACGGGGCGCTTGGTGTAGCAAAGAACACAAAGGGAGCGAATCACGAGAGACGGAGTAGCCGTGCCATGCCCTCTACGGGTAAGCCCGATCTGCAGGCGCCATGGATCAGCCTCACCCGGGCCCAGCTCTGCCGTCTGACGCTCCCCACAGTTCGCCGTCGAGGCCTTGGACGGTCGGATTCGGGGTTCTACATTTTCAACCTGCCAGTTTCGAGTTGATTAGCGAGGACCACGCGCGCAGTCTATGGATGGATCGGATAGCGAATCTTGCATCAGGATGCACACAGGGCTGTAAACGTACACCCCGATCAAAATCACGGTTGTGGCACGGTGTTCAGATTTGCAGCGCATTGACGCGTATTTGCTTTTCGAAAATAGAGTCGTGAACCCTGCCCTTCCCGCTTCCAAGAAACGCCTTGCAATGCGCGCTGAAATGAACGCCAGTGACCATGCCTGATTGAGAAGTCGACGATGCCAAATGCCGTAGGATGCATGATTCACAAAAGAGTGCAGATCCAACACATTTCACCCGAGGAAGGATTTGACCGCTCCACCCACGTTCTCGAGATCGAGCAGAAAGGTGTCGTGGCCGAACAAGCTCTTCTCCTCTCCCAGCTCAATGTGTGTGACGTTTTTGTTCCCCGTGCGCTTCAGCGTGGTCGCAATCTCACGCTGCTGCCATGCCGGGAACAAAATGTCGCTTGCAACGCCTAAGACTAAGGCGGGGGTATTCGCGAGAGGTATGAGACCCGCGACTAGATCGGCTGGCGGCTCACTGCCGTCAGCCTCAACGGCACTGGCGTCGAAATCTGCAGGCTGCTCTTTTTCTTCGTAGGGTTTATCGGGAAGAGTCAGGCTGCAAACGTCATTGCTGGTATCGGACTGGATTGCGCTCCCGTCCAGATATGCCTGTAGTTTACCACTATTTGCTTTCCGCACTTTATTGATGCGGTCACGGTGTTCCTGGCCCAGGTCGAAGAGATCCATCGCTTTGGAGACGTAAAGTAAGCTGTTCGGGTCGTACTCCAGACACCACTTCTCGCCCGCATGATCAAGATATGTCTCGATGAGGAAATCTGGGCACAGAGCCGGTGGCCGTGAAGGGTCCGCGCGTCGTCGACCAAATCGCATTTCCCATTCTGGTCCACTTCGATATGTGACTGTAGCAATCTCTCGAGCCAACTTCATGCCACCATGCGGAGGCACGCCATCGTAGTAAAAGCCACGAGCCCAGTTGGGATCCATCATGAGCACTGCAACTGTGTTAGCGACATGTATGGTAGTATGGAATTGTCTCGGTTCCCACCTTGTCGTTGCGTATGCCTCATAGCGATGCTGTACGGATGGCTTCGCGCACAACCACTTATACTGACCAGACGACCAACGCGGTCTGCAAACAGAGTTCCAGCTGCCAAACTCTGCATACCGCCCATGCTTGATCCCACACTTGCGTATAGCTTCTGAATGCCCAAGTTGTCCAGCAGTCGGAACTGCGCGCGCACCATGTCCTCCATGGTCAGAATCGGGAATCGTGTCGCATATCGCTCGCCATTCGCGGGGTCAATCGAAGAAGGTCCAGTCGAGCCATAGCATCCCCCGATAACATTCGTGCAAATGACGAAGTACTTGTTGGTGTCAAGAGGCTTGTCAGGCCCGATAAACTTTTCCCACCAGCCAGGCTTCGTGTTTGTTTCCGTGCTGTGGGCATGACTCGACGCGGACAGTCCAGTGTGTAAGAGGATCGCATTGCTTTTGTCTTGGTTCAGGGTTCCCCATGTTTCATACGCTATGTTGAACTCAGGTAGAATGCCGCCCCAGTCGAGCAGAATGGGCTGCTGCGAGCGGAAGTTGAGCGTGTGTCCAGACGTATACGATGGCTCAGGGCCGGAAAGAGAGCGTTTGGAGAGCGAGGCCGATCGTGTTTCGTACGCATCGAGGCATGGGAACGATAACGCGGGGTTGGTCGACTCGTACTCTGCTTCTTGAGCTGCAGCTGCGTGTTGTGCTTTGCGCGGTGCTTGCTGGTGAATCTTCCTGCTTGCTTGATTTGATTGTTGTCTAGCTGGAATTGTAGAGAAATTGAGCGACTTCGGCGCGCGACATTGCACGATTTGGGGCCGTGAAGCCCGCGCGATTCCGAGCAGCCTATGTGGGACGCTCATAGCTGCAAGAAATGTCGCCAAACACGTCAATGCAGAAGTGAGCACTGGCAAAGGTGGAGAAGACACACAAATTAACGATGACGCTATTCGCCATGATTAATAACAGTCTTGCCTCTCCAGAAAGTGAGGGAACGCAACGATGTCGGGCCCAATGACGTGCCGAGGAAATTGCGTGCTACTTCCGCGTCAGGCCCGTTCCGGCCAGAACCATCGGTAGCTTTGACATGTCGAACCACGGTTCTCACCACGGTTCTCACCACGGTTCTCACCACCAGGCTTCTGGATCTAGACTGAGGATTGATAGGATTAGCCTGAAGCTATAAAAATAACCCGCCTGTCGAATTTGAGATGTCAGAAGACAGCGGATAGCTTCAGGCCATGGGATGCCCATGTCCACTTTGCCTCAGAGTCGACAACCTGCAGTGCAATCCCCCTCGACGAGGTTGATGTTTCACAAGTCGCCCTGAGCATCTACTGTAACAGCATTCGCACGTCCACTTCACTCGTCCTGGTCGAATGAACATCAGGCTTGTCGATCTGGATCTGGATAATGACTCAAGCTGCGATCGAGCAACCTCGACGTTCTCCAAAGAGCAGTGTCTGTGGATTTGAATGATCTGCAATGCCGGAATGGCGCCGACTACCACGAGTGCAACCTCAGTCATGCAGCTCCCACGGCCATCACACGTTGCCAATACTTGGTGTTGGATGCGGATGCAGGCTCATAAACGTGCTGTGGCAGCCAGCAAGTGTGAGACAAGGCTGGCCTCCTGACCAAGCTTGGTGGAGGCGGCGCGTTTGAAGTGGAGATGCTAAATTTGGCGGCTCAGGGGAGCGTCTGCAACAGACGGCGGGAGACAGAGTTGGGAGGTCATTTTGAGCGCACACTGTGCTCTTGGATGCCGCGCAAACGTGAACGTGGTGCAGACGCAGGGACCGCTGGATGTTACGATGTGTGTGTTCGAGTGCAGCTTGGAATTGCAGAGCGGATCCTTGAGGTGTCTTGGCGCACGCTGACACTCGAGCCGGCGCTGGTTCCTGAGCTGGCGTCACCTACCAGTGTCCGACTTTCACCGTCTACTTTTGCCTGTGCTGTGTCTGCGCGTGATACCCCCTGTCCGTTCTGGTTATTTGTGCGGCAACGTGCTGCATCGCCCTCCTTAGTCACTCCTGGCGAGCCTGCCCCGACTGCATCAGTGAAAAGGACGAAACACCGCCGGCGGACCCTCTCTGTAACCACCATTCCCTGCACTCTTTTTGGCCACTACGGTGCATGTCTTCGTCCCGAGCGAACGCCCACACACGCTATACATTCACTGCTATACCCTCGCGACGTGCGCATCGCCGTGTCTTCCTGCTGGCCGCTTCCGGACCTGGACCTGACGTGTGATACAAGGACGGGCAGTCACCGCCGTCTGTCATGGAGCAAGACGACTACTTCGCCTCCCAGCGAGAGGACCAGCGTGCCTCCAACGTGCAGCACATTGAAGACTCCGACACCGACATGGCCGCCTCCGCCACGGCCTCATCCTCGCGAGCCGCCATGTTCTCCTCCCCCAACCGCCCACTCCCGCAAGCCCCGCAGGATCTCGCGCTCAGGAGTCCCCCGGCCTATAATCACGCCCACGAGTCCCCTGAGCTCGACAATACCGCACAACCTCCTCCCCTCGGCGCCAGCATCGCCGCCCACTCCCGCCCCGAGTCCGACGCCAACACAGCGAGTGCCCGACTGGAGCACGGCAGCCGAATATGAAGACTCGCACATCAAGAACACACGCGCACGCTTTGGCGACATGAACAAGGCGGAGCGGATGCGCCTCCTGGGGGAATTGCTGAACCTGTGCGACAGCGCCGAATTGAGCTTCGTGGCTGAATTTGTCAGCCCAAGGCTGAAGAAGGACCCGTTCATGGTTCTGCCCACACGGAGCTGTGCCTGAGAGTATGTGCCGTCTTTTCACGTCACATGCATGTCAGATCAGATGACGCTAACATGCCCGTAGATCTTGGAGTGTGTAGACGACCCCACCACTCTATCACGAGCCTCGCAGGTTTCCAAAAAGTGGCGTGAACTAGTCAACGACGACGGCGCTTGGAGACTGCTGTGCAAGAAGTATTCATTCCGCGGACTGACCCGAGAGGAACGGAGCGACGAGGGCCACGTCGACGAGATGGAAGACGCCGAGTCAGAGTCTTGGGTGGCGGACGCTGAGCGCATGTCCCGAACAGAAGACGCTGCGCACAGAGATCTCCTGGAGGTGGCTTCGGCAAGCAGCGGTGCCGAGGGATTGCGGACACAGAGCCTCGATCGCGAGGCTAAGCGACTGATTTCCCAGCGCAAAGCAAAGGCAATCACCTACCGATCGCACTTCAAGCAGCGCTACATGGTCGAGACGGCATGGCGCAACGGCGGCGTATGCGATGCGCGCCAGATAACGCCTGACCAGGGAGTCGTCACAAGTTTGCACCTCACAAAGAAGTACATCGTCGTTGCACTTGACAATGCAAAGATCCACGTATTCGACACCGTTGGTGACCACCAGAAGACACTCCAGGGACATGTTATGGGTGTTTGGGCTATGGTGCCATGGGGCGATCTTCTGGTCAGTGGAGGTTGCGACCGCGATGTGCGGGTGTGGAATCTTGCAACCGGGTAAGCTTTACTGCATCTCCGCGACTTTGACTTGGCTAACGACACCAGATATCCTCAATTCACATTGCGCGGCCACACTTCGACCGTACGATGCTTGAAGATGTCCGATGCAAACACCGCCATTTCCGGCTCCCGCGATACAACCCTGCGAATCTGGGACCTCAAGAAGGGGCAATGCAAGCACGTCCTGATTGGTCACCAGGCCAGCGTCAGATGCCTGGAAATCCACGGAGATATTGTGGTGTCCGGTAGCTACGACACGACAGCCAAAATCTGGAGCATCTCCGAAGGCAAATGCTTGCGCACACTCACCGGGCACTTTAGCCAGATCTACGCCATTGCCTTTGACGGAAAAAAGATCGCGACAGGCAGTTTGGACACCAGTGTCCGGATATGGGATCCGAATGATGGGTGAGTTTATTTGTGTCACTCAACAACTTCGAGTACTGACCCTTGCGTGCAGCAAATGCCTGGCCGTGCTACAGGGCCACACATCCCTCGTCGGCCAGCTCCAAATGCGTGAAGATATCCTTGTCACAGGTGGATCAGACGGCTCGGTCCGTGTGTGGAGTCTCGCAAATTATCAGGCTATTCACCGATTAGCCGCCCACGACAACAGTGTCACCAGCCTGCAGTTCGACAACACAAGAATAGTTAGCGGTGGCAGTGATGGCCGCGTCAAGGTGTGGGACGTGAAGAACGGCACACTTGTGCGCGAGCTGAGCAGTCCCGCAGAGGCGGTCTGGAGGGTCGTGTTTGAGGAAGAGAAAGCAGTCATCATGGCCAGCCGAGGTGGTCGGACAATCATGGAGGTTTGGGACTTTTCTCCGCCGCCGGAAGACGGCGATTCGCGCGCAGTCAGCCCGGCCAGCATGCCCGATCACCTCGATCCCGAATATGAACGCCCACGGTCCGCCATTTTGCCGGCAACCTCACCACTCGTCGCAAATGTCGATAGTGCCGGCGACATCAGTATGGCCGATGCCGCAGAGGACTGACCACCGCACATCACATCGAGTTTCAACATACCGATCCTGCGACAAGAGGAGATTTAATACCTATGATAGACACGCCAGTCCCGAGCGACACGTGTAATACCACACGCACCCGGTGGTGCCAGCCCTGGCAAACATGCCGCCCGCCTCGAGCGACCGCCAGGACAGCACAGTACAGGCACTCAACCTGACTTAAACGCCAGAACAATTGGCGAGCATATACCATGTTGCATTTCCGGCGTCGCATTGCATCCACCCATACCATCTAACCACCGGAGTCCCCTGAATTTGGCCTTGAAACAACACACACATTTTATTAGGCATTTGTATTGCGCAATTTTGGAGATATCCACATCATGTACGAAAATGGACGGGGGGCAATGGAAATATATCGGACTCGAATCTACGAATTGTTGATAACGGTATCTTGGATCGGGAGGCGGTGTTTTTATTCTTGGTGCGATCTGGGACATAGAACGAATCTTTTATTATTATTATTACTACTATTATCTATTCACACCGCGTTACTTTCAAGAATTTGACTTTTCCACATGCATTGAAAAAAAATTCGCACCTCGTAACGAATTAACGATTTAATCATACATTGAAATCCCAGCCAGCACTTGATGCATTTCGTCTTTTTAATGCTTCCCCAGCCATGTCCGTTACAATCTCCCGCACGCCCCGACCACTGCCTCACAAATCTGTACTAGACAAACGAACAGAAAATGTGCCATGTAACACGTAAATCCTGTCCGGACTGTCAGGCGCCACTGTACTTGATGCACCCTTGCGCCTACGCGCCTTCAGATGCCATAGCGTACGGTAACTCGGTTGAGACGGGCACGGTGAAGGCCATGCTGTGTGGACGATGTAAGGAGAGGAGGGTGAGGGGGTGGGATACGCAGAGGGGTATAGGGACGTTGGATTGGGCGTGGGAAGTTGAAGAAGTGGCGGATGAAGAGGGGGCGAGGATATGGAGAGAGTGTTAGAGGTGAGTGAGTCGTGTCTGGTACTGAGAAGATTGTATGTCTAGCGAGTTGGGAGTGGGGAGTGGAGGGGACAATTGATTGACATTTGAATCTCGATTCCTCGTCAACGCCAGCAACACGATGTATGTACAGTTATGCTTGGTTGTTAATTTCAACTTTTTACTTTCTTCTCGGCTGGAACTTTACTCTTTCCTATTGAAGTCTCGGTCTTGACGTTGATGCCTTTCCACTGCGCGGCCATGGCTTCATCAATCCATGGGCAGGTTGTGATGTCGATTCGCGAGCGGACGTAGTCCTCGAGGGCTTTTGCGCCGGGCGCGTCCGCGAAGATGGCGAGGGCGCCGACGCGTGGGATGTGCAGGGTTGATGCTAGGCGGGCGTCTGTGGATGTTGCGAGCGGGATGAGTCGGGCAGGTTCTGACGGAATTGTTGAGGTTGGAGGTTTGACAGCTGAGAGGTGGACGAGGGTGGGGAGATGGGCATGGGCGGTTGATAGGGAGGGTTTGGGGTGGGTTAGGATGACCATGCTCAGAGGCCTGTACTTGTGTTTTTCTTCCTTGTTGGCCGCACCGTCTGGTTCGTCTTTTTTTAGTTCTGCGATGGGCATCGTTGAAGCTGCATTTTGCGCAGCCAGCATCTCGAGATGGCGGGTCACGCTGTTGATGCCAACGAGGATATGCTTTCCAATCTCTGGCGGAGGTGGAGGATCATCTTTTATGGCAGAATCATCTTGGTCCTCCTTGGTTCTTCTCTTCCTCTTCTTGCCTTTGGAGGGCTGTATGTGTGTTTTGCGATATTCACCCAGTGGTGAAATGAGGCTATGCGCATCAGTCTAGCGTCCCAAACACGGTCACCACGCGTCGTACCTACTTGGCCACTAGATCGATGATGATTTCTTGGTTGTCATGTGATATCTGCGGCCTTGAAGTGTTTGCTGTTAGCAAGTGACAAAAGCTGTCGAGCTGCAGGGACGTACCATGTCGTCTCAGTGAACGGCGAGGATGTCTTGAATATCGGCTTGCTGTTCTTTGTGGTGGGCGCCATTGTTGACGGATGCCAGTCTCGCATGTGGTAGTATGTACGTGAAACAATTGCACCGGGCAAAATGGTGAAGAGTGGAGCCGTTCGTTAGCAGATCGCAGCTCCTAGGTGCGGGATCTATGAGTGGAGCCTACGGGGCCAATGAGCAATGACGCGGGTCTCCACTTCACCCTGGTGGGGTCAAGGAACTTTGGAATCAATAACGCGTCTGGAGCTCCCAACGGCTGCCTACACGCCTCAACTCTGTTCAATTACGGTAGACGCAGTTCTCTCACCCTCGCCGCAGCTCATGGGCCCAATTGCTACCGCGCATCCAGCCCCGCCGCGTGTGGCGCGTGCCCACTAAGGCTGCAGGAGCTGCTGCCTGTACTGCGAGCTGCTTGCCCACTCCGGCTTCACCTGCTTGCTTTGCACGCGTTGCTGTGCCCGCCCGCCACGCTTTGAGCAAACAACCTCAAGCGCCACTGCGACTATGAATGTGCGAGAGGACCACGCCGCGCAAACTGCTGCTGCAGACGAGTCAGCAAGCACCACATCCCCGCCTCGCCGCGATCCCGTGGAGGACGCCAACCCCAGCTTTACTCGCAAACGCCCGCGCCTGGACAGTGGCAGCAACAGCGTCCGCGCCCTCTCGACCGACACTGAGTCGTCAACCCGGACCACCGCATCGCCGCCGCGAGAACAACAGGTAGAAATGACCATACGCTCGCACCCGCCCTCCTCCCCGGTGTCCGCCCCGATTGACGACGGCCACAATGCTGATGCGATGCCGGCGGATTCACAGAATATTTCTCCCATTCTCATAGATAGCACGGGGGACGACTCCGGAAGTCCGCCCGTCATGCTCATCGAAGAGGACGAGCAGTCTGCTCTTGGCTTCACCGTGCGCGTAGACGCATACGACCATTTCCAGCGATTCCCATGGGCGCCTGCTGGAAACTATACCCAGGTCGCTCATGAATTGCCTCAGTACATCCAAGCATGTACGTGATTTACCATATCTTGAAGGGACACAAAGGCTAACACATCACAGCTATGCCCGTCGACCCCCAGCTCCTCATCCAGCTGTCCGAATGGCTCGACGATCTGCCCGATCCATCCGTCAACGTCGAAAGCTTCTACACTGGCAAGGCCGAGTTCTGGAACGAATTCGCCGCGATCGTGGGCAAAGTGCTCACTCGGAGGTACCACTGGATGAACGCGCTGAACAACAGAGAGAGCAGTGATTACAATAGATATCCTCTCGGAGACGATGTAGAAGATCTACAGACAGACCAGATCTTCGACCGCTTCTTGGGCGCATACTTGAGAATATGCTCATACATCCTCCTCATCGACGCTGGCATGTTGTCACAGCAGCCTGCCGAACAGATCTGCCAGCTTCCGTTGCTGAGCAACAGGCACATCAGATTCCTACATAACATTCTAAGATTCGACAAGACTGCCATCTTTCAGTTCCTACAAAAGGAGTACGCTATGGATGTACGGGATCTGCAGACTCGCATGTACAAGGACTTTCTTATGGCTAGTGGAGCCCAGAATCTCCTTCGCCTGGCGGATGAGGCGTTCCATCGACTTGCTCCCAATGTGCAGAACAATTATGCCCTTATCATTTCGCAACTGCTATCCGCGTTAGGCTGGACCATTTTCGAGCTTCCTGGGACGAATACCTTCATAGACCGGGCGCACTACCATCGCGGCGTGCTGTCGTTCTTCCAGAAATACGGCACTGACCTTTACGAGCCTAGCCTTCCCTCCGATGCCAATATTGCCCGTGATCTCGTCCAATATTACTCGATACTGGTGCAAGATATCTGCCAATGGGACGAAAGCATCGCCCCCGAATTGATGAACGAACTTATGGACTCTAGCGATCCGGATTCACCAATGGCTCCATCTGGAGCGAGTGACGCAGGGACCGGAGACATTGACTATCGCAAAGACCCTAGCTGCTACCCATCGTTGGTATCCTGTGCATACAAATTCAAAGTTTTGCGCAAATGTGTCGTCAAAGGAAACATGAACATGCGTGTCATGAGTATTGCGACAATGGACGCGGCGCTTGTCGAAGTCTGGCGGGATTATAGTGCACTCGACCCGTCGTGCAAGCACCCCGTCATCCAGTATCTTGCGGACTTTTTGCTGCGGGGTCAGATTGTCGACTACATTGTCAGCGTGGACTCACATCCTCAGTTGATATCTCGGAGTGCTAATATCGCCGGATTCCTGGTCATTGCGCACCGCTGGTCGGACGACCAAGCTGATGCGATATGGAAGACCGTGTCGTCAAGTCCTGATCCTCGAGTTGTAGTGGCGACAATCGCCATGCTTCGCGGTATCATCGGGCTTATGACAATGTCGGATCGGTTGTATCTTTGCACAAAGCTATACAATTTACCCATTGACAGATACACCATGGATATTCTGCGCTTCTTCCGCTTTCTGACTGCAAACCTCAACGAGAACGGGAACCTCATTCACATCGACAAAGCAGATAGGGGACCCACTGCTCGACCCTGGAATGTTTGCATCAGCGTGATCCGCGAGACGGCACCTAGCAGGCAGGCAGATAAGAATCTGCTAGACCTGCAGCATGAAGCCTTCGATCATCTTTGTGCATTAACAGCTGCAATCCCTCCTAATGAACGACGCATCATCTATCGGGAGTGTGCACAGCAGATAGCGGACTGTTCCGATGCTGCGACAGGGAATTATCGGATCCTTTGCCAACTGGCTCAGTACACACACCCGGACGACGCAATCTTCTCCGCACAGAACTTAGATCTGATGCGCTCGGTACTGAGTGAGATCCCAGCTTTCGTGGAGAAGGAAGCCCAGAATACTTCGTATCCTTGGCAGGTTGAGGCCTTGCAATACCGGCTAGATCTGTTAAGGTTGACAATCACACACCCCGCCATGTCCGTCCCTGTTGATCTTCACCAAGACCTCTGGGATCACATCGTTGGCGAAAAGGCGTTGTCCAACGAATCGAGAGATTTGGCCTGGATGACACTGCTTGAAGCCAACAAAAGCTCACCAGGCGATGAGTTTTGCAAGCAGCTCGTGTCATCTTACATCCCGAACATGGATGCACAGCTGTATACGAACGGATTGTTTGGATTCGTCGCTAACTACGGCTTTCCGGTCACGAGAAAGACGATCCCGACCGAACAAGGAACCGATAGCCTCCTGCAAATTCCTGGCGCGGATCTGTTGTGGCGCCTGATTTTATCCTCTCCCGCAGGCACCATTGAGGACGCTGCAGCTCGCCTTCTCGCCAGTCGCTATGTATGTGTGGTCGAAAGTCCCGGAGTGACTGCCGCAGAGGTAGAGAAAGCACATGTCGCGTTGGTCGACCAGTGCATGCAGAAGTTGAGGATTGCCTTCGAGACGCAGCCGGAGCAGACCACCAACGAGCCAATACTTCATCATAGTTCCGAAGTACATGTACGCAGGATACTGCTTTTCCAGAAGCTTCTACTTGGATTTGCTCGCCAAAAGCCCGAACTTAACCGACGGAGGATGGATTCCAAAGTGGATGCGATGGACACTTCTGCAGACGTGTCTTATGGGGATGCTATTACGATCAGATACCAGTGCGGTAATGATCGACAATGCGTTACCATGTCCTCTGAACACACGGTGGATGATCTCTACAGGAGGCTGTGCCATGCAACTGGCTTGACAAAGGTCAATCTCTTCGCGAGAGGGCAGCGGCTGAAGGTCTTTGAAGAAGCACCATTGAAGCTGTCTGACATCGATTTTGGAGGCCAGGTCATTGTGCAGCGTGCTGATGGAGCAGAGCTCACTCGTCCCATGCCCGATCTGGCTGCAGGATCCTCGGTGTTCGAAACTGCCATCGTGGAGCATTTCGATGAGTTGTTCACATGGATGAAATCTGGCGATACAACAAGCTATCTGGTAAGTCCAATCTGATATTTTTCTAGAGTTTGCTAACATTCGTAGCTCTTTGACTTTCTCAGCTTCTTTCCAACCCGGACATCTTTTGCGGACAAAGTGACCGAGGGTGAAGTTCCATCTGAGAATTTGTTTCCCCCTGGGAGAGTTTTTCAAGCGAGATACGCAGCACTTGCGCTTCAGACTAGGCTCCGGGAACAGATACACGACGTGAGTCTTAACTTTATGAGTTCCAGGCTGCCTTCGCTAACAGACCGCCAGTCAGCTTTGAACGAAACGTTCTTATGCCACGCAGTCCAGTATCTCCACAAAGCGTTGTTGGACACTCAGTTGATAGACGAGTCGTTGTCTGACCCTCAGCAACTTCAGCTAGCCGCAGTTATCGTGGGCATTCTGCTAGAATTCCTCAGAGGTGAGTTTCTTGATTCTCCGTCATACACTAGCCAATATCTTAACTTCAGTAGAGAGGCCCACACCGAAAACATCCGCTGCCTACTTCTCCCATGGGTCTTCTTTGGTGGATAGACTCGTAAAAATTGTAACAGTTGCACTCGACAGTCCGGACTCTGCGCCAATAGCCCAGGACGCATATGCTACCATCCTGGAAGCGTCGCTTCATTCCCGTGCTATATGGGAGACATTCATGTCTCATAGCGACGTGCATCGCGTTCATCAGACAATGCTACTGTCGCAGCCACACGAGGCTACCCGAGAGTATGTCTCACGCAAGATAGCCTCTCTTTGTGGTGGAGACCTTCCTTCAACTTGCCCCATCACACGAGCTGAGACCGGTTCCAAATTCTGGACAATCATTTCGGCTATCATACCCATAGCAGCACGGCATGCAAGGCAGTCGAAGCAGTTGTTCAAGATTGCGGAGCATGTGTTTCGTGCCAACGACGAGTATGACCGGAACGAAGATCATCTCCGGTCTTTGATGACACAGTGGAGCACACTTCTTCTGAGCCACAACCACGATGGGTTTCCCGGGCGAGAAGAAACCGATTACGTTGTACACGGACTTACCAAACTAATTCTCTGTTGCATACTGTCAATAAAGTCCTTCAAGAAGCCCGTGAATGCCGGCTCGTTGCTGAAGCAGGTCTTCAAGAAGTACCTTTTCGTAAGCAGCATACAGACAGGGAGCGCATCACCTGATCAAATTTCTCTCCCGATACTAGAGAGTCATACACGAAGAGAGCTGTACGATTTGATGCTGGGCCTTGCTGAAGACCAGAGCACATACCAGATATTGCTTCAACTTGTTGGAGAAATTGAGCAAGAGGACACCGAGCTCATGCTTACTACTAGTGTGGTCAACCGTTCCATGGAGATCAGGTCCCCTACGGGTTACGTGGGTCTCTACAACCCACGTGCCATCTGCTACATGAACTCCCTCCTTACTCAGCTATTCATGAACTTGAACTTCCGGCAATTCGTCCTCAACCTCAAAGTCAACGAAGGCTTTGGAAGCCAGAAGCTCTTATTCGAGACGCAGAGACTGTTTGCTCAGATGCAGAACTCTTTTCGAAAATGGACGGATCCACGAGACTTTGCAGGTTGTGTAAAGAGCCTCGACAAAACGCCCATCGATATAGCCGTGCAGATGGACGCCGACGAGTTTTACAACCTACTCTTTGATCAATGGGAGGCTCAAATGTTCAAGCAGGAACACAAGTCGAAGTTTCGGGCCTTCTATGGGGGCCAGACCATGAACCAGATCAAGTCCAAAGAATGCGAACACGTCTCCGAACGCGTCGAGCCATTCTTCGCCGTGCAGTGCGACATTGCAGGCAAAGCCAATCTGCAAGAGAGTCTCCAGGCTTATGTTGAAGGCGATGTCATGGAAGGAGACAACAAGTACAAGTGCGAGTCGTGCGACGGAAAGTTTGTGGATGCTGTAAAGAGGTACGTACGCGCTGAAGTCAGATATTGCTCAATTGCTAACGCCGACAGAACTTGCCTCAAAGATGCGCCTGATAATTTGATCTTCCATCTCAAGAGATTTGAGTTCGACCTGAACGACTTTAGCAGAAGGAAGATATACGACCATTTCGCCTTTCCAGAAACTTTAGACATCAGTCCATACAAGTTTGACCATCTGGCTGATCCGGAGAAACCTCGCGAAGAAGACGTTTTTGATCTTGTTGGCGTCCTCGTACACACAGGCACTTGTGAGAATGGACACTACTATTCTTACATTCGGCAGCGCCCTTGTTCATCGGAAAGTGCGACACCAACTTGGGTCGAATTCAACGACAGCGAAGTCACACCATTCGATCCCGCCGAGATCGCCGAGAGAACATTTGGAGGTTTCACCGAAGGAGAAGGATACAATCGCCAGATCAAGCAGTTCTCCGCCTACATGCTCTTTTACCAGCGTAGATCTGCTGTTGAGGAGGACCAAAGGTGTTGGGCGACCACGTCTGCGAACCGCAACCCACAGATTGCCATACCCACACTCTTTGAGGAAGAGATTGACTCTAACAACGAACAATTTCTCCGGGAGTATAGCCAGTATGATCCAGCGCATTCGAAATTCGTCCGGCAGCTTCACAATGTAGCACGGACGATCAGCCACGGAGTGTGCTCAGAAGATCACGTCCAGGAGGCCCGCGGGCTCTCTATCGTGCTGTCCCATCTGGGACTCATAGCCTGGCGTCAGTCTGACTCTGAGATCTCATCGGAGCTGATTCTTCATATCCGTCGGGCCATGATTTCATGCTCTTCGTGCTGCAGCATTGCACTGCGGTGGCTAGCAGGGAACGATTCTGCGATGACGAATATCCTCATCAAATGCACACATCCCACGCTTCGGTCACAGATGAGAGCATTACTCGTCGACAGCCTGAAGTCTCTTCGCGAACAGGAGCCTTCAGCTTACGAATCAGATTCCTCAGACAGCGACATGGAAGTCGATTCATCCACCCCTGTTGAAGGCGTCCTGGTGGCTTTGACTCGAAGACTACGGATAACTGCAGATGAGTCATATGAGAGCACTCGCGGCTGGGAAGACTTTTACCTGTTGTTGACCCAGATCGCTGAAATGGGTCTCCTCGAAACAGCGGTCTTGCTAAATCATAGCTTTCTCCAGTTCTGCCTAAAGCTCTTTTGCATGCACACCCACAAACCCTCCAGGGAAGACTGCCCTGAACTGGCAAGGGTCATGGACAAGAGGCGGAGCATTTTCAACAGGCTGATATGCTTCGTGTGGAAGTTGCTCTCCCAAATGGATTTGAACCTAGATGTTCTGAACGACAACGATACTCACGACAGACTGTCCACTTTTGATCGCGAGCGAATGAAGTTTCCCCTATCCATACGAGAGACGGCTGCAGTGATGTACTGGTCGGACGACATCAAAGCCATCGCGATCATTGACAAGATCTTGGAAGTGTTCGACGACTCTAAGACAGATCACTTCTACCCTGGCGACATCATAAAGTGGATACTCGAATCACGCAGCGCAAAATTGCAGTCGGACATGGGTCGAACCATCATCGAAGGAATTCAGATGGAGCCACCGTTTTGCGACGCTTATATCCAAGCGGCACTACCTCTGTGCGAAGCGTCCGCAATTTCCGAGAAGATCACCACAACTATCAACACCGTTGTCAAGATGGTCGCATCATCCAAGCGAGCCGCTGAAGATCGTTTGCCAAGCGGGGACGCCGTATTGGGGCTGTTCTTTGGTCTTCTGACAGCCGAAAACCAGGCGTTCTTCTATCACAAGCACCCCCACGCGTTCTACCACTGTCTGATGCAGCGCAGCAGTGTATACGGTATTGCACTGCTCTGTCATGACGAAGACCGAGTGCGCAAATCCACGAACATTTTCTTCCAGAAGCTCTACGGAACCAAAGAAGCCATGGCTTTGGAGACAATTGCCATTAAGTACAAATCAGCGCGCGAACTCCTCACGGAGGTGACGCACAAATTCGTGTACGAGAGAGACGTCGGCCGGCATCGCTTGGACATGGTGCCCTTGATCGACACGGGCCGATTGCTAGTCGAGCAGCTCTATCTGCTGTCCCAGAATGAAGAGCCTGAGGCGAAACAATTCCAGCACGCCAACGACGCTGCTTTGATCGGCCTATTCCAGCAGGAGGTGGAAGCTGGGTTGCCCTCGTGGCCTCATGATATTGGTACACCAATGTCTCAGGGCGATGCATTCGAACAGTCAGATTATGGCAGTGAGTCTGATGACGCTCACGAACTGCTTGAAAATTGAGAAGGGACTTGTGTTAACATACTCATGCAGCACGCCCGTACAAGCTCGGAAGCCTCTCTAACCTTCTGAGCGGCTGATCGCTAGTCTTTGGGTTGGTTGATCGCCGATTTCTACATTCTTAAAACCTTTTTTTCATCATCTGGAGTTTGCGGTACTATCGCACACTAAACAATCATAGCGGCTTGCAGTGTTTCTGGGAAATGGCAACCTAGGGGAAGCATGGTCATGGTGTTTGAGCTTTGGCTTCCAATTTCGGGCCGCTTCACATACATATCTTGATGGCATAGCGAGGGCGCAAAGGGGCTTTTGACGAATGACGATGTACCCACGACTCTGACGACATATTTTGGAATGCAGCATTTGCTATGACTCGAAGCGATGGTGTTCATTCTTTGGTGGCTACGTAGATATCATGAATGGTATTCTTTTGCGCCGACTCAGGTGTCTTGACGTGATTTGCATTTGCAGCGTTAAATATGCGCACTATTCTGACAAGCGCACGACAAGCCTGTGAAGCTTGCATGCACGTAAGCAAACGGTCTGCATAGTCTAAATTCGAAGCTAACGAAAGCGCGTCGTCACCCAGGAGAGACGACTTAGATAAGCGCAATCAAGCTTCATCAGCGCACTAGCGCGTCCAGATAAGCGAAACGACGTCATATTTACGGATTGCAACGGACAGGGATCCGCGCCGGACCGCGTCGTCATTGTTGAACAGTTCCTAAAACTCCTCTTCTTCACTCGAAAGATTGTACTTTACTCTTATCTCCTCTCAATCGGCGTTCTATATCCCTTTGTTCTTGCAAAACGAGCGCTCCGGCAGCAGCAAACATTCGCGATGGCAGACAAACTTGGCACAATGAAGCCGCAGAAGAAGATTGAACTCTTCTCGGCGAACTACTTCGCGGCGTGTACACTTGGTGGGATTATTGCTTGTGGACCTACGCATACTATGGTTACGCCCTTGGATTTGGTGAGTTTGCTATCTACACCATCAATTGGAGCTCCCCGACGCCTTCAACCCCAAAACAAGCCCCAGAAACCCATATCCACCTTCAACACAGCTAACACCCCTCCCCCAGGTAAAATGCCGGCGCCAAGTCGACTCCTCGCTCTACAAGTCCAACTCCCAAGCCTGGAAAATGATCTACTCCAAAGAAGGTCTGCGCGGTGTCTTCTTCGGCTGGTCCCCCACCTTCATCGGCTACTCGTTCCAAGGCGCGGGCAAATACGGCTTCTACGAGGTCTTTAAGTACCTCTACGGCGAGAAGCTCGCGCCCAACGTTCCAAAACAAGTCGTTTTCCTCGCCGCCTCGGCGTCCGCAGAGTTCCTGGCCGACCTCGCGCTGTGTCCCATGGAAGCGATCAAAGTGCGCATGCAGACTACGCTGCCGCCGTTTGCGAATAATCTGCGCGAGGGTTGGGCGAAGGTCATTCGGGAGGAGGGCGTGGGCGGGTTGTACAAGGGCCTTTACCCGCTCTGGGCACGCCAGATTCCGTACACGATGGTCAAGTTTGCGACGTTTGAAGAGACGGTGTCGAGGATTTATGGGTTTTGGGGAAAGCCAAAGGATAGCTTTAATGGGTTGCAGCAGACGGGGGTGTCGTTTGCGGGTGGGTATATTGCGGGTATCTTTTGTGCGGTTGTGTCGCAGGGCGTGCTGGTATGTCATACATTCGCTTGGCGTTGGGGATGTGAGTGCTAATTTTAAGCAGATGTCATGGTGTCGAAACTCAACAGCGACCGCAAGGCGGGCGAGGGTGCGGGCCAGGCCATTGGCAGGATCTATGGTAAGATTGGATTCGGTGGTCTGTGGAACGGACTGCCGGTGAGGATCTTCATGATTGGTACTTTGACGGCTTTCCAATGGCTCATTTACGACTCGTTCAAGGTGTACCTCGGTGTAAGTTATTACACACAGAATTCGGTGTTTGGGTTGCGCTAACGATACCTACAGCTTCCTACGACTGGAGGTCATTAAGAAGTTCGAGACACGATCATGAAGACGAAATAACTGCACCATGATGCAAGGCAAGAATCGAATTAAGGGCGCATTGACGAGTCGCGGCACGATCAGAACATTGAAGTGGAGGCAGTCTGATGACAAGCTTTTGCCTACGGGCAAGATGAGAAGTGGCGAGAGCGTTTTCTGCTGTGAGGGCCTATATTGTTTGCATGACCCAATTCTTACGATAATGTTTTACATGCATTCGATCATAACCTGATGTTCATTCGCACCGTTGTCGGCTCGTCGGAGAGATGACCGGAAGCCGCCCTTCACATCGGCGACCACCAAACACTGCAAATATCCCACCAAGCAAAATAGCCATGCGAATTACTTACTTGATTAGCCTGTATCACATGCTTCAACGGCCTCGTCTATTACATGATGCTTACCAAACCGAAGCCTCAGGTTCGCGTCATCAGACCACTCCAAATTCTTCTACACTTCCCCAAAATAACCTCACCTCAGCATCCTCGTTCGCAGCTGTACCAGGTAATAATAGCATGATTTTCATGTATCCATACACCCAACAGCGATCAATGCTATCGAACCGAGTAATGCTTGCAGCTCCCCAATTGCTGGTGCAATCGTTCGTCATTTGGGCGGTGCAACTGCGAAACTTGCTGTAAGCATTGGCTGAGACAGGGTTTCTGGGAGAGTAATTCGATCAGTTTGGGTTAATGTTGGGTGTGCTCAGGTGAAGGTGGTGCATATCACTGCGCCGCGTGTCTTTGAAACATTGAGAAATATCTCCTTGGGCAGCGCGCAGCCGAACATCTTGGTGATTTGAGGATGTGCGTAGTCGCTGTCAAACAAGTATCCCCAGTTGCTGACCGAGCTCTACACATAAGATTCTCATATCCTCGCAAACAACGTCGGGGCGGACTGGCCTTTCACCTGCACCCGCAATGTCCTACCACCACCACACCCCATCCCAATCACTATAGTTATAAGTCACAATAATCAGCCTTCTTTCATTAAGACCTGGAATAACGTTGTGGCTGGTTCGAAAACAAGAAGCTAATTTAAACCAGCCCTAACTAATCCGCAGGTCTGCCATGCGTCTTTCAAAGTTCGCCAGTTCGATTCTGGTATAGGGCAGCTTCTTCGGGAGCTGTTCTATCGGTCTCATATTTTGCGTTTTCATTATCCATTTTGGAGGGTGGATTCTTTTTGCTTTCTACCACTCTTCACCTCCTGCCTTAATTGGGAGATGCAGCGTCCTCTCCCCTCCGGGCATTCTCCCAGCTCGCATATTCACCTGCAAGCTCTCATACAGTAGCCGCGGTTCCTTTAATGTATTGTCGCGCTCCTGGCGCTTCGCTACGAAGTCCTGCTGAGAAACCCCCGGACCGAGCCATGGGTTTTGCTCCTTGTGGTCTCGCACACTCAGCCATGGAATGGGTGTGTCGCGCTCGTCAGACAAGTAATCATGGCCCGTGTAGATCCGCATGTGCTCGGGCATCTGGAGTAGTTTGCGCGCCGAATGGTATAGCTGACTTTCGTCGCCGCCGGGGAAGTCGCAGCGTGCGGTGCCGATGGATGGGTGGAAGACTGAGTCGCCGCAGAAGACGTTATCTAAAAGCCAGCGCATCATTTATCAGTAGTCTAGAACAGGTGATAGTGAGATTGGCAGAGCTTACCTCCAACGACGTATCCAACATGATCGGGCGTATGTCCAGGGAGATGCAGCACCTTCACTACCATCTCACCCACCTCAAATTCTTGGTCATCCTCGAACAGGTCATCAAACACGCCCTCCCACTCCGCCCTCGCAATCCCATATCTCTTCGCAAATAATTCCTGCACCTGCGTGATACGCTTGCCAATACCTATGCGCGACCTGAAGCCCTGCTTCTCCGCAAGTCTGTTCTGCAGATACGACGCTGCGGTCAAGTGGTCGGCGTGGATATGCGTTTCGAGGATCTTGTCGATGGTATAATTATGCACAGCGATGAGTGTTAAAAGTGAATCGGCGGTTTGGGTGCTAATAGATCGTGTTGTGGGATCGAAGTCGAGCACTGAGTCGATGATGATGGCGTGGAGAGTGGACGGGTCGGCCACGATGTATTGCCATGTTCCTGTTGCGAGGTCGTAGATGTTGTGGATTTCGGGCTCAGATAATTTGGTGGTAGTGATAATTTTGGTGTTAGACATGTTTGTGGATAGAGGATGGGTGTGGGCTGTTTGGTAAAAGGAAGCTACGCATGGGAGGAGGGATGACACTCTTCGTGAGGCTTGAATAGAATGACTGGCTGTGGTATAGCCCGAGGCTCGACAAGATGCAAAGGAAATGCCGAAGAAGAAAGACTTGGTGGCTCGAAGTGGTGGTATGCTCAAAATGCGTCCAGTTGTCTTGATCATCTCAGAAAGTCGAGCGTAGGAAGTCTACAGCAATGAAAGGCTTTGCAAAGGTATTATGCGTCAACGATGAAGTGCTTATATTTTTTGCCATCTCAATATCTTCTTTTATTTCAAAGCTCAGCGAGCTCTTGATAGTATGGACCAATCATCAGCATTTCAAACTTGGTGGGAAGAGGTCGCCGATGTACCCCTGCAAATGTCAGCTCAAAATGTCAGCTCACTTCGCCGAAAGTGGGGCTCGAGATATGCATGCAACACATCGCATTGCGCCTTATAATCACGAGAGAATTAACAAATTATACATTGGGTGTCAGCTGTACGTGACAAGGGAAAGGAAAGGAAGCTAAGCGTCCAGTGCTGCCGCTTATTTCAACCAACGCTAGCGGCAAAGCTTGACAACTTAATTTTGCCTGTCTTTTCCTCCACTCATCTCCATTTGATCGTCTCGAAACCAAGGACCAATCATGATCTCCACCCGCACAGCGCTAGGTGCACAACACCCGCGCATCTTGCGGCCTGCCACCCAAATTCGCCGAAGCTTTGCGACGGTATCACCCATTGACCATGCTGCTCGCAGTCACAAAGTCGTCGTAATTGGAGGCGGTTCCGCCGGTATCGCTCTCAGTCATCAACTTCTACGAAAAGGCAACTTCACACAAAACGATATCGCCATTGTCGACCCAGCACAATGGCATCACTACCAGCCAGGCTGGACTCTCGTGGGCGGGGGTTTGAAGAAGAAGGAAGACCTCAGAACGCCTCTTGACAGTTTGATACACCCAAAGTTCAAGTTCTACAATAAGAGCGTAGGCTCCATTTCGCCCAAGGACAACTCTCTCACTCTTGGTGACGGCGACAAAATCGACTATGAGCACCTGGTTGTCGCGCCTGGTATCACTGTTGATTACGGCAGCGTAAAAGGCCTGCCCGAAGCTATGGCCAACCCAAATTCTCTGGTCTCGTCCATCTACAACTACGACACCTGCGATAAAGCTTTCCGCAACATCCAGGATTTCAAGAGAGGCGATGCCTTGTTCACTCAACCCGCTGGAGTCGTCAAATGTGCCGGCGCGCCGCAAAAGATCATGTGGCTCGCTCTCGACTATTGGAAGAACGCAGGATATTATAGCCCCGGATCGGCGTCGCGTATCAAAATCGCGTTTGCTACAGGTCTCCCAAGCATGTTCGGTGTGCCGAAGTACAGTGCGAAGCTGGAAGAGCTGCGTGTTGAGAGGGGCGTAGAAGGACTCTTCGAACACGACCTTACCGCCGTTGAAGGCCAGACTGCGATCTTCACAGGCCCTGACAAGTCTCAAGTCAAGAAGCATTTTGACTTTCTACACGTCTCGCCAAAGAACAAACCCCACGCCTTCGTCGCAGAAAGTGGTATCGCCAATGCCGCCGGCTACGTCGACGTCGACGACGCTACTCTACAACACAAGACCTACTCCAACATCTGGTCCCTAGGCGATGCTTCATCACTCCCGACATCAAAGACTGTCGCAGCCATTACTGCGCAGGCACCACTTCTTGTCTCGAACTTGCTCGCAGCTCGCGAAGGCAAGAAGCTCGAGGCCGCGTATGATGGCTACACCTCATGTCCCCTGCTGACAGGCGAGAGCAAGGTCCTTTTGGCGGAGTTCAAGTATGGTGGTGTGCCGAAGGAGACATTCAAGGAGTGGCTGGGTATCGATCAGGGAGTCCCGAGGCGGGCGTTCTACAACCTCAAGAAGGACTTCTTCCCTTGGGTTTACGGCAAGTACCATGTTGAAGGTAGGTGGGGCGGTCCGAAGGGTTTGATTCGTTAATTCATTGAAACTTGTGATTACTGGATAGACGGCAAAAGTTATTCATGTATGATAGTACATTAAAGCGGTGGAAGGATTTAAGATTGGAATCGTTCCAAGTAGTTGGAAGTGGTACACGAAATTCCGAATACCGCAGAAAGCTCCTGAAGAATATAATGCCTCATCAGATTAAGTGTCGCAGTAGGTACTCCAATGTTGATCTTGATGGTGCAAGAGAAGTTGAACAAAGTGTGATGGTAGTGTCTTAGCGTTGTTGAAAATGATCTGTTTGTGAATGCGGGGAAGAGCCGAAGACGTGGGGCTAATCGAGTGATTAGCCGGAAAGTGCAGGACCTTTTGCACCCACAATTAAGCCGCACGCCCTACCGCAAGCTTAGTCAAATCCATGATATCCTTAGCGTTTACGGCGATGCTCAATCGTCTGAGAGACCACCATCAACAAGAAACGAGAAGCCGAAGCCACGATGTCGGCTGAACAGCCCGAGCGGGGAACCGTTGCTGTGAGAACCAAAGAACCTGCCATTCCATGAAAGCTTCACTGACCAGAATACGAGATAACCGGCGCAAATGGAACGATTGGTTATGCATGTGTGCTTGACGCACTAAGTAAGAGTTATCGCGTTCGCTGCGTCGTACGACGCGAAGATGCTTTTAACCCCATCAAATCAGGGCCGTCAATCCAACAGTACCTGCATCTGGATCGCCTCGAATGTGCCATTGTTCCAGACAACGCCGCGGAGAATGCATATGATGAGGCTCTCGTTGGTGTACAGTATGTGATACATATCGCGGGTGCATGGCCTATGCCAGTACGTTGAGATCAAGTTCATCCAGGCGGCGGTGACAGTAACATGGCTGACCAGCCAGTATCTCCATCCGGATGACGAAATATACACACCATTCATCAAATCGACCAGGAATGTCATTGAGGCCGCTAAGAAGTCTGGCACTGTCAAGCGTGTTGTCTTCACGCAAGCTGGCGCAGGTCTGGTCGATTCAGAAGTCGGCGATACATATGGCAACAGTATGGAACAAATCTTGAATGGTGTGTCTACCTCACATAAATCCAGCCGAGTTGCAAGCTAACTCCGGCCGACCATTAGAACAAGTAAAAGTCAATGAAGCATCATTGACATATCACCCACCACTCAAGTCAGCACATCAAGCTTACTGCGCAGCAAAGTCGCAATGTATGAAATATCTCAACGACTTGCAACTCAGCAAAACGTTGCCTTTCAGCATCGCCCAAGTCATTCCCGGAACCGTGATCGGACCATCAGAATTCGTCACCACGCGCTCTCAAGCTCTCAAGCACATCGACCGCCAGACCAAAGCTCTTCTATTCGACGACATGAAACCACGCTACGCATTTGGTTTTGTGCATGTGCGAGAATGCGCTGCCATCCATGTCAATGCTTTGGATGAGGAAAAGTGGCGCAGTGACGATTTGCCGGCTTGGTACATCGCTGCTGCGACCTCTGAGAGAGGGATTGATGGTGAGAGGATTTGGGCTAGAGCTGTTGAGATGGTCGAGAGAGACTTTGCGAACGAAGTGAAAGAAGGGGTATTTAAAGTGGGCAGGAGTAAAGTGCCTATCAACATGCCGTATCGTGTTGATTCTGCTGAGACGGAAAAGAGGCTGTTGTCGGGTGTGCCGATGAAAGGACTCAAAGAGTGTGTGAAGGAGGTTGCGGAGTGGTACGTGTCCTTGAAGGATGAATAGATTGAAAGGGAGCTCCATGTTCTCGTAGAATTACTACTACCGAGATATGTGTCGTTCTTATATTTTTAACGCTTATCACGTCAACATAAACAGTTACTGGGAGCTAACTCTGAGGTCTACGGGATTGCTAGAACTCATCACGTGCTCACGCGCTAGCGCGGTCCTGTTGCCCAGGCTGTCGCGAGCAGCAATTACTCACCACCCGCCGTCTGCCCTTCTTCCTCGAACTCATTCCCTGACTCCAGACTTCCACCCAACTTACACAGCGATAGCGATTTCAGACCTCACGCAGCTGCAGCGCACCACACTTCGATTACTGAGCTCAACTATAGACCGTAAGAAGCTTAGCACAAAGTGCCCTCTCGACCATGGAATGCGCATACTGGCCCTAATTTCCGACCTCGGGGGACTTCAAAAGCTGCCAGTCGAACTCCAGCACCAAGTTCTTGGCTTTGTCGACATAAGGTCACTGCTCACCTTCCGTCAAATGAATCAGACTGCCATGATCGCGGTAGATGGGATGACCGAGTACTACAAGGCCATTTAAAGACTCTACAACACTAGCAAGGAGGGACCTCTGGCATAAAGTACAGGTCCTTACTTTAGCACCTGATTGCATTCGTATGGCTCTTGGGATTCGGACAGCTGATGGCTTCACTATCAAAGAGCTCTTTTACAAGCTCTGTCAAAATAAATGCGATGGAAACGGCTGCACTAAACTTGCTCCATACCTGGATGTGTTTATGCTTAATGGGCGTTGTCTGTCTATCAGCGGTGGTTGTCCGTTTCCACTCGGTCCACTGAATGTCGATATCATGGAGAATAACTTCGATACCGATACAAAGCAGCTACCGCCCCATAGCTTCTTGCCGATTCCAGGCCGCTACCAATATCGATCAGATCGCGATCCTCTCGAAATACCGGAAGCCGGGAGAGAAGCTTACTACGACTATGGAGAGGTTAAAGCCGCCATGTGGTCAGAAACACCGAAGGTGGCTTTCAGAGCTAACAGCGCATATAGAGAAACATCGTCTAGGTGAGGTGACACAGGCTGGTCGATTGGCGAAAGAGGAACCTCAATAAAGCTCCATCAAACAAGCAGTCAGAGTATGCGGAGTACATGTTACAACAGAGCTGCCGTGGAGACGAGGCAGTCTTCCACTGTACTCAGCAAACGAAATAGTTTTGTGTATGGCTTGTCCGACACACTAAAGGTATTGACAGAACTTGCCACCGTCCCAATGAGAACACATTAGTTTCTGCTCCGCACACAGTCAGCCACCTCTATTTGAGTCACAAGATGGTGTCGACAACAATGTGCTCTTGTTGGGTAGTCTCGTATCCGAGACGCGGATATCGTCTTGTTGGTCGGAAACGTTTCCGAAGCGACGGAAATAAGAGGAAAAAAGGCCGAGCGATGAATAGATTATGCTAGAACAAGCTAGCGCCGAGGCGACAACGACGTCACACTTACCAACCCTGTACAACGGCGATCGTCCGAACTTTTTTTCGAGTGTCTATTAGTACACGCTCGTGCCACTGTCCATTGCATTCAGTGTAAGCTAATACCTGACGCGCATACTCACACTGTCGATTGTTAATACGCGAAGAAACTGGGTCATACGTCAAATGCTGATAACTAGTTCTTAACTACATCGCCATATCTAATAAGAGGTGGATACATTGGGGATTCGAACGTTACAACCTCCCCGGAACCTAATAATGCCTGAACCACTGGATCAAACATCGCAGAGTCATATGGCACAATTACACGACCTTCCATCTTTAGAGACTCAAGTTGAATTAGAAGATGGAAGAAGATCACGTCCACGACAGCGAAGCTGCAGCGCCTCTAGTTCAGAATCGTCTTCATACTACGAGGAACACGAAAAGGACAATGATCATGATGGACATCGGCCGACGAATCGAGAGCTGCATGAGAGCATCAGTAGGTCGCGAAGTCGCGGTCAATTTGCACAATCTAGAACAGCTACGGGAAACGCAACCACAAGCGGGCTGAACCAGCCATTAAGCCGAACCTTATCGCGACGAGACACAGTATTGTCGCGGATACGTACACGACCTAATGTGGCACCCTTTTCGCATCCATTGGCGCACCAACAGACCACCGCAGATGTACTTGTCGACTTCGAAGGTCCGGACGATCCATATCGGCCGATGAACTGGCCCACGAAGAAGAAGGTCAACACGACGCTCATGTACGGCCTCACTACGATGAGTGCAACCTGGGCGTCCTCAGCCTATTCGGCCGGCACGCAGCAAATCGCTCGAGAGTTCCATGTTGGAAATCAAGTTGCCGTCCTAGGGACAACGCTCTTCCTTTTTGGTTTCGGACTTGGACCACTCCTCTGGGCACCTCTCAGTGAAGTCTACGGACGAAGAATCGCAGTCTTGGCTCCCATGTTTGTCGCAATATGCTTCAGCTTTGGCAGCGCAGTCGCGAAGGACTTCCAAACTCTCATGATCACCCGCTTCTTCGGTGCGTTCTTCGCTAGTGCGCCTGTCACCAATACCGGAGGGGTGCTTGGTGACTTATACTCTCCAGCCTGGCGCGCACTCGCAATGGCCGGCTATGCCATGGCAGTTGTTGGTGGGCCTTGTCTTGGACCCATCGTGTCTGCTGCATTCGTCGCGAATCCATCGCTGGGCTGGCGCTGGACGGAATATTTCACAGGCATACTCCAAGCTGCAATCCTGTTCATCGACATCATCTTCATCGACGAATGCTATCCACCAAAACTTCTCATCTACAAAGCAAGGCGCCTCCGACACGAGACCGGTAACTGGGCGCTCCACACGAAATTCGAAGAGTGGGATGTCAGTATCAAGGAGCTCAGCAAGAAATTTTTATTACGCCCCATCCAACTCTTAATGACACCAATCTGCTTCCTAGTCGCTCTATACGCAAGCTTCTGTTACGGAATCCTATACATGCAACTCGGCGGTATCCCCATTATCTTCCGCGAAATGCGCGGCTGGCCCGCCGTCTCCTCCACTCTTCCCTTCCTCGCGATCCTTATCGGCGCTATTATCGGCTGCTCTATTAATGCTTACAATCAGCTCCTGTACAACAAGGTTTATCACGCTGCTGGAAACCGGGCCGTCCCGGAGGCCCGCTTACCGCCAATGATGTTAGGCAGTGTTTTATTCTCCGCCGGGCAATTCGTCATGAGCTGGACCGCGGACCCTGGATTTCATTGGATTTGCCCATGCATCGGGCTCGTCATGCTCGGAACCGGCTTCTTTACTATATTTCAGGCTGCGCTGAATTATCTAGTTGATACGTTCACGCAGTATGCGGCCAGTGCGGTGGCTGCGAATACATTTCTGAGGTCATGTTTTGCCGGCGCATTTCCGTTGGTGGTAACGCCGTTGTATCATAATATTGGCGTCGGACCGGCGAGTAGCATTACTGGAGGATTTGCGGCACTCCTTGTACCAGTGCCATTCGTGTTCTATATCTATGGCAAAAGAATTAGGAGAAGGAGCAAATGGAGCAAGGGCAGTGTATTTGATTAGAAACATATTTGAGAAGGTTCTTTTAGGACATTTGAGCTTCCATAGCAAGCCAAGCTGTTTTGACATGTACTATCTACATTCAACTCAGGAAGTCTTGTTGTAATTTCTAGTGCTCCATCCCTCTGGTTTATGACTCATGCTCTATCGGACCCATCCCACGCTCCGATCCTGGCCTAGGTATTGAAGTAGGGTTGAGTCATGTACGATTCGATCCATTCCGTGATCTTGTCCTCGTTCAGGTTGGTGGAGCGGCGGTGAGACGGGAGCCCTCTTTTCCACGCAAGAGGATCATGTGTCGTGTGCAAGTCTTTGTGCTCCTGCTGGACATGCCCATCATAGTCGGATACTTCCAGGAACGGTATATTAGACGGGTCCGCACTATAGATTTCGTTTCCGATTGAGTTGCGAGTGAATATAGGACCTTGCCAAAACTTATCCTAGCAGATTTCGCAGAATATACCATTTTCGCTATCGTGGCGATCGATGCTGAGCCAAGGCGCAGTGACTGAACATAGACTCCGGTCTGAATCTTGACGATTGAAAGTAGGATCAGGTCCGAAAACCGATTCCTCTTCAGTTGGGCTCAGGTTAGCTTGCACCTCTTCGTAGTCATAGTAGGTGAACTCATCGTCATATATGACGTCTGAAGGACCCGCTCGGCACAATGTATGGTATTTGCCAAATGGAGCTCGGAATGGTCGGATAGGAAGTGGATTTAAAGCGTTATTGTTGGTCACATTGGCTCTCGTTGTAGGTCATGATTGACTGTTTTCGCAGCCTTCGCCAACGTCAAGGCATCGTCTCTTGATTTTGAAGACATCGATGTAGGGTGCAGGCTTGCCGCAATCTTCTCCATCGCAGCTCTTCTGACACAATTTCAGGAACAAGGACCTGATAGTGAATGCATCAGCCGTGCAAATGGCGATTGCGTATCGTACAGCATTTGGTGCATGCTTCATGACCTAATAATCGTCAGTACTGCGCAAATGGTTTTGGGAGAGCAGTGTTCACTTTTGCGTACTCCACCACTCCATCCACAGTGCACATTGCACTCATACTGACTTCTCGAAATGCTAAAAGGGTTTGCAAATCGATATCAAGGAGGATTTGATGCAGTAGCTCTGCTGGTAGCTTGCCGAGGTTGCCGAGATTTCGTATTGCTGGTACTCGGGTGTGACGATCATAGTCGAGTGGGCAGCGTTTGCGGAGAGCATCTAGATCGTAGACTTTCGTGTTGAGGATATGCAGAGAGATCCGCTGAAGCTTTGTGAGAGGTGTCCCCGGCCATGGTGATCTGAGCGCAGAAGTCTTGCGAACGTGTCATGGTGGAGGAAGAGCTGGTGAGAGAGCGCAGGTTATAGCTTCTCATCGTGACCGGCCCAGATCGCGCTAGCGTACTGAAACGTGATGAGAGTAGGTCCTAATGTGACCCTCTTTCGCTTGTGCTGTTTTGGGTTTTCACCTATCACTTACGAGCTACCAAGATTTCACGCTTTCACTTCCCCTACACTTCCTTCCTTTCCCGTACATATGCTGCGAAATCCTCCACCGTCATGAAAGGAACTTTTGTAGGGTCAGGATATTCCGCCACCCACTCTCCCTCCCGCCTTTCTCTGATCGATCTCGGTATTCCATCTTCGTCATCATCCTCAGAGTCTCTGAACCTCTCTCGGACATCTGAAAAATCGTACAAAGTCCTGTCCATTTCTTTTGCGTCTTCGAAGACTTCGTAATCATTGCAATGGTTTCGATATCGTCCTTTCATGGCCTTGATACTGCGCGCAGGAAACTTGACATCTTCGTCGATAATCAGATAATCCATGCCGTAAACATCCAGATCGCACACTGGGTCTTCGGGAAAAGGATAGCCTCTAGTGCTACCAAGACATCAGCGGGTGAGTATGAATATGTCCATGTATGGCGCAGGATTTTCGCAACCTTTGATGCTGCATTGCTTCTGGTATACCTTTGCGAAGAGTTGCTTAAGCGTGAAAGAATGGGCAGTATTGATGGCCAGAGCCATGCGCAGAAAATTCCACGCTTGACGAATGATCTTGTCGTAATTCGACATGGCGTTGACTGTGCTCATGACGAGCTCAATATCGGGTCGAGATGTAAGGAGTGAAACGATGTCCAGCTCACCTAGTACCATGTGCTGGGTCTCAATCGGCAGACTGCGGAGCATCCCAAGGTTTTGCTTTGGCGCGAGAAGATGGCGGCAGTGATCCAGCGGACATTGCTTACGAAGAATATCTCGGTCGTATATATTTTCGTTAAGTATGTGAATTGCGGTGAGTTGCAGCTCTGTTTGTTCTGCGGGCGATATGTACGTAGTTTAAACGTGTTGGAGTTCTGGATAGAACTTAGTGAATTGCCTTGGGCATTGTAACGTCGAGTGCAAAGTAAAGTCTTTGGGGGAGACTTGAGATACCTCATATGAAAAGTTTTTGTTAGTCATAGTCTGACAATGGGCTAGAGTTGATATTTGTTCTAATATGGTTCACTGAATTAGCTCCAACCGAAGAAAACTCGTGCCCATTTACCTCGACTCACTTACTCTAGTAAGGCCACTATGATATGCACACCTTTTGAAGATTACTTAACAGAAATTTCTGAAGTCTTGCGCTACTTGGCTTCGTAAATTTTTAATTCTGCAGGCTGCAGTACTTGTATTATGCAGTTCGGGCAACTGTCATGTTTGGCCCCACCTAATCACTCCGCTCAACCAGAATGAAACATTCTTTCCATGTACGCCACTACTATTTTCACGATCTCTCTGGCAACTTCTGTATTCCTTCTAAGCAACCTCATCGACCTCCCTGTTCCCATCAATCATCTTAAGCCTTGTATCCCCCATCGCCCCCCTCACGCAACAGCCACAAACTCTACATCCTCACCGACCATCTCGACCTCCAAGCTCCCCAACTTATCCGTATCGAGCTCCCACCTCCTTATCCTCTCTTCTAGCGTTCCCTCCAGTAAATCCCCCTTCAGTCCATACTGCCACCGACTAAATGGACCGAGAGCACGCCCAGCAATTCTTGCAGTGTACGTCTTCTCAGCTTCCAACCCTTCCATGCTACGCACATACTCGTAGTCGTTCTCTAGATTTTCTAACGTGCATTCGAATCGCCACGGCTTATCCACTGATATCTCTACAAAGTCGTCATTGTCCGGGAATGTTGGGTGAGGATCGGAGTCCCAGCAGCCAAAAGCAGCAGACCAGGTTACCTTCCCACCGGTACTATTGTCGCGGCAGTCGATGAGTGAGTCGAGAGACTTGAGGTCTTCGGAGAAGACTGAAAGTGGGGAGCGGGATTTGTCAAGAACGAGGGGTGACGGACTGTCTGTTGTGTATTCTATGGTAAAAATGAACGGAATGGGCCCCGTCAGATGAGCTTGGTGGGGCATCGACAGTCTGGCGAAGAGTCTTGGGGGCGCTGGATCGTCGTGCACGGTGAAATAGTATGTACCTCCTTCACGACCAATGCGCAGCTTCTGAGCATTCTCGGGCCGGTCGGAGAATTTATCGGTGTAACATGCGACTATTTTGCCATTATTCTTGGAGAGTCGTAGACCGTAGGTCTGCCCGGGCTGCAACATTCTTTTCCATATAGCATTGGTCGTATCAGCGCTTACGCCGATGGATATCTGCCGATGCTGTGGCGATGGCCTAGGGGGTATATTGCGCCGGCCCAGCGGAGATGATGGTGCAGTAGGTGGCATGATGATGTTGCCATTGACAGATTCCGTGAGTTCCAGCAGTCCAGATCTCAGTGCCTCCAAGAGATTCAGCCGTGTTTTAGTAAGGCCATTGCAAAAGAGGGTCACGGAACGCTCTGCCTCGAAGGTTGTGATCACAATGAAGCCCAAGTATAAACGCCTTTCGCGGTTTAGCTGGAACTTCCTGTTATTATCTAGCTCTTCTGTGTGGAACCGGAGGGAAAGGATGTTGCTAGCGGCAATTTGACTAGTCATGATGCGTGTGCAGTTCTTGGTGTAGGTAGTGCGGGTCAGACGATTGAATCGATAAATATATGGGTGAGGGTGAAAAGAGGAATGTAGTAAATGTCATCAAGATACCTTTTATTCCTGCGGTAGTTAGAAACGTTTTGATCTTGATAGCTCTGACGTCATGCCATTGTCACCCCATTGACACAGCCTTGCCGTGCCGCTTTCAACACCAATAACCGCGTTGGATCTGCCAAGGTGGTGATGGGGATTTTTGTCCTCGACTCACAAGCACTTCCCTAGCCGGCTCTCAAGGTTTCAAACGCTGACATCAAGCTCAATTCGGGAGACCCGCACCATTTCGGTAAACCTGAGAAAGAAAGCGCTGCTAAGTGCTGGAGATAGGCATGTAATGAATGCTCTCTCGCTACGTTCTCGGGCTGAGGGTTTTGGCGTGAACATTAAATCATGCAGAAACTTAGAGTCCAAACTTCCCTCGTGGTATTTGTTGGTCGTAAATTCGTTCGATAATCGACGTACTGGGTCGTCTACCGCGACAATGTCACTTGCATCTTAAAGACTAAGAAGTGCTATTCACTTCTCTAATTATTCAGGCATTGGGCTCATTTCCAAGCACTAGCTCCGCTTGGTTCGGTGGGACGTTTAGACTCGGGACAAACCCTTGGAGTGTTCCTGACTTAGCCACATTGTGATCTTCTCAGCTGTACCCATAACAGATCCGATCGCTCGTTGACTGTCGTACCAGACGGTTCACACTCTATCCAGTAACCTCTTAGAATACCCGTTTGAGCGCTATTCTTTCTTTGCTCGTAGGACCTGGACTTCCCGACCGACACATACAATGCATTGTGCAACTTTCGTCCGTTCACGTTGTTTCTTAGTAATAGGTGAGGGCGATGGTCATTTTGCCGTGACAGAATTCTGCAAAGTTGTAATGTTTCGGAAACGGAAGTCCGCAACTCCGTTCTGTCGCAGAATCATTAATCGCCTTGGAAGATGGCATGATTTTTCTTATCAGAATTCTTTGTTAATAACCACGGCCCTTCGACGCTCAGACGCGTCACGCACTAGAGTTTTCCCGCCTTGAGCTTTACGCATTCCGCCCACTCGCTTAGTTGACCAGTTGTCCGTCAATACAATCTCGGTAAATCTATGCGAATGCTACCTGTCACGAGACGCTAAGATAAGTATTTATAATGCTACTTAGAGGAGATGTTGGACTGTTCCGTACCATGTTGGCTATTTTAACAGGATACCTGCGTCAGGACGCCTGCGTAAGTACACAGGAAGACCAGTTTGGGTTGCGACCTCAATCCTCCTTTCTCTGATACGGCATATGCTATTATACCATGTCGGCCCCGTCTTCAGCATGATATACACACTTCACTACGAGTACAACAGACGGATTACCTTCGTGCCGAAGGGCAGTACCTATCGGGTGCCGGATGATGAGGTCAGACCGACAACGGCCCGCACCCGCTCTGACTGACGTGAAGATTGTAGCCAGTGAGCAAGTACTAAAGATATGTGCGAAATCCGTGCACCTAGCGCCAGCCTTCAGATATTCTTGGCGATCCAGCAGATAGATTAGATGTAAGCGCCTGGCGCGTTCTAGTAAACATCTAGTCTCAGCAGCGAACGGTACTCCATGGAGCCTCATCGGCCTTGGTCGGTTTCGATCACATACTGAAGTATGAGTATAAGTCTATGGTCTCATCTACTGTCTTGACACATGTCTCATAGTCTGCCTCTACACAAAGCTTCTTTTCCCATACCATTTTTCCAGACATCGCAATCTTCTATTAAATTCACAACGATTACATAATCATGAAGTCATTCATCGCAATCATCGCTACAACACTTGCTATGCTGCCCGGCTCTACAGCTCAGGCTGTCGATATTTGCGGCATATGCTACGTACCCGGAGTCAAATACTTAGATCTCCGCTGTGATAATGGAGCAGTCAGTAGCTGCAGTTATACCTGTTATCAAGAAGAAGTCGACGCGGCTCGTGAAGTCTGCTGCGTACGTATTGTCGATTACGAAGCTTGATTTGAGGTTATACTAACATACAATCATTAGTACGCCAAAGCCTGCTAAGTGTCGCGGCTTCAAATTACAAGGAAAATCTACTGCAAAGTCATTAGACTTCAGGTCCTTGAGACGCCTTCACAGTGCTCCAAGAGGCTCTACTGCCGCGGGAGCAGCAGATAGCGAGCTTGCTGCCTCATTTCCGTTCTTGTACATATCGTTGCCAGGCCTTCTGTGTGTCGGGATCGAGTATGCGAACTTGATCGCGAAACGGCTTCTACAACCATACAATACAAGAAGGCATTTCCAACTTTAGATGGCCCCCATTCCCTGTCGTCTCTAGCCTTTCTTTCAGCCTTCTGGATGAGTTGCTTCTTCCCTGTCTGCCTGTACATGTACCAAGCACCGCCCAGCAGACCCAAAATGATCGCCAGTGAAATCGGACCTATAACTTTCCACACTGCTCGTTGACTAGTATTTCCAGCATCTCCAGTGAACTCGCGGACATTCATCCCGTAAATTGATGTGAAGAAAGAAAGCGGCGCCTGTGAATAAATGGTGAGCCAATTGACATGTAAACTCTCTAGGGAGGAATTCACATACGAAGAAAATCGGCGCGATGGTAAACATCAGTAGGACCTGCAACTGAGCTTCGATTGCTTCTGCTAGTTCTCGAGCTGCATCAGCTTACCTATGCGAATAGTGCGCTTCGTTAAGAGTTTCCTCTTTTTGTTGCAGGTCGAGCAGATCCTTGAGCTAGACGAGTCAGCCGCCTGCTTTGGTTTGGACACATATGTTGCTAGCGATGAACAGCATACAGACCATAAACTCACACAATCTTTTGTTCTTTGAGCATTCGCAGTCATGCGTTTGACCTGCTTCATGCAACTCTCCATGTATTGAGTGATCATTGTTGAAAGTTCCTCCGTCAGCAGTTTGTACCGGTCCTCTTCAGGTGCAAACCAATCTGAGTTGTCGAAACTCTTGACTGTTGTATCTAAAGTGTCCCTTTGCGCCTCGAATAGGTGGTTGATACTGTTGAGCTCGTCGATGATATCGGTCAATTCAAGGACGAGTTTGACTTCACTCTTGGTTTGAGATCCAACGATGCTGTTTGTATCGGACTCCATTTTCTTCTAGAAGTTCCGGAAGAAGTTAGTTTGCTCTTCTGTCTATCGAAGTTGAGGGCGTCAGTAGAGGATTAATGAACAAGGGCCATGGTGGACTGACTGCTTCTCCGATGACCGTACAGAAAAGGCCAAGAAAGCCAATTTGATCCTTCAGTCCTGACTCTGAGCATGACGCTGACAGCCCGTTCTACGATCAGCCCTAGTAGTTGCAATTGTTAGTCGCCCACTCGATGCCCATGCTATTTGCTTCGTTGATGATTGCTTGACGTAAATCCGCTATGTCTTCCAGATCTTTCTCAGCTGAACCCGCTTCTCCCTCTTTCCTAGAGAATGAAGTGAAGATACTCATCTTATTTTTATCAGGCGCATTCTAGTCTACGTCGCGAGTCTCTACAAGCCAAAGCCATAGTTGATCAACCATGATCATCTTTTTTCCACCTCGGGCGTCCTGAGGCGTATTCTTAGACACCACTTGATCCCGGTCTCTCAAAGATGTCTCAGGTAGACCCGCCCCCGCGTCAACTACGGCACGAGCCATGTTATGAGCTTGTCGTCTTATAGTCACTAAATTAAAAGGAAGCGACTTGTACGTTTCGAGGCACTAGACTTCAAGGTTGAGCAAGGAGTGTACGATTTGAACTGCTGCGGAGTATAATAGAGCAGCGAGCTAGTCTTGCGATATCACTTCGGCTTCATAGAGATAGTCATACCTTGCCGCACTTTACCAGCTCCGGTAGGACAACTTTCGTAGATACTGCCAGAGTTCACTGCCTTCAAGTCACCGTCTGGAGTTATAATACTGCTGTCTCTGATCGTATCGCGTGTTTCGTACGACCAGAACATTTACAATTACAAACCAAGAAGAAGAGAGGAACGGATAAACTATCCTCTCTTAACGGATCTGGTATTCAAAAAGGCAAACTCTAGCACGCAGCACATTCTGGGTACACCGTGATACAGCCACAATTCGGCAGCGCAACGCCTCGACAGAATTAAGCGCACGCTTTAAACGCTGAGAACTTAACTGGTGTGCAGACTACACCGAATTCCATCCCGAATCATCGGCAGAATATTGGCACTATACACGTACCCCGTGATATCTTCAATCAATTCATTCCACTAACACTAAATTCGAGCACCCCCTCCTTCTCACCTACCGCCCCCAAGAAAACTCATCCGCCCCCTCCCTCCACTCCTCAAACACTTTAACCGGAAACTGATCCGCCAAATACTGATACCCCTTCACACTCGGATGCAAGTAATCCCCACTATCAAACTCACTCTTCAACTGACTAGGAATCTTCGGATCCGCCAACCACTTATCAAAATCCACAACCTCATCGAACGTCCCGCTCTCTCTGATAAACTTGTTAACGCGCTGCCTAGTCCTTTCCCTTTCGGGATCGCTGTATGGCTGGCCGGTAAAGTTGCTCGGGGCGGAGAAAGGTGTGATGGTTGCGCCGAACACGGGGATGCCGTGCGCGTGGATCAGCGTGACCATTTGCTGGTATGCTTGGATGAGGTTGTCGTAGATGATCGCTTGAGCCTCGGGGGTCGTCGCGCCGGTGCCAATGTCGTTTACGCCTTCAAAGATCATTGCGTACTGGACACCAGGGTGCGCGAGTACGTCTCTGTCAATCCTGCCAAAAGCATTCGGGCCCAGGCCGTCTGCGAGAATGCGGTTTCCGCCCGCGGCCAGGTTGCCGAAGGAGATGTGTTTGGTGGCTGAGCTGCGTTGGAGGCGGCGGAAGAGCAGGTCGGGCCAGCGGTTGTTTTGGTCGGTTGTGGAGCCGCGACCATCGGTGATGGAGTCGCCGACGATGAGGAAGGAGCCGGATTTCTCGGGGGCCCAGGCTTCGATACTCGAGAGGAAGTACCAGTGGGCGACGGATTGGGCGGTGGAGTTTGTGATGGCGAGTTGAGGGGCGTCGACGGCGTTGCCGAATTGAAACCAGCTCGTGGTGCGAGATCCGGGGTGGGAGGTGATGCTGTTGGTAGTCTGACCAGAGGCAAGGTACATCGTTACAGTGACAATCTGTTGGCCCTTGATGGGGAAGTTGAGAGGGTCTGAAACCGCGAGGGCGCCATTGGGGACACGGATTCCCTCTTTACCGGAAAAGGTGACCTTTTGAACAGTCTTGGGCTGTATTTGATGGATACCGGCCGTGTTGTTGGCAGATAGAGCGACCGTGACGGCTGTGATGGGGAGGAACGAACCACCAAACACATTCGAGAATTTGAGGCGGATTTGTTTTGCCTCCGCTGTCACGAACAAGGTTTGGCGGATAGTAGAGTTGACAAAGACAGCACCAGTCTGGTTCTGCGGTGTGGGTTAGCAAGGATCTCAGTAAATGACACACATTACGTACAAATGGAGCTGGTGGCAGGTTTGCCGGCTCAGTGAGCTGAGGCATCGAAGCCCATGCATCGACCCAATGGCCATTGGCTGGATTGGGTCGTAGAGCACGCTTCTCAATTGCAACGACATCTCCATGCACTGAAGCTACAGCCCCCACAAGCAATACCGCGAGCCTTGAAAAGATCATCGTGCGGAATCCTTCGAAAGCTGGCGATCGTCCAGAGCTTCTGCCGCGTGGGCAGAGGCATTTTATAGTGGCTGCGGAAGAATTATCTCGGGTATGGGGAAAGCAACCAGGCTAAGTGAAAATACGAAGACAGTTTAGGTAAAGCTGTGAAAAGGCCTTGGAACCGTTACACGACTTGTACCTGGGGTCGCGTGGGGAAACGAGGAGATCTGCGGGGTGAACGGCTAAAGTGCGGAAGAACCGTTCCTGGTTGGTGGACTGGTTAAACATGACTCCAAGACTGCGGAACGATCGTAGCGCGCTAGGATTTTAGTGACGTTATGGGACCGGGCTCGTGGTTATAGTGAGTCCTGAATAGCCTCACTGTATTCCGGCGCTTCACGAGCTGCCAGAGGCATGGGGTGAGGAGAAATTCTATCGTATTCATGTATCATTGGTATCATCGCTATTTCCCGGTTCATGTGCAGCTCTGTACTGGTTAGAACCTTCAATACAAGGCAGAAGGACGATGCACACCTGGTGATTGCTGCAGAGGCCAAAATTAGAAGCCGTCCCTCCGGCGGATTCAGCGTCACAGGGTGCCTCCTGGATGCTTTCACGGCGTTGTGTATGCCCTCTTTGCGCGCTCAAAAATCATCGTCGTCGTCCGTCTTCTTCTTCTTCCGGCTCGCAGCCTTCTTCTTTTTGCCGCCGCCTTCCTCCATCGCGTCCTCGGACTTCTCGGGCGCGTCGGCGACTTTGGAGACGATCTCGTTCAGGAAGTCGAATTGCTCGTTGTTGACGACGGCCTGCTTTAAATGGAGTGTGTTGACGCGTTTCGAGTTGCGCGATTTGGCCTCGGCGGCGGCTTTGGTGACAAGAGAGATCATGAATAGCTCCAATGCCTTGGCTGCGACGCGTCAGTATTGTTTGTGGCAGAGCGAGGAGGAAGACGCGTACAAACCACGACTGGGGTGACCTGTGCAACTTTACCAACGTCGTCGTCGGCCTGCATGATGCGTTTTATGCGCGCGACCGGGAAGTGATTCTTGATGACGATGTCGTTCACGTTTGGCGGAAGCGTCGATCCCCCGCTCGATGTGCCATTGCCAGTCTCCGAAAGTTTACCTAACGCGACTGACTCGTCGGGCATATAATCCGCATCTTGCATGCTCTCCTCCTTGGGGACGCCGCGAGGCATGAACTGATTTTGTTGTTGTTGATGGCGTGGAGTTGGGGGCGGCACGGTTTTCGCAGGCTGCGTGGGGCTCGAGGTCGGTGTTATGGAGGGCGGGACGTGGGAGACGGAGCCGCGATAACCTTGGTGTTGAGGATGCAAGGGAACTTCTTCGGAAGTGTAGTATGAGGAAAGGTCCGGGCTTTTGGGAGCCCACGTTCCGTCCATTGGCTGGCGTGGGGTATTTATGTACGCTGCCTGGTAGCGTAGGGATCTGGCGCCCGAGCTGAATGATTGGGCTCGTAAGCGAGCAAACAAAAGCTTGAAGATGGGGCGGTGATGCAGCGTCACCAAAAAAAGTCGGGCGGTGAGAGGTTTTGGGCAAGGCACGGACGGCAGAAAGGGCAGGTGCAGTCGGGATTGTGGGCGGGGCAGGCACGACTTTTATCGTTAAGCCGCGCAGGGGGCTGTGACCGCCAAGCCCTGACGCACCTTTCCGCGACAAAAACAGTTCGCCGGGACTCGACAGCTCTGTCGCCATTCATCATCCACCATTCACCCCTCGCTTTTCGCAGCGGCGGATCGTGGATGGCGCGCAAGCAGTGGATGACGACACGAGCACGCCGGAGACTCCCTACGACCCCTACAAACGTCGAGGTGCCGGTTCTTGCTGGGCAATGACGAAACCCGGCCTCGGGCTGTGGTTGATCGGCGCAGCAGGAGCAGGCAGTCGCTGATGGTGAATAACTTGATCTAATCTGACACGTTGCGCGCCTTCCTTGTTCGGAGGCGCCTGCCAGGCCGCGCCTCATGGTTTTCTTTGTTGGGGGCCGGAAGCCCTCGGTCGTGGACATGGCGCGTTATATAGATCGTACAATCCATCACGTATCCTTCGTCAAGCTGCCGTCTTCCTTGCGCCCTTCTCTTTCCGGCCCCTCACGCAGCCACGTTTGCGCAAGGCTATTCTTTGGGTCATCCTCGGGGTACCCTCGCAGCCGCCTTAGGTCGAGCACGGCTTGTCGCATCCTGCGCGTGCACTCCTTTCTGATGCTGACAGCCTCCTGGGAGTACTTTAGTGCATCATTTAGTACACCAACCTCAAGCCGCCCTCCAGCTTTCTCTTCCTTCGCGCGCATCTGCTCCCATCGCCTGCGCAGGTCTCCAAAGACTTCCTCTGTATCCAGCTTTTCACCAAACGTGACCCTGACGTTTTTAAAGGGCCGCGGTATGAATCTTGGAAACTCGCGCGTCTCGTGCATGATATTGTCGAAGCCCTCGATGAAGATTGGTACGATGTCAGGCATCGGCTCGCTCTCCAAAATGAGCCGCGAAACTCCCCATTTGAAGTAGCGCATGATCCTATCCTCGGACTGATGAACCATGCCCTCTGGGAAGATGTGCACCCAGGCGTGTCGTCGGCTCACATATGCTGACGGCGCTGGGAATGTGTCCTCGCCGTTCGTCGAGAATGTAAGATGCCCTTCGCTGAAAGGATCGATAAGATCGGGGCTCTTAGGCGATGCGGTTGGCTTTTTGGGAGGATCGTTTTCGAGGAGGAACGGGCCGCGCGAGAGGAGACGAATGGCCTGCGTTATGGTGGGCTGGAAAAGACCGCCAAATGACGAATGCGCCGAGCGATGGGTAGGCAGTACTTGTCCAAGGGTGAAGAAAGTAGAGAGTCCTCTGTAGGATTGTCAGTGGGCGTTTGGGGTAGAGAGCGGGATTCGTACTTGTTCGTGAAGCATAGATCATAGCTTCCAAGTCCCCAGCGATGGTTGTCTGGGTCCAACATGTAACTGATCGGCAGTATCCCCCATAATATCGGATCATCCATACTAAAGACCATTTGTGAGCGCCATTCTCCGACTCTGCGACTGTACCTCAGCATAAATGTACGTACACTGAGATGTGGTTTGACACTGGCACATGTTAGAGAGCATCGTACGCTGCTACATTTGTCGCATACCAGTGATCAGCCCTCTCTCACGCCCATTAACGTCTTGCCGCTCGTCCAGCAACCTCAAGAACTTTTCCATCCCATGTGTTTCCACGCTGTTCAGGCCAAGGAAGCCTTTGCACAGCATTCCTACGGCGCCCATGACGACGGTGGATGCCGCCCGCCATGGCGCACTCGGGGCCTCAGGCTGCTCCTCTGGTCGCATTGAATGTGGTATGGGATTGTGGCAGACATGAAAGTTTTCCGATGCATGGCAATGACATCGTCAGGAACCGGAATCTTGCGACCAGGATCATAGCGCCTTAGCGCGGAGCACGGGCCCCCATGGCAATTGCAGCGGTTGGCTTTTTCCGAGCTTTACATCCACTTTGCGACGTGACTGGGGTGCTTCTAGAACTAACAACTATTCGTGCAACGCCTCAATCGCCCCATCAATCGTCACCTGATCATAAGCTTAGCGTTCAATCACTATCTGGAGTAAAATTGGTCATATCTCACGTGCAAACTACCTCAAAACCAACATGCCGCCTCCAAAGTCAGTCTTCACTTCGCATGAGCGAAATGCACTCAAAGATCGGTGGGGTTCGCAGGCAACACGTCTGACGAGAGATTCATTCTTGCCCTTTGGATCATGTCAACTATGCCTACTTCCCTCAGTAGACCCCGTATGCTGTCCACAAGGCGACCTATTCTGCAGAGAGTGCGCCATGACAAACCTGCTAGCACAGCGAAAAGAGATGAAGCGTCTGGAGAAAGTTATAGAACGACAAAAGATCGAAGAAGACGATGAGCGGATACGAGACGACGAGCAGGCCCGACTCCGAGCAATTGAAGAGTTCGAAGCTGTACAGGCAGGTCTCGAAGCCAAAGTCGGCACCGGATCAAGAGTTGTAGGCAGGCAAAACGGCAAGATCGTCGTCGAGCAAGACAACGATCCAAAGGCCGGGGACGCGAAAGGCACAAAGCGCAAATTCGAAATCGACGAGGAAGAACTCAAGCGCATTGCCAACGAAGACCGAACCAAAGCCAAGCGCACGTTGGAAGATGAGCGCAAAGCTGCAAAAGGCCAACTACCAAGTTTCTGGGTACCAGGCGAGACACCGGATCAACATCACAAGAGCGCGGAGAAGGCGAAGAACTCGCCAACATGTCCCGTCAGCGACCCGGAACATCCGCACAACTTGTCGCTCAAGGCGCTCACAAGTGTCAACTTCAACGAGGAAAAGTCTTCAGACACAGGCAAGACCGCCAGCACTTGTCCCGCGTGCAAACGTGCGCTCAGCAATAGCACAAAGGCCATGGTCGCTATACCATGCGGCCACGTTCTCTGCAAACCCTGCGTCGACAAGTTCTTGAGGCCTGAACATCGACATCACAGAGACGCACACGACTCCGCGCCCGAGCCAGAAACAGTGCATTGCTACGTATGCGACGCGGATCTGACGACCGTCCCAGCGACGAAGAAGAGCAAGAAAGACAAAGAAAAAGGCCCGAAGCCCGGACTCGTCGAGATCAGAAGCGAAGGCACGGGTTTCGCGAGCGGTGGGAAGGCGATGGTTAAAAGAGAGGGCGTGGCGTTTCAGGTGTAGAAGATATGCATGCTGGAATCCATTCCTTTTTTACGCGCTCTGGCGGAACTTGGTGGGCTATTGGAGAATATTTGGAAGCTGATGTATGAGCCTAGAGGATCCTAGGAGATTATGAAGCACTTTTCAGAGCGCTGGAGATGCCGCGAAGATCTACAGCTTGACGTGAGAGTCTTTTAAATGGCGCGCACGAATCTTTCCAGCTTATGGAGTCTTGAGAGGCTGGAATTTGGTCTTTTGGGGCGGGAACACAAGGGTTTTGGAGGGGAATTTTGACCTTTTGGGGAAAAACTTTGGCACCTTGAGGAGGGAAGGGCAAAGAAAAAAGTTTTGGGGGGATTTTACAGGAGGGTTCCGCCCCGGTTTTTTTGGGGGGGGAAAACGGGGTAAAATTTGGGAAAACCCCCAGAGGTTACCTCGTTATTACCAATCCCCCCCCCCCCCCCCGCCCACCCCCCCCCTCCCATTCCATCTCGTCAACTCCGCGATGATGCCAGGCTAGACAACGCCCTCAGCATACCGTTCCACGCCCCTCTTGATCTCTCTCACAATCTCCACCGCCTCGTCCGCTGTCTGCGCCACGAAGTCGTACCTCTTTGTCTCTCTCTCCTTGAAAACGAGCAAGCGGAACATCTTCGGGTGTTTCTTGCTCACTTTGCTGCCAACTACGCTGCTGAAATGTACTGTCGTGGTCTTGCCGCCTTCAATAGCGAACCCACCGGGTCGTGCGTTGCCCTTGGTTGTCTCGCCAGGCATGATATGGATGTACTCATTATCGAGGGCGAGAATGCGGGATGTCGATGAGGCGAATGACATGGGTTGTTTGCGCATGACAGCGTAGCGGCGGTAGTAATTTGTTGTGGTGAGTGCAAGGGCGGATGATTCGGCGCGGGCTGCGAGAGGGTGAATGAGGCCGTGGCCAGACACTGCCGCGTTGGTACGCTCGCCTTTCTTGGTCTTCTTGGGAGCGCCACCAGTGCTGATGATGAGAGGGGCGTTCGGCGATGAGGAGCCTGGTGAGCCTGAGAGTCCGAATACACCGTCACCTACGAAGCGACGACGCGATAGGTCAAGATCCATGCGGTTGCCGAGAGCTTCGACGGTACGATCTGTGGGCGCGACGGTGGTGCTGCTGCTGACTTTGAGGATATAGAGCGCTTTGTCGAGGCGCAGCTCGTGGCAAACTTGCTCGAAGACATCGGCAATATAGGTATCCGTTGTGCAGTTGATGGGTATATGTTTGACATTGAAATGTTCGTCGGTAAAGTGTATGTTGACAGTCTTCGGGAGTCCCGTCCGACTGGCTGCATGTGACGCGTTGACCGTGGGAGCATCTGCGAGTGCACTCTTATCTCTGCGGGTCGCTGAAGGAGCAAATGATGGTCCGGTGATGGGGTTGCGGAAGCTCTTTGCACGACTGGGTATAGGTTTCACGGGCTTCTTTTCCACTGTGCCATCTGCTGTATCATTCTGAGTCTCGAGAGCGGCAGCTGCTTCGGTACTATAGATGGGCGTCAATTTTTCGTTCTCGCCAATTTCCCGTGGGCTTGCTTCGACAAGAGCAAATTCGTCCCAAGGCTTTTCCCGAGCCCGCGGACGCATACCACGAGCGTTGTTGGAGGCGAAGTCCTTCAGTGGTTTGTTTCTCGTCAGAGGTGGGAACTCGTCATCAACTTCACCATCATCATACATGCGCATCACCCAATGGTTGACGTTCATCTTCTCCGCAGACAATGGAGGCTCAAGTTTCTCTTCCTGGTAACGGTGTAGTGCGTAGCCGATGGCCTCTGCCACGATTGGACCTTCGCCTTTGTCGTTGAACTTTCTGACCAAGAGCTCAAGGGCTTTGGAGGGCTTCGATGAGAACGGACAGTAGATCTTGAGGTAGATGGGGTTTTGTTGAGCCTCGCTAGCCGCATTCCATCTGGCGAAGCGTTGCAGTGGATTCGATGGCTTCTGTTCCTTGGCCTGCAGCGCTTGTGTGAGAGCGCTTACAGGTAAGATGAAGCTGATGGGTCTTGGTGGTGGCAGGGCTTGGAGAGTCGGCTGGATTGGCTCCTTCTTCTTTTTGGGCGACATGTTGAAAGAGGTGATGGCAGTCATGTTGTTGAGGGCAGCCGGAGGAGACGAGTCAAGCGCATCGCCGCCAGCTCCCATAAGAGAACCGCTATCGGCTGAGCCCGAGAATTCGGAGTCGAGTGAGCTGTCAGACTCATCGCCTTCATCCAGCGCTTCTAGACGAGTACTGCGCGCCTCGCCTTCATCTTCCTGGATGCGTTGAGCGAGCAGTTGCTTGTTGACAGCAGCTTTGCGCGGATTCAGCTTCCTCTTTCGGAAAGCCGAATTGTCGAATTCGTTTTCAGATGACATTTCGCTACTGGTGATGGTGTCTCTCCTGGGGCGCTCTTTGACAGTCTCCAACGTGCCTAGCGAGCCCCGACGTAATTCGGTATCTGGTGGTCGTGAGGGGGATGTGATCATGACGGACGGACCGTCGGCAGCCTCAGCAAGTTCGTTTCGCAGGGCAGAACCCCGTATAGGAGAAGAGCCAGAACGGGTTCGCAGTGGCATCTTGGTGAATTTGATCTGATTCGCAGGCCTTAGCCACCAAAGTTAGCATGACCAATTGACATGTGACGGATAGACGAACCGCTGCGAATCTTCCTCTTCGTCGCTCTCATCACTTAGGTCACTGCTGTCGTCCTCTTCGAGTATCTCTTTTCTCCGCCTGCGCTTCGCATTTAGGGTAGGGCCGACCGTGTCATTGCTTCCGCCTCCCGTAACCATGCCACCTTCTTCTTCATCGTCGCCAAATCCCTCGGGCGCCTTGAGACCAGCCGAACGAGGGGCTTGGAAGTATTCCGAGGTGATGGCAGTAGGAATAGGCGGGGAGTAAGTGCGCTTGATATCGGCGGCGTTGGGCACCCATCCTGCAGCGCGAAATGCGGGGTTATTCAAGACATTGGAGTTGACGTTGATCAGTCGCTCGCCTACGCCGTCTTTGATCGAGGAGAGGTAGGCGGTCCGTAGTTGGTAGAGGACGAAGCTGCGGAGGTTAGCTGCGGAGCTCGGAGGTGTCGCGGCGCGGGGCGTACTCTTCGTTCTGAAGGAGCGACATGGTGTTAGTTCCAAAGCTTCTGGGGTATCATAATCACGTGGGCATTCGTAAAAGGGTCAGACCAGCTGAGGAGGTGTCATGAAGGTATAGCGCGCGTGGTGTCGTCGAGGTGCGGGAGTGGTGAAGCGTGGGGACTGGACCCTGAACTTGGCAACGGCGATCGCCATGCGAGTGATTTCATCGCCAACTTTATCTGCACATACAACCTCAACCACAACACGATCACCGATACGATGAACTTGATCGCGTACTCAGACTCCGAATCGGACGGCGAGGCGCCCGCAGCCCCAAAGCCCGCGCTCAAACAGGCCCCGAAGCCTTCCTTCCAGAAAGTCGTCGACCGCTCGAACCCAGGACGGATCAAGGTCAATTTGCCAGGCGCATCACAATCACGTGCCGAGAGAGACGATGTCGATGCAGACGCGCCACCGGCAAAGAAGCCACGTCTAGGCGGAGCGACGGGCGTTTGGTGGCTTTCAATGCGAATGCTCCCGTCGCCGAAAGAAGCCTGGGCCGCGGCCGCCATCTCGAGCGAGCGCAACACCGGGAAAAGAGGGCGCCTGGGCAAGGGGTCTGGCCTCTGGGAGTGAACCTGAGAACTGGCGCGGAGCCTGCGTTCAAGAGGGAGCCGCGATTGGAGCTTGAAGAGTTTTGACGAGAATGGCAACCCCAATCAAGAAGGAGCCTATGAAGAAGGAAGACTTTAGAGCTCTGCTCAATCTGCCCGACGCCCAAGAGTGAGAAGAAAGAAGAAGAAATCCAAGGCAGAAACCCCTACAGAGGCTCCTCAGCAGCCATCCGCCCCAGCCCCGAAGGCCGCCGCACCACGATTCGTGCCCATGTCGGTAGGCAAAGGCAAGAAAAAGAAGCCCATAGTGCCCAAATCTGCAGCTTTACCAACTAGCACCGCAAAAGCGACAGACTCAGACATGTCTTCATCCCAGCCAGTGGCCGCGCCTGCGCCTCCATCTCGGAAGCCGAAAGTTTCGCTGTTTGGCGTCGCTCAAGAAGCAGACACTTCAACGAACGCGTCGTCTGGTGGAGTTTACCAACCAATGCTGTACGGCACAGAAGAAGGAGGAGATGCACCAGTTCCTGGCGAAGCTTTCGAGGAGCAACACACATATCAACCAACTCTACAAGCACAGGCTGGATCCAGCGCGTCAGCGCCACACGATTTGACCGGTATAGCTTCGGAGCTGAACTTATCAGAAGCAGAGCGGCGCCAGCTTTTCGGCAAACGAGGGCAGGCGGACTTCTCTTCAGCAAAGATTGTCGAGTTTAGCACAGACACAGAGTATGCCTACAACGAAAAGTTGCGTCAACAGGGTGAGCAGGTACAGCACAATGCGCTCAAATCCATTTCTGGTACGGGCAAAAACAGTCTACGAAGCTTGATCAATGTCGCATCAACACAGAAGGATGCATTGGAGGAGCATTTCGCCACTAGTTACAGGAACAAGAAGGAGGCCGGCAACAAGTACGGCTGGTAGTGCTGCAGCGATCGGCATTTGGGATCACAAGCGTTCATTATACAAAACACCACTACATGGCGATTTAATGGTGGGGACACGCCGGGTTGCTCAACTCATTGTGGCAGAAGGACGGAGTAAGGTACATGATTTCGCACTCGCTCTTTGCTTTACTCTCCCCAGTGACATGGTTCTTTTTCGTTTCCTTCAACTTCCCATATGATTTTCAGAGTCCCAAATCTTGCCTACCAGTGTACATCTCATGAGAACGGTGATGAGGTCACGACATATGTCATTGCCTCGCCGACGGCCCGTTCGCTCACCGCGTAGGACGACAAACGCACTCGCAGTCAGCATCACAAAACGAACTTCGTGCCTCCCAGCCGAAGGTAAATTTCCTCATGAGCGAGCGCAGTTGTTGCGCTTGTTCTTTTGCCACCTTAATCTCAAGGTCGCGGTGAATAAGAATCGCTGCACAGCTTTCTCCTTCACCTAGAGTCCGCCAGAACTTCGGGCACGCTAGTGCGTTTGCCTTTGCGTTGATTGTTTATTTCTCCGCTACCTTGCACTTCCTCTTTCTTTTCTCCCCAAGCAGCTACCGCCACACGTTGTCATCTTTTGGTCCCCTGAATACAGCTAACAGCCCTCCAAGTATCGAACCTTTATAACATTTTCGAGTCGGCATGGCAGCGACAACCTCCCAACAGGTAGCCGTCCTGGGTCACTACAAGAGTGGCGTGGTGCCAGGCACCCATGAACACGGCGTCTTCGCGGTTCAGATGATCGATGGAGGCGTCAGGATCATTTGTGAGGCGCCGTTGATCAGCCTACCTGCCCCCGGAGATCAAGTGATTGATCTGATGAGTGCCTTCGATGCGCTCTCAGCTGAAGACCAAGAGAAGTTCTGGAACCTAAACCCAGCCAAGCCCTCTACATCTGCCCTTCTTACCGAAATGGATCGAGAAATCACGCCAAAGCTAATAGCTCTCACGGAAGTGGCATATACAGAAGAAGAGAAGAGGATTCTGGACGGACGCTTTGCCCAGCTTGGAAAGTCCACTCAATGCTTCCGCGTTGCCGCTTGCTGGCATAACACCCGCTACTCCCTCGTCTCCCACATTCCCTACGAGTGCTACCCGCTGCCAGAGGGGACACTCATCTCCGGTATCTTCATCGAGACCGCGCAACTCCGCCACTCATGCGTCCCTAACTGCTTTGCTCGGATCCAGTCAGACAAAGGCGTCATGACAGTGCACACCATGAGGCCGATCACCGCGGGTGAGGAGCTCACCATCAACACCATCGACATCTACTACAACACCGTCGACGTCCGTACTGCCGACCTGCACGCTCGATTCGGCACCACATGTGCATGCGAGGCCTGCAACCCATCCCACCCCAAGTTCAAGAAGCACGAGGATTGCCGCCTGGCCAACTACACCCGCGCCATTCAGGTCGACGACTTCTGCACCCGCATCGACATCATCGACCACGCATCCGTCCGCATTGACTTGTGCCTGCAAGATCGCGACCTCCCCCACCCCAACTTCCCCATCACCATCGAAGACCTGCGCGACGCCGAACTCACCGTGCTCGCTCTCATCAAGGGCCTCAAGGACACGGGCTGCGGCTCCCCCGAGCTGATCCGCTGGTACAACGCGCTGATCGACCGCATCCAGCCTCGCGTTGCACATGTTCTCGACAACGACGAAGAGCGCGTGCGCTATTGGTGCATCATGCTACGTCATGCCATCGAGTGCGAGAAGATCAGTAGCAAGTGCTTTGGGGCGGACTCTGCTGAGGTACAGTGGGCTGGAGCGAGGAGGGCCAAGATGGAGGGCTTGATTGAGAGGGCTAGGATGCATAAGACGTGGTTAGAGGAGAGCAAGAAGAAGGTTCTAGGTTGAGGCTGGAGGAGTTCAAGATCTTGGTAGTTACTTCACACATTGGTGGTGGGGTGTTGAGGCTTATTGGGTTTTTATATTAGATAATGGTTGGACTGTAATGGTACATGGAATTTCAGACACGGTACCCCTCGAATTCTTGCTGCATTTGCACTCTTCAGTGATTATTGGGTGTTGAGGTTGTTCAAGATGGTATATCACATGACAGCGGAGCTCTAATAGTGATTATAGATCTAACGTAATGCGCTCAAATCACTGCAGTACTCAGTAATGCTGCCCTGAAAGATTGGCCATGTAGGAAGCCACCCTTGCTTCTATCCCTCAAAACTTAAACACACGCACTAATCATACATCGCTTCTCACACCTCCCCAGATGTCTTTTAAAATGATCCTTCCGCCTCCACGTACTTCCACAACTATCATTTGGGCACCGAAACGACTGCACGGGACGATACTTGTCGCTGTGAACTGTTTGAAGATGGCGCTTCAAGTCAGCTCGCAGACCGCATTTGTAGGAGCAGACGGAGCAGGAAAATCTAAGGTTGTGTCTTCGGTTGACGTGATCACTTCCCGGTTAGTGGCACGAAAGAAGTTAGGCGTAGCTATCTGGGACTTACTTTACTTTGCCCCTAGTTGGGAAAGGTAGATGACACTGCACGCATGTGAAAGTGGTTGTTTCATTTGAGCTTTTACGATCGATTGGCCCCTTTCGGAGGGTGTCCTGATTTGTTACCGCTTCGTCCACACTCGGTGAAGAGTGTGACTCTGATTGTGTTGAGTCCAAAAAGGCTGAGCTAGGCAGGATGTTTTCTGCGCAAGGCGAAGCCAGCTGTGTTGAGCTCGGCGCTGAGACCGGAATGCTCATTTTCTGAACAACATCTTCTATCATGGCACTTTCGCAATGAGCCTGTAGTATCTGCAGGTCGTGCGAGAATGGCGCTGTGCCGTGCAAGTCTGACTTGCTTCCATACAACTCGCATGACAGACCTTCACCCGCATCATCCGCTTCATCGACGCTTAACGGTGAAGACGTCAGTGAAGTTCTACATATTTTCGATGTCGTATTTGAGTCGAGAGTGAAAGAACTCGTAAGCGGGGTGACTGGTTCAATCATGTCGATGTCTTCTGAACCTTTTCCGATAGATGGAGAGAGGTCCGGGATAGCGAGTGAATCTTGGTCTGCCTGATAAGGGGAACGAGGGTTCTTCGCGTGTTCTTCCTTTTGATTGGACATGAACGTAATCGAAATCCTTGGACTATTTTCTAAATCGTAATGCATCGGTGGCTCGGCTTGAGAGGGTGCAAAATGAACAGGATTCAGTCGAATCTCAAGCTCTAGTGGATTGATGACTCGCGTCGCATCTATTGCCCCAGGCCTTGTCGAGTCGAATGCATTTCTGCCGAGCGCTACTGTGATGTCTCTTGAGTTTGTAGCTGCAGATGTTATTGAGAGGTCTGCCATTAGAAGAGACCACCCACCTTGCTCAGATATCTCAATAAGCTGACTGCGCTTGTCCGTACGCAAAAGATTCTCAATGGTAAACAGTTTCGGGTTGTAGCGGATTGACATCGCGCTCGGGAATCGGGGAGAAGGATCCAATGATTGCGTACTAGGTGGCTGTTTGAGCTGGTATAGAAATGTGCTACAGTCGACGGCTTGTGTTCTTTGTCCCGAAACAATGTAGTAGCAGGATTCGGATAGCTGGTCATCACGGAGTGTGGCACCTGGAGAGATACTGTCCGGTGACGCGGATCTGTCAGCAGCTGGAGCACCATCGACTGAAGGTGGTGGTGACGGTGGTGGTGGGATGTAATGTGCTAAGCCTTCGTATACAACAATGTGACGGTTTTGCGATTGCGTCAGCCTCGATAAAGTTGAAGAAGAGAGGCTCTCATTGGAACTAAAACATCTTGGGACATTTTCGCGGCGCTCTTCTGAAAACACTGACTGTCAGCAACTGCGACAAAGGCTGTTCAAAAGTACCACCAACCGTAGCGTTGCTCAAAAACTGTCATTGCCACCCATATGGCACTCCTCAGGGCATATAGGCTATAAAAAAGTACAACTACAAAAATTATGCCACCCACAGTCGAGCCAAGTGTGATGCCAACAATTTGGCCCTTGTTCAAGGGCGCCATTTGCGGATGTGTTAAGTTGAGTCGTGGAAAAGCAGAGTTGCGACCAGTTCGAGTGGCTGAAATCCCTCAAATAGAAGCCTTGAGAGCGGGAATATGTACAAGTGAAATGCCCAAGGCTGAACGTCGCTCGGGGGCATACCTCGTATATGGTACCTCTCTGATTGGTAGGTTACAGCTAGTGATGTGGCGAATGAACGATAGTTACCACAACGCAGCGCCGACGCGCAAGCTCCATGATAGAAACCAATATACAAAGTGTTAGAACGATTATGGGCACAGGTTTCAATTCCTGCCAGGCTCGCATCGGCGATCTTGACCGTGTTCTGCCACTCGGGGTAGTATCACATTTTTAATTTCACGCCCCTTGATCTTGGATGAACGCACGCGCAAAGGCATTTTCCACTCGTGGTGTAGTTTAGTAAGTTGGAGAATATCCGACATTGTTCAAGTGGCTCCACAAGGTGACTGCAGTACCGGTATGATGTCATGATCGCCCAGGTCAGCACTCATGTCCTTCAACGGCGCTTTGCATTTCGACCATCGTATTTCCAAACAAATCCATTCAAAATATACCCAATCTTAGCCTGAGGCGTAGCACCCTTCACCGCGTCAATCGCCAACGTATCCCCGGGCACTTCTGGAGTCCAATCGCCCCATTCCTTCAAGCAACGCCTCGGCTCATAATCCTCCTCTTCATTCTCGATATCCATGAGCTCTTTCTAGGAGCTCTTTCCAGGACCGTGAATGTCTACTTGCTCCGTTTGACACGGTGCCTAGCGCTTCAGCCTAGACTACGAATGCAACTCGCATGCTAGAGCATTCGATTGCGTTTCGTGTGTTTTTGTTGATGTGGCACTAGCGGATTAGGGGGTATCTTTGTTTGAGGCCGGAGAATACGGGCCGGGGTTGGCGGAAGGAGGGCTTGAGCATGTTTGCGTTGCCCAGTGAGGGATCGAGGTTTGGGTCGTAGAGGGAGTCATCAGATGTAGTGGCGCAGAAGCTCTCTGCACTGGCGGGCGGAGGCGAGTAGAATAAATTATAGAAACGGTTAAAAGTGTATAGAGATATGGTTCATCGCTAAAGGTTACATATTATTGCGCATATGGTGTACAGATTTTGTTTATGGCATTCAGGACTCAGATTGATCAAACGAAATCGCTCTTCCAAGCCTAAGAGAGCCATTGTACAACCGAAGGGTCGCTATTATAGTGGAGATTTCACTGAGGCTGCTGTAGCCTACGAGCTAGGCCGTGTTGCTATCCTTTTAGTTGAGTACCCGACTCTGGCTGATGATTGATCTTTCGCTGACCCAGCATAGATCTTAGAGATCTTAACTGTTGTCACGCATCGAGAGCTTCAATTGCTTAGGAGTCTCGTCGTTTGATTATGTCTGACTGACTTTTCGGTTCATTAGTCGAAGTACGCCGAATATGTCGTAGCTTGAACAACAACAATCTACCCACTATTTTTATGACCATCACATAGCCATAATACGATACTTGTCACTCTAACTCGTGAAAAAATGCTAGTCAGGATAATTACACCAGAAATTGTAACTTCTCACTTTTCTATGCACATCCAAGTACGTCCTATCACAGTATTTCCCTGCACTCATCTAGCGTGCAGACTTTGTCACTGTTGTTTCGCGCACCTCTTGAAGTGTCTTTCAAAATTATCACTCCACAGGAAGACCTTGTCCGGAGTAGCACACTTGAGATTTGTACAGACTAGTCCACCTAAATCACCATCTTTGCGATGTACAATACGCTGATGTCGGTCAAGATCCATATTCGATGAAACGCCGCGCCACAAGTCAGACAAGCAAAGCGCCGTACGTGTTTGCGATTGGTATGTCTTCTGGGTTTTAGTCAGCTTTAGTCTGTCCTCAATGGTCTAGCCAGAAAGTCACAAACCTGAGCAATCCATGCGTTCGAAAAGTCAAACCGCACTTGTCGCAAATTGCAATGGTTGGGTGATCTTCTGCTTTTTCTCTAACAACTGTTGACATATCGGGACCATCTTTGACATGCGTTTCGATTACCGCTCGTACCACATTGTATCCAGCATACACAGCGAAAAGCGCGGGGAAAATGATCGGATTAGGAAGCTTTTCCACTATCCAAGGATTTACAAAGGAAGAAGTTCCCGGTGGAGTTCCCGGTGGAGTTCCCGGTGGCAAAGACTTAGGTAGAGCTCCAAGAGGAATCTCATATCGGCTGATATGTATTTCTGTGCATCCCGAACCATGCAGGTGTGCTAGGAGAAATTGAAGAACGATGTTTGCTATTGTCATCTCAGCGCATGTGATGAGATAAGCTAGGGAAAACATGATGACGAAGAAAAGGAGAGCCCGAATAATGGGAGATGTAAGAAATTAGAAAGAGTTGGTGAATCATAATATAGCCCGTGCAGGCGCAGTCATTTGGGGGCCGGAGGTAGACTTCTGCATAGCCACGACATGATCTTACAAAGTATTTGGACATAACCGGATGCGTAATGACTGGCTACTTCCTAGAAACTCAGTTTAAATTGCATGTCGATATTTGCCCAAGTCAGGATCCCGCTTTTACTCCTCACACGTCCTCAAATGTCTTCGGAAGTTGTCAAGCCTCCCGAATGGTCTCCCAGGTACCCTACAGTTCTCATTTGGACAAAAGTACAAGCCAAAGTTGTCCCCAGCACTGCGGTGAGCGCCTCGTTTGTGTCGTGCGAGGTCAGCGCTGAGGAAGAACTTCATGCTGCACACATCGCACTCGAAACGGCGAATGTGTTTACGGTAAATGTGGTCACTGTGGTGTGTCAGCTTCTGGTAGGTCATCTGGCGAGGAGACTCGATACTTCAATTTTCCTGGAGTCGAAAAGTTGAATCCGCAATACTGGCAATCGATGAGCCGCTTAGTTGGTAGCAGTACTTTTATGTCTGATCTCGCTAGCATGCTCGTCTGGTACCTTTCACCATCTAACTGACTTGTGCTTGATTGGGAGACTTCATAATCCATCTTCTTAGGTTGGGGTTCATCAACATTGTTCGTTGTTGCAATTGAAACGTCCACATTGGCAAAATCGTCAATCTCAATGATCCTTGGCTTGATTATTGTCGCAAGCTGTGTAGCGGTTCCCTGTCGTGTCTTGCTACATACGCGGTGTGCTGAAGCACCAATCCCAAAGCCAACAACGGCACGATAGGCGATCTCTAATAGCGCTGTACCCAGAGCCAATAGTGACTTGGACCTTGCGCTACGCTCCGAACCTAAGGAACTTTCGTTTTCAATGCGGGAAAGGTCGAGGGGTATGTGCTGATAGCGTTTGTCCGCTGTGAAAATGGTCGAGCAATCGTTCGTGGATGGCGTGATGTAATGGAACAACACCGGGTTTGGCTTCATCTCGAAGGCGAAAGGGCTCATCGCGTGTGTATCGTTACTTTTTGTCCAGGGCTCGGGAAACGAGCTAGACCGCTTGAAAAGACTAAGTGCGTCTCCGACGGCGATAGCAGTATGCTGGCTGTGATCGAGGGTGCGTTTTAACATATTTGCGCATCCACCCGGCCTAACCCAGGTACCTGGCTAGGTAGAAGTCAATGATCTTGCGACGATAGACCGATAGAGTGGAGCGGAATCAAATTGCAACTTTGGCAGAAGAGGAAGTATGGGCAGAAACCTTCATTTAACTCGTATGCTCTTCACACTGCCCAAGTGGAATCTGCGTACGCACCGCACTTAGTGAGGCATATGTCCTACTATTCGCCACTCTTTCAGCCTTGTCATCTGTCCATTGGTAGAGTAACCGAGTACGAGAGGCATGCTTACATGAACGCTAACCACTTATAACGTGTGCATCAGAATTGCATGCAAGACCTGCAACGCTCATCATATTTTCGGATTGCTTGATGTGCAGCCCCATAACATAGTAGCGCTTCTCAAAGCACAGCTCCACGCCGAGTGACGTCTATGACTACTTCGGGGCTCCACTCAACATTGACACTTAACTTACATAGCGTATTACACACCACGCACCTACCTCTAGAGATTTCCAACTGAAAGCTGCTGCGAACTCACTGCGTAGACATCCCCGTTAAAGAAACAGACACTTCTTAGAACGAAAGAAAGACGTAGCTAGTGCTCAATCCCAACCATATTTTATTTTTGCACAAACAACCCTATCTTGCCTGCTCTCTCCGCATTCGCGCTAACAGCTCATTCATGCACATTGGATGTGAAACTATCGCCAAAAAGCCTACATCTAGAAGTACACAACATCTGCGCCTAGTAATCGACTCCACTTTACGCCCAGCAGTCATTACCACATAGTCCGGGTTTCAAGGTGTGTTTGAACCCTTAACAGGAAGGATACCAGCACATATGAAAAGAGCGCAGAAGAAAAAAGAAAAAAAGTAAAGTGCTGTGTGAGTACTTACTTCCCTCCTTATACCCTTGCCTTTAAGTAAAGCAACACAATCAGAAGGCGATTTAACAATCAAGAGCCTTCACCGCATCCTGATTGAGCTTAGAGTACCCTTTGAGAATCAAGGTATGCGGTATGGTAGGTCTCGAATACGCGCAAATAGTCTCGGAATCACGCTGTTGGATCTGGGCATGCACACCTTGCTTGTTGGGCTTTGCTGATACCTCGTGCAAGCAAAATACTTGGTGGTGCACAGTACTTTATCTGGAGTATATCGTCAGCAATCGGAGATTCTGCCGGGATGCAAATGTCGCAAAACGGCATATAATGCGTAGCGTAGACTACCTCAGCATGCACAATACATTTCAATCGCCCCGTCTAATCTCATATCAATAATCACACTCAAACCCACGACTCAATGGAAAGATACACACATGCAATTCGAGCTTTCGATGCTACGTCTACAAATACTCCTTTTTCCACCCCATCCAATCCCTACCATCCATATCCCAAGAACCAGTCCTACTCGCTCGGAACTCTAATCTCATGAACGTCATCAACATCATCCACCGGCGCATCCTCCCCATCATGCATATCGTCCCCAAAGTCTTCCAGCATCCTAGAGCTGAGGTCATCCGGGCCCTCGCTGCCCAAGTTCGGCGCGTCAGACGCAACGTCGGAGGAACCGTGCAAGCGATTTGACGACGCACCCAAGGCCTCGAAACTCCACATTGGATCGTTGGAGCCTTGGAAGCCGCCAAAAGTGGTGTAGTCGTTGCCGTCTTCGGCGTCGACGAAGCCTTCGTCCGCGCTGCCGTCGACCATGGGCGGCATGTCTTCATCATCGCTCAGGTTCACGACTCCGGCTCCGCTCTTTAGAAGGCTCCCGCGATCCGAAAAGCCATGCCCGCGCTGGGCTAGGGCTCCCGCTGCGGCTCCGATTCCAGCGCTCGACGACCCATTGCGGGACGAGCCGTCGAGGCGCTGGCCGTTTCCCGAATCCGACTTGTTGGCGTCGCGGGGGCGTGAGCGGTTGTTCGAGTCGTCGTCTTCAGCGTCAGAGTCGGCTGTGGCGTCGGTCTCGGCTGCTTGGACTATTTCGCGGAGGTGGTCCGGGCCTAAAGGGACGGGGGAACGACGGCGGTAGAAGAGAAGATACGCGCTACGTGTCACAGCTTTTTGGCCAGATGTGCACTTGGACACAACGGAGTCTGGAATGTCGTTAGCTTTGGTCAAGAGGAGCACACATGAATGTGGATACTAACCATTGTAGTCGTACCACTGCTTGTCGTAGAAGTTCTGTGCAGTGGCTGTGTAATGCCCTCCTCCAAGTCCTCCGAAGTGATTGTCTACAGCAAAGAGATCGTACGTGAGATCTTTGCCCTCGGGAAAGCCAACCTTCCCAGATAGATCAAGACCCTCGACTGGGAAGTCAATGAGTTCCTCAATCTTGTCCCGGAACGTCCGATGACCGCTGAAACGCTTGAGGTGAATGATGAGAATGTCGGGTACGGTCCAGATCTCAAGGGTCTTCTTAGCTCGCCGGAGTTCTTTGCATCGACTGCAATACCAAGCGTTGTCTTCTGACAGAATCTCGCTCTTTGAAGTCTCGGTGAAACACTCATCGAGTGTGATGCCGTGCTTCCTACGCGCGGCCCGCCGTTCCTTCTTCGCCTGAATCTCTGGGTCTTCGCGAGTCTCGAGCCACTTCATTGCATCCATACCGCGGGCATCGTCGGCTGTGGTTCCACCAAATAAGGCCTCAAAGGAATTGGGATCCCAGTCAAGCACAAGGCCTTCACCCATACGGACCAGTCTGTCTTCTGATTCATCTTCGGGATCGTCGGGATACTCAGGTTGGTCTGGAACTCTGTTCTTCTTCGACTTGAAGTTCTTGTTGTTCTTGTGTTTTCGCTCTTGCTTTCGCTCCTGTTTCCGCTGCTTTTTGCTTTTCTTCTTGTTTTGTCGACCGCCTCGCGAGGCTACATGACCCCCGGGCTCAATTGACTGCATTTCCTCGTCGCTGCTGACGTTAGCCGCATCAATAGCAGCATCGACATCAATGGACTGAGGAGTATCGGCGTCCTCATCACTTGATGATCCTTCACTACCATCTGGCGAAGATTGCACAGATTCCTCGCGTGACGGTGGCAGACGGATACGTTTTGAGATGGGCTCGAGAGCCTTGCTAGGATCGACACTGCTCCAGCCGGTGGTGACGATTTCGTTGGTCTTCTTGGTGTGCTTGATCTCAAAAAGCGTTCTAAACTCAGGGTGGATGAAACTACCAGGTTTTAGAACACTCGGAATCTTCTCCTTGTCAGTGGTCTGGTCCAAAGCGGTGTCAACGGAGTCTGTCATGGTAACCTCTACAAGATCCTCGCCTTCTATGGATCCATCCTGAACTCGCGGGTCGCCGTTTGGAGAGGCGTCTTCCTCGGTTGTAAGCACAACATCAGAGCCAGATCGAGATTGGGTCAAAGGTGAGTCGCCAAGCTCATTTAATATGTCCCGTGTGGTCATCTGAGCAACTTTGGCAAGAAGCTTCCGTAAAATGGCATCAGGATCTTTCGCCTCCTTACGAGTGAGAACGATGAAAAATGGCGACAATGCCATGGAGAAGTTGTTGGATTTGTACGAAGAACTGTTAGGGCCTCGATGAAAGACAGGGATGATGACACGGTCGTGTAGTGGCGATGCAGAATCTGGCACATCTTCGTCAGAAGATCCATGTGAGAGAAGTAGCTTAAAACCCGAACCCTTCTTCTTTGGCGCTGGCCAGTTGCTGGGAGCAATGTCTAGCTCATAGATGTAGATGTCGTCTCGTACACCAATATTCGACTCTGCGATGGTGTTCTTATCATCCAAATGGCGGTAAAACTTGTGGCTATAAACTTCGGATGCCATCAAGCGACTAGCGGGAACGCCCCCACCTCGCTTGCCAACATACTCTTTGAGGCTTCTAATCGTTGCGTTCTTGTCCATGTCGACCTCGACCTGGTAGGGCTTGCCATATAAGGGTATATATGTGATAGTGTGGTTCCAGGTTTGCTCAATCGGGAGTTGTAACGTGAGCTGGCTGTAAGGGTCGAAAGTGATACTAACTTTTTCACAGTCAGGGCAGACCATGGTGTTCTTGTAGAAACCTGTACATATGTCAGTATTGGAAATATACCGGGAACATGCATTTCCATGAACTTGTTCATACATACCACTGAAAAGATCCATGGACACCGAGTCGTTTCGCGCCTTGTGATTGTTCCTATAGATTTCGCCAAGCTCCCTGATCGCCTCTGGGTCGCGGAAAGTGTTGTCATCAGAATCAGGGTTCTCCGTGTAAGGCTTCTTCTGGATGCGGTTCAAGTCTTCGTGCAGGGCGTCGACCAACCAGCTTACGAACTCCTGCGAGTCCTGCTGTCCATAGCCGGAGAACAGACTGTTGGCCTTACCAAGAGCGTTCTTGAAAGCCTTTGGCGAGAAAGACGATGAGGCATTGATGTCGTAAATACCAGACAGTACCGCAGCGTAGTTTCGAGCGATGGCACCCTTATGACCGATGGGGTTGTTGGCATTGATATGTCCTTTCCACTTGCCACTCAAGAAGTACATACTCAGCTCCTCCACACTGCGTAGACATTGGAGGGCAGAATTCATGTAGCACGTATTGCCCAGGTTTGTCAAGCCAACGTGACCTCGCACTCTACCGTCGCGCCTTTTGCTTCGTGTCAGCGGACCGCCGGTCGGTGTGGATGTTCCACTGTTTGTAGTGCTTTGGATGCCCTTGTTTGCCTGAGAGCCAGTCTTGTTCTTTGCTGCGACCTTGGCGGCATCCGAGATGTATTCGCCCTTTTCGTTGTGTTCCTCAAGAACGATAACCTGATCTTGGGACAGACCAGCACCAGCCAATGTCAAAGACTCGTTGAAGTCTTCGTTCGCCTGCTCGTCTTTGCCAGTGACAAGCTCACGCTCCGTGCCATATGCGAGGTTGTTGAAACTCGTAGCATCCATAATAAGTGCAGGCGATTGGTTGGGTGCAGGAACGACAGGTGACCCATCGCGAGGCGACGCATCAGGAGTCAACATGCCGGACGGTTGCGCATCCTTGGGTATATCCGAACCAGCGATATTAAGAATTCTCCATACTCGGACCTTGTTTCTGATGTCGATACCGGCGGACTTCTTAGCAGCTTCGAGGAAAGTCAAGTAGCTCTCGTATTTGCTGGCTACGATCTTGCCTGCGACCCTCGAAGTATCCGCAGCGGTCGTCGGCGCCTGTCGCACTTTGCGGATAGTGAGGATAGGCGGGCGGAGCTCGTACTCAAGATTTTCGGTGCTCTTGTCTGGTACCGTGTTGTAGGCGTATCGACGAATGGTAGGTGAGCCTGTCTTCACTCCGTACCAGCCGACGACAAGCTCCCATGCTTTTAAGGGCAAGATCTCAAAGTCTTGGCCCATTGAAGCTCCTTCTTTAAGCGGTACGAAGTCTTCGCCACGCTGGTCCATCAAGTCGTCCTGCATGGCATCGGTGTCGACAAGGCACGTGTTGTCCACTGGCCCAATGGGACCCTGGGTAGCTTCCTTGCTGAAGTCTTGTGGTCGGCCAACATTCTCTGACGTCCTCGCCCAGACACGCTCCAACCACTTCTCTGAGATGACGTAGCCCTCCTGGCGCTCCTCCAAAGGCTTCTGCATCATGGTCATGACCTTGGTAACCTGCTCGTCCAGGCTGGGCAGGTCTGCCTGCTGCGTCGCGTCGATGCTTGTGGCGGACGAGTCTGCATTGTCGGAGCCGCTGTTGTTGGGCGCGTCTGCCATGTCGACCGACGTTGCGCGTGCGCTACGCTGTGATGCTCCGGCGGCGATGGGCTTGGTGTTTCGGGGGCTCGACTGCCCGCTGTTCCGGCGTGTGGTGGATGCCTGGCTGTCGAGGTCCATGCTGTCGTCAGCCATATCGGAGTGGAGTCGCTTGGCGGGCGACGACGAACGCGGTGCACGCCTCTGTGGTTGCGGTTCGGAGCCAGATGTACCCTCGTCAGCCATGGAGGCGTCGCCAAGGGTCAGACCAGCGTATGCCTCGCTGGGAGAGCTGCCTCCAGTGTGGTAGTCCCGTGGCGTGCTCGTGGTGTCGCTTTCAGTCAGCACTTCGTCGTGCAGGTGGGGTGGGAGAAATCGCGGCGGTGGTGGTGACGCTGAGGCCCTGGTGCTGGCAGCGGGGTGCGGGGAGGAGCGAGGGTCTACGGCTTCCTCATTCGGGGGCTGCGCAGAGGTTGTGTCCCGACTCGGGCTGTCTGGTTGTGCTGGCACAATCTTGCGTTTCTTGGTGGAGGCCGTTGTGGAGGTAGAGGGCCTGCCGTGAAGCCCGGTGGAGCTCCAGGACAAGGCGGACGGAGGAGCTTTCGGGCGGACAAATAGCGTGCCTGCGCTGACCAAGAGTGCGACTCTTGCTCGGAGAAGCGACGGGTGGGCGGTGAGCAGAGGGGTTAAGCGCGCAATGGCCGCAGAAAAGAGTGTATGGCGGTGAATGCGCGCTGCGTGCTCACGTCGTCACCTTGGGTTTGCCTTCAGCCTTGCAAAAATACGCGAGGGCCTTGGCGCATGCAAGCATGTCGCCGGCGATCAAGCGGAGCCTTTACACCTCCATCTTTAGCTCGCTGACGGCGGATAGCCTAGCCTGAACCGCTGCGCCTGGACGAGTTCCTACAACTAGCGCATCTAACTCGACACGTCTCTAAGTACCCGAGTCTATACAGCATGTGGCCAAGCCTGGACTGGCCAGCGAGTGGGCGCCTGCGAGACCCTGCCATCCTCGTTGCATATCTGGGGCATCACAAACGCGTTCCGCAGACCAGGTCCTAGCGATACGCGAGCGCAGGCTAGGTTGCACTTAGATCAGTGTAGGGCGATATGTCAGTTTGACATGTGACAGCATGCTGGACTTCTCCACACATATATAAGGTTAGTGTTCTGGGGCACACGACCGCTGTTTGATGCTCACTTTTGTATTGATTCAGTAATGCATACATGAGGCCATGAGGCGGCACACCACAGGCTTCGCCTTCATTTCGAACCGCCACTGTTGAGCCATGCAAACGCAGACGCGCCGCCAACGGGATTCGCAGACCGCGATTTTGCAGGCGCTACATTCTCCGCTGACTTCTCGCCAGACACGCTGCCATGGAGAGATGGTGTGGCTGTCGCTTCATCTTCGCCTCGCCTCTTACCATCATCGAAGAAACGCGACTGACTCGTTGCTGGCGACGACGTCGAAGTCGATAGCGTACGCGTACCTGCTCTCGTAGGCCTCAGCACCTTCATGCCTGTTTCACGAGGCTTGGTGCTCGAAGTCGTGGTTTTACCCACGTTGGCCCAGTCTAGAACGCCTGTGTTGGTCTTCTCAGAAGAGTCCCGGCGCCAGTTGCTTAACATGGCTGGTGACGGCCCCGAGCGAGGAATAGCGCCCGTTGGCGACGTCTCTTGCGCCTCTTTGGCACTGCTCCGTGTCGAGGTAGAAAGACCGAGGCGTGGGCGCTGCTCGAAACTCCTACGGCCAATTGATCCCCCATCGTCTGAGCTCGCTGTGCCGGAGTCGTTGGGCTTGGCTGTGGTATAGCGGGCCTCGTTTGGACTTGACTCGTTCGTGGGGCCTGCCGTGCAGGGCAAAATGCCTGTCCGGTTCGTTTCCACAACAGAACGATCAGAGATTGCCAGCGACTTGAACGTGCGCTCGTCCTCAGGCCGCACAAGAGGAATCTGGAGCTTGCAGCCATCATCATCGTACAAGGTCAGCTGATTAGTCGAAAACAGTAAATCGGCATTGTGCGTACGCAGCATGTCGCTGCCAAGGAAGATCTGTATGGATTTCGGATTCGCAGATGTGCCGTGTCCCTCATCAATGGTGAATTCCACAGCTACGGACGGAAGTTGTGGAGCAGGACTGTTTGATCGAGACGACCCCATCACGGGTACTGCCTCAGGGAGATACACAGAGATTTTGACCTTGCGTAGACCCTCGTCGGTTTTCGTGATTTGGTCCTGCATCCCAAGTTGCTCAATCAGGCAAAAGTCGACAGTCGATGTGTAAGCTCCCGAACATACTGCCGCGTAAAGTAGGGTATCATGTCTGAAGTTAGTGTCGAGCCAGCAACGGATGATAGCTGGTACAGAGCCGAGTATGAACAAGCCTGGGGCCAAGCTAGGAGGCTCCATGAGTGCGCTGGGGCCTAAACCTGTGAGGCTGTTCGCCCGACCGGATGTCGCCGAGTGTACCGAATGTCCCGCAGAGCTCTGTCGTCCGTCCGATTTGTGCGAGTAGCTGCGTTCGCTCATGGCGTGGCCGCCCAGGCCGCTGCCCGTGCGGGGTATGAGATCCAGCGACGACCGCGAAGCATGCGCCCAGTGTCCGTGGTTGGCAGTCTCGTCGAAGCGAACGCTGTTTGCGCGGGATGTAGCACCCACTCGCCGAGGCTCCTCTTCTGCGTCTAGCTGGAGATTGCCGATGATGTTGTTCGGGTGGTCGTCGAAGTTTGAGAAGTGCTCCGCCGTCGGCTGTTGTAGGGGCACTGTTCTATGTTAGCTCGTTTATCCAGAGATATATAGCAATATGGGAAGCCTCGCCCTGCTGTGGTGTACCGCCCAATACGGAGGGAAAGGGCGAAGACGTGCCCCAGACGCTCTTGAGGCGCGAGTCGTCGTCTCTCTGGCGTTCCAGACGGGACACGCGATCAGACAACTCGGCTTGGTTCTGCTGCACTCGAAGCATCTCGTCCTGGAATCGCCAAACGTCGTCGCGGGGCTGGAAGGCTACACTCTGTGGATCCATTCCCGTGGGCCTCTCATCCCTTGATGGGAGACTCAGCAAAGAGACCCCTCGACTCCCCGTACGCTCCCCGTCCGGGCAATGCGGGCGCCAGCGCCGCCAGTTCCCACGTGCCTCCCCTCGTTATGCAGTATAATTATGTGCGAGTATCTCGTTGCTGTTAGGCTTGGTGGGATGCGACAGCTGCGACAGTGGGGTACGTGGGTGACGAGTCTGAGCTGATGTGGCTGTCCCGATACGGAGATCGTCGAAATCAATATCGTGTTATCACCTTGAATGTCCCGGGGGGATGTTAGGTCTAGATGAGCCGCGGAAGAAGGTACGTTGTGCGTTGGCTGCTAGTTGTAGAAGGCGCAAGGGCAGGAGCTTAGCTATTGACTGGCTAGCAGAGAATCCTTCTTTTTTGTGTTCAGCGGGCTGTTGCGTGAAAAGTAGTAGAATGCACGGGACGACTCATCCGAGTGTTGAACAGTGGTACAATGTGCTTCACAGGTGTCAATGTTTCTGATGGATGTCTTTGGTGGTCCGCGAAGTTGCACCACAGCTAGCGCCATATGCTTCATGCTTGATTGGGCAAGAACCGGCCTTGCTTCCGTCTCCCCGCGTCCATGGGAGAATGGCCGTCGCGATTCCATTATTTCGCACTGAGAGCGACACGTGTTTGTGCATTTGCGTGTGCTGTACAAATAGACTCTACAGCCGCTGGCTCGCCTCGCACACTGGCTTCACTGCGCGTTCGCGTACTGCTTCTCCCATGCCGTCCAGGCTTCCGCATCATTCCATGGAGGTAATACCATGGGCAGCTTGTCTGGCGACTGATCAGGCCACCGCTCGCCGACCACTTTCATCAACTCCTGGAACAAGATCTCGTAACCTGCGGGGCTGAGGTGAAGACCTGCTGTCGTGTCAGTCGCGATACGGCATATTTTGGTGCAGAGGGAGCCTGACCATCGTACATGAGTTCTACCAGGGCATCGTTTGGCGGAACACCCAGCGACCCGGCTAGTGGGTCTCCAAGCTTCCATGCATCCAGCTGGAAGTCGGCCTTTTCCATGAACTTTTCCCATAGATTCACCACAGGGACACCGAGTCTTGCGCCAACTTCGCATACACCGTCGGCATATTCCTTGGTTGTGCTGGCCACACGAGCAGGGCTCGGATATCCAACGAATTGATCTCTTGCCCACGTCAGATGCTCATTGATCGGTGGCGGAGATACCAGAATAATCCGAGGGTCGTGCGCCGCGACCTGGGTATGAGTGATGATTTTCTCGATGTTGCTCTTGTACTCATCTAGCGGTATGTGCTGCTTATTGGGGGCATGGGGCAGAGAAGCATCGTTGGCCCCAAAGAAGACGACCTGGACAAGAATTCAGCACGTCCAGAAGTCCGCTCTGGCCACGAGGTTCTCATACCAGAAATCGAATCCTAGCCTGCTCTGGTGAGGGAACGATGGCTGGCAGTATCTGAAGTGCTTGGCGAGTATTGTAGCCGCTAACATGTTATTAGATCTAGACATTGAGGTGCAGATTGTGCTTACCTTAGTCCACGATTGATTACATCTAGTCTCCTGATGTATGCTAGTGATCTGTTAGTACTCGACTTAACATTGGCCACTCACCTTAGCAACATTGGTGTCCATCATAGCTTGTAGAGATGAAGCTCACAGCATTAGGTATCAGGGGGGTTTCACTAACCAGCCTGCAGTGCTGCAGAGAAGCCGAAACCCCTTGTCTGGTTGTAGGAGTCCTGGGTGATTGAATCCCCGAAAAGGAAGAATTGATCGTACAGTGTAGACTGGGTAGGTAATCAGAGACCATTTCTTGCGATCTGCGTGGCTTTCACCGATCACTTACCATGTCGATCTGGATAAAGATACAGCGTTCGTCAATCGTGTCACAACCCTGTGTTCCGAGATATCTCCGTCACTTCTTGAATGTTCCCAGCAGCGCGACCAGACTTGGGATCTTTACTGCAGACTTCGGGCAGACTACCGCACCGGACGAAAGGCGAACAGCTTGGAAGGTCGCTTCGAATTACCTGAGGCTAACCCGGCAAACGTGGTGACGGTGGGGTTATGGTACGAGACCCGCGTTACCAATCTTGGGCATGGCGGCTTCCCGAGGTCGCGCCTGCCGCGTTGGACCCTGAGATATCGTCATGCCCGCCCGCGTGCTCCAGGCGCATCACAAGACAACGACCCAAAACACTAGCGACAAAGTAGTCTTGTGCGCCTCGGCGGTGTATCGGTTCGCCCGACTTTCCTCACGGCTTCCCCAGATCGCCGCAGCGTCGCTATATGGGAAGCATGTGCTCCAGTGCAAATCGACCAAAATCCAGTTTCTCGTCGCTTCGCATCTGACGTGTCCAACGGTGCGTGCGTTCCCCAGACGGAGCAGCAGGCCGAAGTCATCCCGCGGCCTCGAGTGGATCAGCCATGTCTTGCCCAGAGATCACACCTTGGTGACAGTGCCCTGAACCTTCAGATGACCTTTCTGGAGGCTTCGACCCACTACATGCCTTTGTTTCACCGCCCACCAATGTAGCGGCTGTTCGCAGCCCATAGTTCTAACATAGACAGCACTGTGCCACCACTCTCCTATTTCCTCTCCCTCCGTTGCCCGCCATGCCCAAGTCCTACCACTCGTACCGGAGTGTTGACGACTATGATGCCGATGCCGACGATGACGAACGCCTCGAGCGGCAGGAGCGCAACGACACGTTCAGCAGCACCACGCCCACGTCGCCCGTGGCCACAAGGGACGGCTTCCGTTTCCCTAGGCAAACGCGCGGCTCCGACCAAGACCTCACGAGGTCACGCGAGAACCTCACCGAACGCTCTCGCTTGCTAGGTCCCAACTATGGGCAGACGTCGCGATCATACAGCAGCCTGCCAGCAACCACGCCCGGCACGCCCAAGCCAGGCCAGAAGAGACACAACGTGCAGCTCCCCACCAGCTCGCGGATGAAGCCCAGCAGGAATGCATCCTCAACCTCGTTCAGCCAGAGGCTTGTGAACGCATTGGGCGAGAGACGAGGTGGCCTGGAGGAGAGTATGCACTCAGTCCACGCGTCGCTTTGGCAGGACAATCGCGTGTGGTACGACCAGTTCACCTCGACCGACTGGGTCCACGACAACATCGCCGACGCGTACCGAGTGCGGGCCCTCCGCAGTCGCAAGGACGTCAGAGGGCGCATGTTGGCCTGGTTTGATGGCGCTCAAGGCTGGATCCTGGTCGCCCTCATCGGCATGCTCACCGCTGTGTGTGCTTATTTCGTCAACACCACCGAGACGACGTTGTTTGACTGGAAGCAGGGCTATTGCACTAAACAATGGAACCTGAGCCGCAAGCCATGCTGTAACGGTGCCACAATCTGCGAAGACTGGGTGCACTGGTCCAAGGTCATTCGCAGTGATAGACTAGACCTCATTCAAACGCAGTATGGCATGTTTGTGCTTTCTGTCGTCGCGCTGTCGATGGCATCTTGCTTACTGACACTGACCACCAAGACTGTCATCCCATCCACTATCTCCCTGGCCACGCTCGACGAAAACTTGGCTGCGGAGGTGGTGCGCAACCAGCCAGAGGACGACGACGATGATGAGGACAAACGCAATGGCAGCCCTGAAACCAGAGCACGCGAGCCCGAGGTCCGCCCTCCAATGGTCTACTATTCCGCTGCAGGTAGTGGTGTAGCTGAGGTCAAGGTTATCCTGAGTGGTTTTGTTCTCCACGGTTACCTTGGTTTACGAACACTGGTCATCAAGACCCTAGCTCTGATTCTTTCTGTGGCATCTGGTCTGAGTCTCGGCAAAGAGGGTCCCTATGTTCATATCGCGACTTGCATAGGCAACATTGCGTGTCGTATCTTCTCCAAGTACAGTGACAACGATGGCAAGCGCAGGGAGATCCTGAGTGCCAGTGCTGCCAGCGGTGTCGCCGTCGCCTTTGGCGCGCCAATTGGTGGAGTTTTGTTCAGCTTGGAGGAAGTCAGCTACTACTTCCCGTCGAAAACTCTCTTCAGGACGTTCTTCTGTTGTATCGTAAGTTCAGAACTCAAGATTCGTCTGCCGAGCTGATAAATTCCTAGGCGGCTGCGCTATCCCTCAAATTCCTCGATCCCTATGGCACGAAGAAGATTGTGCTGTTCGAGGTCCGATACCACCTCGACTGGAAGTTCTTCGAACTCGTCACGTTCATCTTCACTGGCGCCTTCGGGGGTGTCTTGGGCGCTTTGTTCATCAAAGCGTCGCACATGTGGGCTCGAACATTTCGTCGCATACCCACCATCAAGAAATATCCGATATTCGAAGTATTTCTCGTTGCCCTTGTCACTGGTCTTATCAGCTTTTGGAACCGGTACACAAAACTGCCCGTGACCGAGCTTCTGTTCGAACTGGCCAGTCCCTGCGACACCTATACCAATTCAGGCGACGGCTTATGTCCCACTGTGGAGCACATCCCGAGTGTGCTCAAGACGCTTTTTATTGCTTTCGTCATCAAAGCCTTTCTGACCGTCGTTACATTCGGTATCAAAGTACCTGCCGGTATCTATGTCCCATCTATGGTTGTTGGTGGTCTCGCAGGTCGCTTCATAGGCCACACAGTCCAACTGGTCGCTCTAAAATACAGTCACCTAGGCTTGTTCAGCGAATGCAAACCGGATGGCGCACCCGGTGCTTGCGTTGTGCCCGGTGTTTACGCACTCGTTGCCGCCGGGGCGACAATGACTGGAGTCACACGTCTCACGATCACCTTGGCTGTCATTCTCTTCGAACTCACAGGCAGTCTGGACCACGTCCTACCCTTCTCCCTGGGTATCTTGGTGGCGAAATGGACTGCCGACGCTATCGAGCCTCTTTCCATCTACGACCTTCTTACGGACATGAATTCGTATCCGTTCCTGGACAATAAGGTTCGACCGATCTTTACCTCCGAACTTGGCGATATCACCCCGCGCGTGCGCAAAGACCGCGTCATCGACATCTCAGACGAATCACTCATTCCAGCAAGTGAACTGCGCGAGAAGCAACAAGCCCTGCAGATGTCCGGCCAACTTGATGGCGGTATTCCGATCATCAAGCACGGCGTCCTGGTCGGTCTGATCCCTGCCCCCGATCTGGAATTCGCCCTTGATAAGCTCGACAATGAGGAGAATACGCTGTGTCTCATGTCTACGCAAGTCGATTGGGCTGCTGGGCGTGAGCCTCACGGCGAGGAATCTCAGATCTTGTATGATCCTAGCGACTTTACGCCATATATTGACCCGGCTCCTGTGTCGCTTGATGTGCACTCGCCGATGGACCTGGTGTACGAATGCTTCGTTAAGCTCGGGCTGAGATATATCTGTGTTTTGCGAGATGGCAAATATGCGGGCATGGTAAGTCGAATCAGAAGACGTGTCGACGAGTATCTGCTAACTCAGGGATAGGTGCACAAGAAATCCTTCGTCAAGTATATGAAAGAGCTGGAGATTAAGGAGAAGAAGCATGTGGGCTGAGTCGGTTCTTTCTGGCATTAGCATATGATATCCATGGCACTTTTTAGGCGTTTTGCATGGCGTTTGGGTGGGTGTGCATACACGCATGAGTATAGCTAGCATTGTAGAGGCGGGACGAAGAGCATAATTCAATCAGATCGCAATTGTCCATGGTGACATATCTATACATACAACACCCGTACTTGCTCCTATCTCGATGCTCAAATGGGGTATCATATTCACACACACGCATACACTAATCTACTTCCCCGCCTTCTCCTTCGCCGCCGCTGCCTCCCTCTTCCGCTGCAAATACCTCTCCTTGGCCCCCATGATATCCGTCTGCGTCTTCTGACTCTTGGCCGCGTGCTGCAGTTTCGCTGCTTCCTCTGCTTCCTCGTCCGCCTTGCGCTTCGCCGCGGCTTCGATCTGCTGCGCGACCATGTGCGTCTGGCGCTCTCGTTGCGCGTTCCTGCCCTTGGATGGTGCGTGGATTGGTAATGTTGGCCTCGCAGCTGCAGCAGCGGCTGCGGATGTGGACGGGGCAGGTTTGGGCTTCGCGACGATATTCAGGCCACCTTTGAGGAGTTGTCGTTTATCTGCGACCTGGCCATCTTCGTTTAACAGTATGTCTTTGCCCTGTGCGCGCAGGGCGTCGACTTGTTGGGCCTCTGTCAATTTCCCTTCTTCCTCGCCAGACACGGGCAAGACGATGCCTTCTTTACTAGCCTTCTCTGCGGCTTCGACTGCCTCGCGGTGCCTCTGTTCTCTCTCCTCCAGCATTCGTTTATGAAATCCCAACATGCCGTATTTCCTGCGATCCTCCTCTTCTTTCTCGAGACGCTTGCGCTCCTCCTCTTCCAAGCGCGCATTCTCCTCTTGTTGGTTCTTATACGCGCCCGTAACGAATTTCTCCTTGTCTGCGAATTCATCGCCTTCGTTCTCGCGCTCGCGCTGGAGGAACTTGTCGCGCGCGCGGGTTTGGTCGGCTTTGCGCTGCTCGGCGGCGTTGAGGAGGCTGTCCATGTATTTTGGCGCGCGCGCGAGGGGATCCGCAGCCTCGGCGGCTTTTTTCAGCGCGGAGGCGGCGTGGAGCGCATCGTAGGCAGCGTCGTAGTTGTAGATGTTGGCATCGTGTTTGAGGGCGTCGAGCGCGCGTTGTTCGGCTTCTTTGGCGCTCGCGGAGTTGGCGAGGAGGGTGGGGTCGTCGGGTTTGGGCTTTGGTTTGCGGGTGGGAGGGACGGGAGGTTGACCTTTTTTGGGCTTTGGAGGGGCTGATTTTGAGGATTCGGGGGCCGTTGTGATGGTGTCGTCGAAGTTGAATTCGCCGATTTCTTGGGCGTTGTCTGCGGGCTTGGGGGCGTCTTTGGTGTCGTCTTCTTCGTCATCGAGTAATGGCTTCTTCTTTTTCAGGGCAGGCTTCGTGCCTGGTTTTGCGAGGCCATTTGGCGCCTTGTTCTTCAGATTGAGGCCGAACTTCAAGGACATGGTGCGTGCCAGCGGTGGGCGAGATGCTATCGAGCGCGAGGATGCGTTGGTATGTTTCTTGCAGATTCTGTCCAACAAATCGCTACAATACGCACACAGGTCTGGACAAGTGCAAGCCAATGAAGTAGTAAAGTGTATCGAGCTGTGTACCGAGTGAAGCCGGCGCGAGTGGAGATGTTGAACGCCAAGAGGGCGCGCACCAGTGAGATCATTGGAACCTCCGCACTTGCCCGCACCTTCACTCCTACACCACTACCATGGTTCACTTAGACTGTGTCCTTGCTCAGTCATAAAATGACCTTTATGCCTTTCTCACAAACTTCGCATCGTAGCTCCCGTCATGGAGGGGCAGGATAGCGAACAGCCCGACGCTGCCTACAGCAAGGCCAAGGCTTCGAAGTTCAGCTTCAAATCGAAGTCGAGCCGCCGCTCAAAGCGGAGCGGGGACGATAGTGAGGGCCAGCACTCTCCCAAACGTCACCATACAGACAGGGGTGGCGGAGAATCAAGACACAGCCACCGCGAATCTAGGCGCCGACACAAACACAAGCATCGAAGTTCACGCGAGGATACCCACCCGACCTCCACACGTGATGGAGAATACTACGATCCCGATCACCGTCATCGCGAATCTCTATTCGATGACCTAGACGAAGCACACACGACTTCGCCAAGACAAGGTGTGGAGGATGCCTTCCGCGAGTCCCTCTTCGATGCCCTTGCCGACGATGAAGGTGCGGCTTACTGGGAAGGTGTCTATGGCCAACCAGTACATATATATCCCGATACCAAACCGGGGCCCGACGGCAAGCTCGAGCGTATGACGGAGGAGGAGTATGCCGAGTACGTCAGAGGCAAAATGTGGGAGAAGAGCCACCAGCACATCATCGAAGAGCGCGAGGCAAGGGAAAGAGCACGCAAAAAGAAAAAGGAGCAACGGGACCACCTGCATGATGATGTGAGTCGCGAGGAAAAAGAGCGGGAGCAGATGCGACGCCAGATGGCAGAGAGTCTCAAGCGTGGTGCCGAGCGCAAGAAGGCCAAGGAGAAGGAGGCTGCTTGGAGCATGTATGAGAAAAAGTGGGAGGAGTTCAAAAGTGCGCAGAGCATCGCTCAAGATGCTAATGTTCAAGTGTGCGACCTAGTCCCGTGGCCCGTCTGTTCTGGGAAGGTGATGCATGTCTCCAAAGAGGAGATCGAGGACTTCCTCCGGAATTCACGCATGTGGAAGGTCGATCCGGCTGCACTCTTGAAAATCGAGCGTGTACGATGGCACCCCGACAAGATGCAGCAACGCTTTGGACAGCACATTGATGCCGACACTATGAGGTCCGTCACTGCTGTTTTCCAGGTCATCGACCGGCTATGGAACGAACGCCGTTGAGCCTGAAAAGGTTGTTCTGCTGTTCACCGAACACAGTGGCACAATTATTGTGGCATGTACCTCTCTGGTAATACTTCTACAAGGGTTACTTTTCTTTCCCAGGGACACCCAGCATTTAGATCCTCTTCGAATACGACTCATGTTCTACTCATCATCCCACCTCTAGTGGCGACGCAACAATCACAATTTCCACTGCATTTGTTGCCTCACTCGTTACTGGCCCTCTATGCAGCCAGATTCTCTCGGCACTCTATCCGGGACGAGTGCGACCACAAGCGGAGGCAGTGCTGCTAAGTCCCGGCTAATCGCTTGGTGCCTGGGCAAATGTGCTTCTGTTCACCCCGTCTTTCAATTTATCGCCTATGATCATCTGATGTGGCTTGCGCCTAGGGATGTAGATTGGGGACAAGCTCATGACGAGACATTTGATTGTCTTGACGCGAGGCTTCGTCCATTGGCGCAGGACTTAGCAGGGCTTGATGCCCGCTGTAAGCTTGGCGAATATCACGATGCATGCGAGCTGGCCAGGAAGACGTGCATGCATCACTTGTGCAACCCCCTGAACGTGAAAGACAATCGTACATTCACACAGCAGAGTGTAGGTTCTTCCTTCTGTTTGCCACGCCACACATAGATGGCTCAGCAGTATTTCGAATCAAGTTCACCACCACAGAAGATACAGTGCCGTGTTTCAAGCCTTCGGCATTCAGCAAGTCTAGCGACACCACGCGAGTACATCATTGGGCACGAATACCCGGTGGTCTAAGAGGCTCCGGGAACCAACACCACATGCCTGCACCCCACAATATCTGCCGGCAGAACTACGCTACTCACAATGCATGTCTTGACGACATATTTCATCAATATGGAGACGCCATGAGACCGGGGCGATGGCGATGGCTCGCTGATCGACCTTCCCAAGTACGAAAATGGGGATACTCAGGTACGAGCCAGTCGTGCATATAAGGATCGCGACTCCTCGATGTTAGATCTCATCAAGCAGCTCGATCACATCTATCAACATGGTCGCTTTCTCTTCTATTCTACTTGCTCTCGGCAGCGCCACTGCGGCGTTTGCCTCGCCACTCAACCTCTACACCGACCTCCAGAAGCGTGACGAGGGCGCCCTGAACACCAGGTCCACACCTTCCGGCACCGGCACCAACAACGGTTTCTTCTACTCCTTCTGGACGGACGGCCAAGGCTCAGTCACCTACAACAACGGTGCCGCCGGAAGCGTACGTAACCTCCATCTCCCCTCCACCCACCACCGCTAACACAGCTCCAGTACAATGTACAATGGTCCAACGTCGGCAACTTCGTCGCCGGCAAGGGCTGGAACCCCGGCGGTGTCCGCAACGTCACCTACTCCGGTACCTGGAACGCCGCCAACGTCAACAGCTACATCTCGCTCTACGGCTGGACACGCAACCCCTTGATTGAGTACTACATCGTCGAAACCTACGGCTCGTACAACCCTGGCTCTGCTGCGCAGAAGAAGGGCACCGTCACCACCGACGGCAGCACATACGACATCTTGCAGACGACCCGTACTAACCAGCCTAGCATCGACGGCACGTCGACATTCCAGCAGTTCTGGTCTGTTAGGCAGCAGAAGCGTGTGGGCGGAACGATTAACGTCCAGGCGCATTTTGATGCGTGGGCTAAGTTTGGGCAGAAGCTAGGCACGCATAACTATCAGATCATCGCAACTGAAGGATATCAGAGCTCTGGAAGTGCTTCCATCACGGTCAATGGCCCGTAGATTGGTTTCATTTCTCGAGAGAATTTGGACATCAGGCGTGAGGAACAGGTTTCGGTACTGTGGTTGATGTATCTATGAATTATGTCAATACGAAAGAATAGCCTGAAGGCTGCGTAAGAAGCATCATCCTTCTCCCATTGTAATTTTGAGACCTCCTCCTCACATTGAAGTGTAGACTCTTCGTTTTCGAGAGCCGCAGTTTTGTTCTCATGCATATTCTTTTACTGACCTTTGAGAGCATATACGAAGAGAGATAGGTCGCGGCAAGAGAGACCGAATCTTCTGGCCTATGCGTACGCACCAGTCCCTAGTCGCCGCCCTTGCGAATACAAAAAACATTTTGATGCCCTTTCCGGTCTTCCAGACTGACTACCGGCAAAGTCAATGCGCAGGTAAGAAGTTGACTTTTAGCGTGGCGATACTTCTCTAAGCCACGGCATAACCAGCAAAAGGTCCATATTTGCCAGATGCTCATGACACATTTCGGTTTATCTTTTGCTCCGCACATGGGCCTGCGATTGGGGGCTTTTGAGGCAAAAGGCCTCTGACGCTCATGGTACTTTATCAAGTGGACTTTGGGATTGTAGAAAAAGAGGTTGTGTGATGGGGAAGAAGGCAGAAGAGAGAGCTGTATTTCTAGGAAATGACGGGACGCGGACAGGACATGCACATCCAAATGCGAGTTTTGGAGTCAAAACGCTTTTGGTTGACTCGTTTTTGGTCCAAGGCGCGTCACGTAAAAGTGCGATGGACCAGCAGCAGGGGAAACATGTATGCTTCGTGATATCCTTTCTTATTTGGAAGTAGTTTTAGATACAACTAATGCAGGGGAGGTGCAGACGTTTGCAGTCTCTATCCAGGATTTTGGATCTCGGGCATAAAAATTGGTTCACGAATAGTGGAAAAAAGAAGAGAAGAGACCGGACTTTATATGAACTCGCCTTTGCCTACGGATGATATCGAGATCCTGAATCCATACCTTGAACTGACCTGAAGGCACAGGCGCAGAACATGTACCACCTCTGGAAGCTTTTCGCGAGCACGTCTCCGCCTCGCGACATTTTTGGGGTGTAGGACGGACGTAAAAGGTAGAGCAGACAGATGCTGGAACCACGATGGTTCTACAGGAATAGCTGGAAGCGACGTGAGTTGCTTCAGGATGTCTTTGGGGAGATAGATGATAGGATGCTGAGGGAAGGCGATGTGATGGATTTTGCGAGGCTGAGCTGGTGGACACCTTGAGATGGTCGTGGGAAACACCTTGGAGGTGTCTCTGGCAAGCACCTCGGAGGCTTCCTGGCAAGCACCTCGGAGGGGTCTCTGACGGACACCTTGGGGGGAATCTGGCGAGCACCTCGCAGGGGAGGGTGTTGGATTGCTCCACAGGCGGTGTCCTGACTGCTTCTCAGACGGATTCCTGGCATGCGATCCCGAGGTGTGCCTGACAAACACTTTGCACACGCCTCGCTGTCTCCTTGGCCGTGGAGCAAAGCTACATGCTTCACTTGTCACACCAGGATTTCTGCTCTCGATCCGCTGTGTGTGAGCAACATAGCAGGTTACTACGTTGGTTTTTTGAAAGTGAGAAGTTCATGTAGTTTCAGAGAAAATCAGATCTTCAGAAACATACAAGGTCGTCGGTGAGTTTCTAGACAAGAAACCATTGCTCCTGGAATTCTTAGATTTGGATCGAAGAATAAATTCAGCGGATTAGATTCAGACGGACCAGTCCTCGGCTTCTAATGGTAATCCACTTCCTCCATTTTCTTTGGTGTGTCCGAGATTCTCTCAAGGTCTTCTGCGATATCTTTTCTTTTCATGGCGAGCCACGAGACATCGAAGGATATGCTTGGGAATTTTGGAAAACTTGACGTGATGCTATGGACGATTTTACTTTTACATCAGTGGAGCGGAAGGGAAAAACAAACACGTGTGATGCAAAGCACAATCTTGGGAAAAGCAGGCGCGGACGACATCTTCGATGTCTATCGTAACTCTGGTGATTTGGGGGGAAGAAAAGTAGAGGAATATTGGCAGAGAGAAACTGTCCGGTAAGGAAAAAAGGGACTTGTCGCACTTGAGACAAGTCTCAGAGCATGCTGAGACCAAAAGTGAATTTTATGTGAGGAGGTTGGTTGGAAGTAAGACATGTGTAAGACTTGTGCATTTGTTCTAAAGGGCGGAAAGTTCTCGCCCACACGAGTTTAGCCTTATCTCCTTTGGTATACTTGGAAGGGATGGGTTGATGACGACAAAAATGAGCATTAGAGATGGGTTCTTACGATGCCCGAATACACAATGTGCAGAGACATGGTTTAAATCAAAAGTTTTTGCCTTCGCCTCGTGACTTCAGAGCGGACACCAGTCTGCATAAAAGCCAAAAGCGGGGAATATAAGTGTACATGTGTCAATTTCAAATGATTTTGATCATGTGCTTTTACTGGGAGGAGAAGTGAACAAGCCAGACACATACAGAACTTCATATTAGTCTTTTTAAGCGTTTGGCGATTAGGCCATAATGATAGAGGTTTTTTTTTATACTTTTGGGGATAGAAAAGGTTTGACAGAATTTGGAGATACTGTAACATATATTTCATCGAAAGAAAGGGTATATGAACACTTGGCCTTCTGTGAAGTGTGTAGCAAACAAGTTTGTGCATTCCTTGGTTTTGATTTTGACGAGTGAAACGGATATTGCGCTCTTCGACAGTCAATCAGCGTTCAGCGAACAAAAATACATCGTTCAATTTTGTGACATGAAAATAGGAGACGAGCTCAGATATAGAGCGTTCTTGTGACATAAGCACGGAGCATACGAGAGTTGAAGCAGAGTTGAAGAGCTCACGGAGGACTGTATACTTCAATTCCTGAATAGGCGCCACGAACAAAATTCTGAATATCATAGTATGTCCCAAATTTTTCGCGATGAGAAATCTGAAGTTGCAGATTTCAGGAGTAAGTCGAGAACGCATCGCTTCCCCACACCAGCCCCACTACACATCAAATTTTTGATTGCAGAGAACTCGCATCGCACCATGAACACACACACGGACCAAATCGATTTCCTGACGCTTTAGATGCACTACTCAAGATACATGTGGTACATATTATATTCAATTTTTAAACCTTCCACCAATCAGCGCACAGCAGCGTTGAATCCGCCCTCTTGGCTTAGTGGTAAAGCGTATCACTAGTATTGTATGCTATGATAAGATCGCTAGTTCGATTCTGGCAGAGGGCAGCCAGATATTTCTTTTTGCTGATTGAGCATGCTTTGCTTGACTTGTTGTCGGGTATGCTTACACTTTTTGTCGGCACCGCAGACTATGGGTATAGGATGACTTTTGCTTGTATGGATTCATTGATAATGCTTAATGTACTGATGTACTATGCTTTTGTTTATCCTTGCCGGGGAAAGATCACGAAGATGTCCCGCAAATTCTATGCAGTGGTGTGACCCTGGTATACCCTTCTGATGCTGGTGAGATAACGGTGGAGAAATAGCGCGGGAAAAGATCTAATTTACATGAGTGAGAAACTGTCGGCCTGTTACTTTACGCCGAGATAAAAGTGAAAGTATGCTATCGACCCTTGTTAGTATACAATTTGTACTTCGTGAACGCCACCAGCGAAGTGGTGATCTAATGCGACAAAATGGACTTCCTGAGACCGTGCAAAGTTCGTGTGGTAAGACCTAGATGTTGCAAGAAGCACTGGACTTGTGTTTTGTCGTAGTTATGGTCCTTACGTGGCGTAGGCAGTTACTCAACCAAGCGCCTGTGTGCGGTTTTGGTTCCTGAACTGTATCTGAAGAGCTTCGCTGGCTCGGCGTACAGTCCCCAGAGGCAATTTCCTTGTCGAACGACATGGGTTCTTTGATCGCAGTTTCGTTCGAAAGTACGCCAGTCATCGCTTTCTCAGCCTTCTGATCATGAATATCGACATTGTCACCGTCTTGTACGGACATGCCCTTCTCAACATCTAACGCGTCCTCTTCTACTGAATGGTTCTGCGTGGTATCAATTGGGCTTCTGTCGTAGTTTCGAAAGCTGAACCAGAAGAAGAATGTTGTGACTGCCATTCCTCCCGTAAGTGAGGCGTAGAAGATGACCAGGTTTGGATCGTGGGCGACAGGCGTCAGAGCGAGAGCGACTACCGAACCGACGCCAGCGACGAGTAGATTGATTGCCTGGACAATTACTTTCATGTCCTTGGGCGAATGGTCGTAGGCGTACTCAAGGCCAGTGACGTAGGCGAAGATCTCACCTCCCGAGATGAGGAAATAGATGGGCGCTTGTAACCAGACATTCGGCCGACTTCGTTTATCCAAGGCTGAACTTGAGCAGTCACTGTCGCTTCCCAAGCATAGCGAAGAAGTATAGATGGCGTGTTGCACGATAGTCGCATACAACATGGCAAGCATCATAAAGCCAAAGCCGATCGTGATGCGCATTATTGGCCCGATGTAGATTCTGCGACGGTGAAGAAGTGGGTAGAGGCCCATCTGAATGGCTGGACCTAGAATGATGCAGCCGACCTGATTGAGTCCCGGCAGTAGGTCGTTTGGTGTACCTCTCATGTCCATTTGTCCGGCTTGCGAAATGAGGTTGTTCTGCATTTGATCGAAGCAAACCCAGAACATTACGAAAGTGAATAGAACGCGGCAACCACGTAGTCCGTGAGTCAGTTCGTCGACCATGTTCTCGGTCCATGAGACGGTCTTGCTGTGGCGCTCGCGCTGGTAGTCGGGGCCCGCGCGCTTCATCTTGCAGCCGTTCTTTATAGCACATGCTACAATCTTTGTGGCTTGCGGCACAATAAGGTTGTCTTTGTGAGACACCTGCACATACCAGTTCTTGCCTGCGATGAGCATGAGAAGTGAGAGGACCATGAAGCCGAGACTGAGGCCGTATGCTTGGGCGAAGCCATACTTCTTCTCGATGAAAACAGTGCCGAACGCAGATAGTGAACCAACGTTTCCGACCCAGAAGTAGAGGTTGTAGATGTACTGGAGAGTCAACTCGTAGTCCGTGATGACCTTTTCGCCCGTCTTTAATGTCTTGATTTGGGGTCCCGACTTCTTGTATTGGTCGGCAAGGAAGGGTGGAAGTATTGCCCTGACTCCTCCACCGCCTAGGCCAATCAGGAACATGGCCACAACAAGTCCAGGGACGCCCCAACCCTTGTCAATGTTGGCCGTTATCGAACTTGCGGTCAGTGCCACGATACCTAGGCAGTACAAAACGATACTGATGATCAGCGATTTGTACTGCCCGAGTTTGCTATCCGCCACGATTGCGACAAATATAGGTGTGACGTAGTAGAATATGTAAAAGCAGCAGTAGATTCGGGTTGCCACTGCTTGCCCGAGCCCGAGTGCTCCGGGGGTCTGATTCTTCCCATAGTGCGATGGATTCTCCATGTAGTTCTCTGTGATTTCAGAGTCAGCTACTTAACTATGACACATCATGTGTTACAAAGAAGTGTAAACTTACGCCATGGTGCGAGCATGCCCCAGAACGCGGCCTTCTCCCAAAGACCTATGACGGCGACAACCCAAAGACGCCACGGTACACTGTCTCTTACTCTTCGTAGCTCAACATTGTGTTTGGTGACGCTCGATAATTCTGAACCTGAGCCTTCGGCATCCACCTCGGAACAGTTCGTATTTCGACTCATCGTGTTGGTTGTAGCTGCCGGTAGATACAATGGCACTGGGCGATTGGAGGTTTGACAATCCCGACAGAAAATGGGTGTTCGCTCAACGAGGGGTATGTAACGTGACGGGCAGTACGAAGTATAACAAGTGGTAGGTAAGCACGTTTGCTTGATGCCTGCTCCCGCTGCAATGCCCTGCAACGTTTTCGTTATGTGATTAGGAAGTTTTCATATGTGTGAAAGGTATGAACTTTTGTAAGTGCAGAATGTTTCGTGTTCATATTTAACGAGGAAAGCTTAGAGACATCGGTGCCGTGGGCTAACTGGGCGCTCTGAACCATGGCTCCGTCGTGTAGTGTCAACTCGCTACCCCCAAAATGCTACGGGTCACCCACGGTTGCCATTAATGGGTGCACAACTCATGTCACCTAACGAGGCGCACTAGCATCTTTCCCAATTGTTTGGGCCACTCTCCATAAATGGCTACGCCCACGTCGCACAGCTACCACATCTGCGCGCCAAGTATGATCAATCGACCGTGGACCACACTAGATCTGGGAACGGCCAATCCCGAAGACCAGAGCAGCGGTCGACTAGCGTCAGATAATACGCGAGAGGGCTGAAAAGGATGCGCTGGACCAGCCACAGCGGCGACAGATGCTGCGACAGGTGCATCGGAGATCGTTCTATTACATCAAGATACGCGCATAGTCATACCTGGAATTCGGATGACACGTTCCTCTCCGGCAGGTATCTGGTTGACTGTAACCCATCTGACCGGATATGCAAGTGACAGAGCGAAGGGTACGACGCATCGTCGACTCCTCGTACTCTTGGATCTAGGGGTAACAGAAGTCTCAATTAGGAACACTACGGCATATCGTCTTCATACTGGAGTAAACCACTGGGCTTATGTGACTGAGAATGTGCCGTATGGTTTGATTCGCCTCGTTTCGCATGCATGAAAGTGTCTACAGGCATATTCTTTGGATATTCAAGTTTGACAAGGGTGCGAAAGAAGCAACTAGTAACAATCTGTAGCTGAGGTTAGCGGAGGTCGCGGCTGGAGATGGACTGCACTGCGGGCCTTTTCGGTCGTGGGGGGCGCTAGATGATTAGGTCAGCCGTTGCCTCAACCAATGACCCAGATTGCACACCTCAGGCCTCAGGCAGCCTCATTTCTCCACTGAGCAAGCCTCTGATAGACCTCGCCTCTAGACTGGAACGATTTTTGCTGGCGATCGAATACTTCTTTCAGCTCACATAGCTGACCTTCTCTCCCTGCGCCATGGTTCGTTAAGATGAGTGTTCCAACTGGCATACCCAGCTTCACTGTTCCACTTGTGGAAGCAGATTGAAGGGATGGTCGAGTGTAGCACAAGCCTCGCTCGGCGTGCGGCTGAATCACGATACCAATCTGGAAAGTAGCACGGACAACCGTTGGCACGCCATGTCTCGACCAGAGTCCGGCTCGCCTCAATCAAGGATCCTCTGCAGATTCGATGATGATGCACCATCACCTGGTAGTCACTGGTATCCCTCGTCGCTGCTCCTCTGGCAGTGGCCAACATGGAAGTTATAAGTGCGTACATGACTTTCGGCATCCGGCGACATGACTGCACCACGTGTGACTATCACCGACCAGTATCGCGGGGTTCACCGCTTGTCGAGGGGGACTTTTCAAGTCATGCCGTTGACTGATGCCCAGACACCCTGTTTGGTGGCACGAGATGTTGCGGTGTCGGCCTTTAGCCACCAATACTACCGTTAGTGGGGAAAACATCGTGTGCTTGCGCCTTCCGAGACTTCCACACAACAACACCAAAGTCGAAAACCCTACCACTTGCAAGCTACAACAATGTACCATCTTGACGGCAACCCATCGCCCTCCGAGCAAACTCTGTTCAAGGATCTGCTTAAAATGACCACGGCCAAGTGGCAAACAATGTTCAAAAAGGAGGATGTTTTCGCAGCAAAGGAAGCGCCAACGCGACCTTCGGTTTCGCGAAGCTCAACTCAAGCCTCAGTACCCACATCGAAGCCATAGAAGCACTCTATTTGCGACTTGAAATGTGGGATATAATCCTTTTGGAACATAGCAAAGGTACTTTTGCCCGGAATTTCATTTGAAAAGTTCGCGCTGTCGTACTACCTCAAATTTTTGTGGTGGCGTTCGAGGACATGTACTTTCGTGCGATTCTCATTTTCTCAATGCTATCAGAGCAAATATGTGCTTTTCATTTGAGCACTTGGTGTCACGTTCTGTTACACCACGATCCATGTAGAAGCATGGCTGACAAGCTCGCAAGCACAGCGAATGGATTACGGAATCTCGGCCACCGACGACATATCCGACTTGACGCCTCGATCTTCAAAACTGACATTCGTCCTTGCACGTACATTAACTCAGCCTCGAACACGCTCGCACACCGCCTCATATGTCCAGACTTGCTGCTGTTGCGTACGTAGTCTTAGCTCGAAATTTGGCGCCATACGACAGCAAGGCAGGGGAAATCGAGGCGCATGGTGGGCGAGTATCCTCTTGGAACGTATGCAAAGCGTAGTGGGCACATGGCAGCTCCTGCTGGAGCCTCCACACTACACTGGCAAGGAATAAAACATCCAGACAAGCTCCGTGGTTCAGGGGTTCAGTGCTGAACCACCATTCGGTGGTCAGATTGTGCTGAGGTTATCATCCAGAGAAGTGAACAATCGAGGAATGGTAGATAGGCGTGCTCAGGCGACAAATCTCTCGCGGGCATTGTGCATATGACGAGTATGCTCAGATCATCGGCTCAAGTGCGAGAAATACCAACAGAAAACATTTTCAAGAATTGCTCACATCAGATCCGATGCCATTGCACTTCGTCATGTCGAATGGAAAGCTGTTTTCAAGGAAATATTCGGGCTTGCCTGCCATTCGGATCTGCCATTCGGACCGCCGCAATCTCGCTTAGAACCAAAAATGGCTTCGCATTGCCACGCTCGTCCATTCGTAGAAATGCTTGCGAAAACACCATCCTGATCCGAGCGTTCTTCAACAGTTGGACGCCTGATGTGTGCTATGTGGGTCTGCAAAATAGTCGTGCACTTACATCTACTGTATCTCTACTCGTCCCCACCACCGAAACCTTTGGGCCCAAGTAGTCTTGTACGCTGGATTCCAAACACATCTTTTAAATCACAGCAGAATCGTGACCTAGGAAAAAACGGTATTGGGTAGAAAGGTACTTGACAAACGGCTGGTAGTGGTAACCAGTGTACATAAATCGAGAAGGGGCCTCGGAACGAGATCTACCGGAAACCAGTGAATCGAACGTCAAACGTCCCATTCTCATTGGACGTTTCTACCCAAGCTCTATTGAGCGTATCGGAGTAGTGTGGCAACAGTGTGATCCCAAAAAGAGCTGAGTCATCATGGACATTGGAGACTTGGAGAAACTCCGGCCGTGTGGCCGCTTGGAAACATACAGCACCGCGAGACACCATCTTGGCTACTACAACAACGTGGCACTGACTGCAACCTACAACTCCTCGTCGCAATCGTCGGACGCTCTAAAGGACTCCATATATGCTGCGCTCAAGCATGTCATCGCCAAACACCCAGTCCTCGGTGCTGTACCAGTGGACGAAGGCAAATCCTACCCGGATACGTTCTTTGTTCGTCTTCCTCTCATCGATTTATCCAGATCTGTCGAAATTCGAGATCGGAAAAGCAAGATACCAAGTGTCGGTGAAGTCGATGCAGAGCTGAACCAGTTGTTGGCAGAACAACATGCTCGCAATTTTAAAGATGATACAGGAACCAATCCATTTTGGCGGCTTGTTGTTTTGACCTCATCAACAGGTAAGGACACATTTACGGCGACATGGACATTCCACCACGCATTATCTGACGGCGCATCGGCCTTCATATTTCACGAGACATTCCTCGACGGCTTGAACAACATGGAAGCTGTGCCAAATGCCGATTCAATTGTGGAGACGCCAACTTCGCCTCTTCTACCAGCTTTCGAAGATCTACATCCTATGACAATATCTTGGCCATTCTTCCTGACCACCATCTCGAAGGCCCTTCTCCCATCCATCTTCGATAGGCGCCTGGAAAAGCTATGGACCGGCAACCCAGTCCCCACCAAGATTCCCTCTCCACCCCAATGTCACTTCCGCACCCTCATCCTCCCTGCCAACACGACCAAGCTCCTAGCCGAAGCCAGCCGCAAGGAAAACGTCAGCGTAACCTGCACCCTCGAATGCCTCATCGCCGCCTCCCTCTTCACTCACCTCCCACCCTCGCAATTCGACAAGATCAAATTCTCCAATCCCATGAGTATGCGGCGTTTTCTGAAGGACGTCCCCGACGACCAGATGCTTGTCGCAGTGAACCAATACCACTTCACGCACCATCGCACCTCATCCCTGCACGAATGCAGGGTCCTGCAGAACTTCTCCTGGGCCGAAGCACGCGCCGTAAAATCCACCATCGAAGCCGAACTCGCCAAAGCCGGCGCAGACAATCCCATCGCGCTATTTAAATACGTGTCGAACATGCACGACTTCGTGAACGGACATTTAGGCAAGCCGCGCGGCTCGAGCGTCGAGTTGTCGAATATCGGCGTGTATAGGAATAGAGATGAGGGAGGGAGGTGGACGATTGGCAGGGTCACGTTTAGTCAGTGTCCGAATCCGACTGCTGAACCGCTTTGTGTTAGTGTGGTTACAGGTGGTGATGGTTGTGCAAATTTGAACTTTTGTTGGTTTGAGGGTGCGGTTGAGGAGGGGTTGGTTGAGGAGATTATGGAGGGGGTGAGGCAGGGGGTTGAAGCGATGGTTGGAGAGAGGCAGTTGTAATGTCTAACGCGTAGTGATGTGCACTTCATATGGTATGCGAACTGAACGATTGATGTTTAAAATGTTGCATTAATATATGTTTGCCAATGAGGTATCCAAACATCCAAGTAACTTCTCATCCGGCCAGGTCACGAGTAATTCCAGAAACTCCGGTGCGCCATTCAGAAGTGA